AATAATATTAAACAAAATATATTAAAGATTTTAAATTATTATATATATATAAAAATTGTTTTAAAAATATATTGGTTTAAATTTAAATATATATATTATTATGTACATATAATATTTAATAAATAAATAATAAATTTTAATAAATTTTTTAAATTTTTTAAATTTTTTAAATTTTTTAAATTTTTTAAATTTTTTAAATTTTTTAAATTTTTTAAATTTTTTAAATTTTTAATTTAAATTTTTAATATATAATATTTATTTAACATAAAGTTCGTTATTTATATCAAACAAATTAAAAAATCATTATGGGAAATTAATGAAGTAATTGATAAAACAATTGATAAATATTACGTAAATGATTAATAAACGCATAAATTAAAAAAGTTTGTATTGTTATACCATTTTAATTTATTAAAGTGATTTATTAATTTTATTAATCAATTATATAAATATTAATAAATATATTAAATATATTAAGAAATAAAATAATAAATAATAAATAAATATAATTAAAAAATGATTATAACGTTTACTAAATATTAATTTTTTTTAAAATAAATAAATATATAAATAAATATTTATAAATAATATTTTTTATATTAATAATAAAATAATTAAATATAATTTATTCTAATAATTTAATTATTAAAAAAATGAAAGAATTTAAAAATGTAATGATATTTATATATATTATTATGTATATAATCAAAGTTTATAAAAGTTTAATATTTATATATGGTTTTATTAATATAATAAAATTTAAATTAATTATTATAATTTTATTATTATTATATATATTTTTTATAAAGTAAGTATATTTTATTTTATATGTTTTTTTTAAATATATTATAAAATTATTTTTTTAATTTTTTTAATTTAATAATTTTATAAATTTATAATATTTTTTTTATTTAAAAGTTTAATAAATTTATTGGTTAGATTTTTTTATTAATGTATTATATTATAATCTAATTGGTTTTTATCTTTTAATTTTTATAATAATAATATTTTTATATATATTATTTTTAACAATTTATTATTAATTTTTTTAATTCATTATTTAATGAAATACGAATGTATGTTATGTTAACGGTAATGGTGGTAAATATAATATATTTAATTTTTTTAACCTTTTAATAATAATAATATATAATTTAAATAATTATTTGTTAAAATAATATTTTTTACGTTTAAAATTTTAAAAAGTATTATGGAAAATTAATAAATAATAAATTGATAAATTATAAAAATTTAATAAATTAATAAAAATTTAAATATTTTTAACAGATTTTATTGTGTAAATTTTCAAATATGTAAAACTGTTTACGCAAGTTTATAAATGTATTATTTTAGTATGTTAAAATTAAAATTCGAGGAGCAGTAAGCTTTTGTTTATTTTTGCCTCCCGCCACAAACGTTATAAAACCTTTAATTTATATATTTATATTTATAAAACGTGGGGGAGGCATTTTTTAAACTTTAATTTTAACTATTATTAAATATTTTAACTATAATTAATATATATTTAAATTTTTAATTAAATTTTTAATTAAATTTTTAATAAAATTATATTAATAATAATATAATAAATAATAATAATATTTAAAATCTTTTTTATTTTAATTATTTAAAATTAAATTTTTATTTTTATTACTTTTTTATTTTTTTTATATATTTATAAAATATTACGTTATAATATTATAAGTTGTAACATTTAAAAATATATAATAGTTTTAAAATATTATATTTATACGTTTATATTTATAATTATGTTTAAAATATATTTTTTTTAATTATTTAAAATTAATCTTTTATTTTTGTTATTTTTTTATTTTTTTTTGTATATTTATAAAATATTACGTTATAATATTATAGGTTTTAACGTTTAAAAATATGTAATAATTTTAAAATGTTATACCTATACATTTACACTTATAACCACTTATAATTACCTATAATTACGTTTAAAATATCTTTTATTTTAATTATTTAAAATTAATTTTTTACTTTTATTACCTTTTTATTTTTTTTATATGTTTATATAATATTACGTTATAATATTATAAATTTTAACGTTTAAATAAATTTAAAATGTTATATTTAAATGTTTATATTTACGCGTTTATATTTATAACCATATTTAAAATATTTTTTATTTTTTAATTTAAAATTATTTATTTAATTATTTAAAATTTTTAACCTTTTTTATATATTTATATAACATTATATTATAATGTTATAAGTTTTAACATTTATTACGGTTATTATGTTATAATTAATATTATAATTAATCTCGATTTAAAATGTGTATATTTTATATATAATAATTTATTTAAATAATTAAATTAATATTTATTTTTTATATAAAGATTTTATTTATTATAAAAATGTATTAAAATTAATATTTTCAATTAATTTAATTATTAAAATTTAAGAAAACGCATGTATTTGCAAGTTTGCGCAATTGTTTTCACGTGTTTATAAATTTATATGGTAGAATCTATTAAAAATATTTTTTAATAAATTTTAATTAATTATTTTCTTTATTAATTTATCAATTTTTTATCATTTATTAAAGAATTATTTATCAATTATTTATCATTTTTTTATTAATTCTTTATAATAATTTTTAAAACTTTAAACGTAAAAAATGTTTCCGACGGATTATTATTATTATTATATGGTTATTTAAAAGGAAAATATTTAATAATATTTTAAACTAAAAATCAGAAAATGTTTTTAAAGGGGTATATTAAAGTGTAATTAATTGAAAAATTGTATGGTTAAAAAAGTATATTTTTTTAAACCATTTTTAAATTTTTAATTTAAGTTAATTAAAATAATAAATGTATGCGTTTTTTTTTATTTTAATATAAATGTTTTAATTATAAAAAATATATAATAAGTAATTAACTTTTTAATAATTAAGTTTGAAATGTAATTAACGTTTATTATATTATATAATTTAATTTTATTAAATTTATAATATTATATATATTATTTTATTATAATATGTAAATATTTTACTATTTTTTAATTTTTATTATATATTTTATTATAAAATTATTTATAAATTATATTTAAAATAATATAATAATATTAATATTAAACTTTATTAAATAAATTAAAATAAAATTATATTTATAAATTATATTTATATTTAAAAATTTTAAAAATGAAATTATTTAATAATGCATTATTATTTATATTTAAAACAAATTTATTTATTAATTATTATATTAAAATTTAAAAATAAATTATTATTATATATATATAATTTAATTTTTTAAATGTTAAAAATTAAAATAAAATTAATTATAAATTTATTAAAAATTAAAATTATTATAAAAATTAAATATATATATTATTAATTTTAAAATATTAAAAAAATATTATTATATATAATTGTTAAATAATTTCATATTATAATTATTTATCAAAAACATTTTTTATATTTAAATTTTTAAAAATTATTATAAAAAATTAATAAATAATTAATAAATAATTGATTAATAAAAGATAAAAAATTAATAAAAATTTTTAACAAATTTTACCATATAAACTTATAAACATATAAAAACATTTACGCAAGTTTATAAATGTATTATTTTAGTTAATTTAAATTAAACATTTAAAAATGATTTAAAAAAAAGTATTTTTTTTAACCACATAACTTTTTAATTAATTACACCCCGGCATATTTTTTAAACCGTTTTTTAATTTTTAATTTAAAGTAATTTTAAACATTTTTCCATTATTTAATATAATAATAATTAAATTAATTAAAAATATTAATTTTAAATAAATAAAATTTTTATATAAAAAATAAATATTAATTCGATCATTTAAATAAATTATTATATATAAAATATATATTTTTTAAATCGAAATTAATTATAATATTAATCGTAATACCGGTTATAACGTAATAATTATAATAAACATTAAAACTTATAATATTATAATATAATATTATATAAACATATAAAAAAAACAAAAAAATAACAAAAGTAAAAAATTAACTTTAAATAATTATAATATAAAATATTTTAAACGTTATTATAAATATAAACGTAAAGTTATAAATATAAACGCGTGGGTATAAACGCGTAAATATAACGTTTTAAAATTATTTAAACATTAAAATTTATAATATTATAACGTAATGTTTTATAAATATATAAAAAAAATAAATAAAAAATTAACTTTAAACAATTAAAATAAAAAATATTTTAAACGTTATTATTATTTATTATATTATTATTAATATAATTTTATTAAAACTTTAAAATATATATTAAATATAATTAAAATGTTAAATAACATTTAAAATTAAAATTCGAAAAACGTTTTTTTTATAATTTATAAATATAAACATATAAACCATGAATTTTATGGCGTTTATAACGTTAACAAAAAAAGCAAAAATAAATAAAACTTGTTATTTTTTAAATCTTTAATTTTAACATATTAAAATAATAAATGCATGCGTTTTTTAAAATTTTAATATATTATATTATTATTAATAAAAATGTATAATTTAATTTTAAAAATAATTAAAATATTTTAAATTAAATTTAATTAAATATTATGTTATATTTTATAAATACATTAATATAAACTATAATAACGTAATTTAAAACGTAACGTATTTAATTAAATTTAATTTAAATTAATTAAAATAAATCAATAAATTTTTAATAATAAAATAAAAATATAATAATAATAATAATAATAATTAAATTAAAAATTTAAATATATACCGGTTTATTTTAAAATATATATAATTAATTAAAATTAAAATTTAAGAAATATCTTTTTTACGACTTATAAATATAAAAATATAAATTAAAGGTTTTATGGCGTTTGTGGCACTAACGGGGGAGGCGGAGGCGGGTAAAGCCCGCCGCTCCTCGAATTTTTAATTTTAACATATTAAGATAACATTGTTTTAACTTTTATCAATTTTTATATCTATTTACCTTTTCATCCTTTTTAACATGTTGTTTTATTTTGTTACTTTTCTCGCTTTTGTCACCCAAACATTAGCTTCCAACTCTACGGGACCTTTTGCCCTTCACATTACAAGCCAGTCGAACTCATCAATTAATGGTATTGCTGTTTTCCCTTTCCTCTTTCTCTTGCTATCATGTCAAGTTCGCTAAATTATATCACAGGATATGCTGCAGCGTGTCATGCTGGCGCGGCCATAGAAGGCCTTTGTTATTCATCTGGTGGTGGTGGGAGTGTGACTGAATTCTATTTCAATTACACTTCCTTCAACTCGGATACGGGAGTCCCCTCGCAACCCGGCTGGATCACGTACTTGTTGAAAGCCGGTAGTAATAACGGTACTATTACTGTGCCCTCCTCATTACGTCTTGAACCGAGCTTTGGAAGCAACGTTTACACAGCTCTTATCTATCCTGGCGTTGAGGATGGTACCTCTGTTTACTTCCACCCGAATAACGGCACATTGTACATGAACGGGGGCTACGACGATTCAAGCTTCAACGCAACATATCCTATCCCGCCTCCATCCCTAGGCAATCTCACCAACTTCCACTTATGCTACCAATTCACCGGTGGTTACTACTACCGGTCAATTGCCTGGGTATCTACACAGCCGCCACATAATCCGTCATGTGAACCTGTCAACCTGAGTATAGAAAACCTTTCCTAGGAGGTTTGAGAGCCGAAGTATTTAAGAGCCGAAGTAAGGATCGAAATCTGAGAGGCGGGGGGCTGCGGGGAAAGTTTTGATGTTTACTTTCCTTATTCGAATCTCTAAGAATTTACGTAGTAATATGACGTCTCATGCTCAAGGGTCAATAAGATCTGGATCCAGTCCTTAAGTCAAGCATCGTTTATAATATCAAGCCACATTGTGGCTGAAATATTTCACAATATCTATGGATAACTAGGTAACCGTACTAACTGTATATTATATGCACTGTACCGTTTGAGGATGTTGATATGCTAATTACCACTTATTTACAGAGCTATGACGTTAATTGCAAGCATGATCATCCAGAGACGCACAGAGCGCGTCGCGTTTATTAGCTAGTAATTATGCGGTGTAGAATTTGACTTTTATATATCATTTCATACCTTATAACTAATGCCAAAATATTTTCAGTTCTGTTAAAGTTTTATATTATTCTCGATACGATGCCTCCTAAACGCCCTGCAGCTAGCGCTAGCACTTCTAGGAAGAAAGCTAAGACATCGAGTGATGAACCGTCGAAAAGCAAGCGATGGTCCGCCGTGTCTGGCTCGGCTAATGCTGATGCTGACTACAAAACGATATGGGAGAAACCCGACAAATGGTATTCGTTTGTAACTATCTGCCCGCCAATACCGGACGATGACGATGACGATGACGAGGAAGAGGAAGAGGAACAAGAGGAACAAGAGAAAGAGGACGATGAGAAAGACCCCGAAGATGAAAGCAGGGATGGACCCAGATGTGCTCGAAAACGTTGTATATGCTCCAGACCAGCTGGGGAGAATCCAGATCACCCGTGGGTTGTGAGTCGGGCTGGCTACCGGAAATATTCTACTCAGCAGATACATTTCTCATTGCGTAACCCTGATTACTTCGATATGTACACCTACAATGATCACGTTGGTTACGGATGCGTTCAGATTGTGCAGAACTTGGTGTTAGATTATGTTGAGGCAGTAGAGCGTGGCTGGAGAGAACAATGGGCCGTTTGTGAAGGTCTCGGACTTTGGTTGCTGAGCTCAGCTAGCGATAGCATGATGATGTAAAACCTCGCCAACTTCTATCACCGTTTTATTAATTCCCTGCTAACATTTTTTTTTTCATATCGTTAGGATTGACGATGGCGAATGTGTCGATCAAACTATGCGTCTCATCGGCCGTATGTTCTTAGATATGCTGGCGCAACTCGATAGCCTGAATCTGGTTGGCGACGCTACCGACGTTAAGAGCTTGGGCACCATCATGGCTATATATTTGAAAATTGCTTCAGGGGTGCGCTCAATTGGTGGTATCCTCGAGGAAGACGACGATGATAAGGGAGGTCGCAAATCGAAATTTCAGGCCAACCGCTTCGATGATGCCATTCTTTCATACGCCAATCAGCGCGGTGTTACATTACAGGGTCCTGAAGATATCGACGAGATCACTGCAAATCTCGAGGGAGAGGTAGAGTTACCTAAGAAAAACGCAAAGGATCCATGGGGCTTTAAAGCCGCATTAAAGATATATGTAAAGAATAACGGCAAAGGAAAGCCCCACGCTATCGGTGGCGATGATCTAGATATCACAACAGTATGTTACCCCTCGGAGTCTTTGTTCTCTCCCATGCTTAAAGTAACTGCTAACACTCATCAAAGTGGACTAGCTCTCAGCGGAAGGAGGCAAATTTCGACCATAAGGACCCATTAGGTAAGCGAGAGATTGATGCGATCAAAAAGGGGATGGTGATGCAACTTGGGTGATCTTGTCATATCCCTGATTGGAGTCTCTATTCTGCTATTGTGAAATTGAGGAATTTGTGAAATATATGGGCTGGTAATCCGTTACAGATGTTGCTATAAATTAGTTTGGGCTACCTTGTGTCTATGGGAGCAATGTAGTATTTGTTTTAAGTTAGGGTTAAGCTAATCATACCATATCAAACATACATGCATGGCATAGCCTTTGTAAGATGGTGGCAAGGGGGATATCCCTGATGCAGGACTATGTTTGATGTTGTGATGCTCTACGTTTCTATTAACAGCCTGACGAGCATTACATGCTTATAATTATTTTGTAAAACAAACCTAGTAGCGAGATCAACGATCCTACGTTTTGTTCTAGTCACGTAGTCTATATTATACTTGAATGTTTAGTTTCTTGTCTAATCGCCTAAGTCCATTACATTCATATAGGTTCAAGGTTGAACTCGTACTTGTCTAATTGGCTGATCGGCGGTTGCGGCCGATCAAGCTAAATTAAATTTCGATTGTTTGATCAGGGAGAGGTCTTTTTGAGGGCCGACCAATAGAATATTATGCATCCCGAATCTCTTTGTTGCACGGAAGGAAGGTAGGGGTTGCTATTGGGGTTGCACCACCAACCCGCTTCGGCACTTGTCCGAACCTTCCCTGTCTTCTCAAGCTCCGTTAAGCCGGCGCAACTCTACAAGTAGCTGCAAGTAGCTACAATTTGTACGCGTATGCGCACGTCGGAACCGAAAATGTCATATAGTAAAAATGTCGGAAATGCACCGATATCTAAGATATAGATTGTAGTAAACCCCCTGCCGCAGTAGTCCATCATAATCATACTTACCCTATGAGCTGATCCATGGTAAACGGAACAAAGAACTGTGACTTTTGAGCTACGAACCTTATCCAGAGGCCTAATTGTAGATATGCGGTCCCTTGTTAGATGTGAATATAAACTAGAGGATTTCGTACATTACCATTGTAGGAGCTCAGGATCATTATCCATGTTGGTACAACGCTCTCCTCATACACCATCACGCAGCTGTGTTCATGATACTCTAACTTGGAGGAAGCATGGTTTCCAAATCCGAATTCTCGCTTGTGTAAATATTAACACCGACGGATCTTTTAAATTAACCATCAGTATCCTTAAGAAGTCCTCTATACGGTCGGGGGACAGAATCAGGTCAGCCTTTTACACTAGATGGCAAAGACCGAACTCGCCTCACTGAACAGCACATTCACACCTGGTGCCGGCCACTGGGTGGACGCCGTCATATGGGCACTTATTAGCTTTTCTACCGTCTTCTTGGGACTTCGAGTATTCTACAAATCTAAGCAAGGCCGAGGACTCTGGTGGGACGACTGGGTTTTGTTAGCATCATGGGTTAGTAGTTGCACTCGTTAATACACAAGGTATATATCGGCTCACTCATCATTACGATCACTCTAGCTCGTACTTATTGCCTCGGGAGCACTTATCAGCCTCTGTGTATCGGCAGTTTTCATTAAACACGACCAAGACAACGGAATGGGTGCCCATGATGTCGGCCTCCTAAGTACGATTGTAAGCGATCTACTCTTTTGCTTCATCTCATTTCTTTTGACTTCATCTTGTACAGCCAGCCGTAAATCTACACTCTGAAGTTTCTATTACTATATATGACTAAGTGTTGACACAAACGGCAACAGGCGGGGACCTTATTCTTTGTTTCGTCAATATGGAGTAAGACCTCATTTGCTATAACTCTAACTAGGATCGCGGGTCCTCGGTTAAAGATCGCACTTCGCATAATTATGATCTCTATGAACACAATTACCTGTATCAGCTTGATACTACGATGGGTACAATGCCGGCCAGCGAGTATGATCTGGGACTCCCACGCCACCGGAGTTTGTTGGAACAGGAATCTTATCCTTGCGTTCACCATTTTTGCTGCTGGTGTGTATATGGTATTCGTCTGGTAACGAATAATTATTGATCAGTGCCAGCATACTCCGCATTCATGGACTTCGTCCTAGCTGCTCTACCATGGCCCATTATACTAAAATTGCAGATACGGACCAGCGAGAAAGTAGGTGTTTCTATTGCTATGAGCATGGGTCTTTGGTAAGTTGGATGCTTCTGGTGAAAACAACACTCTTACTTGTTCATTTTCTTATACAGCAGCATAGCGCAGGTATAACATCAATTGTCAAATGTACAAAATTTAGCATTCTCCGGAGTGATGACTATGGCGGTAAGTAAAAGCGTTCAATATCAGTAAGCAGAATTGTTCTAACATAGATGATACGTGTAGATAACGTCTTTGAACTCGCAATATGGTCCGTAGCGGAAATCGCCACTACAATAATGGCGGCGTCGATCCCTGTACTTCGTTGTGCACTGATGCGCGAGACAGCGGGTTCTGTTCACTTGAGTTATCCTATTACATTTATCAGAGACCGTTCCCGAAAGGTAGTAAGTAGGGTACGAAGCAACCATATCTCGTTATCCGCACCAAGACGCTCTAAAATGGTAAAATCGCCTGACGGTGTTATGTGTGAGGACAGAGCCGCCTTTAGTGGGAATACTTATGATGACCAGATTTTCAAGATAGAGGAGGTCCATATCCAATTTAGTAGTGGAGGGGTTAGAGATAGCATTGACCTTGAGCTAGAAAGAATCCCACGGTCGTATTCGCCGTGGGTATAACATGGAATTCATATGGGTAGCTAATTGTAAAGATTCTATAAGTAGAGCCTCTAGTCAATATGCTCTCCAGTATTAGAGTTAATACTTACCTTTCGAAGGAGAACACATAGAGGTCGCTTTTGAGAGGTTCATTTTACATGTAGACTTTCCCAGGTAAATATAGAAAGCAGCACTCTAAATAGGAATCCATATACATGAGCGTAACCTATCATGTAGTCTATGAAATCACATGGTTCTATTTGTAGATTTTTATGAAGTTGATTATGAATAGGGTTAATTAAAGGACCGGAAAGCTGATGAGGGGTCACTGTGAAGAACCAACACTCTTACGCATCATGTCATCTTCTATTAGGTGTAGCGTAAATTACATTGATGTTACTGTAAATTGCTACATAGTTAATATTACTTAGGTTAGGTACGTAGGTAAACAGCAAGCTTGTTTGGCGCTAAGATAGACTTTCCATATGAACAATTTATTCGCAATATTTTATCATGGCTCTGTGATTAGATATATCTATTATGTACTCGGGGTCATGACAGCCCATAAGCATGATAAATTTATATGTTGCTGGTTGACATACGATGGTGCTTTAGTTATGTCCCCTAGGTAACCTCCCTCCCCTTGGGTATAACACCCTAGCTATGGCAACTTGAATTCCTGAACGTACATTGTAGGCATGATGGTATAACTAATAGCTAATTATTTGCAGATGGTACGTGAGAAGACCATTGCTCCACGTATGCATGCATAATCGATTGGCACTAAGTCTCCCATGATACAACAGACTGTCAGAGTCGTAGTTGAATGGACAGGGTCGACATGCTTCAACCAAGTGGTGATGGTTGTATAATCTAATAACGACAGGGGTAACGCCGCCCAATGCAGATGAATGGTATCTTAACTCATTATCGCTTGCTGTTCACTACTATACCATAAACGATTCTCCGCAGCCGCATTCCTCCTCTATGCATAGGTTAGCATCTAATCATATCTAATCGTATCTCCCAAGTAATAAGTATAAGTGTTATATGAGAAATACTGACTTATGTTTGGATTCCGGAATATGAACCGTTGGCTCAGCTTATCCTCAATCCAGTCCATTTCGCTTCCTATTATGCTGAATAGTGCCTTGCTATCGATCAAGACCTTTACTCCATCTTGCTCAACTTCCTCGTCAAAGGCTCCAGGCTTGTCCACGTAGTCTAAGTGATATGATAGACCGCTGCATCCCCTATTGCGTACGCCCACCTTGATTAACTTTGGCTCTGGTTGGTCTAGCAAGCCGCGGAGATGTTCTACTGCTGAAGGAGTGAGCTTTAACGCGGCTTTGCGTGGTCTGAGCTTGCGCTTCGGAGGGGCTGGTTTCGGCTTTTGTGCCTCCTGTTCTGTGAAGGCAACATCAGGATGTGTAATTGGCTCTGGCTGAGGTAGTGGTCGTGTCTCGTGGATGTTTGGTATGGGACTGGCGGTGGAGGTATCTGGTATAAGTTCGTTGCGCGGTTGCGATGATCTACCCGGGTTTGTATTTAGGGGGTATGGTTGGTATGATGGCGTTTCTTGGAGCTTTTCTGAAGGCGCATACCACGGTTGATAATTTGAGAACTGTCGCAAAAGGCTTTCGCAAGGGAGTAGTTTCGGGGCTGATGTGGCAATGCGACGACCGGATAAGGCTGTCCAAGTTCGTGATAACGCTATGCGAGGGGAATTCATCATGCTATAATAGACAAAGATAACGTAATGTATAAGGAAAGGAAAGGGAAGATTGCGCCCATAAATTCCTAATGAGACGAAAGTGTAGGTTTGATAAGTGGTTAACTATCACAACCAATGGGAAATTCAACGGGCTTGTAATGTATGTAATGTACGTAATGTATGTAATAAATTAATAAATTGTAAATTGCTTTGAAAGCAGCTTTAGAACCGGATGTCTGATGACATCGGTCGATAAGGTTTGCGACCCGGCTCTGACCGGACCAATCAAGGGTTTTCTATTGGTCAACTACACTAAGTTTACCGGTCTGATGGAATTACTAGCGGAATAAGGCTTTTCCCGGTAGATACTTGCTTAGGTACCACCTACACATATGAACATGTGAATGTTACGTAATCTAGTGGATCTAGGAAGTACATAGGTACTTATTGATAACAAAGGGCTAACAACTACGTACAGTGCAAAACACGGATTTGATTTTACAACTTAACACAGTACAACACAACATCCAGACGAATGGTGTCGCATGTCTCGATTACCATTTCTCTTAATGATTGCGACGCAGCATCTCAAGTTGTCGACTTAAGGATTTAGCATAGTTGCAATTGGCACAAAGAAGACCCTTTTCAGAACCACTCATATAACACGCGACTCACGGCATATCACCTATTTTGCTACTTGCTACTGCGATGATACCACCCATAACCCATATCTATGGTATAATATAAACTGCGTTCATGTGTCGCTTGTTCATGCATCATCATCATCATCATCATCATCATCATCATCGGTCATGGAAGTCTCGCCCTTAACCCAACAGGCTCGACCTGAAACCTTCCAACCGAAAGTTGATCAGCTGTACGAAGCGTTATTCAAGGTTCGAGAGCTTCGGGTTTCCTTTTGATCTTAGGATTGGACAAAAAGCTGACAATGGGAATTCAAGGTATGTCGGCCTGTTCTAGAAACCATCCTGCCCATCTAGTCCTCGCTTAGTCGCTTAGTTGCTTAGTCGCTGACTCTTCTATCGCTTGAGTAGGATGATATCGATACGGACGGAGAAAAAGCCGAGGGTTTCTGGCGAGAGTTCTTCCTCCTGAAGCCCGACCGACCCTTCTTGCAACAAATTCTAGCCGCCCTAGGACCCGACGACTTAATAAACCTTCAGTCGCAAACCCAACAGCTCTTCTTCCGGGCTGTGGAATGCTTGAAAAAAGGAAATGGTGTGGCCGACCTACATGCTCTTGAGGTATATGATAAAGTCGAACTCTGAAATACGGTTCAATGAGCACATCTCTAACTCATTACATACATAGACTTTAACAACCTTCTTCTCTGCCATTCTTCCTAAGAAATATACAAACCCGAGCTCGGATATCATAGCTGTGTTGGCGGGCCTAGACCAGGTTGATGCCGTCTTCACCGATTTTGTAGGGGCTCTGGATGGGGTAATTCGTAATGGCAAATCAAGTAGGCTAATATTCTGCTTCGTGACCTGGGCGAGGAAGATACTGATAATCGCGGGAATATAGTGGAAGTTCGGCAAAAGGCCGTGGATGTTGTCTTATCCATCACCTCGGGTGCATACCAGACAAGTATTCTAACATATTTCATACAGCGGGATCTCTTCCCCGCCATAATGAAGGTTGGCTTCTTTCCCACTATGAGTCGGGACCCGAGACTGACGTAGCCAAGCTCATTCAAGACTCGGAATCTTCCGGAAAGGTCCTGGAGCCATTTACTTTATTAGGCCTATTGGCAAATTACAACAAATTTGAATTTCAGAACCCCTACCAGCTACGACTCAACGATTTCGTTAATGAGGCTGCTATCCGGAAAATCGTTCGATGCGTCGGGCATACTTGCCGGAGTTTAAGAAGTCAATACGTCGATATTCTACAGGATTTACCGGAAGGGTGGTCCATCAGTAATACCCTAACCATGATCGGACTTGGTGCTATTACTCCTGGTGCAAAGGCACATCAGAAACCAACATACGACCCAGAGGTAGCTAAGCAGATGTTCGCAAAATTGTAAGATGGCATCCCATTTACTCCAGGGCCTCGGCTAACCTATCTAGGCCCGGCGAAGATGCTGCTGTGCTACTAGGTGCATATGATTTCAGTCACGCAAATAAGCTATTCTGCTTCACCCTCGTCACATTACCTGCTGAAAAGGGCGAAGAGCAACCTATTTCTAGTTTCCTATCACTAACCTCTTACCTCCTTCAACATGCCTTCCTCTCTACCAGAGCCACAAACTATGCTCATCTCAGTCTAATGGTTTTCCGGCTTCTTATTGAGGACCAGCTGCTATGTAAGCGAATATGTAGCGATGAGAGTAAAGTCGCCGTCAGACTCTGCCGCCAACGGCAACCATTCCTGCCAGCTGTCCGGGGAGAACGCATCTTGGCGACAAGCGTTCTAGACACTATGATAGATGGCATCAACCATAATCTGCGCCGCAGACTCGATGTCAGCCTCTACACTTTGTGTGTTGGTATCATGTTGCGTATCATCTCGTACCTTTCGCGGTCACGGACAAGATTGCAATACCATTGGTCTGAGCTGTTTCGCTCTCTGCTATCTCTTATTCGTTTCCTCACTACTTATTCTTCTGATCTCAAGGGGCTTTCCCATTATGAATCTCTCTTGGATCTGGTCGTGAACCTATTGGCCCTTTCTCTCTCTGCAGGTGAAGCCTTTCTTCCTACGCCTGCTGCCTATGATGACCTGTTCTACAAAGTTGTCGAGAGTGGTGAGATCCTAGTAAAATTCCGCGACACCTACCGCCTAGCAAGCCGACCATCAAATTCAATAGGCACGCTTATTAGCGTGAGTACGCACTACAAAACCATGTTGGACTCTGATAGTTCCAAAAAGAACCTCACTAGTACTGAGGTGGTGGAGGTGATCAAGCAGGGCTACGAGACGTTGAGTATCCAGGCAAGGGAAGGGCTTGATGGCTGGGAGAGGTATCGTGAAGCCGATGAACGGACACTTCTTAAGAAGATGGCACGAGCAACGGTAGCAGACGTTCAGGTTATCGTCCAAGCCTAAGTCATATGGACAGGACGACCCCAGGCTAAGATGTGAATCAGAATGTGCTCATGCAAAAAATAGAAGCGAGGAACCATAAACACTGGTGCTGTGTGTAAGATACTACATGAGTCATAAAGTGCTGTGGTGTTTGCCAGAAAAAGACATAAAAGACCGTGAGAGGAATCCGGCGAATGGGTTTAGTACTGTAGAAGGACCCTGATTTTGTGGGCGATTTATGACTAACAACATTATGCCAAGAATATTGATCAAGTCGTAGGACTTTGTAAGAGCTCCAACCTTAGACGAACGGTGAAACCGTGGGGGTGATAGAATAGGGTAGTATCGCCAAGGTTCCATCACAGTCTGCATGGCGTAACGATGAACTACTAATAATATGAGAAGTTATGTACATATCTGGAATTTAACATGATGATGAGCCAAAATTCTACTACTAGTCGTATAAAGACCGGAGATTTTAGTTTCTATTGATTTGCTAACCCCTTTCGTTGTCTGAACTCTCGTTATGGGTCAACTTTGGAACCGCATATGCTAGTTTTCTACCAATAGCCCTATGCTATCCTATGGGTAAACGTCTACTAGATACCTAATGTAGGTAATTCGATAATTTAGCTAGGTGGGCTGTTTTCGTGCTGATGCTCGAGGTAGGATCGCACATTGTAGGCCTTCCCCTGGCACGTTGTTCTTATTCGCGGACCCAAGCTTCCAGTTTCGTGGATCGCCATACGTTATTGCTACGCTTATTAGTCATATGAGGATGAAGTTCTATAAGCATTAGTACCTATGATACCCGATGGATTCTATAATTAATGTCTACCTATATTCCGCCCTTGGCGACTACCGGCAATGACTACGCCCGAATACTATGGACATTTGGATACCAAACCGCGCCAATTTCAGTGTCCCATGGTGTCCCGTAGTGTCCCGTGGTGTCCCTTCATCGGCGTAAGACTACAAGATCCCCATCGTTATCTGCGAGAATACTACGCTGTATAAATCGGGTGAGTATAGACAGCCGCACGCAACGTGTAACCAAAATTATTTGTTCTTGCTAGCACCGTCTGAAGCACCAAAAACTTCCGCATCCCATCTTCTCATCCTAATCGACCACTCTCCTATCTCTCATACCCCCCCAGCACATAACCTATTAGATGCGAGATACGAGTGCCTTCTCGCTGCTTGGAGAAATTCCTATGTAACCTCTACACTCGACACTGACTAGGTGACGCGATGGCAGTCTAGTGGTTATGAGAACGATGTGATATCATCTATAATGAGCAGTTATTTGTTCGGGTGTATAAAGCTAAAGGATAGTCTATTATAATATATCTTACGGGCTCGCAAACAACTCCTTGGATACATCTAAACTATAGTATATATCTAGTATAAGCATCTTCTCAGGTATGTGCAAGTGTTTACTATTTATACCCGAGACCTGTTCTAAAATCCTTCGCTAGACATCATCATGTGCGACTGGGAACGAACGCTTTGCTCCAACTGCAACCGTGTAATCCAGGACAAATGCATCGCCCCCTGCCTGGACGATTACCACGCAGTATACACCGATGGAGCAAATGTGCAAATTGTTTATAGAAAATGCGGGCCTTGCAGCAGACCTACACCTCCGCCGTGATATCATATTGACGAACTCGCACGATAAGGTCAGATGATCCCTTTGGAGTACGAAGGCGGACGAAGCAGCGTAACTACCAGCAGCAACCAATATCCCGACTTTCATCCGGAACACAGCCAATTCTTTTGCGAGAATTGTGCTTCGTCGTGGTTGGGGTAGATATGTAGGGAGTAGTTAGTGGTCAGCCAGCATATTGGGTGCTTACTTTTGTGTGGTTGCTGCTAACTGGGGTGCTATTTCTAATGGTCAACATGCCTATCGGGTTAACTTTCCTTTGTAATTATTTACTAGTTAGTTTAGAGTATACGGTCTCGTTATTCTATCCTCGGTGCGTATAGCTATATTCGACTAGTTACTCTACTCTACCTAACTTAGGTACAACGGGCGAGTTACATATGTACTATAAGTTGGGCAGAGGATTGGTGTACTTTTACAGGGGCCCAGAGCTTTAAATACTTATCTCGTAAGATGCGGTCAGAGCCTTGAGGTCAGTCTCGGCTGCTTCTATTAGGGATTACTCTGATCCCACCCAATAACCGTCTTTAAGATGTTAGGCTACCTATGTTCTTTGTTCCTTTTTGATATGTGATCTATTGTTTTTCTACCCTTGATTTCCCAGCACACCGCCTGGATTTATAACATGATATATATCACCCCTTAATGAAAAGTAAACATATCTCTAGTTAACGTTGCGGGGGCGAATACCACCTCTCAAGTTGCGTAACGTATCCACCACGTAAGTTATTGTAGATCATCAGCAACCAGTTAGCCATATCTGTCAGCCTGATTAGTAAGTTTTAAGAAACTGACAACGTTAAAATTAGGTACTTTAAGAATTTATCATATACAGATGGTGGTACATGTATGGATGTCTAATAAAGAAGACGATCATACCACAACACCTACTTTTAAAGTAGATTAGTGAGGAACAATATTTCCACACGTTTGACTTCTCGTATCATAATATCTACTGAGGTAGTATTACGGATTATTCAGACGATTTCCAAATTGCTGCTACTTGTAGTACAAGACCGATCATCAACAGTACCAGCTCATGCCTCACGCATAGAACTTCCTAGGCCAGATATTCATTGCCGTCTTCAAGCCCTCTACTACTGGGAGGCCCGCGTGGACAGTTCGTTCATCTCCTGTGCCATTTTGAAACAAATTAACCCAGAATAGCGCGTTTCCAGCTACAGGTTTGAAAGCTAAGCCACCATCCTCATGGTTCCTCCAAAGCCTCTGGCCATTCTCATTTGCCTTTGATAACGCAGTTGTATTCACAAAAGGGAACCACGTCTCACCACCCGTGCACTGATCCTCTAGAATAGCAAAGAAGCTGGCGATGCGATTCCAGCTTTTTCCCCGCCCCAGCATACCCCGCCGTGTTGGCTGCGGCCGATCGTACCAGTCGTGGTGTCTGTTGAAGCGCTGGCCTGCAGTGTAGCGTACGAGTTGTGGCGGGCCAATGTCATCTCGAGAAGGGTCTAACATCGTACCGAGGAAAGCTTCGGCACGAGCTAGTACACACTGTACTGCAGGGTTGTCGCGTGGTAGACCAGCAGACGATGATGTCCGATCTTGTGTACCCTGATTATGACCACTTTTATAGACCCGAGAGGGAGAGAACGCAGAGTACCCGGCTTCGAGCAGAGCCTTTATCTCGGTCGGCGCAAGGAAAGAATCAATGTAAATAACAAGGGGGTCGAGAGAGATGATTTCGGTCGTGTAATGATGGGGAAGACAACTGAAGGATGATGCAACTGGTTCAATGTCTTGACTAAACATATTAGAAGCCAAGGAGGAGAGTGAGGCTAGATACGGATATATCGAAATGACAGATGGGGATGCAATTTGATAGATGAGCGGTGTTAATAGGGCGACTATGGCGACAGCCAATGCCAGAATACCTGAAGGTCGAGATGTCGGGGTCATGATGGTTTACAACTAACGTAATATATTTTCAAAGTAGTCGACGCTACAATAGTGCAACTTACAACGATGAAGCTGTCAAACATAATTGTAAGTCAAATGCGAGCTAGAAAAAGCTGACGACTCTCTGAGGCACTGTAAGAGGTAGGTTTCTACAACATATGATCCCCTTGACGTACTCGGAGTGCCTTGTTCCGATATAATCCTCTACACAGCTATTGAAGCTAACCATTGCCGGTGGCATGAGTGGTGACACCGCATGCAGGCTGAAAAGCCTGGATTCTCCGAAATGGAAGAGAGCGACCCATTGGAGAACTAAGTACAAAATTGGTTACCCAATGTGACGTATCAACCCATGCCCATGCCCGGATGGAACATTTATGAACATCAACCTACCTATGAGAATTAATAATTGACACTAATTATCAAGGGTGTGCCAACCATGAGAACCAAATTCATACTATTAACGGTATATGTGACCAAGTATAAATAATAATGTTAATACTATCCCGTACTCGACGCAGTGAAGATTTTCTGGAAAAGGACTTATATAAAACTTGCCATCGGATCATTAAAACTTATAGAGAGAAATTTCATATAGCAAGGTTATTATGAATTTATTGATTCCCATCTACCTACATAGTATATAGGTACCTATTATTAACCCCAGCATGATAAAATTATAGAATTATTTTATAACTATTGGTCAATTTCGACAGGTTAATAGGGCTTTACGAATACTATTATTAGGTTGCAATACAATTATAACATGTACATAGAGCTTAAAATATAGCTATAAGGAAATAACACTTTGGTCGAAACTTCACCTGGGGCGTACTATGCATACAACATAATATAATCGTCGCTATCAAACAATGCGAATTAGGAAATAAAGACCAAAAAAAAAAAAAAAAAAAAAAAAAGGAGCCAAGCAAAATATTAACAACCATATCTCTCGATCGGGGAATTGAACCCCGGCCACCTGCGTATTTAATCATACAGACTGATCAGAATGACAAGCAGGTATCCTAACCACTAGACGAATCGAGATCTTTTTAACATTGCAAATGGTGCAGACGCTAATTGGCTTTAGTGGAGATGGTGTACCGTTTTTATTATTCAATTATATAAAAATCCGAATCTGAAATTAAAAACTCGATGGGCCATGGAGCATTATTCTACTAGATTTATCTAAGATGCTCATCATGATTGTCTTCTACACAAGCGTATAGGTATAGGAAAGATTACGTTTTACATTCCCAGAACCGATCTCTTCCCCTCCTAAACCCCTTTATTCTTATCACTAACATCATTTCTGACATTGATAGATTCTTCACAAGAGACCAGAATATCATATAACACGAAGCCTTTCTGCGTGAAGTACGTTTAAAATATTATTGTCTAACTATCACTTCTAGGTCACCTTCTTACGAATTGCTGGGTACAACAGTACAACAGATATTACGAGACTTTTCCATCACGTTCCGCTATCATCAAGCAGTACTTGATTTATGCATCTACACATTAGTATCAAAGAAAAGGGGCACAACTTTTGATGCGCCAAGGATTGTGCTCAAAATAAGAATTGTCATACCAAGCACAGCTCCACATTATATTAAATATTACATGGAGGCATCCTAGGTGTCCTGGGCGTCCTATTAAGATCTAGGCGCATGCGGGTTGCTAATTTCGTAAATATCGTAAATAGATCATACTATCACCTACAACGACAAAACTCCCAGAATGTCGGGGTGTGAGATGGACCCTCAGCTACTTCTCCTACGTCGGCAGTATATGCAACTATTTGAGCCCGACTTTCTCGCTTGGCCGCCAGCTAAGTTCCTTAAGAATGACGATGTACAAAAATGGCTATATAAACACCTATTTGATGAAAACGGAAATTCAAGGTTGCCGCCTGAGAGCTATCAAGTGCGGGTTTTGAAGCAACTTATCACAAAGGTTAAGAAAGTGATACCCAGTTCAGAGCAAGATGTAAGTTTCTTGTTCTAGTCATTTAGTCTCCCCGAAATTCCTCAGACACATAATTAACTCTATTAGGAGGTCTCTAAAGAGCTTACGACTTGTTTTGAATTCTTCATGGCCAGAGGAACTTCACCAGAATTCCAGGCTGCTCAGGGAGAGGCATATGTGACATTCACCTGCCTACCAGAGAAGTATAACCCAGATGATAACCATGACTACCATGACTACCATTACCAACCAGAACCTACAATTACACTACTCGAACGGCGACACTTGGTATCAGGTTCGCAAATAACGGGTTTCCGGACCTGGGAAGGATCTCTTCATCTTGGTTCGTACTTTCTAACTGATTATGGGTCGCGCATTGTCCGTGGAAAGAATATTTTGGAGCTGGGTGCTGGAGCCGGGTTTCTCAGTATCCTCTTAGCTAAGCATTTGCATGCAAGTCACGTTGCTATCACAGACGGCGATGAAGGAGTCGTTGAAGCTATGAAGGGAAACCTCGCACTGAATGGTCTTGATGACAAAGAGAAAGTCCGAACGGGAACTTTGACATGGGGCCGCAACCTATGGGAGACGTGGATCAAGAACGATTGTGACGCTAACCCATATGACATCGTAATTGGTGCCGATATTGTAAGATCGTATTTAGTTTTAATCCAATATAGATATGGAATGCTAATATACTGTACAGACGTATGACGAGGTGGCAATATCAGCGCTAGTATCGACATTGCATCAACTCATTGATAGGAGCCCGAAGCTTAGAGTTATTATAGCCAGTGTCGTCCGGAATGCTGAAATCTTTCAACAATTTAGAGACGAATGTGGTATGTGTTTGTATATTCTTCTGTGTAAATATGGATTTGGTGACACTGACGGAGCACTCTACTACTCATAGTTCAGCACCGCTTCGCTGTGGAAGAGATCAAGTTCGAACCTAAGCCGATGCGTCAACAAAAATCACTCTTCTATGCGGCTGCCATGCCTATCAAAATACTATCCATTCTTGGACCTAGTTGAGTTGCTCGAATCCATATAAGCCCGGGGTTGCTGGAGTCAGTTTAAGACAAGGGATCTGAACTGGTAAACATCATTAGGGCAGTGTATATAGGGCAAAGTAAGAGACGCCGTTTCCTATGACCTAAGACTTTAGAAAGTCTTCACTCTCGTGTATTAGCTATTCGTCATAACTAAGCTAGAATAGCATACACCAATACCGAAGTGACCGACCAGAACCCAAAGCTCCGTATATCAATACTGCCTCGAGCGATACTAGCTGCGGTACTACTTCCAGTCGCCGAAGAACCTCCTCCAGTGTTCGTCGCAGATGGGGAGGGCGTAGCCGACGAAGAAGAATTACCTTGGCTATTTCCATCATCATCCTCGTCGCCGAAAAACTCGGGAAATAGCTGAGTCGAGTTTTTATCTTTGATGATGCCTTTTATGATGACAGCTGTACCGTTCAGCACACTCTCGATTTGTTCCTCGGTACATGTGGACGTGTCGTATATAAAACAGAAGTGTAAATGGTCTGGGGGGTCCTCATTCTTAATTGCCCAAGTATCATCTGGTCCCTCAGTGGCATATTCAACAGCTTCAACGAGATCAACTGTGCCAGTCGCGATGTCCTTGTTAAATAGGGCACGATAGAACATTTTGTATGCCGTCTCAGGTTGGTACGCTGGAACCTCGTGGCCTGCTTCGTACACGCGCGAGAAGGAGAAGTTACCGTATTGCCGGACTTGTCCTCCAATGTATGTATCGTTGATTACGATATCTGTGTATCCTGCATCATGGAACTTCTCGGTATTCGTGTAGTTCACAGCCAGACTGACGGCTTCGCCGCCGATCCAATTGCACGCGAAGTCCCTATCACCATACATCAGATGCACTTTGATCCCATTTTCGAGTAGGAAAGAAAGGTCTTCAATCCATCCCGGCCGGGGATAGTCACCAATTGCCCTGAAAGCGTAAGCGACGGCGCTTGAGGACTGGGTAAAATTGAGGGGAATTCCGAGCGCTTTTTGAACATAAGGTTGGTTGAGGTAGAGATTATAGAACGGAGCTGGGAATGGGTTAGGATTAATTGAGGCATAATCGTAGTAGTTACGTCCCGAGTAGTCGAGGTAAGGATCGCGGACGTATCCGGAGCAAAATGTTTCGGCGTCTGAACACACCTTGTTAACGGTAGTGTTAATCCCGATATTGTCGGGATCGTATTCAAGCGCCAGAGCTCTGCAGTCGTTGATCTGGTCGCGGCAGCCGCCGGGTTTATCGAGAGCGTCTACCATTTGCAGATAAATAGTCTCATTGACGGTCTCGAGGCCGTAGGTATTGTTAAACGCGATGTGCGGATATGCGGGCCATTGTATTTGGCGATCGATGCACGAGTTAATAAGTATGAGTGTGTCGAGGTTAATGATGTAGTTCTCGCCATCCTCATCATTCCACGTGCCATTCTCAATCTTCTGATTCTGCTCCTCAAAGAAGGCAGCGAACTCTGGGCCATACCGACCACCGTAGGATTCGGTAGCAATACTCACCCTTGAGTCGTTCGGATGATATCCTGGAAACTCTTGGAACCAGGTCTGAGCGAAGTGCCAGAAAGCAATGGCGGCGTTACGAGTGCCCTTGGCGGTTTGATTTCGGCTTAGACTTGGGTACGTGCCGACTAGGAGAGTAGCATTCTGCTCGGGAATTGTATCAGTCTCATTAATCTTAAGAGTCTGTCCAGTGACCAGGTTCTCGGTGATATTTTGCAATGTGTCATATGACAAGCCCACCTGAGTCGGCTGGTCAATGAATAGCATATTCACTTTAACGTATTAGCCTTTGCATTCACACCATTGAATGATATGAGGGGAAGGTTGGCTTATTAGGCTCACCGTCGGTATTCCATGCCCACTCGCTCAAAGTAGTCGAGTTAGAGTCGGAATTGACATAGCAAGGCCCATTCTCGGTAAAGAGCCCGTATAACGAGCTGGACCCAGGACCACCGTTAAGCCATATGGACAGCGGCGCATTCTCGGGATCATTTCGTGCTTCGAAGAACCAGAAAAATGTGTTGATAGGGTATTCCTGTTCCTCTCCAAGGTCTGCCAGCGTACCTGGCGGAAGATAAATGTATCCAGCATAGGATTTTACCCCCGGTGTCGTTTCGCAAATACCAGGCTTTTAAGGAGGTCAGGTTCAAAATTTAAAATTTCAATTATATATAGATCTAGGTACATATACTCACTTCCTTGTAACTAATCGTAACGCCGTCGCCGAATTTAGATTTGAGGACAGTGACGTTTTCGGGAGTTGGTGGAAACTGGGCGCGAGCAAATGGAACCAGCGCCGAGAGGCCAATGGCCATACGAAGGCGTACTGCCAACATGGTGAGCGAGGTCGAAAAAACGTACACTCTTGCAGACGAATCTTAGGGAAACCAAGCGCCATACCTTATCTCTTATATGTTTATATACTCGTTTATGACTTGGCGTGTTCCCCGCATCTCGCCATTGATAAACGATTGCATAGACGATTGCATCGCCTGCAACCCTGTTAGCTGGCTGCATAAATAAGGCTACTTATACGACAAGGTAACGATCTCAGACCGAACGTGGTAGACCCAGCCGTACAGGACTGCATATGAGAGACCCAATGAGGCTGGAGGTTCACCCCAGTGGACGTGCATATTGCACGATTCGACAGTAGCACAATTGGGGAAGGTTACAGTAGAGTGGGATATCAACTTGGATTTTTCACAATAGCTACCCCGCCCGCTAATGGATGGAATCTAGAAGGCTGGCGTTTTGGAGAACCTGGCACTGACTCTTTGAACCCCGCAGATGATAATCTGAATAATATGAGTCTTGACATTAGGCCATGGAGAGCGAAGTAGGGGGCTTCGACCTCGATAGATTAAATATATATAATTGATATGTATCTGGGATCTAAAATGATTTCTCTCATATACTATTAGTTATATCAAATTACATCCAACGAGCAGTGCGTACCATACTGTGGTATCTACATAAACAACGAAACATATGAAGTAATTAAATAAAGTACTATCCAACATGGGTAACCCCTTGAGACACTACCACAATACTATGTAAACCTCTATGATGATTATATATCTATTAAACAGGCCTACACGCCTGTACACGGCGTAGCTATCCAACCATCTCATGATAGACCTCGAAGCATAATATCTTGAATTTAAAGGATGGCTTCTTTTTATCTTCGCTTGCTTTCGTACTTGACCGGGCCTCTCTTAACATCGCCCTGGTCTAGTAAATTGCTTCTTCTCTAACTCGCATCGAGTTCGCTGCTCGTCTCCTCTGCCCAACAAACAGTATGGCTCTCCAAATAACGCCAACCCAATGATACGAGAAACCCGAAAAAACCCCTCTCCTTTTGGATTTCCATGGCTGCTATACCGTGAGCGAATCATATACACATCCGAGATCCTCCTGAACAGGTGATGTTTTTCTATGGTAAACCCAAACCCATCATACTACCTAAGGTACCCAAACAAGTGACCTTCATGCTTCCCGATACTCCCCTGGCTAACAAAACACAACAAATACTCCGCGCTACGCAAGAAAAATATGCATCACTATTTCCCTAATTTTCCCTCTAGATAGCCCAACTGCCTCTCCTAGCCCTGACACCCCAGGCCATCTCACCAGTCCCAGAGTCATTAAGAACGGGGTGCTGGCGTGCCCACTCGCGTATATAAAGCTTCAATGCTATCCACCGAGGTGGCTTCGCTCTCCTGCGAGTTCTTCTCTCGTCCTCCTCAGGCGTACGCAGTGGTGTCTCCTCGCCGCTGTCGGAGTCGGTCATTGAACTACCCTTGGGGACGCTCATCTCCATTTGCAGCATGAAACCTTTCTCGATTTTTATGTGATCATCCTTGCGCAATTCCACGATGTCGATGCCGCTGATCTTACTCAGTTCACCATCAAAGGCACGTGCAGTAGCGGGATATCCGAGACTGAGATAGTTGTAAACCTGCGTAACGAAGGCATCATCAAACTCGGCCGCGATGCGCTCCTCAAATTCCTTGCGTGCCTTCGCCTTTTTTAGCCGTTCATCCAATCCCGAGAGCACATGAAAGCCTCTGCCTGTCGGGGACGTAGCCCCAGGTGACTGTGCACCGCTTATGACACCGCTAATGCTCATAGATGCGGTAAAAGCGGCGGAGAAAGGGTCATGCGGGGAATTTGGCTCTTGCGGTGTCATGAGTAGATGGGGTCCTGGGTGTGTCATCTCTACGGCGTCGTTGGCCTTCGTAGAACAGTAGCCACGCCATAGCCCTGTGGCCCCCGTAGCATCTCGCCGTTCAGGCTTCTCAAGGTTGCAATACTGATGACTGGGCTCCATACGTGTCGACTTTGGGCTAGGACACATGCGGAACTGTAGACCACCACCAAGCATAGGCGGCGAGGCAGCTATGCGCATCTTCCGCATCTGAGGGTCTTCGGGCTCATTATTACGAAAGGCAAAAGGGATACCAAATGGGCTAGCATGAAAGCCAGGTTCTGGTGGGAGGACCACGGGCGAGGATGCGCGAGGATGCGAATCTACCCTGGCTAATAGAGCCGGTGAATGCGCGTTTATGATTGGGCTTGGAGCATCTCTCATATTTTCATCAAGAGATGTTCGGAACGCGGATGTTGTCCATAACGGGTCTGCTGGAGGAGGAGGTATATCAACGTGATCCAGCTCTTCGTCAATATTCATCCTCTCTTGGTTGATTTGAGCTAGCTTTTCGGCATGGGCTCGCATTTCCTTAACGGCCCAGCCCGGGTCCGACTCCTTGCGTCGTAGAAGCTGTGAGGTTCCATGCCTTAATCGTTCATCTAGGGCAAGGGGATCCTCATCCTCGGAATTATCTCTAACGAGGAAATGTTCCACACCCTCGGGTCGTACACCGTTGGGGAATGCAGCCATAGCCGCTTCGAGCTCGCGTTGTCTGTGCGCCTCCCTAGCGGCTACCGCTAATAGATAGCCCGAAAACTCCTCGTCACACGACTCTCTCCTCTCGCGGACATGGTAACGCCTGCTACTCCACGAATCGCTACCAACATCGTCATCATCCTGTTCCGGGTTTCCGTTAGAAAGAGCCGGAACCCCAATATTGATAACTGGTGTATCCTCATCGTCGTCATTCTCCTCAGAAGACTTATCCGACTCGGATGATAATATAGTATCGAGATCGGGAGTATACGATTGTCGCGTGCTTCTTCGAGTATTTGGATGCGGCTTCATAGACTGCTGCCTCCGTGGTGTTAAATAGCCATCACCATCGCCGGTAGCATTCGATATACCTGAAACAGCAGGCCTAGGTGCAGCTTTTCGCTTTGGCTTCGGAGCATAGATATGATTTGTACCAGGAGTGATATCCGTCTTATCTATTGGCTTAGTGGCGGGGCCTGGTTGATCTGCCTTTTTGGATCTTCTTGTCGTCTCAATCAATTGCGGGGCAAACTTTCTCTTGGGTTTCTTTTGCGATTGTTCGGATTGTCTCTGATCTTCTTTGTTTTCCCCTTCTAGGAACGCCGGTGCGTATGGGGATGTTGGCGAAGGGTCCGGTGTTAATTCTGCAGTCGGGCCGACGGGATTTTTCCTAATACTACTGTTGCTCACCCTGTACGAGTCGAATGTCGTCTCAATTGGAACTGGAGCAAAGCGCCGAATGGGTTTGACCGGTGGCGCATCCGGCATTTCAATGTCGCTCACCTGAACTGAAGCGTCCCTCGTAGGTCGTCTAGTCGAGTTAACCGTCGAATCCGGGGGTGTCAATGTTAAAGGCTTTAGAGGAAGGTCTAATCTTTTGTTCGCTGACGACTTTACAGATTCCTCAACAAGCTGGGGGGCAAACCGACGGCGGGGTTTCGCCGTGGATGCGGGTGCGGGCGCGGGCTGACTTGCTATAGGAGGGGCCTCGGAAATTGAAGCATCACGCATCGGTTCGTCTTCGCCGGACGCCATTTCTAAGTTGTCTTCCCGTTGTCGGTGATCACACGAGGCAAATAGCAACTCGGGATAAAGTAACAACGTGTAAAAGAACCCGAGTCGCTGGAAATTATGTGTAGCTATGTGTAGCTAGCGGCGGGTAGTAGTGGTAAGGTAATAGCGAGAGAAATAAAGGAAATGCGGCAAAAATGAATTACATATAATTTCTAACGTCAACGTTGTCGACCGAATAAGGAGAAGAATGAAAAGAGATAAATAATAACAGGTAGGAATAATAGTTGGATCCGACCCGGAACCCAGAATCTGGTGAATCAGGTATTATTAACCCCAGCTCGTTTCTAACCCCGTGACAAAAAGATGCCATGGACCCAAGTCGACGCAAGGCCATAAACGACGCACCGCTAGTTTGCATTGAAGACTCCGCGGCCTCCTCCGGGCAGTGGGGGAAGTGGATCGTGAGTGGAGCTATGGAGTTACCAAAAAAATAGAAAGGAGAGGCCGGGAGTGGGTGGGAGAGTAATGGGGAGTGGTAGTGGTAGGAATGGGCAGGAATACCTGGAATGGTAATCATCTTAGTGGCTTTCGTGTTTGCAAACATGCATTTTCATGGTCAATGAAAAGATAGCGGTTTTTTTTTAGTGGTGGTCTTTTTTAGTGGTGGGTAGTGTCGGCATCGACCTAGAACGTTCTGAATTGGCCATTGGGGCTGAGTGGCTAAGAGAAGGTAACATGTATACGGTACTTATAAATGCAGTTACAAATGTTATGTCGTAATGTGAGCACTACCTACATGGCGTATAGAAGGAAATGTATATATACATGCATTAGGTATATATACATGGTATGTATGTAATGGTCCGGCTTCGCAAATTGGCAAATTGGCAAGCTTGGACGAGATTTGGGCGGTAGTAAAGAACCTTGGAACCTTCCATTGTCTCTGAAAAAGGTAGTATTATTGCATAATAACTTTAGAAGCTTCATATATACATGCAGCTAGTTATGTACGTAGTTTAGAGCTTCCCATATTCCCATATTTCTGTATTTTTATCTTCATCTTCATCCTCACGCACGCAAGGGACTGGGGGTAATCAAGTCATTTTAGGCTCCGACTCAATTAATAAAGTAAGGTCAATTATACAATACACGTACCTTATCAGCTACATGTATGTATAATACTGGAAGAACCAGGCCTCGTACGTCTGCAGGACTTCGTGCAGCCCCTCTACACCATCCCCTTTATTGACCGACAATCCGAAGGTAAGTTGGGGATGCTGCTTCTCTCTAAAAAGGAGCAGAGGAGCTGTTGAGTATCTCCCGAATGGTCTTATCTCTTAACCCCGAGCGCATGAAGTCTTGTCTACATAGTATTCTCATAGTATTCTGGTTAGTATTCGGTACGTTTCCCCAGATTTTACTATCCGCGCGACGGGGTACATAGGTAGATAATGGGTATGGGATATGTAGTGTATGTACACTAGGTAATCTAGGTTATAAATTCAACATCAAAAGTCTTGACATCATATATAACGTATAATACGTATGCTCAAGGTTCTAGCCTCCAGCCGGCGCCCGAATCTTTGGATTGGATTCGGATTGGATGGGTTAGCCGAATTTAACCCTTTGCTCCGGACGAACGATATAGTAAATCGATAAGAGCTTGGGAGGAATCGGGTGTCTCGCTCAATAGTATCGAATAGTCCAACTGGTCCGTATCCGGCTTTGCATGCACAGCAGCTCACGATACCGGCATCCGCTCAACATGTTTTTACTTACGCATGACCGTCCTCGTGCGGGTCCGGTATTACACATATCAAAATTCGTCTCAACTCCCCCTTTCCATTACTAACTATACAAACAGAGCTACCGGATACAGCTACCTTGTTGGGTTGGACTGAGACCTGCACTCTTCTATACGTGCCTCATACGTGTAGTAATTAAGAGAAATGATTAAACCACTTGTGCGCGTGTTTTGCTGTTTGAAGATCTTTACTACTCTGATTTCAACGGATCTCGTAGTGTTAGCCTAGATTTGGCTGTTCTCCGCCTCTGGCATTTCAACCCAAAAAGGGTTTCTACATACGTACTATATGGCTCGGGTTCTTATTTGACTGTCGGACTGACCTTCTATCGCAGACAATATGAAGCTTGTTCTACGATCTAGCCCTAATAATAAATAGGAGAGGTGCCAAGAATCGCATTTTCATTATTGGCTCCTCTAATAGTCACATTACAGGCTACAGGACGGCCAAGTCTTCGATACTTTCACCGACTGTTCGGGACCGCCTCGTGCAGCTCCGGGGTAACATAGTTCGGCAACCGCATTGGCTAGGGCCGGCGCGCTATCGTGCTCCGTGTTATGGTTACGCAAGGGAGATCTGTGGAGAGAAATGTGCAACGCTAACTCCGCGATTGTTCTTATCCTTTCCTCTCCCCCCCTTCTTTATCTTTCTTTCTTTCTTTCTTTTACTTTTGATAATCAAAGATTTGCTCCTAGGACCCTCGCACTTTGACAGCTAGAGTCTAAGTGTGGGATCCCCAACTATCTATTGATAGTAATCTCTTTTTATAGTTAACTCCGAATACCACTACACCGACATGTTTGGGTGGTTAGGGTATGTTATTACCGCATATATGTGAACGGCCAAGGTATTTTTAGCCGTTCCGTTGATTAGCGAACGAGATTGAATAGTTGGGCACCTACAACCGAACTGGGTACCTAACCTAATAGATGCGGCATTCGGAGTTCCTACACGGTTCGCAAGCTGGAACCTGGGGTTTCCTCTGGATGCACGTGTCCAATGTCACAGGAACAGATGTGATGGTCATAGCTTACCGTCTTACCTTGTTACCTTGTTGGCGGGACGTAGGCATGCGCGAGATGCGGTGCCTAAGATGACGGCTCGTTTGGGGAGATGAGAGTGGAGGAATACGATCTCAATAATAGGGGCTGCTGGATACTTCCAAGTTGCACGATTGGGGGGCTCTAACTGTTGAAAGCCGAAACGAGTCCCCCGTGCGACTTTTTAATTTCACACGCGTACGGCTGTCTTTCATCGACACGGTGTCTCATTGTTGATCTCGATAGTTAAGAGCAGCGGGTTTTCGCGAGCTAAGCGTCTCGGTCCGAAGCTGTTTTCGTTTTCGTTATTATAAAAGTTTATGACGGCTATGCGTTGAAGGCGCTTATTCTTGCAGGATACCTACCTATGTACCTGGGTAGGCAATCTGGCTGATAATCTGGCCGACCTGCATGAGAAGCAGTACGTAGGTAGCTATCACATAAGGCTGGTTAGATGTAACGGCTACTTACATGTATAGATACGCCAAGATATATTTTACATGTAGGCACTTGATGGCTTGTCTTGATAAGGCTGTAATGTAATCTAATGGAGTGGTCTTATATTATTATCTAGCCTGGCTAACGCGGACGAGGCGGCTTTAAAATATCATACGGGAATGAAGGGCGAGTCTGAGGTTTTTGCTTTTGCGTTTCCCGCCGCCACATTCTACTACCGCAAAAGTCAACAAAAAGCTCTGGAACAAGTTCTATTTAGTGGCGTCTCAATATCGTACGCGATTGTACAGAACGCCAGAATTTTAAGTTGTCTAGTGCCCAAAACGGCATCCCGTCGCTATCACATGCTGCATGCATGTCTTAGGTAGGTATGTAGGTTATGCAGCACTTCTGATAAGACGTGACAGGGCATCGTGATATTAGGCTGTAATACCGGTAGTTGCGCTGTTTATGTTAGATATCCAACGTAACTATCGGGATGATAAGCTATTATATATTATATACAGAAATCCTTAGGTTAGCTTTCTCTTAACTGAACGTCGAAGTTCTGAGGATGCAAAAGCTACGACGAGATCGGCGTTTTTTGTGTATACATAGGCTAGGTTAGGTACCTAGGTAGTTTTAGATCCTGCAACGGATCTATGTAAGGACAGAAAATCGAGAGACTCCACCTTGGGCTAGGTTTGTAATGACGTATCTTATTTTGCATGTAAACGGATCTTGAAGCTTGGATCGATCGGGCTAAACAGCCCCTCTTCTATCTTTTTAATAGTGAGGATAGCTTATGAAGCTGATTCTGGAGCTCTTAAGAAGTTGAGAGCACTGTAAAAGAATGTAGGTACCTCACTTAATAAATAGAAATGTGGGTTAAATAAGCCGCTAGTTAGAATGTCCTGTAAAAGAAGTATAAAAATTTGCCCCGCTCCTTTTCGTATTTTATAGAGGCGTTATTAAATATTTTAACTAGTCGATACGGGAATTTGTGCTACTCATATCACGTAACTAATAATAACTGGTTATAGGCGTAAGACATGTTAGATTATTAAGGGGGAAGGGAATGTTTTACTGTTTTGGTAGAGATACCATCTTTGAAAAGCCTTTTTTTTTTTATCTTCCCCGACCCGTTGGCTATCTGCAGGTCCAGGTAAACCCTGTAGGTATATTACCTAATATAGTAAAGACCTCGCTTGCTGGCTGCTGGCTGGGTACGGTATCCGGACCGCTAAACTTGTTACGTCGGAGTATGTCTGACAAGTAGCAACGACGCAGGTGATAATCAAGGTTCAAGGTTTTTGGGGTAACTACCTCCTACAAGATGCCACTGGATGGAAGCCACATGGTCTATCTACATACATACCTACATACATACATAAGGTACTCAAGATAAGGTACGATGGAAGTATATAGATAATATGTAGGAAGGTATATCCTATCAATTGTCCATTGTCCATTCAGGCACAATAAGCAATTCTCTATCTTCCATGATCCTTGCTACTTTCTGTTCGGCATGCAGCTCTTACACATACATACTACCACCATCTGCCGTTCTCCGCCCCATATTCCTATGCGACCCGCCGAGCCGTTTTTCTTTCTTTCGTCCAATTCAGTTCCTTTACGTCGCAGCGCCAGCTCCAAAGAGAACACAGAGTACACCACCCAACCAGACAAGGATAATGACCCGATCTTAATCCCAGTGATCATGGAAAATTAATTGATTGATTGAAAAAAGAAAATAACAAAAAAAAAAAAACTTGCATCGGCGGGCTAGGATTGGATTTGAGATACATAATTTTTTTTCTTAATTCCAATATTTGTTTTCGTTGCTTCTATCTTGTCTGGGTCTTGTCCTGTCTAGGGGGACATCTTATCGCTTTCATCTACTCTGCCTCGTCTGCTTACTTTCTTGGATTGCTTCTACTTGCTATCTACGTGCAACTGTATCTCGTCAGATCGGCCGAAACCTCTTCCTTTTACGGCTTACTTTTACCCTTATCTTCTTTCCTTATATTCTATATTCAAATCCATGCTATATTATTTGCTCTCTGCTTGAGCTATCTCGTATCGGGGAACGAAAACTCATTCGCGACATATTACACTTAACTACCCACTACTAACTTATACGATTCGCCTTCTCTAATTTATAGCCCTGTCTGAGCCCTACCGTACATCCCAGGATAATCTAAGGACAAGAATACTAGGCGAAGAATATGGGTGTGATGTATGGAGAGGTTTCTCAGAACGATAATGACGATGACGATCGAAATGGTGACACATCACCTTCAACACCATTCTCGCTAGCGCGCTCCTCGTCACCCATGCCTTTCCTCCCAGCTGTCGAATCGACTTTTACTCCTCTTTCAATGGATAGCGATACCTATTCGAGAATTGGGGTAGTTGCCGAAAGTGAGGGCCGTGATGCGCCTGGAAATAATTCTCAAGGGAGGAAGAGCCATAATAAGTTAGCTGCTGGCACGGCCACAACCAGGACCAGGGCTAGCATGAGCATCGGCGACATGGTCCAATCGTTATCACCGGCACGAGCCACACGTAACAATCGTAACGAATACGGTCTTTTATCTCCTGACACTGCCTTCTCGTCTCCTTCGTCTAGTCCACGCCCAGACGACATCGCTTCCAACCCAGTTTCTAATAATACTTCTTCCGAGAAGAAATCCGCGTCGAATTATGTCGAAACTGCCTATTCAAGTTCTAAAGGGACTAATGATGCTTCGACTGGAGAGTCACTAGTAAATAAGACGTTGTCTCAACATCAACACCAAGAACCACCACAGCCTATAATACTCCAGCCGAAACCTATTGTTCGCACTGCCTCTACAAAAAGTGTTTCCTTACGCCATCCTACTCCCGATCTAAATCCACGGACTGTCTCTTATGCAAATAATATTGCCCAGTTAGAGGCCACAGCTGAAAAGCTGTCGATGACTTCGTCAATCGAGGATGCAATTCGAGACTTACACGACGAACAGAAACGCAACGAAAGCCGACGGTCATCAATCCTAGCTGTAAGCATAGGCTCGATTCCTGAAAATAACGAACCGGTGTCTTTCACTGCGATTAAACCGCTCTCAACCACCAGCTCTATATTAGATACTAATAACGCGGTACGCTACGGTGGTTACTCCCCCGCTGGATTTATAATGTCAGACTCTTCTCTAGTTTCTAATCCAACGCGGATGCGATCTGGTTCTGGTCCTCTATCGCGACCTGAATCTGAGGTTGGTAACGTCATGTCGAGGCACGGACCTGGAAAGACTTCTACACGGAGCGTTAAGTCGGTATCTAAGCCGACCTTAACAGATATTGCCGAGATGGAGCCTACTACGCTTACACCAGCGGCTATGGACGAAGCTGATAAATTGGCCGAAGAACCGACAGATGAGACATTACGAATACCCCAGATGGAGGACATCGATCTTACACCTAATGCAGAACAGTTCGGGATGTCGAGTGGCCATGATTATTGGAGCCATGGTGTTACTGAGACACAAGAAGGATACGGTCATAATGGTGATGATATCAGGCCTCCCACTGCTGGGTCTGCTGGCACGTACGAGCAGGCGGAGAGAGCATTCGCAGATTTTGATGGGGCATATTGCCCATCCGACGTTGACCTGGAGGATTCGCTATTTATGCCCTCGTTCTCTAACGGACCATCAATGGATGCCCCCTTCCTACGTCCTTTCGACCCTGTTTTATCAAGGATGCAAGAAGAGCCAGGCTATTCGAAACCCACCATATCTAGACCAATCGCTCCACCAACCGTTAGGCCAAAGTCGTACATGGATCCCGAAACAGGCCAAACTATGCTCTATTACCCAGCGCGTGTTCCTTTAATGCTCAACTTGCCACAAAAACTCTCCAAAAAGCCCAAAGCTGAAGCACGTGACGCTCGTAGATCGCAGGTCCTGAGCAAAATGTCAGAGCCGGACCGCAAATCTGGCACCCTTTGGCTACCAGAGTATTTACCCGAACCTCCGCTCGAACCCATGGGGCCTACCGCCGAATCTTTCGTCCCTGTGCCGCTAAATAGTTCAGACGCAGACCCGCAAACCCAACCGGCTACAAATAGCCAACGCGACTCTCAATTTATCTCTCAGTCCAGCTACGGGCAAGGGAATGACGAAGTGCATGGAACCCATACTTCGGCTCTTAACCCAGACAAGCGGAAGTCGAAGATACCTAATCTTGATGGCTTACCACCACAACTACGTGCCAGTGCTTTTTTCGACCTACCTTCAGAGCCATCACCCACTATCCAGCTTAAAGATGGCTCTGCAATGGCCACCCTAGATAGTATCCTAGACGCTTCTGCTAAGGCGCCTGTTTCTGCTTTTACCGATCACGCGTTCGCAGGAACATTAGGATCAGAGGTATACGGGACAGAAAAGAAACGCAAGTCGCATATGAAACGTGCTAGCGCTACCGATTTGCTAGAGCCTAAGAAGAGAAGCTCTTTTCTACACCTCCGAAAGCTAAGTGCTCTTAGCCGACATTCAGAATCTCAAGAGGAGCGCCGCAATACCATCGCTGGAGGTACGAAGATCAACGGGGGTCTGGACGCTAAAGCAGAAGACGATGAAAGGGAACATTTGGCTGGTTCTGTCGACGGCGAAGCGGTACCAAATCACGCTGATGAAGACGGAGAAGGTGACGAGGAGCTAGTATATAATGGGCCCCCGACGACTTTATTGGCCGAGCTCCAGATGCGAAAGCAGCAACAGAAATTGCGCACTCGGCCGGCTGCTAGTGCTTTCCCTAACGGCTTGCACTCTACGTTACTTGAGATGGATACGGTCGCTCAGATCGAAAGTGACGCACGCAAAGGCAAGAAAGTAAATCTTGCGTGGGAGGACCCAAGCGCGGATCCAGCTACCAATTCGGACGACGAAGATACGCCGTTAGGATTACTTATGGCCGCGAAGGGACAAGGTAATGATATAACCGCCGCGATCGCTGAGATCAATCGGCCCCTTGGTTTGATGGAGCAGCGTGAGTTGGAAGACAGCGAACCCTTAAGTCAACGTCGTGACCGACTCCAAGGAAGAGAGGTTAGCTCAATGAAACGGCAAAGCATGATGACACTTGGTCAGGGTCTCCACAATGGAAGTAATAGCCTGGGGGCCATAAGCCCACAACTCCGTTTACACACTCCCGAGGAAGAGGAAGTTGAAGGTGAAACTCTCGGGGAGCGTATGCGGCGCCTAAGATCGCGTGAGCAAGCGGATAATCCTCTTCCTCAAGCTAGACCCGTCAGTTCTGCGTTTTCAATGGAACTTTTGAGTCAGCTAGGCGAGGCGTTTAAGGAGGACGAAAGTGATGACAAGAGCCAGGATAAGCGAAAATCTCAGCTTAAAGAAGAGGAAGAGACATTAGGGCAGCGCCGCCGCCGCCTGCAAGCAGAACGAGAAGCTCGCGAACAAGGAGAAACTGGCAACCTACTTAGTGGTGGGGTTGGCGACGCACGAAAACTTACGAATCGGCATTCGCTTGCTGATGTGCTTGGTACGCGCGGGTCGAAGACTCTTCTGCGTGATCCTAGGGCAGAAGCAGAGAAAGTAAAGCAACAAGAAGCTGCCCGATATAGACAAGATCAGGATCAGAAGATGGCTATACTTCGTGGTCAGATGCCTTCTAGTCTTAGCACACCAAATTTAAACCAACCCGGGGGGTATATGTCTGGTCGATTCAACGACGGTACAGGCGGCGGAACTGGTTATACGCGAACCAGCACAGCTTTAGGTGGCTATCCTAATCAAAGCACGGGAGCAAGCGGTGGTATGATGGGCAACACCTACCTTGCGGGTGGAGCTATGGGTGCCCCGATACCCTCCTACGGTGTTACAAACGGACTTGGTGCCCAAGTGAGCACCCCTTACGGGATGCAAGTACAGCCACCCGCTCAAATGGATAGAGTAGAGCGATGGAGACAGAGCGTTTTGCCTTAGGGGTCCTTCTCGCCCTAGGACCCGGGATACTCTACGACACTGAGGAGTAAAGTGAAACTAAACTATATTTACTTAATTCTCCTAAGCATCGCGCCGGCGTTTCATAACTGGTCTTAATGGGGTATATTGTATTATGCATGGGAGGCAGCATTGGTGTTCGAAGAAGGTATTCGAAAGGGGGGGCATAGGTATATATAGTTATAGCATATTATAACCAATGTAATTTTTAGGCTGTGGTAATAGTGGTAAATACAGAAAGGACCGAGTCTGGGGTAGAGGCAGCAGAGGCAGAGCGACGCATACACCTAATAATATATAGGTATATATACACACCAACGTAGTCATTATTCGTTTAGATACAAAAGGTTATGACCTGATAGAATTAATTCAGCATCAAAAGTTATGTAATATGTAGCTTGCGTTCTTGAAATAATAACCGCAGTAAAGGGATGAAGGCCACTAACCTAGAAGACCCAGGATAGTGATGTTGACTGGGTAGTATATGTCGATTATTTCTGGTCTTTGAGTAAGTAATGCCGGACGGAGTTTTGTATGAATAGTAGCGTGAAAAATTGGTATGGTCATCTCGTGTAAAATTTTCAAAGGGTTTCCGTAAATAGAAGTTGATGAGGTATTCGAGTAGTTGGGGGAAAGGAAGCGTATTAACCAACCAGCTTTTCTGCGACGTAGTGGGTGAACGGAACGACTCACGCGCTTCAAGTCCAAATCGCTGAGTCGTGATGTGAAGATATTTCCTTCGCATTTTCATAATCTGTACCTAGACGTTAATATCTGTCTAGCCTCATGGTCAAACGAGGCGAGTCGAAATAAGAAGCATGACTTACAAAAACTAATGATATTACTATACTAATAAGCCATCCTATGGGTACTAAGACATACACTACGTACGGACGTGCTGTCTGGCTACAAGGTCCCCCTTATAAAAGCGAGTCATGCCTATTCTTACTTTACTCTTCGGGTTATCAGCCTCCATAATAGAGCCTCTTGTTCTACTTACTCTAAATCAAAAAGGGGTCCAAAAAGGGGTCCAAAAAGGGGGTGTAGACAACCTTAGAACGGATAGGCCAATTACACTCCAGAGGGACTCGGGGCTAGTGTTATAGTTAATTCTATCATGGATCCTGTCATGAATTCTGCAATTCACGTGGAATAATGAGCCTAAATGAGCCCGAGTTGTCACATAGAGTTCGAGTCTGTTAGCACGGCCCGTTAACTCTAAGTGCTTTTTTGGTGCCGTGCCCTGAACTATTTAGGGACTATCGCTACACGCTAATCATTCTCTATCCTCCTAAGTGACAGGATGTGACGCCGGCCAAGTCCGGTAGATAGTAGCATCTCCAACATCCTTAGCATCGTACCTACGCTATGGTAGCCTAGTTGTCTTAGTTGTCTTAGTTGCCACGTGCGACTGAATCGTAACCAAATCTTGACATATTTTCAAGCCACACGGCTTGGACGCTTTAGCATTCTTAAAGCATTATCCGTACAGAGTTTTATTATAACGCAATTGCTTTCGACCTAACCTACCCTAGTTGTTTCGATAATTTTTATAGTAAGTCTACGCCACAGGACTAGTAGTGTATTCGATATTCGGAGGGGGGGTTACTTACAACCACTTGCAAATTATAGGGCAAGGTATGTATCTTGACTATCCTGTCAGTCGAACACAGAATTCTCGTACCTGACGCCAGGTCACGCTAAGATGCGCTTCTACGAGTTCAAGGATAAGTGCATACGACTAATGTTGGCCCCATAATCTTGATGGAAACGGTTTCGATGTACTACATGTGCCCTTAACAAGAAGAGACATTATTCATTTCACGAAGTGGCATTTGAGTATTTGCAAGAGGAACGGCTATGCCGACGACTTGCTAAGCAGGAAACAATCTGCCGCCGTCGTCTGGAATGCTTCCCACACCCTTGACGGGATCCCAACCTCTAATGTCATCATGGAGTACATACTTTACCATAGCGGTTTTATACTTCTGTTCTCGTCTGACCTTGGCGCCTCCTTAAACGTGTATATAAGTGCTTAGACTTTTCCCAATAGTTGGACTTAATCATGTCTGCCTTCCCTAGTATTCATAACAGAGCTTCCTTGCTCCTCCATCGCTCGTTCTCTTCTAAAGAAGCATATCTATCCCGCTTCGCTGTCTCTCATCTATGATATATTATAGTTGTTAGCTGTCTTTCGAGGACTAATACTATAATTCTTTTCATTTTATTTGACTTTCATAAAGACCAAAATGCTTCCACGTTTAGCTCTAGCTGCTTCCCTCCTATGGGCATCTAAGGCCCTCGCTGGCTACCAAGCTAGTGCATCAGACAACATTGCTATCTACTGGGGGCAAAACTCGGCTGGTGCCGCCGACGCTGGCAAATCCCAGAAGTCACTTTCCGAATACTGCACCAGGGCCGAAGTTGACATCATTCCCGTGGCCTTCGTGTCTAACTTCAACCCCATACAGTTAGACTTGACAAATATGGCCGATGATAAGAACATGGCTGAGGAGATCACCACGTGCCAGAACGCCGGTAAGACTATATTACTATCCATCGGAGGAGCTACGTTTACTTCGGGGCCTTCGAGCCCACAAGATGCTCAATCTCTGGCCGACCAAATTTGGGCAATGTTCGGCCCCCCTGGTAATGGAGACGGCGGTAACCGTCCTTTCGGTAACGCAGTTGTCGATGGCTTCGATCTCGATATCGAAGCCCCGCTCCCAAACATGGCACCCTTCGCTGCGCGATTACGCGAGAATATCGACAAGGCCAACGCCGGCGGCAACCGAAAGTTCTACCTCTCCGCGGCGCCTCAGTGCCCGTTCCCAGACTATAACAACCAGGCCATGCTGCAGGGCGACGGGGCCGTAGCCTTCGACTTCGTTATGGTGCAGTTCTATAACAACCGCAAATGCGATATCCGAGTCTTCAACGGCCCCGGTTCCGATCCCGTCTCAACACGAGATACGAACGACCCTATGAAGACAGGCTTCAATATGGCTCAGTGGGACGAGTGGGCGCGCACAAGCAAGAACCCCAACGCCAAGGTATTCCTCGGCATCCCAGGTGGCCCCACGGCCGTGACCCCGTCCGAAAAGGCGTCGTACAAGGCACCAAATGCTTTAGGCCCCATCATCGCCTACAGCAAGCAGTTCTCGAGTTTTGGCGGGGTCATGATCTGGGACATGTCTCAGGTCTGGGCCAACCCCAGCTTCCTAGATGCCATCTCCAAAGATGTCAAGTGTCCACCTAAAGGGAATGCTGCGCGATCTACTAGCGCTGCTACCCAGATGATACGACGAACGCATCAACGAGAGTGGCAGTCATGACTGGCTTCTGTTGAATTTTTTTCTATTTAATTCGATTTTGATGGGTAGAGGCGTTGGGAGTTCTTTAGGGACTCCCGTAATGCAGTTAGTAGGCTGCCCAAAGGCGATGATTCTACTGGAGATAATATAGGAGTTCCCAGGAGTTTCCTGCTGTGCATACATTTATATTATACCTACAGGTTGGGTTAAGAGGGAAGTTTCATTCTGGCTAGGTTCTGGAGAGTTAGAATAGTCCCCCATTGATACCCCCAATTACGCCCATGAGAAGCGGACGAGATTGCATCATATTAGGTAGTTTAGTTAATTTATTTTTTTGGTTAATACGTTAAAACCAGACTTTTGTGAATATTCTTATTTTTGAAATACTTTGAATAGTTCTCTCCACCCCCTTTTCTTTTCCGTGAGCAGAAAGGGGGCATTCTAGCAAGTTATCGGTCTATCGTCGAATCCACATGCACGATTATGTCTCAGACATTCCCTACGCTATGCCCGTTATTCCCGCTATCAGCTAGTGTCCATAGCTCCCTGAACCTGGATTCATGTGTTTGGGTGGCCTGTCTCAACTATACTTCCCTTATCCATTACTATAACTATGTCAAATCCAAGCACCACATCCAACCGGTGGCTGGCCATGGTGACTTGTATACCCTTCGAACTCTTCCCTTATGATGTTCTGTATTTCCCTGTTTATGCCCCGGTCTACATTCGAACTGACCCCATTCAGAAGCAGGATCCCGCCATCATTACGCTTTTCTCTCCTAATTCTGATTGAAGTTGTCTCGTTCCAAGCCTCCGCCTCAGAATGGCACGTGCAAGATTGAATAGCTGCTATTGACCCCCCTGAGAGAGTATCCGCAAACATTCCAGTCGCGAGACTACCACCCTCGTCGATAAAATCCTACAGCTTCACAATTTTTAGCACAGCACGATACTCGTTTTCATTGGGAATACCAAACGGGTCCATGTTAGTTTGGAAAGACATGCCGTTAGGTAAGAACACCGGGTCTTGAGGTACGGCAATTATACGCTGGCGAAGAGTAGCGCGATCGATTTTGTGGAGGGGAATATCACCAACAGTGATTCTCTCAGCTCATGATAAAATAGGATTAACATTATGTTCATATACCTCGTGCGATGTGATCTAAACTAAATACGTATATGTACCAAGGTGTCTCGTAGATAAAACTGTTGCCTATGGATAGGATTGATCCTGTATTTGGCTAAATTATGTCTCCTTCCAAGTTGTATACTATTGAGTTATATAACCATTAGTAGTATAGTACAAATAAGAGGTACATATCTTACTGTTCTAGTCCTCCTAGACTTGTCATCTATTTCTCTGTTATAGTCCTTTCCCATGTTTCCGTGACAATCCTCCAGTATCGTTCGCCATCTGATCTCATATGCGATACGTGTGGACTACATTCGAACACTTCTATTCGTACCTCTAGTCCCTTCGCCACAGCTTGCCTTGCATGCATTTCGACATGCCTCCAATCAACCATGAGATCAGCTTTGCCGTATATATATGAACGATTCGTCTGCTTGACCAAGTCTAAGTTGTTGAGAACCCTCCAATTTACCGAAAGGAAATTCTCGCCAGTTATGAATCTTAGAGCATGCAAGATCCAGAGGCAGGTAACAAACGCAATGACTAACGGAGTCGCGATCAACCGTAGGAGGCCCTTAGGAAAGTTGATTATCATTACATTATAAGTAGGAGAAAATGAAAATAACCCGGGACACGAATCGTATACTGCAGCATGAAGCGGAAAGGGGCGCCCTGTTTGAGATTGGAACAGTTCATATAACGCCCGCATAGTAGTCGAGCCACCATTCGAGAATACGTGCTAAATACACGTTAGTATCTTTGCAAAGCACCAAGTATAACTTCCCATCTTGTGTAGACACGTCTTTGAAAATTAGGAGGATGTAAAAAAGAACAATGAAAAAGAGGCATTTCGTTTTAATACGCCAGAGTTTTCATGCATACCGTTAGTATCTCAGGTTCAGTTGGGGATGCCGACAGAAAGCCCGAATCGAGCTGGGACAGAAGGTATGTGAAAGCAGGTTCAACAGTTTTCTGTGCAAGGGATCGAGACATGGATTCCTTGAAGACAAACTTGGCCAGTATGATCCTGGAAGTAGGATAAATAGCTTGGTAACGCGTGATATACTTGGCAATGTGTAAGTCTTGTGCGTCCATCCACGATGCAACGAAGATGAGCTTCGGGACTCGCAATCGGGTAGTTTGTCGTGTAACGATAGATTCGGGTTCATAGATATATACGAAGGGAGTCAGTTCCTTCATCATCGATAGTGGTTTAACCACAGCCGTGGCCGGTTGGTTTGATGCCATCTCGTAGTTAAAGTTATTAAATTATTAAATATTGTCTGTTGATTATCAATTCCTCGTGTTATATATATATATAACTACCATAGCGGGGGTATGTGGGTACAGGGAACCGTTCCTTATTTAAAAAAACGTTCCCTGAAATGTTTTCATACCATAACAGTTGCCTCGTTCCCTACTGTGAAAATGGTTCTCAAAAAGGGAATGGTTCCCAAATCGTGGAATTTTGTCATTTCACGTGACTTTCACGTGAAAAAGTGGGTCTAAAAGTCAAAAAAGTCAAAAAATTAGAAGGACTGGTCCTCGAACCCACCACTCTCGCGTTCGTGTAACCATAAACCCCACCATTAAGGTTAAAGTTTAAAGTGTAAACATTTGAGCTAATGGGACGAGGTGGCCAATCTCATCGAATTATTTCATTGTACAATTTTTTGGTTTTTAGCCCTTATAACCTTTACTTCCGAAATATTATTTTATTAAAAAAAAAAAAACTTTAATGAAAAAAAAAAATTTTAAAAATTTTTTTTTAAAATTTGTTTTTGTAAATGATTTTTTTTAAAAATTACAGGGTAACCCCTCCCGTACTTAGCCATTTTGACCAAAAAGGGTTTTTTTTCTTTTTTTTTAGGTAAAATTGACGAGAATGCTTCCCAAAAAGGGAACGGTTCTATAACAGGGAATGGTTCTTGGCACTAAGAACATGGGATCCAAGGTGGGCCCAAAAATCCCAAATGTAGACCCACTTATTTGCGGATTCAGCCAATCAGAGGCCTGGAATCAAGGGAACGTTCCCTATTAGGGAACCGTTCCCCAAAAATAACCATTCTCTGAAAACCCCCACCTCCGCTATGGTATATATATATAAGTTATGATAACAACTTAGTTTGGGATTTATATTATTTATATATTTATAAGGTATTTATATCAAAGGTCGGAAGGGATATTTGATGCCTCCGCAGTGCCAAGATACATATCTATCCATAGATCTGGGTAATTTCGGCGTAACCCTTGCTCCGTTTGATCACTATTAATCGGTCATAACGGAAGTTCAAGTTGCCGACCCGCGTTTTATCACTCTCATATAGATATATCCTGCGTATATCTTCAATGTTGAAAGAGAGTATCAACTTACGAGTAGTAATGTCAAACATAACACAAGCGCGACATAATCTTGAAGAACGACGGTTACATGTATCCTAAAGCATACTGCAAGATACTACATACAGACAGATAAGCGAGTGCCTTGTATCTGTGCTACTTACATATCGATTCTCTGAATTCAGTCGATGTGTGTAACTCAGTTAAGCAAACTTCCAACTACCTAGTTATGACTTGCTATTTCTATAAACTGCATCTTATACGGATCCATATGCGGATATCTTATAATAAATATCCACATGCAAACAAGTTGAAATAGCTATAGCGTACCTATACTATCACTTACATTATCTAGGTAGGTATGTAATGTATGACCTTATACATCTGCAGTGACCCGCGTCCAGATTCCCCCCCCCCCTGATTTCATTACGGCTTCCTACGTAGGTTACTTCTTACATCGGTAAGGCAATGTCAAATCATATCCTTGTCGAAACGAACGACTATGTGTAGTGTGTACGTGTGCCCAGTCTAAATACATGTTATGCAGGGTCAACTCTGAAGCCCTCGGATTTCTATAAGTCTAAGACCGAACTCACTCTTAGATGACAGTTCCAACCACAACTTTAACCTCTTCTATTAAACCCATTTCCCACTTACACTTTTAATACGACCCTCCGAATGACATTCAATATGATGACTCTAAAGCCACTAGCTCTGTTCGGGCTTCTGGTCCTATCTCTAGCTGCCCCTACCCTTGTCCAGTTGCCTTCGCTCAATTATACCCAAAGCCTTACCTCTGGGGATTTTATCCACTCACTATCTCTTCCCGGTTTCCGGTTCCGTCGTACCAAGCCACTTACTTCAATATCTATTGATAGAAAGGTCCAAAACTATATAGACTTGAGACGTATTCCCCACGATGTGCGCAAACCACGTCGCTCCGCGGCGATCTTGCTTGGTCAAGTCCAACGCAGTAGCGGCGGAAAGGGGTATGAAAACGTTACAGCTATTAATCACTATGCCGCCGAGTATGCGGTACAAGCTTCATTCAATGGGCGGCAAATGGACGTTGTTATAGATTCAGGGTCTGCAGATACCTGTAAGTCAACATTGAGAACCCTCGTTCACGTGTTAGGTTTTTGACCATAGCTCATATTTACAGGGGTCATAGGATCCAACTTCAGCTGTAAAGGGAGTCTGAATGAGACCGTATCAGATGATCTATGTGCTCTCGGCCCTGCATTCGCAGGCAATTTCACTGGGGGGGCTCTGCCTAATATGCATTTTGCTATTAAATACGGGGACGGCGAAAGCGTACAGGGCCGTAAGTAGAACTCTATAAGGAATTATAACGGAGAAGTGTCATCGAAAGAACAAAATGCTAACTCTTTAAGATAGTATTAGGGAAAATGGTGAGTAATTTATAATACCTACATAATGTAAAAGTAATAGCGGAGGATGTCCTATGCAGATCCAGGCTACGTAAATACACATATTAACGGGTATCCTGTATTATCCACGGGAGTAGCCATTATCTAATTAGTATATCATCTAGGACGTCGACTTTGCAGGAGTAACGGTCTTCGATCAGGAAATTGCAATTGCTAGCCAAGGCACATGGCGCGGTTAGTATATGCCTTATCTCTCGGTAGCATCTTTTTTTCATTAGTACTCTAACTTGAGTTTTCAGGTAATAATGTCACTTCTGGCATCCTTGGGCTCGCCTACCCGTCCCTCACTAACGCGTACTGGGGAGACGACATTTATGACAATAGCCAGTTTCTCTCAGTTCCATATTCGCCCCTCTTTACATCAATGGTCACCGGTGGGTTGACCGCGCCATACTGGACCATTGCTAGTATGCTAGTTCCTCTTCCCTCTTTCCTAGAAGTATACTGATATAATGGTAGTGGCTAGAAACTCTTCCCTTGGTTCCGTGAGCATCGGCGGAATGCCACCAGTAGATATTAGTAAGAGCGACCACGACCAGACCCCTATTATCATTGTATGTAAGCTCATTCCCTACTAAAGTCTTCCATAAGTTGGTATGTACATTAACAAATCAGGCGGATATGATCGACAGAGACAGTACTTCTTGGAAGCCATCTTTCTATACCATCGTACCAACAGCTTTTCGATTCGGGGGAATTACGACGGGCGGGCATTATCCGTTCATCTTAGACACGGCTACATCGTTAATCTATCTCCCACCAGGTGAATACACTTTATTTAAACAGTCAAAGGTATAGGTAGCTAATCTTGTGGTTAAGACCTGGCTGAAATGGTCAATGGCAAGTTCGACCCGCCTGCATCATATCTCTGGAATTACGGTGCATACTTTACAAGCTGCGATGCTATCCCCCCAAGTTTTGGGGTCCAGATTGGAGGGACTACCTTCTGGGTTAACCCTAAGGATCTACTAAACAAGGAGGAGAGGGACCCTCTGACTAACCTATGCCAAACTGGAATCGGAAATGGAGGTACTGGTCCTTACATCTTGGGAATTACATTTTTGACCAACGTTGTTGCGATGATGAATATCGGATCTGGTAACATCGAGTTCTGGAGTCACCAGTTCTACTAAGATTGAAAAAAGACAACTCTTATATGTTTGCGAAATATAATACTAATAAGTATAAGGCGGACATGTTGGCCAGATTCCAGATTGTTAATCATAAATCGGTCTCGTTCGTCATCTAATAATTCCGCTTCGTTAATAAAATAGGGAGAAATCTCATGTAAGAGCTGACTATTTAGTTAGAAAGCTGTGATAAAATAGTGCAATACTATACACCTTGAGTAATATTATGTGCCTACATATGTTCTTCCCCAAGGACTAACCGAAATAGGGGTTCCAGAAGGTCGGCATAGGATCTCCCGATATCCCTGTCGGCTCCTCTAAATCTGCTTGGCTGGGAATCTCCGTTCAGGCATTGCACGTGGTGTCGTGAATTCTGCGCGCTATCCTCACCGATAGGGATTGTCCTCGTTATCTCGAAATAGAGTCTTCATCTTCTCTGGTCAGTTTCAGACGATGAAAGTAATTTAGCAGATCTAGTAAATTTCGTTAGACGGATCAAGATCTCAAGCCAACCTGATCCTTCTTTCTGGTTGCTTCAAGCACTACATGGTTCCCCGGAACGGTTTACGTAAATCCCGCATAGCGAGTAGACGTCGCAACGGTCAAACAGCATTGATATTAGCGGTCAAGATAAATACTAAGGAGGCCTCAAGCGTAGGATCCTATGGTCTACTAGGGCAGGAAGAACATCTTTATCATAGGCCGGATCTCACGGCGGGAACCCGAACTATACAAAATTGCCACGATGAGGGGCGTCGTTGCAGGGGGCCGAAGAGGTCACGCGTGGAGTTTTTCCAAGGTGAGATGATGTGTTTTACTTCTCGACACGAACTTGTTTGCTTCTTTCTACTACCGCCGCCTGGGATTTATAATGTAGCGGATAATCAGCCCCCGTGACAGTACGGAGCGGGATCCAATCGCGATTGCGGGTTTGTTACTTGGTATGGTCCTATGGTCTGTGTGAAGAGCGGAAGTATGGCCGATTTAGTCAAAGTTGACTTATAGACTATTATTTTCTGACGTGGAAGACCTCGGTGGCTGCTGGGGGTTAAAAGGAATTGGTGTATCGTGGCACCAACCACATGATGTGTGATTTACACCGGCAGTCATTCTTTTTTGCTGAATGCAGGAGTTGTCGGGAATCTTCCCAAGCGGGAAATGAAGAAGATAATGTTTTCGGGAGTAGTCGGTTGCGGGTGGACGGATTCTTATATTATTAGGTTAAGGCATAGGCAATTAGGATTCCGGCGAGTTGCCGAGGACTTTTATTTATTTTTGTGTATTTGATTCCGATGTTGAAGACGGGACGGGGACCCCTGATAGTTCATGGTTTCTTGTTGTGTGTCTCGAATAGAAACGAAAAGAGATATGAAAAATTTAATACCAAAGTTGGTACTAAAGTTGGTTTAATACATGTTTGGTTGATGATAACTAGCCAGATAGCTAAGCAATCAGCAAGAAGCAGCAAGCAAGCAACAAGTTTATGGTCAGGCAAGTGTAGGCTGTAAAATCCATAGCTGAAAGGCTATCTAAAACTCTAAAAGAACAGGGTCCAGCTCGGCTCATATTAATTTCTGATTGGTTCTCTCGGCTTTCTCCATTGGTCCTTTTTGCCCCGCATCCCGATACAAAGCGGGTTCTCCATTAGAATGCGGGGCCCTATTGCCGACTTTTTATATTTTTTTCTTGAGCTACCCCAGCTGCCTTGTGTTGCGCTGTAGCTGCGCTGTAGCTACCTGTCTGTTGTACATTTGCTAGACCCTGTCGCTGGTTCCTGAGAATCCCGGTGTTGCATCCAATCATGTCCCAGTAGTGACGGAATCTCCTGCATCACCGCAACTTTCCTTCCCATCTATGAATCCAGCCCATTGTCTTCTTTCTTCTCTGGATGCAACACTACATACACCACCACCCATAGCTTTTTTTTTCCCACTATTTGAATACCAAAATTATTAGAAGAAGAAGAATACCAACGTGATATAGTCTCTTCTTTACTGGTTGTCTTTTTTTAACACCTGATCAGAATTCATAATCTCATCTCATCTCATCTAATTCCTTTTCTCCGATTTTCAAATTCGCTTCTTGTCCGCATTGTCGTATTCTCTGTACTCTCTACTACCCATCTTACCTATTGCCTCACATGCTCCCGTTGCTTACGCCTACACTTACAACCTCGCTACATCGGAAAGTTGGAGAATATGGCACCAGGCACTAACGGCCGCGTCGTCCAGGTTGAGGACACCAAGATCTGCGTTGTCATGGTTGGCTTGCCTGCACGAGGGAAGAGTTACATAGCACAGAAAGGTACTACCAATCCCTCCCCTCTTCTTCCTCCTCTTCTGTCTAGCTATTGCAAAACTTTAGAAGGCTGACCTGTCTTACTCGTTCTGAAGCCCAGCGTTACCTTCAATGGCTCTCCATCGACGCCAAGACATTCAACGTCGGTAACTACCGACGTCATGACGCTCCTCAACCGCCAGCCGATTTCTTTGCTACTAGCAATCTCGATGGAGAACGCAGACGTCGCGTCGCCGCCGAGGCCGCTATTGCCGATATGCTAAGCTGGTTTCGCCAAGGCGGTGTGATCGGTATCCTTGATGCTACCAATTCTACTAAGGAACGCAGGAAATGGGTCTACGACTTATGTACCAAGGAGGGTATTGAAGTCTTGTTCGTTGAATCCAAGTGTGATAATGAGGACCTCATCATGGCCAACATCCGAGACGTTAAAACTACCAGTCCTGACTACAAGGGCCAGGATCCTGAGAAAGCCGCTCTAGATTTCCGCAATCGAATAAAGAACTACGAGAAAGCATATAAGAGCATTGATGCTGACGGTGACGAGAATGAATATACCTACCTCAAGATTATGGATGTTGGGTCTCAGGTTATTATCAACCGTATACAAGATTACCTACAAAGTCGGGTAGTCTACTATTTAATGAACTTGCACATCCGGCCGAGATCAGTGTGGCTCTCGAGGCATGGAGAATCACTGTACAACCTTTATGGACGAATCGGTGGAGATGCGGATCTATCTCCACGAGGACATCAATATGCTAAGAAGTTGCCTGAGCTCGTTCGTCAGTCTGTCGGTGTAAGTTTATATCTAACCTAAAAGCTTATGTTGGATAGCAAGACTTACATGATTTGATAGGGTGATCGCCCCCTCACGGTATGGACCTCGACCCTGAAGCGCACTATACAAACGGCTCGTTTCCTACCTGAGAATTACAACCAATTGCAGTGGAAAGCATTAGACGAGCTCGATGCGGGCGTCTGTGACGGCATGACGTACCAGGAGATCAAGGACGTTTACCCAGAGGATTTCGTAGCGCGCGACGAAGATAAATATAATTACCGCTACCGCGGTGGCGAGTCTTACCGCGACGTTGTTATCCGTCTCGAACCTATTATAATGGAGCTTGAACGATCTGAGGATATCCTGATTGTTACCCATCAAGCCATATTGCGCTGTATATATGCATACTTCATGAAGAAGGACCAGTCTCGCAGTCCCTGGATGAATGTCCCGCTCCACTGCCTCATCAAGCTCACACCACGTGCCTACGGTACCGATGAGGAAAGATATCAAGCTGATATTCCTGCTGTTAGCACGTGGAGAGGTAAGGGAAGCACCGCTAAGCACGAAGACCCTGTCCCAGAGGCGAATCTGGGTTACACTCCGACGGCGGCAGTTCACTAAGAATCTGCCTCGATGACTTTTGGTATTTTGGTATTATGACTATGACGAAAATAAGAAAGGTAGGGTAGAGCAGGACAACTACCACTACTAGACGGTCCGGTGGATTGGTTCAGAAGGGCGCATTAACGGATGAATACATTGTTACGGTTCTTGTTTTGGCAACCGGCTTTGTGGATAAAAAGGAATCGCCGCATATTAATATACATAGAGTGGGGTGGGCTGCTTGCATGAAATAAGTGTCCGGTGTTGTAAATATATTTCCATACCTTTATATATCCCATGGGCACTAGATCATTGATAAAGGTTAAAAAAATTGTGTTGGTAACAACTCTACTTCTTCATTTCTTAGAGGTGTACATGATACTATATTCTAAGGGGAATACTTACCTGTACTTACCTGTACCTAAGGTATCTGTAGGTATATACCTCTAACCTACCTGTATGTTAGGATTATCTTACATTGAAATCACGTGCGCTTTATTTCGCTGTTACAGTGTCTGCATCACGCAATGAGAGCTAAAATGATCGAGTTGAAGTAAGTTCCGATTGCTTGGGAGCTAGACGTGAGTATGTTGGATACTATATCAACCCCTTTTCTGTCTTAAATTACTTCATTACTCTTTATACACACCTATACAGCCAACGCCATCAGATGTGAGAGATACAAGAAATATAAATCTCCACGCGAGAGCCCCCATTAACACTTGTCAACATTATTTCACTTGATTAATCAAGCGCCAATAACTTCCCAATAACTAACATACGTTGTAGGTGGGTAGACTGCCGCCCTGGTAAATGAAGCCAGCCTCCCACTGTGGCTCGTCCAAGCTGATGAGGGTGCCGGCCTGACCGCCGGCTACGCATAGGGCTTCAGCTGAGGCAAGCTGGCTGCCGACGAAGTTGGTATCGGTCGACAGTTGTTGACATAAAGCACAAAAGAAGCCCCAACACGTTCCGTATTGGAACAATAGGCACGCGTTGGGCGCTACTATTAGGGGTTGGTCCAGTGCAAACACCTCGTCGATTACGTTGTTGCAGTCGCTGTCACCAGGTGGGGGGCTCTATGGACAAAGGGCGAAATATTAGTAAAGGAATGGACATAAGTAAGACAAGACGGGTGGATGAAAGACTTGAGTTTCGACGTGGTCTTTTGAATATGGCATATAATTGTGGTCGACACAACTACTATGAAAAGGGGGACAAGAAACGAGAGACGTACCGAGTTCCTGCATTCATAGAAGTCCCCGGCGGTGGATTGGCGCGACGATAGGACTGAGCTGGTGGGAACTTGCTTCAAGTTCACCTTATCGAGATGTAGCGACGGCTGGATAGTCTCAATTTCATACACGGGCTGTGGCCGGCGGGCTTCCTTTTGGACGTGGTTAAACCCGTCTACAGCAGAGGCGGCGAAGCCAGCAATAAGAGTGAGGAAGAAGGTTGACTTCATGGTGGCAGAAGTTTATTTGAATTACGTGATGAGGATTGATCGACAGAGGCTGATATTCTCCGGGAATGGTGCAACATCTTTCCCAACCAGAAGACTATACGCACACTTTTTATACTACTTTCCCCACGCACATATCATACGCTTGGCTTGCAGGGAGACAACAAACAGATAGGACTACACTCCGACATACGGTAACCTTGAGCCCTAGGACCTGCCGGATGAGGCATTGGACGTTCTCGCCTCGGTGGGCAGATGATAGCTCGCGGTCTCGACCTGATCGCAACTCAGCTCGTAGTCGATCTGGAGACTAGCCATAATGTCCATAGCCATGCTTCTACGCGGTTCTTCCTAGGCGATAGATGTGCCGGCCCTACCAGTCTGAATCCTGTCATGACCTAAGCCTCGCAACCCCCCAGCATCGTCCAATGATTTCCAACTTTCTCAGCAGCTTGTAAGGCGCCGAGCTCCACCTCAGCCGTGGCCATCATATCCCCATGGCACACCCTTGCGGAGTTCTACCAGAGAACATGCCAAAAGGCCGGACGAGTCCGAGTCTCGGCCGCGTGATACGACATGATCCAAGTAATATCTTGAGCTTACAATCACCTCACAGCTACCTTATTGAGATGCCTACTCGCAACGGTGTCACATCACACTGCAACGTGGTACCCAAGCCCAAATCCAATAAGACTAGAACACGGGAGACGGGCACGGAGGAAGAGGGTAGTAGTTCGGCCGATGGTGATGAGCCTAGCGCACCACGAGTACAAGAATGATGTTGAGGCGGAGAAGGGCAGTGAATAGGGGTAAGTGGAATATTCTACTGGGGGGACGGTCCATCATACCTGCAGAAATGGAATCTATGAGGACAACATTTCCCGGCAGTATGAATGCATATAATACCTATAGAACAGTCAGTTTCCAGGACTCCTCCCAACCTGAGTAGCGGATATGCTTCCCCATAGTATAATATCAACTAATATATCTGACAGAGATTACCAAGCATCTGGGGTACCGAACCCTCAACCTATCTCACACGGGTCATGAGATATAGGATTCCAAGCTGAACTGGTGCCGAGAATCTAATTTAAAAAAAAAACCGACGATGCCGCGGCCAGGACGCCGGGTAAGGCAGCTCTGAGAACGGATAGGAAAGGCGCGTGAGCGAATGGTATGGGGGTTAAGTCGCGAGCCAGAACGAGGAAGAACTACGTCGACTTTATCCGCGAATTTATCCAGTGCAACGGTATGCAAGCTGTAATGCACCTCAACCTGCAACCCTCGCGTTCGAGAAAGGGCATCAAGAGACAATAAGCGAGGGAGTGGGAACAAGTACCCGGCAGCCTGGAAGGATTTAGTAGGTAATAATATCGAGAGCGATGACCGGTAGTGCTTTTCATTTATAACACGTTTGTAATATCAGTTGCCGCATCAGCATTGGTAGAGATATCTAGAGCCAAGGACGGAAGACGCGGCCTGGGGGGGTACGAGATATACGAGGTGTGATGGTAGACTGTAGTATTGACTTTTATTTATAATAAACTGAGGTGTTGGGAAATCAAAGCAGAAGGGAGGTCGAGGTTATTCATGAGCCAACCTAGATTGATCTCTATATAATATAAGCCTGTATTTTTCATATCATTTCAAGAATAGGATATAAAATATAAATGAAATGATATTATATATCTATACTTTGATATATTAGCATTCCATAGATAATTTATTATGAGTGTACATTGTTAATAATAAGATGAATGGATATAGGTAGGTACCTAATAGTTATAAAGTTGTTGAAGTTGTCGAAGTTGTCGAGATCAGATTCTATATAGCGCATATCCTAATAGAGATTGATTATACCTAGACACGCACGGACCATGATAGGTACATATGTACTCATACTAATAGACCCACTTGTGCTTATCAGAATATTTTTCAATCGATAAGCAAAAAAATTCCCTGAGCAAATGGAACAACGGGTAAAAGCAGACAGCCCACTTCTCAAATCAACATTTATATAACCAACAATTAATACAAATCAATACAACATTTTCTCAGTAACTATGGAGTCAACCAAGTATGCCAAAAAGAGAAAGTTCAAGGATGCCAATGGCTCCAAAAGCGTCGAGTCAAAGTTAAAGGCGCTTCCCGTTAAGGCACCCAAATCCAAGAAGCTAAAGCGAGCTGCACCCGAGATTGCTACTGAATCCTCGAATGACGACTCTGAAGCCGAAGATGACGTCCAAGAACAAGATTCGGATGATAGTGAAAAAGAAGATGGTCAGGATGAGGAAGAAATAGAAGAAGAGGATGCGAAAGAAATCTCTGAATTGAATAAGAGAGTGGAAGCGGCGAATGCTGAGGACGAGGACGATGGTCAAAGTCTTCAAAATACAGATTTGCCTACCGATAGCGCCATCGCCGCCCTCCAGACTGCGATCGGTTCTGATGCGCAAAACTTCGCCGACTTAAACTTGTCAGAAAAGACCAACAAGGCTATCAAGGAAGATATGGGCTTTGAAAAGATGACAACTATTCAACGGAAAGCAATTCCACCTTTACTAGCTGGCCGTGATGTGCTCGGTGCTGCAAAGACAGGTAGCGGAAAGACTTTAGCCTTCTTAATCCCAGCGGTAGAAATGCTGAGCGCACTACGATTCAAGCCGCGAAACGGAACCGGTGTTATCGTCGTCTCTCCTACAAGAGAGTTAGCCCTACAAATTTTCGGCGTTGCCCGCGAATTGATGGCGCATCACTCCCAGACATATGGCATAGTTATTGGAGGCGCAAACCGCAGGGCAGAGGCCGAAAAGCTATCCAAGGGAGTGAATCTCATAATTGCGACACCCGGGCGACTCCTAGATCATCTACAAAATACCCCTTTTGTCTTCAAGAATCTAAAGTCTCTGATTATAGACGAGGCCGATCGTATATTAGAAATAGGTTTCGAAGATGAAATGCGCCAAATCATCAAGATCCTACCTAGCGAAGGCAGACAGACCATGCTCTTCTCCGCGACGCAGACGACCAAAGTTGAAGATCTTGCCAGGATTTCTCTTCGACCGGGTCCTCTCTACATTAACGTCGATGAAGAGAGTACCAACTCTACCGTTGCGGGGCTTGAGCAAGGATACGTTACCTGTGAAGCTGATAAGCGATTCCTTCTGCTTTTCTCGTTCCTGAAGCGTAACCTGAAGAAGAAGGTTATCGTGTTTTTCTCCAGCTGCGCCAGTGTCAATTACTATGCCGAGCTTTTAAATTACATCGATCTGTAAGTCCTCTGTTCCCAGTACCACGCCTCGGTCCGTTCATAGATTACTAACAATATTCGGTAGGCCTTGTCTATCTCTCCACGGCAAGCAGAAGCAACAAAAGCGGACAAACACGTTCTTTGAGTTCTGCAACGCCAAGACGGGCATCCTTCTATGTACAGATGTTGCCGCTCGTGGTTTGGATGTAAGTAGTCGAAGTAAATCTCACAGCAGCTTGCCACTAACTAGAGAATAGATCCCAGCAGTTGACTACATAGTTCAATTTGATCCTCCCGATGATCCCCGCGACTACATCCATCGGGTTGGTCGGACCGCACGTGGCGCAAATTCCAAAGGCCGCAGTCTCCTCTTCTTGCAACCCCACGAGCTTGGTTTCTTGTCTCACCTGAAAGAGGCTCGCGTGCCTGTACTCGAGTATGAATTCCCTGCGAAGAAGATTCTGAACGTCTCTTCGCAACTCGAAAAACTCATCTCACAGAACTACTATCTCAACCAGAGCGCCAAGGATGGTTATCGGTCATATCTGCACGCTTACGCAAGCCATAGCTTGCGTTCTGTTTTTGATATAAACAAGTTGGACTTGATAAAGGTCGCCAGAAGTTTCGGCTTCTCTACGCCTCCGCGGATCGACCTCACGTTAGGTGCGAGTATGAGCAGGGATAAGAAGGTGCAAGGAAGGAGGGCATATGGCAGCCAGCCAAGGCAAGCCCAGAAGTTCAAGAGGCGATAGTACTGGCCTGGGAATTCATAATTGTGGAGTTTCGGTTGTGCTTTGATACTATACCAGCTTCTGTTACTTAAATCCTTTATGCGAAAATAGACAGTATGATAACGCAAGGTCGGATGCAGCCACTACTAATGGGATGCTTTATCAGTGAGATTGAAGATAGCATGTTATAGACGCCATAATCAAATGCGCTCATATCTGCTTCATAGCATTGGCCGTACGATTTAATAGATCCCTTCTCGCATTCTCCATAGAGCCGGTGAAGGGCTATCAGGGGCTAGCTGTATTGGTTTATAGTAGCGTATCAGAACTGATAATAACTACCTGATAAGCAGCTTAACATTGTGGCGTATAGACATCCTTCCAGGAGATAGTTGAAGTCTCAAATATATATATATATACCTAGGTATACTGGTATCTCTCCATATGGCATATATAACCCAGAAAGAAAATAGACGTAAACCAACATCGCAGTATTCTTTATTTTTAGATCACGAATCAAAGCTATGCTCCATCTAACTGCAAATAATACAAAATTTCATGCATCAAATACCTTTTTAAAATGTCTGTAACATTGAAGGTTGGCTACTTTAAAAATGCCAAATTCAACGCTATATACTACACTCAGTAACACGTTCCAAAGGTCGTTTCGTGCTGGAAGCAGTTTAGCGTCAAGAGTTATGGCTTCGGTACCCCGACGGCAGACTCTCCCTACGACCCAATACTCGAGATACAATGGCCTAGGATCGACGAATGCCGCAGGGCACTGGCTATGGTGCCTCCCGAAGAAGCTTTGGTGATTATTAATGACGTCGAAAACTATAGCCTTGAAGACCTGAAGATGTGGCTTGTGGACGGGGAAGTCACTGTAGCGAATGTTGAGGTACTACGAGGTGGTGAGGATGGGAAGGGCGGTCTTCACTGTTTCCGCTTTAAGGAGCTTGTGTGAATGTGACATCGGACGCGAACAATTATATTTAGGAAATCAGCCAGTCTTAATTCTTCAGAGATGGGAAATCCTACAGACAGATTGTTAGGGATAAATACAGGGTTATCAACAAGACTGACGATGTTGGTTCTATTTACCTATACATTCGTTTTGTAGGAAGTGAGGATTTACACTCTTTCTAATAAACCAACTACTATACAGCACTTATATCATACGATATTATCACCGAGACATAGTGATAGTATATTACTGGCAAGCTGTAGCGATCTTACCAGTATTGGGTGAAGTCTGAGTTTACTCGGCTACAGCTTATGTATTCACGGTTATCAATATCCCGTACGAACTACGACCCGTAACATATGTAGTATGCTATATTCTATTTCCTTGAATCCTTAATGTCATACTAGCAAATATCTTATTTAGTAGCACGCGATTGACAGAACTCGGCAACCTGTACGCCCCAAGCCTCCTCCTTCTCAACGCCCGTACTCAGGCCTAGTTGAGGGCTGATATGATTGTGCCCGTCTAGGATATCGTAGTCGATATCGGCCTTCGTCCACTCCTTCTTGAACTGCTGTGCCGATTCATACATAAGCTCGGGGTCCAGTTCGCTAACGAGGATGCTGATCTTGACACCGGGTAAAACCGGCTCGGCGTCCTTCTTTTTCTCCTTCTCCAGAATACCAAGCGACGAGTTCTCCCGGATTTTGCCCTCCCCTAAGTATGCTCGTAGGATTGCGTTGTCGTCACCGCCCCAGTGGAACGGTACGCCGAGCAGTATCACGCCTCTGAGTAGCACACCCGGGCCTTTTCGCTCCTCGGATACAACCGACTCCCTAGACTCTTTGAATTCAGGGTCCAGGAGGTATGTCGTAACATGAATACCTCCAGCAGAATTACCCAGTAGAAACAAGTCAGTAGACTCATATCCCTCCTGCTTCGTCAACTCCTTCGCGATCCAGTCGATGACAAGCTTAACATCCTCGCCACCAGAGGGATACTTAGCGCCGTGAGAAATGAGGCGGTAGTCCGGGACGATAACAGTAAAGCCATAGCGGGAAGCGAAGAAGTGGCCAACATTCTTAAATACAAGGCCATGGGCATACTCCTCGTTTATCTTACTGCCGCCTACGAACCCGCCTCCGTATAGAAAGATGAACACGGGCTTCGCGCGGAACTGTGGGGCCGCTTTACCTTGGTTCGGATAATAGACGTCTAGCTGCTGTCGTGAAGTTGCCCCGTACTTATACGTCTCGCGTCGCGTAGACTTGATTTCGGTCTCCTTAGCGAGGACGAGCGGCGCGTAAGCCGCGAAAGTAGGTAGCAGTAAATCATCGATTCCACGCCCTAGCGGTCTCAACTTGTCCATTGTGTGTGTTAATGCGTACGAGGTAGTATATCTTCACTAACTAACTACTGCGAAGTATGGTGGTTTTTCAGGGTCCAACAGATTAGAAAGATGGTTGGTGGAGAGGTTTAAGACGGCGGCCCCAGTCCAGATCGAATGGTTAATATCGATCTCTACCGTAGCATTCGGTGGATTATTTGCATATGAATGCGGGGAATGACATGCAGCTCATAACCCATAAACCTGGCATCAGCATCGTTATTCCTCCATTGATCCTAGCGAGACGGGAAGTTTGACGTTGTCGTACGGTGACTTTCGGCATTTCTGTCCTACAGTCCTATAGGGGCCAAGACAAATAGTTACCGAGCGGACTTATATCGTTAGCTATGAGGCGAGGCCGCGCTAGGCTTGATTGTACTGTTATTATTGGATCACATTATACCCCTTTTGTTTACTTTCGGTGTCAGAATGGAGATAACTCCTAATAGTTAAAGCAAACTTTAGTTCTCAGCGCTTAATCCAAGTAAGGGGATGTTCAAAAAATTAAAAATAAAAGGTGTTTAATTTACTACAACAGATAACTAATAAATATATAAACCTATTACAATTTCTGTCCGGCAGTACCGGGCACGGTTTTAGCAACGGCAGCGGAACCCAGCACCTTGATAGGGGGGTACGGCAGCGAACTAGCCTTCAGAGTGCCGACTGGTGCTGAGTTCTGCGAGCCTCCAAGATTGACATCGTCGAGGACGGCAAAGCCAGTTTCCTTAGAGTCAGCGAAGAAGACTGCGTTCTTAGCGCTATTCTTGAAGGCAGAGCTTTGAATCAGAACTTGAGCGCCCATCCGGGTATTGACACCAGTTCCGATCAATGAGTCCCAGAATGTGTTGACGATATGCACGGTTGCGAAGCGGATTAGAGGTGCCCGACTATACGTATTAAAGAAGTGATTGCCGGCATAAGTGACGTGAAGGGATCCTTTATCCTCCTTGGCGTTGCTGTCCGAGTGACCGATCAATGACGCTTTCCAATGATCATGCAAGTATGTGTTCGACACGGTAACCCACTCAGATCCGTGCGAGATATCGAGTAGTCCGTCAAGATCGTCTTTGCCGAGTTTTAGGTCACCGGATAGGTCGCAATGGTCAACCCAGACGTTTGATGATGCATCGATGCCGATGGCGTCGCCATTCTTAGCTAGGACCTTAGAGATCTTCATGTTACGGATAATAACATTATTAACTTTGCGAATGTATAGACCGACACCGGTAAGAGAACTACCCTTCTCTCCATAAATAGTCTTGTCGGCGGAGACGCGTACTTTGGCAGAGCCGGAGATGGCACCAGAGACGATGATAGTGAGAGGGCCTTCCTGTTTAGCTGCCTTGGTGAGGCTATCGACATCGGTTACGGTCACGGTCTTACCCGCGGCGCCACCTTTCGTTCCGCCGTTCAGGGTGCAGTAGCCGATAGAGCATGCCTCAGCGGCCTGTCTTCGAGCAATGCTATTGCGTGCAACGACATCGTTAAGAGGAGAGGCTATAGCGAAAGCCGCAAATAGCGAAACAGCCGAGAACTTCATATTTGTAGTGTAATAAACGAATGTTACGGCTCCAAATACGCCCAAATGATAAAGACAGGATAGTTGAGTATGAGGTGTAAATGAGTGAATGAGGTGAGCTGATCATACTCGTTATATTATGTCTTTTAATGCCTGGGGAAAGAGTCATTATATAAGAATTATGTCTCCTTAAACATTCCCCATAGAACGGTATATTCCAATATAGGATACCATCATCATATGAGTCCTGCGTGTTATGGACATGACTATTGGCAGAGAAGTGGATTCGGACAGAGGATGCATCAGGAAAGGTTGAAGAAAATACAATATTCAAGGGGCATGGTTCCCGCCTACTAAAAAGCTTGTCTAGTCTTGGCGGACATACCTCCTTCGAATAACCAGGTACCAAGAGGTGATCACAAGCCAAAAGAACCAGTATAAGTTCATCATGTTTGAAAAAAGGGCGGATAGAAGCAGATGAAGTGCAAACCGAGGTTAAGCCCGGTGGGCGTGAGCCATAACCCCTGAAATCTCCAATCTCTCGATTTATATACAAGTCCGGGCTTATATCTTATATAGGGCAATGATGTGACATGCTGTTGGTCGCTCATTCGACATTGCACGTTGCGATCCACCGGGACCGTTCAGTGGCCGTTCACATTACCATTAGAAGATGGAAAGCATACGATAAATTAATCCGTTGCTATGATTTCTTAGAATAACTCGGGTTAAAACATTGCGAGTTAAAGAAAAGACGCTTTAAGAGAGTTATAGCAAGGGTGGTTATAATTTGTAATGCCAACCCAACACTACTTATCACCACCTTAACCCACACGTATAATAGATGTTTCACCAAAGAATAATGTTCAACGCCGCGCAGTAAATATACAAATAACTCAATCCAACTCTAATGTCCGGCCAGCCAAGCAACTAGCCAAGCAATAATGATACGCCCATCTCTCGTATACACAATAAGAGCCCCGTGGCTGCTGCATATCGACCTGAAGAAACGTTCAAGTTCTTGTTTCACCAACAGTACCAGAAACCCAACTACACCGAAACTAATTAGAATACGAGTTCTAGGCAAAGATATAGTATAACTGAGAAGATACCTAACTGAAGGCTAACTTACCGTTTCCACATCTTGCCTACATATCCAGTGTTATACTGATCTGATATGCTCTCGCGTCTTTTGATGGCCTCTTTATCGGTGGGTCTCTTTTGATCGTAGAGGTTATTGAAATCAGGACCGGAGAACTGGACAGTTGTTGTTAGCTCGAAGTCATCAAGTGAGAATCTAGAGCGTCGACTTACAGAGCCAGAATTAGTGTTTCTACCACCTTGCTGACTGGCCTTTCTGCCTTCGGACTGTGCGGTATCCCGGTTGCTCATGTTGATTGAAAATGTAGGTAATCTGTAAATATTGGTAACTAGTAAATTATCTCAATATGGTCCAAATGTAGAAGATTTATTTTTCGTATATATATTAGAAGCCTTCATAAACACTTGAAAGAACGATTATATAAGATTCTAAAGAAAGAAGCGGATCTCTCAACCATAGGAAATTCTATAATACTATTGGATAAGCCTCAATGAATGATGAGTATTGACGTACTCGGTACCGTGACAAAAAGCATAATCTCATTGGCGAATTACGGTGACGAAGTGGTGAAGTCACCAATCATCACACAACCAACCATGTGGCCGTACATAAAAGGGTCTGAGTCAAGCAAGCCCACAAAGACGGATAGCTACGATGGCGGGAAAGGGGTTTGGAAGGGAGATCGAATAATAAGACTTAGACTAAAAGACTTAATCTAGTCTAACCTAGTTACTAAATTCTTAGGCTACTAAGAAGGTCAAGACCCGGTTATATCAGTCTTATGGCCTTAGCTTAGTAGGTTAGTATATAACTTGTATTTGGCATAATAACCTTCACATACGACCATAGGATTTGGAAAACTCGGGATCCCGTCCGCTCTCCCATAGATAAGCCAAATACCGCTAGATTAGTAGTTGGGTCGGTGACGACCAGCGAATCCCTGGTGTTGTATGTTTTTTCTTTCTTTTTTCCCCCCTTTTCATATTTTTTATGGTCTTTTTTAACTCCTCTACCTATATTCGACATTACCTAATGAAATATACACGTGAAATAACTGTTATGGTGTTATACAACAATGTGGGAAGTAAAGGCTGGCCCTCTTCGTAGGGTGAGGGTATTCCAAACTTTTAGTCTACCCACATTTTTTCTACGGCAGCAGATTTAAGTGGATATACGACATCTTCTCTATCCGTTAACATAATATCTAGTTTAAACAGGATTGCATGGTATATAAATTGAATAGTCTCATGGGAATATTTTTAATTTACTGTTGGATCTATATTGGTTGTCTATAATCCCTAGTCAGCCTCCTTAACCAACGCCCAGCACTTCCGCATGCCCGTCCCCATCGACTCCGCATCAAGAGCCTCAACATCGCTCCACCGGCTTCGTGTCCTCCCATCCTCTTTAAGCCTATCTTCATCACTATCCTCACCCTCATCCACAAATTCAAACAGATGAACATGCATCGTCAACTTCAAATGAGAAAACAGCCACGGTACGGACCCCAATTCATCCACATGCTTCACCACGGTCTTCCTCTTCCTTGCCTTCACACTCTCACTAATCAACCCCTGAACAAACTTCTCCGCATCTCTCTTCCTAGTCTTTGCCGATCCTCCTTGCGGATCCTTCACAATATAACTTGGCAGCTCCCACAACCCCGCCAAGAGCCCCTTCTCAGGCCTCTTATGAATCAGATACCGACCATCACTGCGCCGGATAGCACATACTAGAGTTTCTTCTTCGCGCACAGCTTTCTTTACCGTCTTTAGTGGGAACTTTCTCGCGTAGTTTACGACGGCTTCTAGTGCGGCACTACTAAGAGCCGGAGATGGCGGTGGCTCAGGGCCGGGTGTGATTTTCCGTTTGGACGTGACTTGTGTGAATGCGAACGATCGTAACGTAGTCTGTGTACGAGACTTGGGTTTCTGCTGTTTGGGCCCTTCCTCCGTCTTTGTGCCTTGCTCATTATCGTCGTCTTCTTCTGCATACTCCTCAAACGGCTTACAAAGAATGCAAGCGTCTTCAATATCAAGAGTAGTATTACTGGATACCGTAGGCTTGGATATAAACCCTCTTTTACTGGCTGACCGAATACCTTCGTCGTATGCGCGACAGCTTGATGTAATGGGACATACTGCGCAGTTGGGTTTTGGTGTGCATATCGTGCTGCCCAGTTCCATCAACGCTTGGCCCCAGCGACCAGGCCTATTACTCGGTGCTGCTTCTTTCTCTTCCTCCTTCTCAGTAGTGGTATTGTGATCAATATCATCCTCATCTTCTGGATCATCACCTGCAATAGCCTTAACTAGGCTATCAGCCGCCGCCCATAGCAACTCAATAATTGCTTTATCCGCCTTGACATCCCCAAAAACGCCAAGTTGCCGACTGAGGACACGTAGCACGTTACCATCTACCATCGGCGCTGCCCTCCCAAAGACAATCGCTGAGATAGCCCCCGCTGTGTACCTCCCGACGCCGGGCACTTTTGCCACCAGCTCACCCACATCTGTTGGTAACAAACCTTTCATACTAGAATCCTTACACACGATCTTTGCCGCGTCGTGGATTCTCGTAGCACGGCTATAGTATCCGAGCCCACGCCAGGCCGAAAGCACTTCGTCCTGCTCTGCGGCTGCTAAGTCCTGGATCGTGGGCCATCGTTCCATCCAACGGTTCCAGTAGTCGATAACAGTGGCAACGCGCGTCTGCTGGAGCATGATCTCGCTGATCCAGACCTGATACGCGCGGCGCTCGACTTCCTCGAGAGTAGTGGTACTTGGGTCCGTCCAGGATTTACGCCAGGGCATCTCGCGCGAAGAGCTCACGCTATCAAACCAGGTGAGTAGAGATGTGCGAGCTTGACGACTGTCTAAGAGTAAAGGACGGTGATAATATAGTCCGTGGACACGATTAGGGAGGTTAATATAAGTACTTTCTGTAGTAGATATGTTTAGGGCTATGTTCGGTTTACCGAAGAGGCACGCATATAGCTGAGCGGTATCATCTCCATTCTTTTTACTAGAACGCGCCCCTACCTTTTGCCTCTTGACACGTGGTGCTTCTGCTGGGCTATCTTCAATGAATTCTTCATCGCTCTGATGCTGAATGGTCCTCTTCCTAATCCTAGTTTTTCGAGAAGGACTATTAGTTTTTAGCAGCTCTTCATCCTTCGTGACAGATAATAATTCTGGTGCATTAGCTTCATCCGCTAATATTGAGACTGACTGTCGCGTGCTTCGCAATGAGCGCCGCATAGTTTGAAGCGTATAAGTTGATGATTTGTTTAAATAAAATATGTCGCGACGCGTTAAGAGATATAACCGCGTCATCACGTGATGTCTATTATTCATATAACTATCATATATCAATTCAGGGGTTTAAAGCTAGAACATATATTGTCGTGCATATATCTTTTTAAATATTTGCTTCTATCTTGGCTTATTTCTCTACATTTCCTACCATCTAAATCATACTTTTTCCCACCCATATCTGCATTAGCTAATTTGGGCTTATGTGCTCTCATTTCAAGCGGTTCATGGAAAACGCTTCCTTACTTTTTTTCCCCTTATTCTGATCTTGAATATTCAGCTTAAAACTTTGCTCTACTCCTGTGGCTACCTTGTCCTAGATAATAATGAGCTAGTTAATGTGTTAGCGGTTTGTTCTTTACATGTTGAACTGAGGACATTACTAACCTCAATTAACTTCTCAGTCAATATAGAGCACTGCTTGTCCGGATCTTGAGAGTAAGTGAAGGAACTCGAGCGATAAAGTCCTTCGAACCCCAAATCTTCTAAGATGTCACTTAATATACCGGCGCTTTCTAGCGCACTCGTAAACTTTGGGTTGGATGATAACGTCTGAAGTAGAGCGTGCGCTGATCCAAGTGTCGAAGAGTTTTGACCATGGAGCAACACCTCGTCTAGAAATGATGCGATGGTTGGGCATCTATACTATGTTAGTAGCTTATAATACGCAAGGACCAATTCAACTCACAGATGCAATACAACAGTAGGTCTTCCGGATGCTAGGTCATTAAGCCATGCTAGAGTATGGGTCTGTATCGCCTCATCTAAGATCTGGAAATCGACCAACTCGATAGCCGTGCTTAGTAAAAGGTCTTTGTCCTTTACGCTATCCAGGTCGCGCAGGTTACGAGTTGGTCCTAGATTAGCAACGTTTAATGGGTTGATACCCGCCGACCAGAGGCATTCCTTTAAATCTTCAGGAGTAATTGCCCGGGCATGAATGAGAGCCAGATATGGTGACGCGTAGAATTCGGTTGTAAAGGTCTTCGATGAATCCTCGGAGCTGCCTGTTGTCATTTCGAGGAAGGTTGAGAGAACCCGGAGTGCTGTAATTCTAATGATAGGGTCTGTAAGCCCTCGCGCGAGACAGGCGCAGACTGCGAAATGGAAACTGTCTGCCGTAAAATGTATCCCGTACGCTTCATCTAGGGGTATCGCCGCTTCTTCTAATGTTGCTCGGCCTTGTAAGAGATATTGTGCCATTTTATTATTCCTCAATTCACTTGTCGTCCCAATGTTTGCCAAAACAGCTTCTAGGAATAAGGCAGCACAGTTGAACAGATTAACAGGTACAAGACGGACGAGTGACATCGCTAACCAGAACAGTTGCGGCCCATACCGAGAGGCTGCAGTGAGCTTCGCGATCATCTTAGATAATGATGTGACGATAGCAACGAGCATGTCGCTGCCGTTGTCTTCACCAAAGCGGCCAACACTGTTGCGGAGTGCTACGAGGACCTGGTAGAGCAAGTCATCGTCAACCTCTTCGCGAGCCAAACATCCCATTACGGTAAATGCTCGGGGCTGAATTGCTGGGTTATTTTGAAAGGCAGTGCTGGCTACCAAACTCATCCATCTGGACCGCCAAGCGTTAGCCATATCGACAGATGGTGCTGCAACAGAACACGTCTCAAAGAGTAGAGTAGCTAGGTTCTCTATAACCGCAAGCGTCGGCCCGGCCTCGTGAGACGTTGAGATAGAGGCTCCATCTTTAGTTAAGACCAAGGGGACGGACAGACTATCATTCCTTGGTTCGGACAAGATTTCAAGGGTACCCCGGAGTTTCGATAGCTTCGTATCTTCTAGTTGGAATGAGGTGCAAGCTGCATGGATTGAATTGATTAGCAGTCGGTGGACTAGCGCTCGAATATCGTGAGTGCCCGTGTTTGACAGCATAGTGACTATATGGAATATTTCAGGTAGGTAGATCTGCGACTGAACGCCACAGTCGAAGGAAAGGGAGAGGCAAAATTGGAGTAGAATGCAAAGCTCATTCCAAACGGAGTTATCGGGGAGATATTTCGTGGGTCGAAGCGAGGATCTGTTCAGTGCCTTCCGAAGCCTAGATATTATCTTTCCACGAAGCGTTATCGTGCCAATAGCTGTCACTATTGATGTTAAAGCTTGCGTGTGCTCATCATATAGTCCTACGGCTAGCGCTGCCTTGACAATCTCGTCAAGGAAGATGTCTAATAAGACCTCATCCTTATGAATCGCCGGCCAAGCTGTGTATTCCAAAATTAGACCTAGTGAAGGCTCCATAACCGTCACATCTATCAACTTGCGGAAGATCGAAGCGACCTTTTCTTTAGCCTTTTCGCTATCAGACTCGTCCGGTAAGAGTGATGTACGCAGGCTTGGTATCCAGGGCGCCATGTAAGCCAGGCTCAAAGGTTTCTGCTCATCAGAGAAGCTTTCCCACCCGACAAAGAATTCATTCAAGAAGTCGCCTGTTAGCTGAGGCTCTTCTTTGGCAAGGACTTTGCTGACATTGACGATGAATTGAGTAGGGTCTAGAGGAACGGAGACATCTGCGTAATATGGTCAGTGAAGAAGGCGAGAGAATTTTAGAGAGGGCCTTACCTTTAGTGCACATGAACATAGAGGCTGCCTTGAACTTAAAAGCTCGACATAGCGCGCCGAGTAGATTATACGATGCAATCCGGAGCATCGCATCTGGAGAAGCAAGATTTGTTAACGCAAGATTCAGCAAGGTCCCAGGGACATCTTGAGGTCGGATAAGACGCTCGAACGGTTTTATCGTCCTAGCATCTTTACTTAACATTGCCTTTGCTCTGCGGATTTCCTTCAAGACGTCGGCCTTCCTACTGCTTTGGAAGTACATCACAATTTTGCCATTATCTGCACGCAACCCAAACGCAGAGTCATCCTCCGTAGGAATAGAGGTTGGCGCCTCATCTAGATCCTTAAGATGGAAAATGTCGTTTACAATTCCGTTTAGACGAAAAGTTGGATGAACCTCCTGTTTCTTCACGGTAGTTACTTGTACAAACGAGCCACCGACCCCAATTGTGACTTCAATCTTTCCTTTAGTCTTCGAGAGCCGAGTAACCGGCTGGAAAGTGTATCGAGAATCGGTGGCTATGCTGAGGGTCTCCTTCGGAAGGTGAACTTGACTAAGGTGGAAATGTGCCTGTAGATCTTGACGGCTGCCGACTAGTAGATAATCTACGTTGCCTGGGTTTAAAACATTTGTATCACTCTTCGTGGCTATACGAAGTATACGTCGGAAGCATTTCCTGGTTTCGTTAGCATGTAGGATACGCGATAGTGCGATATTAACATACCGGAATGTGCTGTTCATATTATAGACATAAATCCTAGAAAGTTGATCAGACAACTCGCTCGGACTAAGAAGATCCAACTTTTTGAACAGCTCGTCCGGGGGGTCGTTTTGACCATCATAACACGTCGCATCGATTAGTAACCCGAATGGCTTGTGCCATAGCCGGCTCGCAATCTAGGACAGGTTAGACAATGGAGCCTACAATAAGGGAAGGGGTAAAGAAACGGATGCGCGGAGGAAATTTGTTGATTGGAAGAGCCGAACGCATCGGTTTGGTTAGAACTTACTTTTAGGAAGCAATACAAAAGGGTATCATAATCTATGGAATCTTGATCGATATGGCGAAGAATTATACAAATAACAGAGAGCCCATCCTGTTAGTCATTAGCCTTAATCAAGTACAGAATATGTCCTGTCAATCACTATATACATACTCTACTCTCGCCGCCGTCATAGATAGCACGAGATGTCGCAAAGGAATCGGTACCCCGGAAAGCGTTGCGAAGCATGAAATGTTGGAACCTAGAGTAAGACAGTGGAGTATTTGAAGATATTTGAGGGCGGTTCCAAGTAACCGCTAACGGAGGTGGCCCCAAATTTGTTACGAGAGCCCGTAAGGGTTCAAGTACGGGTGTTCGACCACGAACCAACTCGTTAGGAGAGCGAACGTGTTCTCGTCGTTCCTGAGACATGAGTCTTTGCCGGACATGGTCCCAGTGGTCATATAAAAACCTGTGTAGAGCGACACAGGAGCCGAACTCATAGGTTTCGCCGTCTGCTGGACGCGTATCAAGAACAGGTGGAGGTACCTAGATGGCAGCATTATTAGTAGGAATGGGAATAGGTAAGGAACTTGGTAATTCTTACCGATATTTCTCTGAGAAATGTGGTAACACGATAAATGTTCTGCGTCAAAAAATCATTTAGAGGATACATATATGGCTCCTTTGCTCCGAACAAGACGTTATTTGCTAGATTCTGAATGACTTTTGCGATTAGGAGTAGACCACGTCGCATCTCCTTAGACGGCGCTGTAGTTACTAGGTTCTCTGCCTCGGGGGCGACGATGGCAGGGCAGAAGAATCTTAAAAATATGAAAGCTCCAACAGCCGTATATTTAGCCTCTTGGAACCTAGGCATTACCGCTGAAGATATCTATCTGAATGTCAATAACGGTACCTTATACATATCGATAAGAGCCAACTTACTATGCTACAGATTTTCCTAAATGATGTAGGGATGCTGGTGGAGGATGCACAAATATCATCAATAAAAACTTTAGCGACGATGCGTAGCTGTAGCGCATTCTTTTGGAGTTCTTCTTGGGATGAAATTCTTGTTGGATCAAGCTCAAGATCCAAGTCCTTTGAAGTTAGCATTAACCTCTCAACAACTTTTTGGAGCGTAGCTTTGAGATAGTTTGCCCCTTTCCACCTCGCGTAGATGGAGAGCATCTTGGTAGCGACACAATTTCGACGGAGTATCTCAGATTCGTTCTCTAAGTAAATAAATTAGTCCAGGGATTTGGGACAATTAGCTCTTAACTAACCTGTATCTTCAATCTCCTGTTTAATCAACGCTTCCATGAGTTCAAAAACGCGCCCGCGAGATTCAAAAATGTAGAGCATCGAAATTGTAAGTTCCTCGACTTCACCGCTTGGGCAGACTGTACTAATAGCCACGGCAAGGTTCATGTCATGGGTAAGTAACTGATTAATTGTAGTTAGCTGACATGAACGATTAAAGAGGCCTCATTGAACATAGCTGCCTACCTCTAATAGCTCATCGTACTTCTCATTTACTGCCTTGTCAGACAAGTTACTGAACTCTGTCCCTTGAACTAAGATATTGTAAAGGACCTTTATAAACGCAGTGCGAATCTCCACATTTTCATTATAGCCGATACTGAGGGAGTACTTGAGGCCTACATCGATATTGGCACTTAAGAGGTTTGAGAGGATGGTGATGGATAGTTCAGACGTCGATCCAGTTTCGTCGCGTTGGGATGAGTTTCCAGTAACATCTCCCCTGATACTATCTGTCGGCTCGTAGTTAAGTAACGAAAGGAACCTGTTGAAATAGGTACGGAACATCTGGGATTTTAACTCGCTGATACCAGCGTCATTCTGCCCGTCTCCCGGCTGAAGTGGTAGCCTGTAAGTAAGCTCTGCGAGAGACCTGAGACAAGCTTTATCGAGATCTCGTTGGATTCGCGTCGCATTATCCTGGTGAAGCTGCGTGTAGCTGCCGTCTATAGGTGGTGACCGAGGCCTAGCAATCCAACTAAAGATATATTCCAGGAGCTGATTTCGTTTCCGAACGTCATCGCGTAGGTTCAAGTGCTCTTTCTTCCTATTAACAGACTCGCACATCTGACAAATCTTGATTTTGACTCGTAGACTAGCTACATTATCGGCCACACCATCTAGAAACTTTGCGAAGCTCAACCCAAGGGAGCCAAAATTGATCGACGATGCGGCTCCTAACTCGGAGGGCGTCTGTAATCGTTCTATTAAAGCCTTCAATAATGATGCAGCTTGTTCGGCGAATATGATCTCAACGTCCTGTCCTTTACTCGATGTTTCGAGAGCACCCGTGAAGAGCACTTCAAGTTCCGATTCGAGTGCCCTAAATAAAGGCTGATATAAGCTTGGGGATATGTCAGTAGATAAGACCTCCCGTGTGGTTTCCCTAACTCGCACGTTGGTACACGCAAGTAGCTGAGTACTAAGCTGGAGGTATCTGTTGAGAAGGGGCTCCTCGTGGTTTTCCGACGAAAGTCGATCAATCCACTTAAGACCACTAGCAGCAGGCTCATCCATAATATAAGCTTGTTCAGCCGTGCAAATACCACCAAGCGACGCGAGGAACCCAGATAGGTTTCTCCACTCAGAAAAGCGCCTCTCGTCGACATTCTCTGCGGATGTCGTGGACACATCTTTCGAGAGGTGAAGCCACTTATCAAATGCCTTCTCCCAAGCTTCTAGAATACCCACACTTGGATATTGCATGCGCCTTAATAGGGCACGTGTCCGTTTTTGGAAAGCCATCATTCCTGTGAATCGGAATTCGGGAGAAGCGATCTCGCCGAAGATTTCGCTATTCCGGAGCAATAGATTCGCGGTCTTGCCTGCATCCACAGTGGAATCCAAAATGCGGCACTCTTCATTAAAGAGCCCAATGCAAGACGTTACTAGCTGGCTCGTTTCTATGTCTGCCGAACAAAGGGATGTTAGGAAGAGAGTCTCGAGTTTCGTCGAGGTCGCTATGCGTTCCGGAATGTCCTCGGATACCACACACAGCTCCTGCAAGTCTGTTAGCATAGGTTATTATACAAGTCTCCCGGCTCCTGACCCTACCTTTATTGAACTCAGGAGCAGTAGACGCGACTCGAGGTATCCGTGAATGGACTTAAACAATGAACTCTCTCCTTGCTGTTCGAGCTTCTCACACATTTCCATCAAAACAACCGATCTATAGCCGGCCATCAGTTATAGCATATACCTTAGGGCTTAAGGACTTGAACCTACGTCAATTTCCAGAACTTAACCCCGAAGCTGTGCGAGTCTATTCGTCTTGATTTGCGTAACGAAGAGAGAAACCCACTCGGAGCTAGCAGTTTCCTAGCTAAGTTACTGGCGAGGGCCCTAATAGAGTCATTCGCTGTTACAAGACAAGACACGAATGCCTCAAAGATTCCTTCGTAGAACTGCTCCTCTTCCGCACTATTCGCCGGCGGAGCTTCAAATAGGGTTTCCGGCGAGGCATCTAGGAAGTTCAGTACGTTACATACTAATATAGTCGTAGACGAATCAGCTTCGGAGGATTTGCGCTGCGAGTGATGATCTCCTATGTATAAATCCGCCGAAAGAGCGGATGTCGCCTAGAGAGAGAGTCAGTACGTCTGCTTGCTTAGATATGTATTTTACATTGAGGAAATTCTAACCTTCATTTGGCTCTGTATATACCCAGCGGCCTCGGCAAACAAGCGATGATAGTCCTGGGCATTGGGTTGCCGCGCAAAGTACGAACACGCTTGGATAATTGCGATCTTGAAAGTAGTTGGCGCGGCAGAATGAAGGCACGACTGTGTTAGCGACTCTACGGAGCCCTCAAAGTTCAAATGTGTAAGACTAATGAAGGCTGCAGTAGTCAAGTCTTGATCGAACAGAGATCCCTCGCCATTAGGATGGTACCGGCGAAAAACAGCGTCCCGGACTTCATCCTGAACATCCATGGCATAACTTACAATTGCAGCGTCTCCATCATCGTCGAAATGACGAACGGCTCGGAGAAGGCTAACAAGACAATACCCAGCCGCGTCGTTTTTATTCCTGAGCGCTTTTCTTAAGCCTTCAAGAAACCCAACTTTTTTAGTCATGCCACCAGTTTTCGCTTCCCGTAAATTACTTGCTACTTCGAATACATCGGGAATCAGCATGAGTAGAGAGGTTTGGAAGGGGAACAATATTGACCGCCGTTTCCCACTATCGGCTATCGTTTGTGTCATATCAAACAGAGTATCAGGACCACCCTCCAACTTCCTATGTTGATAGTGCAATGTGACGAACTCCTTAGGATAGCGCTCGATCCATCCGATTATTAGGAGCGGCGTGATAACGGCAATCGTATTTTGGTAAGCTCGTCGAAAGTGGAGGAAGCTGGAGCACAATTCTTGGATTATAAGTCCAAGCTTCTGGCCGTCAACCCACATATACGAGACTAAACGTAGTATCACTAACGAAGTCTTCTCTTCCTCGGCCATCGCTAGGGTCGGAACCACTTGCGCCGCACCTGTGGTCCTAATTCCTTGGATGCTGGTTCTCACATTTTCAAAGGAGGCCGACCAGCTGGACGCGGTCACGAACTCCACGATAATCTTGATATATGGTTCAACATCATCTATATCGTCGCTTTTTACTACCTTGCTTTCCCGAGAGTCATCTGAGCCGCTTGACGAGGTGGCTCGAGTAGTCAGGTCTCCAAATCGAGCATCAAAGATTTCTCGTGCAGATCTCTCATCCAATATTGTCTTGGCTGGTAAACAATAGCCATCGGGGAATGGTTTAAGGAGGTGCTTGAAAAGCTCGAATATCCTAGTCACAAGCCCGTCATCCAACGGTTCCGGGGCATTAAACCCGGAGGCGGATAAGCCGACTGCGACATTGGAGCTAGCTTTACTAAATGGTTCCCAACGAGCGGAACAGCAATCGGCGGCAAGCGATAGGACGTAAACTTCGGACAGGAGGATATGGGACGGATGGCTTGCGAATGTCTTATACGGACGGCCAAGCTCTTCCAGAAGTGAGATAAGTGATTCGAGTACAGCAGTAATAGATGTGACGCTGATCTTCACGAGCGTAGCACGCGTGATAACAGCGACGTCGTCGCGTTCGAGGTCTTGACCTGGAGTACCGGTACGATGCGGAAGCTGTGCGCGGAGATGATGATTAGCAACAAGACTATATACAGCGGCTAGTGGGCAATGGGTAGTAAGCTAGGTAGTAGGCTACGATGCTACGTAGAGGAGAAGAGAAGAGAAGAGAAAAAGGAGGTTCCCAATTACCCTAGTTGTAAGTCTTTCGACTAAACATCCAACAAGGCCCGCATCACCGTTCATCTTGTGCTCGTATACCGTCGGGTCGCGATTGAGGGTCTTCTCAACATTGTGACGTCGTCATGGAGCACAGCTAGCGGTAAGGAAGAGGTATCGAGGAAGGCTATAGCTCGTTTGCGAAACGTATATAGATGTCTTAAGATTCGGCTATACACCAGATTCGTCCTACCCTCCTCTTAGAATAACAAGTCTAGTTCAATCGCTCAATCGCTCTCCCAACGTAGCGTATGCCGAAACCGGTAATATTTTCAAGAACAGGTTAAGTACAAGTAAGTATGTATGGAAAATAGGCCCGTAGCTCTATTTTTGTGTGGGTATTTCTCTTCTGGAGAATCCTTCGAGGTCCAAGGGTTACCGGACTTTGAAGACGGGGAATATCGTCTTAACTTAATACATATAATAATATTGGGACTTTAGGATCGACATACACCAAGTTCGGGTCCGGGCCGGTCGATAGGATCTGAGATAAAGAATGGGCGAGGCGACAAAGGATAGAATTATTTATTGTTTATTCTTCTTCGTTGAATGAGTATTTCCGACTTAGTTGTGCTACTGTAATAGTGTGTCGTTGGAGCTAGGTTAAGTCTACGAAGGCGCAGGCACAGGAACAGGCACAAGGCACAAGGCACAAACAAGACAATGTGGTCTCAGTAGAAAAACGACCCCCCCCCCCCCCCCCCCCCCCCCCCCCCCCCAGCCGAACTAAGGAAAAGGGTATGGGCAATTACTACATGTAGGAGGGGCGTGGGTTGAAAGAAGCAAGTAAGGTACCTACATACATACTTGTGTAGTACTACATGTATGTAGGTGTAGGTGTAGGTGTAGGTGCAGGTGCCCAGGGTATCTTAGGTACATATAGTACCTATTAATGCTAAAGCTAGGTACCTAACCTAGAGGTATCTTAGGTAGATATGTAACATATACCTACCTCATATGTACTAACAGAGGTGTTATAGTGGAAAGAGAGGTCCAGGCGTATGTATTTGTAACAACTGCGGGGAGAAAGTGTCAAAGATGGGAGTTGCCAAGTCCCAACTTCTCTTACCTTCATTTTGAGAAAATGCTCAAATGCTCAAACGCTCAAACGCTCAGATGCTAAAAAGCGTCTGAAGCTTAGTGGGGCGCAGCGTAGTAGCCTTGTTTAGTGCCGGTCTAAGTGCCCACGAGGTCTAGCGTAATAGGGAGCGGTGATGTATTTTAGCGGGGTAGTCCCCAGGTGAGCCTCCAAATGGTCCAAATGGTCCAATATTATTCCCGAATTCTTTAGCCCCTGCTAAAAGTCACGCAAGCTGGCAAGCTATCGTAATAGGTGAGACAGCGGCCGATATTTCTTACGTGCGTCTTGCGTATAGGAAAAGGGATCATCGTGAGAATTTCGACACCAAAATTTTTTTTGTTAGTTATTTGCAGTTATCCACTCGCTTGGCATCCGCCACGGCCCGGCCCTTTTTGAATTTCGTGCTTCCGTACTTTTTACATGTAACTACTTATTTATCTTCATATGTATTACGATTGATAGGTAGAGCCTGACATGTGCAAGGTCTAGCGTCAGGTTAGGGTCTTAGATTTTTTGAAAGAATGTTTTTCTAAATCAAAATTAAAATATATCAAGTACATAACGCATGGACACTGGCGAGCTACATGTACTTAATAGAGCAACCGAACTCATGATTAAGCAAGATTAGTATAACAGCTATTGAGGCTATTTAAGCTATTTAAGCTATTTAATCAGACAATATGATTTAGCTCGTTTTAATATACTACATTGTCTCATAGAGAGTTTGATTACTTATCATTCCTCCTAATCATCTGTACCCATTGCCATAAGAATTATTGCCTTGATAACCACCTCGGTTATCGTATTGTCGATAGTCCCGATTATCACGGGGGGGTCGGTTATATTGACCACCATGATTATTTTGACCTTGAGGAGGCGGAGGGTACGCTCCTCCGTGTCCTTGAGGACCTCCGTAACTTCCACCACGGCCCCCTCCGTAATTACCTCCGTAATTACCTCTGTAGTTTCCACCGCGATTTCCTCCATAGTTCCCTCCGTAGTTTCCGCCATATTGGTCAGCGAACTGGTTACCAATATGAGTACCTGCCTGCGGCGGCGGCGGCGGTAATCCATTACCGAATCCGGGGAAACCGGGAGGTGGCGGTATCCAACCGGGAGGTGGGACTGGAGGAGGAGCAGAATACGAATTGTTGTATCCGTTCTGGTATGACGGTGGCCGTTCAGATCTATCTCGTCGAGAATCTGGTCCGTAGTTAATCCTATCCTTCCTATTGCCATCCCAACCACCCTGACGCCCAAGAGGTGCGCCTCCATGGCTTCGGCCCGAATTTCGCATTTTCCCTTTGAGCTCTTCAACATCGCTGCGATTAAGTGCAGGATTGGGCATCTGAACGCCTCGCAAGAGCATAGACTTATGATTATTCGCACTTGGAATTTCATAATAGACTCTGTAAACATCGTAATTAGTAATTAGTAATTAAAATTTGTAACTTGTCATAGGAGCTTAAAAACTTACGTTAATGATCGATCATCGTCTACGGGGGGCAGTTGCTTCCTCTCTAGTGGATATTCTAAACTGCCATGAGGCAGATACTCGGGGACTTTTTCTACCTTTCCAGACAGGCCTTGGCTTAAACGCGGGTCGAGTTTATGTATGGGTTCGCCTTGTTTCTTGGAATAGAAACGTGTGATAATATCGTCGTACAACTCCTGGTTGGCCTCGGAAAGTAAAAGTACATCTTTACCAGGGCTGTTGCGGGCTGCATCCTCAGCACTCAGATGAGGATATTTCTCCTCTACGGCAGCAAGTAATCGAGGCATTTCAATAAACGGAAGAAGCGCCACACCCTGCCATGCCATCTTCTTTCCGTTAAGGTCGATTTCAAACTCCTCAGGGTAAAAGTCGATAATAGGGCTATCCGCCTCTGTCATGAGCTCGTGAAAGATGCCGGGGAGAACGTGACGAGACGCGGCAGGCTGGACACTCATGAGCTGTTCGAAGGGCTTCGCGATTCTACCCTTCTCGAAACTGATCTCTATGTTACCAATGTCCACAAAGTCTTGCGCAAAAGGTGCATAGTGATAAGGGTAGAACCATTCCCAAGACGGACACCCTTGAAAATAGTATCTCAGGACCCAAGCAAGACCTTCGACATAAGCTCGGGCGACCTTACGCCTGAATTCGATATCCTTCGGGTCGACGTGGAACTTTTGTTCATAATACCTGTCAGCATAGCCTTCTTCCCATAGTCGGACAGAGTCTTCCGGCTCTTCGGCTGCCGCCGAACTGCTTGCGGGGGTGCTCGGGTTATCCTCCTCTACCGCGGACGCTTTACGTTTACCAAGAGCAGAAGGCGTCTCTTGTGCTTCCGCGCCGCCTTCTTGGGGGGCATTGGCACTCGCTTCTGCTTGAAGTGATTGGATCTGGCTCTTGAGCACCGCCGCAGCGCTCTTATTTGCCACATTAGTATCCTGAGCTCCTCTATTGACGATCATATCATGAGTAAGACCCTGGGGAAGACCACCAGGAAGGGAGCTATTAGCACCACCCCTATTGCCTCGACCACCTTGATTACCGTTACGTCCATTCCTCTGTTCTTGAAGCTTTCGTCGCTTAAAGCCCGCTTCTCTTCGCTGCTCAACCTCTCTTCGTCTCCTGAAAATGGCATCCTCCTGTTTCGCTAGGCCATTCAGAATGTACTGGGCTCTTTCGAGATTCACGTGCCCATCTTTAGTGACGAACCCACCCATAACAGGTAAGTTATCTCGCCAGATAGCAGTTAACGTGTCGATACCATTCTCGCGGATTTCAAGGGCAGGGAGATGAGGGAGGAAATCGTTACCAACAAAGGAACACATAAACACCCAGTCATCAATAGCACGTTCAAGATCAAACCGGAACGGGAGTCCGGGTACATCTAGCTCAACGGCTAGATATTCTCGCAAGACTGAAACATGGAGCCAGATAAACGGCTTCAGAGGAGTAGCCTTATCCTTTTCGTCAAATTCACCCTCTTTCTCCTTGGCTGCACCACGGCAATTTTGCGCATCATGACCTTTCTGGCCACAGATTCGGCAAGTTTTGGCTTTCCCATCCTGGAAAAAGACATCTTCTCGGAGGACACGGAAATGAGGCTCATGGGTAGCGAGTCCAAGCATGATCAAGTCAGCATCTAATCCATAGATAACATGTCTCGTATTGGGATCATGATCAGAGGACGTTCTCTGGGAGCGAATGAAGTTCATGATCTTATGCTCGCCCTCACCAGGTACTGTAGCGTCAGAGATGATGACTTTCATATTAGCCCATCCAGGGTCAGTGTTAAGCTTATAGGCACACCAATACCTCAAACTCATTGCTAGTATGTCCATAAAAGGTGTACCAGGCGTGATAGCGTTGGAATCGAAAACTTTCTTCGCTGCTGCTTCGAGTGTCTCCGGCGGTAATTCACCACCATTCTGCCTCCTGACCATGTTCAATAGTTCCTCCTTATCAGCTTCCTTTTCCTTGGCTTCTTGGGCGGAGCGGAACCGTCGAGATCGCTGCTGATTCATCTTGGCTCGAGGCGCAACACCATCTAGAAAATAATGTTAGCAAACGCAATAGTAAATAATAGCAGATATTGGATGGCTTACCAATGGCAATCATGAGTAGCTTTCTCGGCCGAACCATGTTAACCACACGGTCGGTATACTTAAAGATCTCTAGCATCATCTCTTCCTCGTCTTTTGGAGCGGGCTTATCTTCTGGATGAGAACAGGGATGCACGATACCATTCATATCCAAGTATAAATTATCGAATTCTTCGCCGTTTGGGTTTGGTCGCGTGGTGTCGACAGGAATAACCGCGCCATCATCCATCTCAATAGGCCTATCTTCCACAACAGGAGATATAATCTTGGGGTACTTGTTGGAGAGCCATCGAAAAGCAGCCGGAATACCCATCTTGGCGGTATTGACGTCGCGAGTTTCTTAATAAAGTAAAGACCGGATGCGATAACGAGGTAGAGAAAGCTACCTAAGGTGATAAACCAGAAATCTAGCTAGGCTAAATATCTAGTGTCGACTACTCGAGGAAGCTGAAGGAGCGGAAGGAAATATGAGAGTAGAAATTGATATCGGAGATAGGCGCATGAGGTATAACAAACGCATCAATATAGTTTATTTGTGAGTTTAAACTGGACAAAGTCGATTAATAGTAGAGACAACGCCTCGCTCACTAACTTTTAGACTTGAACAGCTAGTTTGAGTAGCATGGAAAAAAGAGATCGAATCTAATGGTGGTACATCGAAATTAGCTATGCTGTAATTCCGACTAACCAAGCGTACCTCGGCAATCCCACGTTGATATATGTTCGTGGTTGTTTGAAGTTATTGCGGGCACAAAGATGTTGAAGAATAAAGAAAGATTCGGCGGCGCAAAAGTTCATTCAAAGTCGCGAGCCCGGATTAGATGGACCCTTGTCACAAGCAGAAGATAGAGTTCGCAGCAAGACCCATAGAAACCGTTTTGTCCACCGCTCTAACCTATCCGATAAGTGATTACGTCGGGACTTGGGAACTAGCGCCGCTTTTTAAAGAATTTAGCCTTTAGTAAAAATTAAGCAGCTCTATATGCACGTATCCAGTAGCTTATGCCTTTAAAATGAATTATGGAAGCTAAGTGAAACTACCTGGTAACCAACGTCTGAGGCTACCTACCTAAAGTTTGCGCTAAGATTTAGTAAGTACCTCAAGTTCAAAATGCTAAGTACCACCTGTTATCACTTATCGCTACCTATCTGGCCAAAAAGGTACCTAATGTTAACGCACCTGCTGTCAGCCGTAGTTAGCTATTATTACCTATGTAACTAGCTATTATTAGTTTAGATACCTAAAGTCTTTCCTTCAACAATTATTTGCATTTACTTAACAACAACACTGCGCATAACATAGGCACTGATCTATAATCCAATCCAATCCAATCTCTTACCCCTTTACCCCCTTACCTTCGACGGTACGATGCTCTTAAGTCGGTAGCACTTTTTACCAATGGACTTGATGCGTAACCGCGAGATCGAGCAGCAGCAGCACGAACCATGTTCTCTACCATCACCTCTGCTCCCGCGAAGCAGTCTGTTAGCGAGACAATAACCGTTCTCAGCGGACGTCTCAGCTCAGCTACCCTTCTCGAAGACCGCCGCGCTGCTATTCTTGGCCTACGAAGCTTCGCTAAGGAGTATCCTGCATCAGTTGCATCCGGCGCTCTGAGAAGTCTCATCGGAAGCTTGTCAAAAGATGGCGAAGATGTCGATACCGTCAAAGTGGTCCTGGAGACTTTGCTAATGCTTTTCAACCCTAACCAAGATAGTCCTGAGGCTTCTGAGGAGATTGCTCTCTGGTTAGCAGACGAGTTCACTCAACGGCAGGAAAACATAACTTTGCTCTTAGATTTCCTCGAGACCAACGAGTTCTATTCGCGCCTATACTCTTTGCAGCTTCTTCTCGCTATCCTCTCAGCCCGCACCGAAAGAACCGAAATATGCGTATTTACCGCGCCTCTTGGTATTTCTAGACTAGTCGCTGTCCTAGACGATAGGAGGGAGGCTGTTCGGAACGAAGCATTAACCCTCCTTACCTACCTGACGCCTTCGTCCCCTGATATACAGAAGCTCGTGGCTTTCTCAAATATATTCGGCCGGGTTTTTACTATTATAGCAGCCGAAGGGTCGCTTTCCGAGGGCGATAGAATAGTTGAGGACTGCCTGATTCTTCTCGCTAACCTTCTACGCTTAAACCCTTCGAATCAGTCTTTATTTCGTGAAGAGGCTTATATTCCACAGTTAGCAAAGCTTTTAGAGGGCACCTATCGAACCGGGAAAGAGGGGGAGGAGGATATTGCCCATTGGGCTCAGGAACAGCGGAACAGGAACATATATGCTCTACTCGCAGTCATCCGCCTCTTCCTCGTGCCTGGTGCTGTAGGAACATCCCAAAATCAGGCGGCCTTTTGGCAGCATGGTGTCCTCTACCACGCCTTACAACTTGCTTTTAGTCATGATGCAGAGATGTCTATTAGAGCAGAGGTGCGAGGTTCTCCCCGTCTCATCAATATTGTGCATTGTTTGTTTACATATGTGACGTAGGCTTTAACTACTTGCGCGGATATTATCAGAGGTAATTCTAAGTTACAAGAAACGTTCGCACAACTGCAGGTCCCATCGGTGCTAGAGACGGCACTGCCAACCAACGGACACACTGGGAAAGCAAATGGTATTCCGGCCGTCTATGTGATCGACGGTCTCCTAGATCTTACCCTAAGCGTATCTACAACTCAAGCGTTTGACCTGCGGCTAGCCGCATGCCAATGCATTAAAGCATATTTCTTCAACCACCCTGAAGTTCGCCTACATTTTCTACGCCGGGCAATCGAGGGTCACGCATCCGGCGTAGACGAAACAGCTAATGTCCTAACTACCCTGCTTCGACCGTCTAATGGTCCAGACTCGGTAGATCCCTATCGGCATTGGTTTGCAGCCGTTATCACATTTCACCTGGTCTTCGAAAACGCAGAGGCGAAAGCCCTCGCAATGTCCGTGACAGAAGGCGATGCGGATAGCGGTGAAGAAGTCGTAACAAGCATTCAAACCATTGCCGCTCATCTCGTCAGCGGGCTGGCTAGATCCGACGACGACCGTATTTCTGTGGGTTATTTGATGTTGTTGATAGCATGGCTCTTCGAGGATCTTGATGGGGTCAACGACTTCTTAGGTGAGGGCAGCAACATTCAAGCCTTAGCGCAAGAAGTTGCACGGCATAATTCAAGCAGCATCATTGTCCAGGGGCTATGTGCTATGCTCCTCGGGGTTGTCTACGAGTTCTCTACGAAAGACTCGCCGATTCCTCGCTCGACTTTGCACTCTGTTCTTACGTCTCGGATGGGTCGAGATAGGTTTATCGATATTCTAAATAAATTGCGAAGTCACCCTTTCGTGAGGGATTTCGAGGTCATCCCACAGAAAGCAGACAACGGGGGTAATTTACCAGATGTTTTCTTTGATACTACTTTTGTGGATTTCTTCAAGGACAATTATAGCCGCATAATAAGAGCTATCGACCGTGACCCAGGCATGGAGATTTCAGTAGTAACCAACGGTGTTCAGAAAGGCATATCTCGTGAGATGGTAGACTTACTACGAACACAAGTCGACGAAAAGGAACGAGCGTTACAAGCAGCCCTTGCCGATATGGCCTCTCTCAACGGGAAGCTTGGCCAAGAACAAGCTGACCATCGTCGAACTAAAGAAGACACTGCTGCGGATTTGGCACGAATAAAGGGTGTTAATGAGGCTATTCAACAAAACCATGCCGAGGAAATCAAGTAAGTACTTTACAGCCTTAGTAGAGTTCTTCCTAACGTATAAAGGAAAATCGAAGCACAACAGCGATCAAGAGATGAGTCCTACCAAAAGCAAATAGAAGCTGTCCGGAGGGAGGCAGCTAAAGCTGCAGATACCATCCATGCCGAGTATCGTGAGAAAGAAGCAGAATTACAAAGACAGCTGGAATACATTCGAAAAACGGCTGATGCCGAGGCGGCACGTATTCAACGGCGATCTGAGGCAGAAATGGCAGACCTTCGAGCTACAATTAGTCGTCTGGAAGTAGACCTCATGAAAGTAAGTATAAGTATAAGATTCGTCTCTACGTAAGTTAACAATATAATACAGGCAAATAAAGCAAAAACCGAAGAACTCCACACCGCCCAAGAAGAATTTGCTGCCAAGCTGTCAGCTACACAGTCGAAGGCAAAGGCGGCCGAAGAGCGATGTTCAAATCTTGAAAAGCAGTTGTCGCAAAAGGGTAAAGAGTTAGAAGAGGTACTCAAACCGCCATTCCAACTATAATAAATATAATAGGAGCGTATGCTAATCCCTCACGTTAGTCTCGCACGCAGTTAGAAGAAAAAGAGGAGCAGAAATCGGCGACTCAAACCGAACTTGACGATCTTCTTATGGTCTTCGGCGACCTAGAAGAAAAGGTTGAGAAATATAAGGTATGCACGCTTCCCATGAATAACCCCAAATAACTTTGCGTCGTGACTCTTCCATATGCTAAATTGGATCCTTATAGAAACGACTTGTTGATTTAGGCGAGACCGTTTCAGACGGCGAAGATGAAAACGAGGACGAGGATGACGATGACGATGACGACGACGATGATGGTACAGATAACGAAGTGGACTAAGTGTATTTATTCGACACGTCCTCAATATAACCTATAGGTATGTAAAGGAACCTTGTAGTCAGTCCAACAGTCAGGAATACCGATACCATAGGTAATTTAGGAGAAGACAATGAGCTTGAGGCATGTTCTAAAGTGCTTACCCCTATTTTAAGTACCTAGTACGGTGAATACTACCTAGTTTATATGCAAATATCGCGTATGGTATAGTACATATATTAAGTAGGTATTATGTACTTATCCGAGCCGCTATCGTACTTTGGATATTTCCACAATTATAAGAAAATCTTAAGAGAGTCGTGATATTAAAAACGGCCACCAGCTATTATAATATCTAGGTTTATATCAAACAAATAATTGGTGTTTATTAAAATCCATGGTGATACATAAGGAACCCCAAGGTAATATTTAAGATATAGCTCAGGTATTAGGTTTTTTTTTTGTTTTTTGTTTTTCTTTTGGAATCACTCATACCCCAAAATTCAATTCATTTTTTGTCATTTTTTTTCCACTTTTCATATTCATATTCTTCATCATCATCATCATCCCTCTTCTCAACCCTCACTCAAGTACCACCACCAATATCTTATACAATTTTAGGTACGGGACAAATTATCCCGCAATGAGCGCCGCGCCAAGCAAACCTGCGGACCGCCACCCGGCCAGCGAGTCAGACGACTCGGACTCGCGGGACGAGGAGGACTGGAGTGATGCCGAGGAAGATGATGATGAGGAAGAGACTCTTGAAGTTATCTCGCTGCTTGATGACCGAGTATTCCCTGATGTCATGTCTATGCTTGAACATTGCAGAGAGAAGCACAACTTTGATTTCCTAGGCGTTCGACAACGATTGCAGCTTGACTTCCACGGCTGCGTCAAACTTGTTAATTTTAGTGAGTCTATTTATTTTATTCTTACGTATTTTTCTATCGTTCATTTACATGTCACATTATATTGTTGTACCGTGTAAGAGGCCGTAAGAGGCTTCATATATACATAACTATACGTATTAAATCCCTAGATTACACCTATTAATATTGCTTTACCTCCACGCCGTTTACCATATCATCCCAATTCTATTCTAAATTTTATTCCCTATTTCTAACGTTCAAATAGTTCGCCAGCGAGTGCACGAAGGCTTGTCCGTAACGGAGGACATCTCGTCGTCCGACATTGACCATGAGCAGTACTTAAAGCCGGTGTTAGATGACGACGCCGTCATCCTAGGACTATTCGACCTACCAGAGCTCAAGCCAGCAGTACAGAATAGCAATGGCGACAGCGGTGAAAATACCGCATTAGTTGACGACCTCCTAAAGCGCAACAGTGATCTCCAGGAAGAGCTCGCCCGCGTCAAAACCCAATTCGACAGCTATCGCGTCGCTGTGCAGCAAACGCTCGACGAGCGCTGGGGAGACGTCGACCAAGCCGAGGCCGAATCTGCTGCTGCTGTCAAGGCGGGTAAGGGGAAGGAGGTTGGTGAGAAGAAGGATGACTCTCAATCCTACTGGGAATCTTATGCTGGAGCCGGTAAGCATCTACCTAATTATTATACCAATTATCTTTTACCTTGAGCAGTATGCTGATCTCAGTATGTAAATGATTCCCTGCTAACAACTATTTATCTTAGATATCCATGAGACAATGCTCAAAGATGCGGTACGCACCGACGCATACCGGGACTTCATCTACAACAACAAGCACCTTTTCGCAGGCAAAACTGTTCTAGACATAGGATGCGGTACCGGTAAGTCCTATACTTTTCTCCCTTCTGCTTTATTTTATTACCTACCCCCTTCATCCTGTCTATATACCCAATATATATGTATCATCCAATCTAACCACCCACCTCAGGAATCCTAAGCATGTTCTGTGCCCGCGCCGGCGCGTCCAAAGTCATCGCTGTCGATGCCAGCGCCATCATCACCAAAGCGCAAGAGAACATATTCCACAACAACCTATCCTCAGTCATAACCTGCGTGCACGGGCGCATCGAGGAAGTCGCCCTGCCCGTCGACGAGGTAGACATTATCGTCAGCGAGTGGATGGGGTACTGTCTACTCTTCGAAGCTATGCTGCCCTCCGTGCTCTTCGCCCGTGACAAGTACCTCAAACCAGATGGCCTGCTAGTGCCCTCGCACGCTAACATATGGCTCTCTCCCGTCGCGGACCCCCAGTATATCGCTGACAACGTCAGCTTCTGGCGTGATGTATACGGCTTCGACATGCACGCCATGCAAGCCGGAATCTACGACGAAGCACGTGTGCTCGCCTGGCCCTCGTCGTCTCCCCCCTCTGACGCAAACAGCACCATCCCCGCGCCCCCAAGCGCATTCAAGCTGCTAGACCTATACCAAGTCCAGACCGCAGACCTCTCTTTCACAGCGCCCTTCGCAACCACCTTGGCGCGCGACATTGACGCGCTAGACGGATACCTAATCTGGTTCGACATGTTCTTCTCTCCCGTCCGAGACTCCGCGCTCAGCAGCGTAGACCTCAGCTCCACAGCCTCGGCCTGGGCCGCCGTCGACCCGCAAAACCGGGTGGCATTTACGACGTCGCCGTATGGCCGCGAGACGCACTGGGAGCAGGGACTACTAATATGCAAGCCGCCGAAGTCGCAATCAGACGAGAAGAAGAATTTGTTAGCCATGAAGAACGGAGACGAGATTAAGGGCGAGATCACCTTCTCGATCCCCGATAACCACGCACGCGGCTTGGCTATCAAGGTTACGTGGAACGGCAATAAGGGACAGACCTGGTTTTTACATTAAAAGGGGGGTTTTGAATGAAAAGGAAAAGGGGGCGATAGGCCACGTAGCTAGGTAGCTACCTGCAATAACCGTACCTAGCGGTGCGATATTCGGAATGTGAAGTGAGTTTTAGACGTTCGGTAACTATTATAAGAGCATTCATTGCTATCTGAGCTGGTTATTGTCTAAGTGCTTTGCAGATCCTGGATTTTACATGATTCATGTAGGATGATAGACTGAATAACAATACTCCAACATAAAATAGCAGTGCCGATGTCACTTAATGGTCTTCAATGCAGCATATGATTCACCTAATATTATATTACTAAACGCAGACAAATCACATAGTAAACACCAGAGAAATTGTGGGAATATACAACTTCTATTTGCCAGGGGTGTTCTAGCTAATATTGAATAGTTACTCGCACTTTAGCAGGCTCTTCTATATGGAGATTCATAGCACTCTCTCACTTTTTACCCCCATACCGGCATACGCATTCATAATGGCAGTAGAGCCCTTCTAATAGCATCTTTTGGGCTCGAGCATCTGGCTCCCCTTAATGCACCTTCTTTAAACGCCTCCCTTAATCAAAGACCCATAATCTATATATCGAATCTCTCATCATGAGAAAAAGGAGATTCATTAAAGCATAGAAAGTTCGCCATTCTAACGCTGTTCATAAGGATTGCGATGATTCCGGTGATGAGATTCAGGTATACCGCTTCCACCTGACTGGTTGGTTCGGTTAGACGTCTGAGGATATAGTGAATTTCCCGACTGGGCACTATACGGGTGCGGTACACCCACTTGTGCCTCTTCATCATAGGGACCCGTAGGCTGGGTTATCTGAAAGCTTGGCGTGTTCTCGCTTATAGGATGGGGAGGTAAAGTTTCACCTGCTCTCCGACGACCACTACGCTGACTCTCGTGCTTATGAAGATCCAAACGTAACGACTCTATATCAGTTGAGCGTTTCCGCTCTATCGCATCCTCACGAGTATCCGGGGAGTCGTCACGATTATAACCCCAATCGTCGGCAGCTGCCCTTATGGGGTCGAGGGTATTTAGATGCTGTGCAGCCTTTACCTCTCTATCCTCGGGTTTGCCGGGTCTGCTGGATGTGGAAGGGTTCCTGGCCGGTGCTGTTGGTACCAGTCGGCCTTCTTCCTTTTCCTTGGCAGCTTTGTCGCGAGCAGCAGCAGCGTCCGAATCCGAGACACTAACAGAGTAAGAGGGATTTGTAGGCCCACCCAACGCTTCACCGCCGCCACCAGGTGCATATACGGGCACCTTCTTCAAAGCGAGAGTAAGTGCGCACATAAACTTAGAGCGTCGAGTAGCGCGGATAGCCTCATTATGCCAGTTCGACTTGTGCTTGATGGCAATTTTAAGTTGTAGCTTATCCAAGTCGCCGACACCTGCAACACTAATAGAAATGTCTGGTTGGAAGTCTCGGGCATTTTCTGGGGCCTGTACGAATCTCTCCATTTCAAGCCGTAAAAGCTCAATATCCTCAAAAGAGGTATCATACGAGACGTTGATGTCAATAACCTCCTTCATAGCCTTGCTTCGGGTGACATTCTCGATCCAGACGTTGTTCAAAACAATATTCGGCACCTGAACGACTTGCATCCTGTCGATACGATTGAAGACAGTATAAAGCAGGGAAATCTTCTCAACAACTAGCTGCTCTTTCTCCGATCCTGTGATATCGACTCTGTCACCAACATCGTAGGGGTGCTTGACGAACAGGAAGATGCAAGAACCCAAGAATTCCTGTGCCGTGACGGCGAAAATGAAAGAAAGCGAGAGCAGGGTTGTGCCCGCAGTTGTGAGTGTGGTAATGAAGGAACTTTGGAAGAACGCAACTATAACGGTGTGTTAGTAATTTCATAGCTTCACAAGATAGAACTGTAGGTGGAAACTTACGGAAGATGAAGATAACAATCAATAGGACAATGAATAGGAGGACTTGATCGAACACGCCCAAGGCTTGGCTGATATCCTTCATACTGTTTCCTATCGCCTTTCTTTCCTTTCCCATCTCAACCACCTTCCTAATCATTTCGTCGAGGCTGATATCCCCATTCCCATCCGCGTCAACTGCCTCAAAACATTCTTCAGCTTCATCGCGGTGTCCGGGGCCAAGAACTTCGACGATGTCATCCACAAAGAGAGCCTCGTTGCCTTCTACGACAAACGACATCCAAATACGCTTTGCGAGAGCTTCTGAGGTCCTAACCTTCTCGAGCGCCTCTACGACAATCGAGTGGGCAGAGTTCGGGTTGAAGACCTGCTTGCCAGTAATCTCCGAGGCCAAATTTCCAAAGACAGAGGTAACTTTGTCACCGATGCGTGTTACATTCCCAATCAACCTCATAGGTGTAACCACTCCGTTCTTCCTGTTTTTTCTGCCCTTCTTCCCACCGGCCAGTAGTATCTCGATACTATCGTTGATAAGCTCATCCTCGTCGCGGAACTCAGGGCAGTACATAGGAAACAGTTGTCGAGAAGCGTCGTACATCAACCCTAAAAGGTAAACTTCCCGTTTGGAGTCCTTTATCCGGTTGGCAAAGGACCGCTGGTGATAGGTGACGCTGATGAGCTGGATAATGGCTTTCTCGACGAGAAAAACGGCCGAAGAGGCGAAGAGCGCACCCACGATTCTTCGTATCGTCTGAACCCACTCAACATTGTTGAATCTGACATTAAGTAAACCCGTAAATATAAAGAAGGTCGCCAATGCCCAGAAGAAAAGTGACAGCGGGATCTCAAGCGCACGAATGACAATTGCGTACTTGCGAGTGCCAGCACTGACAACACCGGTAAAAAACATGAAAACAGGAGGCAAAAGGTGGGCAACAACCTTTCCAACCCACAAGGACAGCCACGCCAGTTCTATCCATAGGAATAGGTCAATGAGGCGTGGACCGGGTGCATATATAGCGGGAGTTTCGTTTACATCATTCTGTCGCGGGCCATGGCCAGCTTGAAGAGTGTCCTGTTGGCCAATTGCTCGGATAACAATCATAGGGACTGCCAAAAGGACACCGACGGGGACGATGTAAACGAGATATCGCGTGAAGACTGAGGCTTGGATAAGTTTATTGTAAAACCTACCCATAGCATTAAGAGATGCTTCCTCAGAGGCTAGATTGTCGTTTTCCCTAGAGGCCTCGCTTTTGTTAGCTCTCCTCCGGCCACGATGGAAGAAGCCATTCTTCTCATTATCGTCGGAAGGGCTCCGGTTTTCGATGCTAAAGCCGGTTGCAGCGCCTTGGTTGGGCTTTCTAGCACCAGTCGAGCTGGCATTGCTCCGTACTTGGGTCAAGGGGATTTCGTTGTCCATGTCGGGTCGTGAGCCACCTAGTTGCACAAACCCTCTTGGGGAGCGGATCGACATCGAAGTGGGGAGATCTGTAAGTAAAGTGCTAACGTATTCAAGCTAACTAGCTGTCCAGATTCTGGATGTAACCCGGCAGCGTGGTTCAGAAGTTTTTTTTTGTTTCCCTTTTCTTAAAATAGGGTATTGCTGTATATACAAGCGAATGTGTTATACACAAGGTTGGTTCCTCGGGATGGCACCAGGCGATCGATCGGAAGGGTGCTGAGTGCGGTGCGTTTCTAAGATCAGGATCGAGACAAGGAAATTTAACAGCAGGGTCCTTAGGAGAAGGCAGGATGTTAATTGGAGAAAAGAGGCAGACAAAACGAAAGACTGACGGCCCTGTATCTACTGTGTAAAAGAGGTGAGAAGGATCTAAAGCATAGTATGCTTATAGAGGAGAACCGAGGAATTTGTTAAAGATTGAGGATATAGTGAAAGAAGGTAGGGAAAGGGAGAAGTAAAAAGAAAGATCGCGAATCTAGACGACTGAAAGATGCAGTTCGTAGTTCATAGTTCGTAGTTCGTGGGACTAAATGATGTACATGTAAGGACCGATTGGGGTTTTGTATCATGTGGAGAGGATTGACGCGTTCGAAGTTCCTTCCGAGGGTAACTAGGGTCCACAAGGAAATCGATCTAAGGTAGTATGTAGTAGCCTATGTATACCTACCTGGTATTTACCTATTCGAGTTCTATTATGGAAGGCACTATCAAATACATTTACTACATGTATGCAGAAGGTAACAGCAATACAAGTTAACTAGGATATTACAGTTGTACATAATTTATACTTGAGATACACAAAAAGCAAACACTCCCTTTGTATCACATCTAAAATGTTGCAACATAACTCATCCTATAAGATTTCTATCCCTTGAAGCTTTAGACAAAGTTTTACTTCGGGTATTTCACGTTGGAGTTTACGAACTTCCCGACAAATTTCTACTTGAAGGATATTCCATTGACGTTATCCAGGGGTAACGAGTCTAGACGTTTCAGCGGAATTGGATGTCAATGGCGTGCAGCTGCTGTGGTTGGCCAATCGCTATATATTTACCAGGTTATTACCTGCGGGAGAACCTACCCGACCCGAGTCAAGGGGAAGCTTTTGTGTGGCAGTATGCGTATACATATGTACATGTATGTATGTAGGTACATACCACAGCTGCACATGGGAAAAGCTTGGCAATAAATAAAGTTGGTTAACCATATCGCTATTCCCTTTTACGACAATAAATTTGTAAGTTAATCTACGATAGGTAATATATTACATTAGGCGATAGGCGACTTCGTACCTTTTCGTTTATTTTAAGCCACCGGGTTATCGTCCCATGTTTCACAAATTGAGAGGCGAAATTTAAAAATTTATCCCACTTGCCGTTTGTTAACGTCAATTGGATCAGCCCTGCAATTGGACATGAGCCGATAATTACTAATCTACCTACATATGTACATAGTGCCCGTCAATTGAGACTTTTATGCACAGACACACTTTTGATCAGTGGAAATGACGAAAAAGTCAAATAAAAAAAAGGGGGCCACTATTTTGTTTCTCCACGAATGGATCTCTACATATGTTGTACAAGATCACAAGAAGATCATACCTAGAAGAAGATCATTGTTCAAAGATCTTGGTTGTCATCGAGTCCCAATTTTTAAGAATCCCCTTTTTCCTTTCCCTTGGGTAACCACGTCGATCTCTTACATACGATAACACAACATACCTATCATAAATACCAATCAACTTATATATGGGTTATGGGTATTAACATACCGTGTCGCCTCGAATAGTAGTGTGCTATAGTTTCTCTTAAAATGTTGGCATAAAAATCTCTGCCTTGGAATAATCCAAGTTCATTGTTCAGCTGCCACGAGGACGATCACGAGCACGGACATATGGGACCGCAAGAGGTTGGAGACTATCAACTAAGAAAGGAGGTGGTAATGTAGATCTTGAGATCCGAGCTTCCTTCTCCCCAGCTGCTCCAGCTGAACAGCAAGAATGGCTAGAATAGGGATGATCGATCGATATCGCAATGAGCCACTATTGATACGACGCATAATATGATCAAGCTTTCCTCGCCAATCTTGTGCGCCGTACTTTGTAGACAACGGACAACGAACAGCGGATAGAGAAGAGGCACTGACGAAATAATAAAAAGGGTCCGCTAACTTTGAAAATCATTATCAAGAATAATCCACTTAGACACGCAAGTGCCGCGACGCCGGAATTCCAAAACGCGCCGGGCAAGCCACGTTCGCTGATCGTCATCACGCCGTCTTGCGAATGTCTTTCTAGTGTCCAGACTACGGTGAGACTAATACCAGACTAAGTGTGACATCAACCTATTATACCGACATTTCTGCCTGTCTGTTCGCCCAGGATCGCCCGCCATCCATCCATCCACCATGTGGGGGTTCGTGTAGTTAGTGAGGCTATCGGTTGAGCAGATTTTTTATGTAACAGCAGCATCTAAGCCTATTAGATACTTAAGTTTAGGTATATCTTCGTTTCTAAGCTATTCTACTTAGCTATGATTTACGAGATACCTAACCTAACCGAGTGTATCTAGGTTCCTCTATTTACAAAGCAGTGTAAGACAGGCAAGTCCAGAAAAAGACTGTCATCTGTATTTCTACATAGGATATATAGGGTATGTGTCAGCATGAGCCGGATGTCTGTGAACACCAGGACCGTGCCACGAGAAGCGGCGAGAAGCAGCTACTTCTCTTTCGGCCTGATAAATTACATCAATAGCGTCGATACCAGTAGCTGTAGCGCTGCTCTGTGTGTCCTGGGGAGTAACACACACTCTAGTGTTAAAAGTAGTCCCCGTATTACTATCAGTTGTCGATTCATCTTGCACCACAAAATCCGGTAGAGCAACGTCGTCGTGTCTATCGAAGTGATAAAGGGGTTCGAGACTAGCTCCGCGTTGCCATAAGACGTAGCGTTTGAACCACCACGGGACCACCTTATTGCAATTGTACTTGATAAATACGCTCATAGGCACGGCGAAGACGTAATCAAGTTCCTCTAGGGTCCGCTGCTTTGTCTCAGGCATCCATAGGAAGATCATGATGAAAGCTGTGATGTTGAACCCCGCGTATAGACAGAAGGCGCCCTGGTTGGTACACTGTATTAGACTAACTAGTATCTCCATATAACACTTGCGCAAGAGGTTTTGCGACTTCGGAAGAAGGTTCTGTATCGAACTTACCAAAACACCCGTAGCTGCAAGGATCTTTGGAAACGTGATCGACAATATGGCAGCCCAGAAAAGACAAGTTGCAACAGCCCACGCCATACCAACCTCGCGGTGCGAGAGTGGGAAGATCTCTGCACTATATGTGTATGGAACGGGACCCGCGCCGGGTGAATAAAACATAGCGAAAACGTATACGAATAGCGCTATTAGGCCGGTATGAGCTACCGAGGTCTTGGGGATAAGCGTACATAAACCGGCAGCCAGTAACGACCACGCCATATTGGGAAATGTGAAAAGGAGTAAGGGGCGCCGGCCAAAGGTGTCGATCGTCCAGATGGCTGGCTAGGCGAAAAGGAAGTTGACGAGACCAAATCCCCAAGAAGCAAGAAGGGCGTTAAAATCAGACGTCCCTGCTTCTTTGAAGACGGTAGAAGAATAAAAGGCTATAATATTGATACCTATTATGCATCAGCTTCCAAATGTGTGGTGTTCGCGATTCATATTAGGTGACTTACCGCACATCTGTTGGCCTATCATAACCACAAAGGAGGCCAAGGTAGCTCTTCTAATTCGAGGGATTGTAAAGAGCTGGATGGCCCTTTCAATGTAAGTCGAGTCTGTAATGGTTTCAGCTTCGATCTCTATCTGGAAATAGATAGCATAAAGGTCGCGAGCTGCCTGGAGAGGATGATTGCGGAGTCGTAAGAGCGATTTTATAGCATCTCGAATCCGGCCTTTCTTGATGTACCATCGCGGCGATTCCGGGCAAAACAATATGAGGAACGTTAAAGGGATTGCTGGGATAAAGGCCGAACCGACCTGGACTACATAAGAGAATTTGTTAGCTATATAGAGAATAATGGCGGCAAAAGGTAATATATACGTCGCCAGGCGATTTTGCCAACTTGACCAACTGCTAGATTAGCAGAACATCCAAGGAAGATGCCGAATGCAGTCCACATCTGCCATGATGTTACCAAGGCTCCGCGAATAGATGCAGGGCTGTTCTCAGCAGCATATATCGGTACGGTCGCGGCTTTGAGTCCCATGCCAACACCGAGAAGCAGTCTCGAAATTAGAAATTGTTCCCAATTCTGAGTAATAGCTCCAAGTATAGGAGCTATCAAGCAGATGATGGCAGAAATAAATATAGTTCCTCGACGTCCAAAGCGGTTATTGAGCGGGTCCGAAAGCCAATAACCTATAAGTGCCGACCCAATATAAGGAGCCGAGTTAATGAGACCGACGAGTAGCACATCACGGTCTGAATTCCCACCGATACCAAACTGCGTAGGAAACGACAGGTTGGCTCCATTGGTACCCTCTTGATCCCATCCTTGTACAGCTGCTCCTATGGAGCAGGTGAATATGGTTAGATAAAGGAGTTTAGGGACTTTCCACTTATGTGTAGCTTCGCTCTTTAAAGCATCAATCTCCTCTGCATCGAGCGCCTCCGGCCCCTCGATATCTTCGAAACGGACGGGATCCTTGGCAACGAGAGCCCCCTTGCGCATGAGGGGAACGTACTCACATAGGTCATTCCATTCGGAAAACCGAGTGACTTGATTGAGAAGATGCTCACGAGGGATATCAGCTAAGGGGTTTGAAATCCTATTCCTCATCAAAAGACTTGGGTTAGCTAGGTACCTCCTAAACCTCGATATTAGGCCACAGACGTAGCATTTGGGTTATTGTTGAGGTCGATATGTGCCTTTGAGTCAGGGCGAACTCCCATCTCTGTCGAGGCATCGTAGCGGTACATTGAGGTCTTACGACTGTATTAATTATATTAGTAAACGATACTTTAGGTATATAATAATACCTCGATCGAGATATCAGTCTTGTAGTTCTTACACCCGTGGTTGATCATTCTTTTCAGACATAATGTTAGAATTAATAATGAAGCCGGTGCATTCTGTGGAATATATGATATAATAAAAACGTATAATATGAGCTTTAAGGGTATACGATATTAGGATGGTATTTCTAGGGCATGTTGATGATATTGAAGTAAGTAAAGTAATAAGCAGCGATTATTCGGTAAGAGAATATAATACAAAGATATTGAGTAGGTACCTATACATATCATGATTTTGCTACATCCTTAAGAGAAAGAGCATTGCACTTAGGCTCATAGTCAAACTATCATGACAGGCACAAGTTTCAGACCGATTCACATGTACGTCGTCATCTCACCAATAAACTTTGTATTTTACTTTGCATATGAAACTATAGCCATGCCTAGATCTTATCTCAAATAACTATATAATATTAGGATTTTGTTATTACATGTAGGTACACAACATTAAGAGATAGTTAACTCGTTTTGTTGCTTTAAAGCATCCAACTCCCTGATCGTTCGGGGTATCATATAGAAATACATACAATATACAATATACAATACATAATACACGAGCCTCAACAAGCTCACCACCTTCAAATCAAACCAGACGCTCTAACCCCTCCAAGGACGTCTTTAGGCTAGGTACATACATAAATCGTAAACCATAAGCAATACATACTTATACATAGCAACAGCAACCTTAAACACGATACATCATCCATAAATCCGCTAAACCAACCGTCAATGACACATGTTGCTATCCTCCACTCTTGCCTTCCTTTATAACAGACACCACGTCCTCGCGCCTCCTCCCCCTACCAACCATATGCACGAGGTCAGCATACCTCCTGCGCCAGAACTCCACCGCGGCATCTCCTTCGGCTGGGACATCAGCGCCTTCACCTCGATGCTGTGAACCCTTCTTCCAGCGCGCATGAGGCACTATCTCTGTGAACCGGAATCTGGCATTCGCGAGCCCGCAACGCAGATCCCACGTGTAGCTGTATCGCGTATAATCTACGTCGACTTCGAGGCGATGTACTGAATTTGTACCACCACTTGATTTAGGGAGGTGTCTGGCGCCTGCTAGTGCTGCCGTAGCAATCAGGAACGCCTCCGAGGTGCGGCTTCTCTTTGCAAGGCCCGCGATGATGGCCCGGGCTAGGGCGAGCGCCTCGTTGATATCAGCTGGCGGGCTGGGCTGCCCTTTATCATCGTACCACACGCTTTCAAAAAGGTCTGCGACGAGCAAGGTTTCCATCTCGTCGCGGTTGGTCCGATCGCTATCATCGAATTCGAACTGTACGACCGGGCCTGTGGGATCATCGGTTGGCCCGGCCGTGAATACACTCGCAGTATTGTCGAATATCGAAGTGTCTTCTATAGGACTAGCTGTTAATCCGCCAGTGCCGTTGGATATACTCCCATTAACCGTGCTTTTCCCATTTACCATTACAACCGGAGGTGGTGGAGTTGCTAGCCTGACAGGACCGCTGGCTCTTTCCGGTACTTGTAGAGAGAGGCGGCCAGGTCGAGAAGGTCGAGTGGTAGGAGTAGTCGTAGTTGGCGTTGTCGTTGATGCTGCCGTTGGTGCGGTCGTTGGTGCAGAAGTAGGCCCGGCAGATGTTGATACCGGGTCTGGAGGGTGCATTGGGGTAGGCTGTGTATTTAATTGGGACGTACTCTGCTCAAAAGGTGCTGTTTGGAATTCACTATGCTCGTCTGGGATTGCTGACAATGGACCGTCGCTAGGCCGACTGCTAGGAGGTCTCCCACGAGGCCTACCACTTGTGGATACGCCACCACTTCTCCAGGCGGAAGAGACTACCTTCGCTCCGTGGCGACGACCGAGCGATCTGACTTTAGACGGACTAATAGCCGAACGGGGTTCCGCGGGGTCTCCCCAAAATGTCCCTCTTGTCGACGGCGTCATCGCAGATTGGGGATAGGCTGACATAGGCTCACGGGAAACATCGTTACTCCACGGGAAGGCGGAATTCGTTTCTGGCAATACACTCGATCGTGGATCAACAGGTGGAAACATAAAGGCATTTCTTCCGTCTGGATGGGCGGTCCACGGATCTAAAGAGTCCGGACGAGCGGTTCTAGCCTCCCCGTTAAAATTCGGAGACTCTAACCTTGGCTTTTGCGACGGAGATTTGCTAAAACTGTCGTCCTCGGGTCTCTTTCGACCCCGTCGTGGCCGGATATGAGGCAATAAGGCACGCAAGGCCATATCATCTTCAGCAGCAACACCATCTCTACCCTCGTCACATACAGGATTTGGATCACTCGGGATCAGGGTCCAATAGGGATGGGGGTTATCCATCAAATAGTCGAAGAAGGCATTTATGTGCATAGAATGCATCCATCGCTATTACAGGTAAGTCACGCTGCTCTTTAATAAGTTGGATATGCTTTACCTTTAGGCGGACGGCATACTGCTGTATCTTCTGAGAACTCTGCCCCTTGTCGTGATCCGGCGGCTCGACGCCTAGCTTCAATGCCAACTCTGCCCATGTCTTGAGTTCTTTAGAGTGTAGTTGCTTGATGAGTTCGAATAAAGTAAAGGTGCTGAAGCTCTTGCCTTCACTCTTTGGCGGAGTTCGAAAAGCCTCTCTGAGCGCTGCCGTATCCGTTTCTAAGGGTACTGCTGGGTTGCAGTAGAGAATAAAACTCACGTAGGAATCCTCAATAGAAGCACTAGTCACGCTCTTTTGGGGTAATGTCGGTCTTATTAACCCTGATGACCTGGGAGTCTCGCTCCTAGAAGGAGACGGAATAGGGTTAAAGCGACGGGATCCGTTGCTAGTTGGAGTAGAGAGCGCCATCTTAATATCATAAGATAGCGAAATGCGCAATTATCCCCATGAATGGTTGGGGGAGAGGTACGATTATAGGGGGGGGAAGATGCTGGGCGCGTTTGACTGGTTGAAGTTCTCACGTAATGGTTGGTAATGTTATAGACTTGATATTCTTCGCAACACGAGTAACAAATAAGGTAGTTTTACTATTCTCATCAAATCTGTGTCTGTGTGTAACACAACTTGTCTGTCTCATCTCTTGTCTTTCGTAATTGGCCCCTAAGTCGATGTGTGATCATGTAAGTCTGGTGTAAGTGATAAATAATAAACGTTCGCTAGGCGACGATGCGTAATAGTTAGTAATGAATGGTAAAGACGTTTTTAACTGGTGGGAAATATAATGGTCAAATGATAAAAGGGAAATAAAATAGTAGCGGATTTCCCGTCTTGAGCGTTATTGAAGCTGTTAAAAAAAAACAGGTGTGGCAAAAGTTAATGGGGAAAAAAAGAGACAGAATGGTTGGTGAAGCCTCCTTCCGGTGTCCAATGCCTATTATGCCGAATTCTATTTTGAGAGCGCGCTGGCGGAGGCTGGTGCCACGAGCGCACGGCTGTTTTAGATGGGCCGGGAGATTTTATTGTGCATGTACCATGGTAACTTTGCTATTTTTGGGTACGTATCCACGTGACTCGTATGCATATGGATGCATATGGATGCATACGAATGCATACGGATGCATTATGTGCATAAGCTTAATGCACTGAGAGTAATTAACCCCTTTTTCTGTAAAACATACCTTAGGTACCTGATGTCCTACATAGGTAAAGCTTCTGTCTGTCTGCCTTACCAGTTCATTGGGCAAATACCTCTTTAGCAAAGTAGGATTCGGGTGGTAGATTATTCGTAAACCTGCGGTCCATGGGCACGGTATGATCTCTTCATCTACCACCAGCCACTATCACGGTCTCTTTGCATGCCATTATGAAACTTGTATCACAGCACGCTCTGATATCTTTGTCGTGCGCTGTCTCAAATTTAGGGTCGGCATTGCTAAGAATACCTGTAGAGGCATATTTGGCCTTTTAGGGTGGTGTCAATGTTGATGATTAGGATTGGGAAGAATGTAACTGGGTTAGAATGTAACTAATATCAGGCATTTAAGTATTTGGGCTAGGTCAGCCTTATGCATAGTCCCTTTTAATCCTTTGGCGTATTATGTAAAGACTAGCGATGAATTAAGGGAGGTTAGGTATATGAATGTACCTGGTGATGTAATTTGTAAAATAGAATGAAGATGCATCATATAACTTCAAGATAACTACCTAGGTATATAAAAAAATACTAAGGGTAGGAAAATATGTATAGGAGGTAGTTACACATTCTATCATATCTGACTTAATTCGTATAAAATCCATCAAATTAATGAGTGCATCATCATTGTCATCATCACAAGATAAAAAAAGATAATACCTAAGCAATCCCATCTCGCATGTGAAAGTCGGGAACGTTGGAGGTCTCAGCTTCTTTAACGAATTGAATTGAATGCGGGGCAAAGCCGGGGGAGAAGAGCATGGGGAAGAATGCCGACCTCGTGCCAGATGGGGCGAGGTTAAATGTTTAACAGGTCTCTTACAGGCGGATTTCGGCTCGGGCTCAGGTAGATTTACAGGGGATTACAAGGGATTGTAAGGGATTACAGGGCTACATCCCACTAAACAGAGGGGACTAAGCCGCATTGTGATGCAATGAAATCGGACCTCGGCTTCTCAGCTTCAATGGGACCTCAACTTCAATCATTTGAATCGATAACGCTTTTATTATTATTACTCTTTCAATATTTCGACGTGTAAGTCGGGCGTAATAACATTTTGACTTTTATCATTTCTATTTTCCATTTTCCATCAAACCCGTCTTATTAAATTTATTTTTATCAAAAAAGCTTCAGATTGATATAATCTTGACATCCCTTACTTACCTCAAAGGTACTTCGTAAATCAATAATCACGATGGCGTCGTCGAAGCCCGCTGTCCCTCAGAATGATAACGTCGCGCACGCCCTTGCCGGCGCTGGCGGCGGGATCCTTTCTATGGTCTTGACGTATCCGCTCATCACCCTCTCTACCCGCGCGCAGGTCGAGTCTAAGCGAGCCGAGACCGCCTTCCTAGCCGCCGTAAAACAAATTGTTGCACGCGAGGGCGTCTCGGGATTATACGCGGGCCTTGATAGCGCCGTATTTGGTATTAGTGTTACCAACTTTGTCTACTACTATTGGTACGAATGGACGCGCGGTTTCTTCGAGGCCGCTGCCTCCCGTGCCGGACGAGCTTCTAAGAAGCTCACCGCTATCGAAGCCATTATCGCTGGTGCCATTGCTGGTTCCGCCACTGTCATCCTAACCAACCCTATATGGGTCGTGAACACGCGCATGACGACTCGCAAGGGGCAAATCGAGGCCGAGGAGAATACCGGCGGTGTTCCCGTAGAGAAGAAAAAGCAACCGACTACCTTGGGTACCTTATCAGCACTACTACGCGATGAAGGTCCCCAAGCGCTCTTCCGCGGCGTCGTACCGGCCCTCGTGCTCGTTATCAACCCCATTTTACAATATACGCTATTTGAGCAGCTCAAGAACGCGTACGAGCGACGCCGGAAACACAACGTAACCCCAACCGTAGCATTCTTCCTAGGCGCTCTCGGCAAGCTTTTTGCCACCTCCATCACTTACCCATATATCACTGTCAAGAGCCAAATGCACGTCGCCGATGATGGCCAGAAGCGCGAGGGCATGACCCAGGCCATTCGGCGAGTTATCAAGGAAGAGGGTTATTCCGGCCTGTATAGGGGTATGCTTAATATCTTATTAATTATCTAACCCTTTGAAAAGCATTATTTAGTCGATCAGTGATATACTGACTTATTATTACTCTAGGTATCGGCCCTAAAGTCACCCAGAGCGTCTTGACAGCCGCCTTTCTCTTCGCCTTCAAGGATGTTCTCTATGAGCAGACGATAAAACTCAGAGGCACCATGGCCAGAAAGGCCATCAAGGCATAAGTACCCAATTTATAGTTGGCAATGCATTTACTATGGCTTGTATGAGCTCTGGCCTTAAACCTGTACATATTGTATCATTTCCAATAAGAGGCTCTTGGCCTCTTGTTACTTGGGCGTAGTCCCAACAGCGTCTATCGTAACTTGACTCATTTTGTTAACATTGGTACGATTAAGAGGGGGAGAGATGAGTGATTAAATCAGGCTCAAAAAAAGCTAGGGGAAAGGGGAATGAGATGTCATCTCTATTTCTATGTATTAACAAAAGGCATATGTGCCCCAGAAGAAACCAAGCAATGAATAACTAGTGAATAAAAGGAATTATCCAAATGCTTTAATGTACGTTTCGCCGTTCTCTAGTTGATTTACCGTAATAGAATGATATCCATATATGCTCATGTGCCAAAAGCCCTATCTCTCCCAATACTCATGTCTTCCCTAATTAACTTCCGGCACCCAACTACCTAATCCTCATCCCGATCATAATCTACTACCCGCATACAGGGCAAAGAAGAAGAAGAAAAAAAGGAAAAGGAAATCACGCCATAGGAACTAGCTTCGGAACGATCCACCAGTCATGATACCCTTTCCCGGGTGCCGGCATCTCAACCTTGAGCTTTAGCTGTGAATCTTTATCTTCGCTCCCTCCGGCTCTATCTAACGCCCTCTGCAGTGTTGAGACCGCAACGCCCGCCGCGATCGCAGCTTTTAGACAGTCTCGAATATTATTAACCCACTGGTCGTGCGCATTGACGCTGAAGGATTGTGTATCCGACATCTTACTTAAGGCCTCATACCCTTTTTTGGCGCCGCCGATAGCACCTTCAGCATACTTAAGTAGATCAGGTGTTGGAGTCTCGGGTTGAAGGGTTGCGCGCGTAAATTCGTCAAACGTGGGTAGCTGGGGTAGCGTGATTGTTCGGAAGGGCTTCATGCGCAGATCATAACGCATGGTATCGGTACTATAGGGGCGTTGCGGTAGAGCGATGAGCTTTAGACGTTGTAACGCCGTATATAGACAGCAAAGGCCATCCGCAAATTCCCACGTGCACGCCGCGTCAAGCATAGTTATGCGCAAGTATGTCAAGGAGGTCATATATTCGCGCTCCTTAGCGGCCGTGTATTGCGGTAGCTCTTGGTCTCCCTTTCTGCTGTTGTCGAGGCCGTGGCGTGCCTCGTCTAGGCTGCGCATTGTAAACGACTTGATACGATCACCATGCTGCGCGCGTGTCTTGGCCAGGTAATTTAAGTACCAGTACATGCCAGCAAGCTCGTCCGTCTGGTAAACCTCAAGTTCGAATCCGAGTTGAACGATCCACTCCATCTGCCTGAGCTTATAGAGATACGCCCATGATGATAGAGGGAGAGAAAACCCAATACTGCCTCTATCTGTTATGAGGGGTCTCTCATCTAGGGCGACTTGGAGAAGTTGGTCAATCTCCTCGACATCTACTTGGAGCATATCCCACTCTTGGATATTGTGGCACAGTGTGCGTCGAACTCTACATCTATTCTGGCAGAATATCCTGAAGACATCCAAATAGCATTCAGCTACCCGCTGCCGGAAAATTTCCATCTGCGCTGAAGTCTGGTGACGGGGATCAGTCGGGACCTCAATTTCATCGTAGGAAGCATCGATCTGTGGTGCACAGGGCATAACGACGATCGAGAGGTCATGGTCGATTATCTGCCGGATGCTATAGTTGCCTAGAACGACCATTTCTCTAAATAAGAGATTCTGGAGTAGTGTCCTAATATAAACTAGTGGTTGTGGTTTTCTTGCCTGGAATAACAAGACGAAATTCTATAAAAAAAAAAAAGGTTAACTCAGTTATTATAAAACTGACTAGAAGAGTTTACCAAAAGGCTTTGTGGTTCTGAGTACTTCAGAATATCCATGATATCAACTCCGTCTTGGAAAAGTCGTTTAAGATGGTCATAACTCTCTTCAAAGCTGGGTTGGACCATGGGGCGCGGAGGCATTGTGCTCGCTAGCCGTCGCTGTAGTTTAGTGCTGAAAGCTTCTGGTACTGGCTTGCCTAGCGAATGCTGCTTTTTAATGTGCTCAAGTAGACCTTTCATCTGTACCCAGGGCATCTTCAAGGAATCTGGGTTAGATTTCCGCAGGCCTGATAAGTCAATGGCCCTTAAGAATGCGATACGTAGCTCGAGCCGAAGATCCAGGGCTGCGGAGATATCCTTTGCAACTTCATTGCTAGCAGCACGAAGGTCACTTCGGGCCTGCTGTAGAATATTATTGATGGAACTAACGGGCATATCAAGAAGTAGATCACGATCGTATGTGTTAGTAACAAAGTCTTCTTCCTATATATTCTTAGTAGCTTATTAAAATGATAATCATTTTGTCCTATCGATCTTACCTCATAGTAAAGTTCATCTTTTACAAGCTCGTTTACGAAACAACATGCTTTAAGGAGTCCGAGACAATAAGCTCGTAAAACGAAGAGCAGCTTCGGTTGCTTCTCGCGGGCCTGGGGATCCCTTATAAACTCAGCCTCGCCTATATTGGCTGGGTGAGGGTTCATGAGCGATTCTATATAGATGCTCGTGAAGAGGGTCTGGGAAAGGGGATAACCAAGATGCCAGGCCATCTAGTCATAACGTTAGGCCGGTAGAAACAGAGAGTAGAAGCTTTGTCACTTATCCAAAACACACCTCGAGGCAAAGAAGTTGGTCAATAATTCCAAGAATTTCTTCTGGAAGCAGATCGCGAGAAACGTCATATTCTTCATCTAGAGATTCCCCTTCTGCTAGAGCACCACTATCCATCTTTCGATCCATGATCTAGTGGAATTTCTCTTAGCAGGCACATTCTAGTGATCCTATAAACTTAAGATGATGACGTGGACTCACCTCCAGAGCCGCGACGGACTCAAAAAGGGTAAAATGGTCATCTTTGACGAGTTGTCCGGGTGCCAAAGCTATTCATGAGATTAGTAAATTATATCTTGGTCAAGACCTGAAGTACCTGAGCGCACTCTTTACGGCAGAGGCAAATTTCTTGGTGATATCGGTTGCCTTGACTCCGGGATGTGATATGTTTGGCGAATGTGATATTATATTAAGCTGTTGCATCTTGACTATCACTCTTGATCAATTGTGGCTCTATTTCTTGTTAGCCTGTATCTATGCGATTTATGAGTCTTTTGTCGAACCTGATATTTCGAAGCTTAAGGTACTCCCAATATAATTAATTATACTAACCTTAGTCTTGGCAGGAGTAGCAATAGGCGAATATTATGGATTTCTGGGATAAAGAGCAATCATAGGTCAGGTCAGTTGGTTAGATGTACATGTATATGTGTTTGTTATTGGTGATGATGGGTATTTTTTTGCGGATGGAGCGGCGAAATGAAAGATTGAAGAGAGGTAATTGTAAATCAGAATTAGGCATTAAATTTACTATGTAAATTTTTAGTGTCGAAACGTGCAGTACCAACCTAAATATGTATACCAAATACATAAGTGCATTTAAATGTGCATTGAAAGGTGCATTGGGATACAAACAACATTGAGCCTTGAAACATTGAACAATGAAAGTTTCAATACGGACAAGAGCAATTTGATTTGTTACTTGCATATATATGAGGTAGGTCTGTACGTTCCCTTGAAAAGAGGATTTTACGTTTTCCGATGTCAACTAAGACAGGTGTAACCGGTCTAAGAGGTACAGAATACCACTTAGAGAAATCGCTATATAGCAATTACCTTTTTATAGACGTATGGATACATTGCATGCATTACTTAAGTAACCTACCCGAACTCGAATGCGGTTTAATTAGGTACTTAACATGAAATACATATATGAATTGACCTCGACGTATACGACATATATGTACGCACGAATTTACTGCTGTCCAATGTAGGTAAATCCAAGGGACTCATTTTTTAGGATGAAACTGTTTTATTTTATACAGCTATACACGAGACGGCTGGCATAATTGCATTTTGCTACCGTTGTTCTTGTCTATCCGCATGCGCATGCGCATCTGTCTCTTATAGGTCCTAACTATCCTCGCAAGTTTCACTCTCATCAAGGATTCGTATATTTCGTAGACTTGTAGTTTATGACGAACCACCGGAAGCGGATGAAACAGCGGCGGCTGCGTTGGCTTCAGCTAAGGGTCTCAGCTCACTCATCTTGCCGTTCTATAAATTGAGGCATATAGTCTGTCAGTTACTAACTCCTAAACTCCAGATTCCCATGTACCAAATTTCCACTTGTTAGGAATAATCAACTCACCTCCCATTTAGCAAATCGCAGGTCCATATCTCCTCGTCGTTCGGCAAGTAGTCTCTTTTCCTCCTTCAAGCTTCGGCGCACGACGCGGGATGCGACGGCCAGGTAGCGGTTGTAGCTATCCGATCGGAGGAGCAGTTAGTAAACCAGGCAAATTCAGGTCGTCGAGGGATGTATCGAGATATATAGGAAGAGAATTAAATTACCTCAAACCAGCTGCTTTCCACGCGAACACCATGTTGATAGTTGCTCGAGGTTCAATTGGGGATCAGGGATTGATTGAAGATTCGTTTGTATGCACGGAATCAAAAGATAGAAAGACTTCCGTTAGCCGAAGCCTGTCAGTAAGGTACGTATGTGGTGGCCCGAGCTTTCACGTGATTAAGAAATATTACCTAACCTTTATTTTGGTACCTAGATACTTAAACCCCCAACTCAAACCTCCCTACGAAGAAACCCCCCTTTTCTTTTATAGAAATACCAATAAATTGTATATTCAGGATTCTGTAAGTCTTTAATACACAGAGCTTATCATGTATATATAATTCTAGACCAAGGTCATTCACAAATTAATCACCATCGCATGCCCAAGTACAAAGCGTGCTGCCTCCCTATAAGCTATAAGTCGGGAGTTGGGTAGTTGAGTCTGTTCGAACTTGAAAGAAAACTCTAGGGGATTTACTATATGCACATGTGGCTCGACTCGACTCGACTCGACTCTACAGCGGTGGGCTAATCTGTTGGTACACTTTTGCTGCCCAAATTTCCCCGTCTATACTCTCAACCCAAGCTCCTCAGCATATGGCAGAACGTTCAAGTCACCAACTGCAGCCACGGTGGCCTTGCCCTCGAGAAGGGACTTTGCAGTCTATGATGACAATTAGAATTGATAAATAATAATAATAATAATAATAAAGAAAATTAGATAAACTTACCGTCTTGAGCTTGTCTGCTGTGATGCCGTCGATTGAGCCAACAGTCTCGGCAATCTGGAAGGGCTTACCGGTATGAATAATACCAGAACCGGCAGACAGAAGCGTTGACACACCCGACTGGCTCGCATCTAACGCGTCAAACTTTGCCTTGGCGATCGCCTTGGTAAGATCCTCCTTGCTGATGCTACCTTCGGAGATGCTCTTAAGAGCCTTAACAGTCTCTTCACCAGCCTTGCGAACTGATGCGGCGGCACCGGTGACTTGAATAGTCAACAGTCCGGCGTCCGAGTAAGCCAGGTTGGTGCCCGAAGCAACTATTCCGGGTGCCGAGGCCGCAGCCTTGGATAGGAGAGTGAATCCAGGCGACCACTTGACGTTAGGTTGTCCACCAAGCAGGGCTGCTAGGACCGCAATTTCAGGCTTGAAAGAGCCAAAACTGGAACCAGGGAAGGCAATAACTAAAGAGTTTCCGGCAGTGTGGGACGTACGCTGCTCGCCACCGTAGTACGTCGTAGATTTCGCGTTAAGAGTGGCAGAGCTAGATGATGATGCTGGTACGCCGCTGAAGAACTGTTCTGTCCACTTATGTAGAGCAGCTGTCGTGGCGCCATCTCCAACCAGAGCAATATTAGGCTTTGCATAAACGGCTCCCGCGTAGTCAGCGATGGCGTGTTCGTTTAGATAGCTTTTCAGAGGGGTTGAAGTCGTCGGGTATAGGGAAGTGCCAAGGCCTGTATGGAAGGCGACCGAATGTGCCGAGTCGAGAGCAAGAGCGGAAACGTCGTTGGCAAGCTTAGCCTGCTTCACCTTTAAAACCCTCTCGACATCCTCGTGAAACTCGTGCGCTATAAACTATATAAGCATTTTATCACTAGCCAATGGCTTCATATAGCTCACTGGTATACTTAGTTTGAGAGATGACCTCTGCTAGCAGTTCGGCGAAGTAAGGGATGTCCTCTCGCAGAAAGCTTGCTTCGATAACTAATGCTTCTCGGGTGTGGTATGCGGCTAATTGACCTCCTAAAAGCTCAGCTTCTCGAGTGATACGTAGGGCAGTTCGCTTTTCGGTGTTCTATTATAGTTGCATCTAATTAGCTCACGACAGAAAAAAAACAAGGATAAAAAGATGTAGACTCTTTCACCTTGAAGGCAAACTCCTCGAGGCCGACAGTGAGACCAGGAGCAGGCTGATATCTAGTACCACCCTTGGCGACAACAGCAAGTTTTGTTGTCGGACCGTGTGAGTCTCTGGTGGCTACCTTGATACCAGCAACTTCGGTGGTGTCATAAGTGAAAGCGGATGGTGCCGAAGATGCGGCAGCATAACCTCGGCGCTGAGAAAGATGCGAACAGCCTTGCCTACGAGCGGCAAGCTGGGCACCTCTGGAGAGAGCCGATCGAGAGAACATTTTAGGGGACGATGCCGTCAACAATTGGCTATTGAAGTCTGCGACAACAGCTTTTAATCCGCAGATCGTTGAAAGCTTCCAAGTCGGAACAAAAAGATGCTCAATTCCGGTAAATTCTCGGTTACCGTATGTTAATTTGAGGCTTAATAAGGCTAGAGTCTGGTCAGCCACTTGCTAATAAATTCTATTGGCCGATTGAGTCAACTTGAACAGAGGAAAAAAAAAAAAAAAAAAAACCTTTGGGGCGGGGAGCTTATTTCATAGGTACAATGACTGCTATGGCTTAGGTAGGTAGGTACTACATAAGATTAGAGAGACAAGAAGCTTCGACTATCAATTAGAATTCCCCGCTATCCTTAAAAAAGTAGTTGCATCAAAATTATTTTTATACGCTATTGTTCACTTCGCGCTGCGCAAATCATTCTTCTTAACCAACTTTCGACTTTACATATCAATACTTCTTGCGCCACCTTCGTGTTCTTCGGCGCACCTTTCTCTCTCTTTCCTATCAAATACTTCAATGAAGCCGCGGTAGTAATTGTAGTGCTCTAGAGATAGTGAGAGGATCTCTAGAAGCCAACCCCTTCGACAAGTCCTAAAATCCTATCTATTCACCTCGCGCCGCCTAATCCCAAGCTCAGCCAGTCATGTTAGTGGTAAGTGATGGTTCTTTTCAAGTCGCTACGACTTTTTACAACAACGCCCTGAAATGTATCTCTATCGTATCGAGCAAGAAACTAATAATATTTATAATTGCTAGACAAAAAATGTTGCAGAACTTTGTGTTCTGCTGATCAGTGAGCTATACGGCCAGCTCCCATCGGTAATGCTTCCTTTATATTATATCCTCTGAGGCCTCTAGAACCTCTACTTACGTAGCCTTGGAGCTAACAAATTTCAACTTCGCAGCGCATGTTTGCAGATCTTCTCGCAAGAGGCAGGTCGACCATCACGCAATTAGCGCAACATACATCGCTCAACCAACGACAAGTGCGTCATGGGATCGCTGTGCTCATTCAGCTAAATCTCATCTTCCACTTTACGGACCAAGACTCGGGCATCACATACTATGACGCAAACCCTCATGCTGCCTACAATCTTGTCCGAACGGGAAAGATCCTTGACATGGTTCGTGAGAAATATGGGTCTGATGCGAATGCTCTCGTGCACGAGGTTCTTGTTCAGGGTCACACGAAGATTTCCGATTTGATAGCAGCATTCAAGGAGCGATATACTATGCAGCAAAAGACTGCCAACGGTGTATCCCAAAATGGCCACCATGTCAACGGCAATGGCGTTAGCAATGGTATGGGCGATATAAAGATAGGGGATGAACGTGTCGACCTAGAGGATCAAGCCTACGAGAGTCTCGCACAGCTTATTGCGGCCGGTATTCTTGAGCCGCTTACGCTAGCGATGTACCAATCTCCACAGGACCTAAGAAGCACAATTGAGCAAGACTTCCTGACTAGCTACTATCCCACTGGCATTCGAGGAGCCAAGCAGACAGCCGAATTCGATAAGTATGTCAGAGACAAGCTAAGGGATTTTCATCTTAAAAACACGGAACTAAAGAATGATCTCGAATTTGAATTCGAGAACGGGGCTGGCTCTAAGCGCCGGAAGCTAACTAACGGCACGACCTCCAATATACTTGCCAACGGAAAAGTAAAATCCACTTTACTAAAAAACGTGAGTTTCTACTACGTAGAAATCTACGTCGGGGAGATTCGCTAACGTTTTCCCTCAGCTTGATACCGTGCTTCGGGTGAACTATGATAAATGTGTGGTTGAGCTCCGCAACCTTAAACTCGAGCGGTATGTAGAAGACTTGATCGGCGATACTACAGCAAAGGTGTACGCAACATTACTTGGCGTGCTGAGCAAAAAGATTTCTCGTTGTCAAACCGATAAATCAATCGAGGTCGAAGATGAGAACGACGATGCTTCTACAGGGCCCCGCGTCACTACTCAAGAGATTTTTGAGCACCTGAACCCTTCTATTGATGTATCAGGCGGTGTTGGAATGCTCCATGAGGATGGTGCCATTGATATTCGCTGTGCAGAAAAAATTAGACGATTTCCTCCCCAGCTTAAGGGTTCGACCCTTAAAGAAGAGCTCCAGGAAGGGGAAGAAATCGTTGAGTCGGACGACGAAGACTACGATCCCAGCGGGGAGGCAGCTATCAGCTTCGGATTACATGGTCCGAATGGTTCAGATGAAGTCAAAATGCAAGTGGACGACAGCGTTCCGATCGGCACTAAGCGGCTACATCAGATGCGACAACATCTACTTATCCTTACCGAAAGTAAGGAGGGTTTTGTGCGACATTGTGGCAGTCTTGATTTCGGCGAATGGACAGTCGATTTCGAACCACTCGTGCAGCATCTAAAGTTCCTCGAGCTTGATACGCTTATCGAGAACCGGTTTGGTCGTCGGGGTCTACGTCTCACTCGAATTCTTAGAGAAAAGGGAAAGATCGACGATAAAACATTGCCCAGTTTGGCTCTTATGAAGAAGCCGGATGTGCACGTTAAGATGGCGGAGATGGAGATGGCGGGATTCTTGGACGTACAAGAGGTACCTCGGGACAACAACCGAGCGGCCGCCCGGACAATTTTCTTTTGGTTTTTCGACCTCGAAAGGACACTACAGCGAACACTAGACAATACCTACAAGTCCATGGTGCGCTGTCTACAGCGATTAGACGTCGAGCGTCGTAAGAAGGCAAGCGTTCTCTCGGTTGCCGAACGTAAAGATGTTCAGGGAATGGAAGAGGAAAAACTAAGAGGTGACATATATAATGAATACGTGCAGTTTCTCGACCTCGAAAAGAAACTACTCGGCCAAGTTGGAAAGCTCGACGATATTGTAGCAGTCTTTAGAGACTTCTAGGGTTCATTCTCGCAATCGATACCAGTATAGGAGGGATATCTTGCATCATGGCGGCGTTGGTTCACGGGTGGTACAGCCTAAGAGGCTTAAAAAGTGACTTTTGCATATTGGACGGCGTTGTCTTCTACTCATTTTGATCAGTCTCGAACTCGGAATGTGGTATTGTCGGACCACATCTCGGATTGTATGTCCCGATAGATGACGAATGTATTCATAAAGTATTATGTAGGTATGCGCCTAGTAAGACGATAAGTCTACTAGCTACTGTACAACTACACTTCTAGATTTATACCCCAGATGGTGCTATGACTTTTAATAATATACTAAGGTACCTACCAATGCCATATGGACAATTCGTGTATATACATAGTTAACATGTATAATCTTACCTAAAATAATCAGTTAGGTACATGAGGGGTATGATTCCGATATCTTATCGCTCGTTGATAAAGCCCTGATAGTCCTAGGGGACCCTTAAGCTCCCGCAAGCTCCCCGCTAAATTAAGGTTGGTGCGGTACAAATTGGTAATAAGATCTAGATTTTTTTTTCTTTTTTTTTTTTTATACCCTTTGGCGCGATTGAAATTTTGTTCGACTTCTCGTGAGCTTTTCTCCTCCGAGTCCGCAGTCGTTCTTATCTTCAATTCCTCGTCGTTTTCTTAGAACAGTCCGTCAAGTCTTCTTAACTCGGGACATCTAGACTGCCATATATCTATTCATATCTATCCTTAGAATTCCGGTATTAGCATACACTTGTAATTCATAATGGCGCCGATGGTCACTGGCAAGGAGCGCGAGTCGAATCTCGCTCGACTCCTTGGTTCCGGTAGGTTGAAAAACAAAAAGGATATAACCAATGATAACTGACAAATATAATACAGGCTCTGCCGGTATTTCGGAATTGGCTGTCTTCCATCCTGTACGTGCTTGTACAGCTCGAAATATTGCGGCGCAAGACTAATAAGTCCAAAGGTCGACACCATTGCCAAGCGATTGATGAGCAACCAGACCAAGGTGCGCATAACTCACCTATAATATCCAAGGAACATACAATATTAATTATCCTATAGATCAAGAATACGAGCGAACTAAATAAGGTCATCTTCAAGGATAAGGCAGAGGCGGCATTCGGTCGAAAATTCTTCTCGCTCTTCCCGGGATTGGGTTATGCGGCGGGTTACAAGGTCCGAGATAGTTTCTACTCGAGCGGATAGTTAAGATTAAGAAGCTAAACATCCAGTACAGGTCTTGCAAAGGATATACAAGTATGGTGGTCAACCCATCGCAAGAGATTATCTTGCGGCGCACTATGGCAAGGACTTCGAGGGCGCTTTCGGAAAGAAAACCGGCAAGGCAATCATGCACTCGACTGCTGGCAGGTTAGTCTTAGATTTACACCCCGCTTAATCCTACCAACTGACATATTCTAGTTTGATCGGTATTGGCGAGATTGTCTTACTACCATTAGACGTATTAAAGATCAAGCGCCAGACCAACCCGGAAGCGTTCCGAGGACGAGGCGTTTTCAAGATTATATCGGATGAGGGCTTTGGATTATATAGAGGTTGGGGATGGACTGCAGCCCGAAATGCTCCTGGGTCATTTGCAGTACGTTTATTAAGATGGTTTGAACCCTTCTTTTGATATACCTCTAACGCTTAGTAGCTCTTCGGTGGCTCGGCTTTCACTAAGGAATACGTCTTCGCACTAAGTGACTATAACAAGGCGTCATGGTTCCAGAACTTTATCGCTTCAATTGCCGGTGCTTCGGCATCCTTGGTTGTCTCTGCTCCCTTGGACGTTATCAAGACCCGTATTCAGAACAGGAATTTCGAGAACCCCGAAAGCGGCTTCCGTATCTTATCCAACATGGCAAAGAACGAAGGTTTCTCTAGTTTCTTCAAGGGATTGGTACCTAAGGTAAGGAATATCGTATAATTCGTCTTAGACTCGGTACTAAATTCTTATAGCTCCTTATGACCGGACCGAAGCTGGTATTTTCCTTCTGGCTCGCCCAGACACTGATACCAGCATTCGACACAATGTTGAAATAGAACATTTGACTTGTATCATAGATTTGGACGCCAGCGTTCCACTGTATGTATATACGATCGAGCCGGCGTTTTAACGGTTGCGGATGACAACGCGCTAAGGGAGGTGGGATCTATCGGTTTGGACTTATTAGATGATTATGAAAGACTTCGGCAGGGTAGATAAGAATAACTGCCTGTCTAGATAGATATGAAGTAAAAATAAATACTCGACTCTAAGCAATGTTTTATATTAGGATTTCGTGGATGAATAAGTAGGTGAATCGCTGCGCTAGTGTAGATCTCTTAACTGTGTTATTTGTATAAGCCATGACTTGTACATAAAGTCAAGATAGGCATATATTACCCCCAAGAGCTTGTAGGTATTCCCTTAACCTAGTACATTCACTAAACGGGACTACGCAGGACGTCCAAGTTACCATGACAGGTATCTATTCAAACTGAACCTCATCACCATCGCAAGTAAAATTCGAGCTATGCCTAACAAACATCCGAATCTAACTAGTTACATATGAATAAATATCCGATGATTATCCGTTCAAGAAAAAAAAAAAAAGAGGTCTGCTGGCGGAGCCGCTCACAAACGGGGCTATTACAATATAGCGCTTGTTTGAAAAATCTTTTCATCAACTGGTCCTTTGGCCCAATGGTAAGGCGTCTGACTACGATTAGTATCAATCAGGAGATTCTGGGTTCGAGCCCCAGGAGGACCTATTTCTTTTGCTTTTTGTTGCATTTATGTGCTCGGGATGTATAAGAATCGATGCTATTTTATTCTATTTGAATTTGTTGTTTTGCTAGGGGGTTTATGTGAGCTTGTTACTCGTGCAACTTTAGCTTTTTTTTTTTTTTTAACGTAGCCTTGGGAAATTAAACAGTTATTCCTTGCAGTTATACCTGTATGTAACTCTGGCGAGATATTAAGTAAATATCTAAGGAGTAATGCTGGGATTGTTCTTCTGAAATTATCGTGGAGTGACTGGTTAAGTCAAGTGTATAAGTAGGTATAACTAGTAAACTGTTATAATGATTTGGCTTAATTCAATTCGCTAATCTTACCATTTATCTCATCTTGAGCACTTACTTCCCATTGTACCCTTAGACGATGATCTGTCGATAACATGTTAGAAATTAAGAATTGGGTGGGTTTTAATAGGTATGAAATTGGCATGATTGTTACGCGAGGTGAACTATGATTTACGGACTCTTATATATGCTCACTATAGTAGTATTAAATCTATTTTGATACCAACACTAACTTAGACGTTTCGAGGCCTTGGACTTGAGTGACTTTGTCTATTGTAAATTACCTGAGTGATGATCTTCCTATTCGTTTGCTAAACTTACGATTTCTAAAAGACAGTACTTATCACATATAAACGCTGGCATCTGATCTTCGTTTTGGGAACTAACAGTTGTTGATTATGGGAGTTTTGTATTGATAGGAAAACCGCTGTTACCAGTAATAAGTTGCTTTGCCAGATAAAGATGTGATAAGGAACCCCGGGCGGTTGGTGATAATATGGTCGGGTCCATATGTGGTCTGATCGAGAATGCCGGACCCATTTGAGTTCCCGATGTATGGCAAAGCTGGTTGCTTACTTGCTTGTTTATTTAGTGAAGAGGGGACTCCACAGCCGACATAGGATCGTGAATAGGTAGATGGTAACACTAGTAACAGGGTTTATTTTCCTAGACGTTGTCTGTAAAGGTATACTACTGTCATGTTGCTGCTTGTTGATATGTAGGTATGGCGCTATAGCCTACATAAAAAAGTATGGATCTAAGCAAGACAAAACACGTGGGACCAAACCGACGGGGCGAATCCTGCATTCAAAGCTCGAGTCTGATACTTGAACTACATATTGAAACTAGTGCACACGGTGTTGTTGAGGCGTCTGCATAATCGGGAAGGAACCGGAGTAAGATAGTACGGTAGAGTACGACGATAATGGAATTAATTGGATTTAATATAACATCGTGATGGACCATAGAGGAAAGATGTGAGGTTATCAATACCCTGCCTTAGGTAAGATAGGTATGGGTATGTAGTGTATGTAAATAATAGAATGTGGATCTTTTCGCTACTGCGTGCAATGAAGACATCATGGAAAATCAATATGTACCTCATGTAACTCATGTACGTACCTCATGTACGTATGTTATGTACATATGTACCTAAGGTATATAATTATGGGTAACAAGGTCCGGTTGCCGGGGCAGCGACGTGTGACGTTGCAACTCAATTGGGATTGGGCAAGCGCCTAATTTGTTTGTCCATACACAAAGCGGCGCAAAGGCGGGACAGCCCCATTTTCACCCCATTTCAAACAACATACGGAATACACCTTATCACATATTACCAGGTCCTTCTTAGATTGATCCCCATTCTCCGTTTTTTTTTGCTTTGTCTAATCTTCAAGTCCATCCAGCCCGCCAGCCCGACAGCCCGCTCTCAACTTATCATATTTGATTTGACTAACATCAATTCTTTACTTCCCGCTTCGACGGGGCAGCTCAGGCTGGCCTATATGTAATTCAAAAGCATCATATATACCTAAATAACATAAGGTATACACAAAGTGATAAAGGTTGTCTAATAAGTTTGCGACTCAGACATATCATTCCGTCAATCTGAGAGAAACAACGCCGTTCCTACGGTTAGGAATATGCCACCGGTTGAACGAGACGCACCGGTCGATAGGCCTCTAAGACATCAACATTCTTCTTCCATAGGAGGAGCCATTATACCAATGTAAGTTTCCTCTCTTTGCTTCTCTTATCGTTACCAGTTGCCCTAGTAATGTTGTATATAATTATATTTTCGACTAACAAAGAGTTCCAGGTGGGACAGCTCCGATCCAGAGCGAGCGCCGCCCCCTCTACCAATGAACCCTCAGTCTCCTGGCGGCGTGGGCCCTTCGCGAAGTGGTACTTCGCTTGCTATTCAATCTGCGCATGCAGCTTTAGCTGAGAAGGCGCGCGAGAACGCTCTCGTCCCCCACATCCCAAAACGGACCAACGAGACGTCACCAGAACGTGGTCTTGTCCAAAGACCAAGCCCTCACAAACGAATGCAATCCCTCCAGCCGGGTAGCGTTAGAGATCTAAGCTTAATGATTGAGGGGTCGAGAGATCGAGACTCAGCCAACTCGACCCCTCGAGGTTCGCCTGAGAAAGATAGGCACGCAAGACCGTCGACGCCGATTCGTGGCAGGGACCACGACAGAGACAGAGACGTAGAGTTGACCTCAGCAGAGAAGGAGAACGCCGCCCCCGGCACACCAACTCCCGCGCCGTCAATCATGCCTTCTCTTGCTCGACCCTCTGCGAGGAAGCAACCGCAGAGCATCCTTGGTGAAAATACGCCACCGCAGTCTGCAACTATGTTGGCATTACAAAACATGCCTTCAATATCATCTCGCGAGGGTGAATCACCCCTAGCAACCGTCACAAACAACTCTACACCAATGATGAAGCCACAGCTCTCTACCGAATTCCTTTCGAGCCAGCTTCTGAACCTAACCAACATCGCAACCGCTCTTCAGAAGGAAATGTCTCAACTTAGTCGTCGGAGTAGAGATAATGCTACCGACTTGATGAGCCTCAAGGAGGCCACGCATGCTAGAGATGAAGATATTCGAAAGAGTTTGCGTGAGTTAGTCACAAACTCGGACGGTAGCCGGTACCATCGGGATTCATATACGGGCGGTTTATATCTTGACAACAAGCCCTACAACATGTCTCCTGGCTCGAAAATATCAAGACCGATTTCCCTCCCAAGGATTCCATCGCCCAATAGTTTTGCAGCGTCCATCGACAGAGAATCTACGCTTAGTACGCCGTCGCTCGTAGGTGGCGAATCTCCTGCTACTATGGCATTGTTGGAGAAGATCATTAGAGACATGGGAACGAAAGACGGTCAGGATACGATCGTAGGTCGTTTGTCTGAACTGGCTGACAGGCTGTCTGGTATGGCCTCAGCCGGTAAAGTCGAAGAGCTGATTCATCACCTCAAAGTAGCCAGCGAACATCCAATGAGTCCCGGGGCCGGTAGTGGCTCGGAGAAGTCAAGGACTTTGAGCTTTAGTAGTGATGACTCAGGATCTAAAATCAGTGGCGTGATGAACCAGAGAGTTGATAAACTGCTCAATGGTAAAGATGGCCGACGATCTTCGACTACAGTGCGAGTAAACGATGCATTGAATGACGATGTCGCAAAGCTCATCCGTTCTGTTAAAGATAGCGTTGCCCAAGGAGGAGGCCTGACAGCTGAGGTGAAAGCTCTCGTTCGGGAACTTCGGGGCGAGGTTCTTGGAATGGGAAGAGAACTCAGCAGAAAACTGGACGAATCGCATGGTAAGACTCCCAGCAAAAGCGAAACGGCAAGCCGAGCGGAGCTTGCCAGAATCGTAGAAGAAGGCCTAGAGCAGATACGGGTTTACATGGCTCAGCGTCTCAGAGACCATCGACGGGTATCATCCGAGTCAGACAAATCAGCAATCGATTATCAGGAAATCTATAACGCCCTGAGAACTGCTCTAAGTGACACGGAGGCGACGCGCTCCCACGACCCCCAAATCAGCCGGGATGATGTTATGGAAGCAGTTAAGGATGCCTGGGAGAACTACAAACCTGAAATAGAAATCCAGCAAATTGGGTTGGACCGGGATGAAGTCCTCGATTGCCTCAGAGAAGGGTTACAACAATACACACCACAACATGAGACACCTCCGAGTGCAACAAAAGATGAAGTATTCCAAGCAGTTGTTGAAGCGCTGAAGCACTTCGAGCCACCACAAGTAGACATACCTGCTGGTCTTTCCCGAGATGATGTCTTCGAGGCAGTTAGAGAGTGCCTCGAGGACTTCGAATTCCCGATTGCTCCTTCGACCAATGATCTAACCCGTGACGAGGTTCTAGACGCTGTCAAGGAAGGTCTAAGTTCGAATCAGAGCACGGCCCTTGTACCTCATGGCGAGGAAAGCCCTGATATCATGGAACGCCTCCACGACATCATGCAATACATGCGGGATGAGTTCAAAGCTGTGTCTGAGGAAGCGAAGCAGAACGTCGCTGCAAATGGAAGAGATACCGAACAGCTCCTGGATGCTACCAGAGATGGCCTTGATCAATTACGGACTCATATGGAAGGCTATGTCGACAAAGCTATTGGCGCTTCTAATCAGGAGGAACTCATGGCAAATCTCGAGACCGGATTCGAACAGCTGCGTGAACACATGGAAGAATATGTCGACAAAGCTTCCGGTGTTTCTGATCATGAAGAACTTATGGCCAATATCGCAAATGGCATGGAGCAGCTACGTACACAAATGGGGAGCGGCACCGACAAAGCCTCGAGTGTTCCCAGCGCCCCCGGCCATGAAGAACTCCTATCAGCGCTTGCTAGTAACTTTGAGCAGCTACGAACGCACATGGAAGGCTATGTTGATAAGGCATCCGGTGCTTCAAATCAAGAGGAACTCATGACGAATGTTGTCAGCAGCTTCGATATATTCCGAGAGGAGGTGGCCGAGCTTGTTGCAAAGGTTTCGGATGGCTCTAGGGACTTGATTAAACAGGAAATCGAATCTCTTCGGGATACCGTTAACTCATCTCTCGTCCCTCATGTTCCACAAATGAGCGATAACAGGGACGTAATGGAAGCTATTCGAGATAGTATCGAAAGAATACGTGGTGAACTCCTTCGCCCTCACGCAGGAACTACTGATATTCTCGATGCTTTACACGAAGGGTTTAGCGACCTACGAATATGCATTGAGAAGATGAGTGACAAGCCGGCAGATCTAACTGCCAATGACGAAATTCTTGACGCTCTTAGGTCAGGTCTAGATGGCGTTCGGACGAATATCGATTCCCTTCGCGATAACAGCCAAGAAAAGGCCATTACCACTGTAGGCGCTGTTCCAAGCGATGCCCTCATTCCTGCCGATCTTGCCAAACATGACGACATAAAAAATCTCGAAGTTATGATGACGCAGCTCAGGGTCAAGATGGAATCTTTGGAAGCACCCCCACCCCCGCCAGCGCCAGAGGGGTTATCAAAAGATGACCTGGCAGAGCTAGAAGAAATGCTTAAGAATGGTGTGTCCAAAGAGGATTTAAACGAAATAGAAGAATTACTTCGAAGTATGCAAGAATCGATGACCAGCATGTCGAGTGTTAGGGACATTGGAAAAGGCAGTGCAATGGATATCGAGAAAGAACGGGAACCACCAATTAACCTTGACGATGCCGCTACAAAAGAAGATGCGCATGCGATCGAAACAATTCTTCGAAACACCAAGGCTCGTCTTGATGATTTAATCGATGGAGATCAAGTAGTTAAGAAAGATCAGGTCGATACGCTGGAGGCTCTCGTGCTCGAGACGAAGGATTCTCTAGCAACTGTAGCTGGGCAACTAGATGCAGTTTCTAAAAAGGAGGATCTCGTTTCAATTGAAACTCTCGCAACCCAGATAAATGCTGCGCTAGATGAGATGAAAGAACGTGCTGAAAAGTCCCTCCAAGATCCTGAGAAGGTCACCAAGACCCACGTTGCTGCGGTAGTGGCGACCCTTCTTGAACTCAAATCGACTGTCGACGAGATGATCCAGCCCGGCATTGCAGCGCTTCCCTCGAAAGACGACATCAAGAACCTTGAAGATACTATCAAAGAGTCCAATACAAAGGGCTTTGAACAGCAACAAGCAGAGACTGCCGGTGTTGGCGAACGAGTCTCCGAAGTCAAGGCCTTCTTAGAAGAGTTCCAAGGCTTGGTCAAGGAGAGACTACAGGCCGGTGGGAATGCCATCGAGTCTCTGGGTAAGATCCTTGAGGGTCTCAGCGAAACGGTGCACAAGAATGGCGACGTTGGTAGCAACCTAAAGGAGATGTTCGACTTGGTGAAGTCCGAATTCGAAGAATCGAAGAACAGTATGGTAGGTGCCAAGCTGGACACCGATGAGAAGTTCAAGGAAACTACCCAAGTTCTTGGAAGTAAATTCGACGAGAAGATTGGCGAACTTGTGATAAGATATGATGAATTTCAGCTCGTCATGGATGATCGGACGAAGGCTTCGGAATCAAGAGATGGCGAGATGAAGGCCGCTATGATCAATACAAACACCGTCACGGAAGAACTCAAGGTTCTAATTGATACCCTCGGCTCAACTGTTACCGGCTCTCTCGAGAAAATGGAAGAGGCATCAAAAACAGTCTTTGACAAAGTCGAGACACTCTACGGCAAAACCGAAGAAAACCATGTCGAAGATAAGGCAGAACACCAAATAACCCGGGATCATATCCAGCAAGCTATCAGTGCTGTCGAAGGCCTCCGGGGTCATGTAGGTGATTATCAGCCAAAGATTCTCGATTCGATCAAGGAAGTGCTCCTCACTATTGGACAACATTATGAGCATTCTAAGAATTCAGAGACTGGCATCCTACAAAAGATCGAAGATGCTAAACCCGAGAAATATGACGATGGCGTAGTACAGTCGAAGCTTGCCAAGTTAGACAGCGACATACATTCTATGCGAGAAACTCTGGACAACGAGATGCACACCAAGTTGGATAAGCTAGTTGATCACACGCAGACTGCCGATAAAGCGTATGCCCAGCTCGATACTCTCGATAAAGTGCATCAGCAGGTTGTGAAGACAGCTGCTGACATCTCAGAGTTTCTTTCGTCTCAAAAGCAGCGCGTCGAAGACGAGAATGAAGAGCGTGCAAAGACACTTCAAGTAACGACTATGCAATTAGAGAGGCAGAGAGCTGAGCAGGACCAGGTCGAAACCAATTTAGCATACTTACGAGACGAAGAGGCCCAGCTCCGTGAATCAATTCTTGCCCTAAGAGCTGAGCAAGACACCCTGGTCCGTCAAAAGACTCGATTGACAGCGGATGTTTCTTCCCTTGAGACTGCTCTGCATCTTCGTCGCGAGGAGCTTCAAATAATGGATGCCCGGGCTGAAGGTCTGGAGCGCAGGATACTCGAGGGTGTTTTAGACCATTCTCGTGCCTTACTTATGACGAAATCCGGGTTTAAAGGCCGCGAGGCTATGAGCCGCAAGCGTGTCCCTGGTGCTCGGTCAAGTTTAGAGCCTAACGATGACTCGAACTCCAACTCAAAGCAGTCTAAGCCACGTTCAGCAGTTAATATAGCAGTTAATGGTGGTAGAGCAAGCCTTATCCCGCAGAACCCGACCAACACTGGCCGCCGAATTCTGAGCCTCAGCCAAATCACTAACAACGTCCCTCCTGGTGGCATTAAGCGTAGCCAGAGCGTTCGTACCCCGGCTGGTGCGGCGTTACGGAAGAGCAGCTGGGCGCCAGGGAAAAATGGAAATGGTAAAGGCTACGGCGACCTGAGCGTAAACAAAGAGAATGTCGATGCAGTGCGCGAGAGTGACGAGGAAGCACGTGAGGATTCGCCTCTGTCTGAGCCAGAACCCGAAACACCGATACCCATGGAAGACGAAACTGTAGCCATTGCTACCGACGAGGACACTGTAGATGACGAAGACAACGAAGATGCTACTGAAATACCACTTGAGGTTGAAGAAGAAGATATAGATGAAGTAAACGAGACAGGGAGCGAGGCTGGAAGAACCGTCACTACAGACGCGGAGGCGGAGGGTGGATATAACAGTGAAGACCAAGAAGGGTCTCAAAGTGAGTGGACCGAAACTGCCTTAGGCCCGGACAGCGTCTCATTGGAAAGTATAGATGACGCCGATAGCATCACAGGCGAAGGCGGTATTGTCATGTGCAGCACATGATGAATCTACCGGACTGCCATAGCAGTGCGCCGCACTCAAGCTTTGGAAGCCTTTGGGGACAGGAATCTGAATTTGTCGGAGTACGACGGGGGGGTGGGGTTCATCTGCTTCATCATGTTTTTGGTTGTATCATGTCTGTTCCTTGATTCGTCATATTGGCTGATGATGACGAGATGAGAGGTCTATGCTTATGGGGGGATGAGTGTATGCCTTTGGTAATGCTTGCCTGTCTTTGCCGTATATCGGGGGCTTCGCAGGCGGGAGGGGATGGTGTAAGGAGGAGGAAATGAGGATAGGAAAGGGAGAGGAGGGGAGGAAGGGAAGAAGGGAAGATTGGAAAATGAAATTTCGTTTTCCCCTTTCTTTAATAATACCTTTGTCGTTTACTTGGAGGTTTTGCGTTATCGTTATCGTTATTTCTATTTATTTTATTTTTGCTTTGGAAGAGAAACTATGTTTTAGTCTCCGTTTGCGAAACTTAAAGTTTCTAACCTAGTGTAGTTCAGGTCAAGTACTTCAATGGAAATCGAGGCGTAGAATAGACGCTAACTTTGTTACTTGGCTGACTCGGTATACTATTGCTGCTATTAACTACCTGCTTTAGGTAGATTGTAGTGTTGCATATATCCATAAAACAAATGATCTTTGTCTGTTCCCCCATCCCGTAAATAAAAGAGGCAAGTTGAAATATAATAATAATTAGTATAGATACTGTAGATACTGTAGATACCCAGATAGATAATGGTACAAAAAGCATAACCTAGTCCATTTACCCCTTTTAACGTTTGAATGCCTAGGACTATTCACAAAGCTAAAGACTACGTAACTAAGACTGTTTGTTTCGTCGAAAAAGCTTATCGACTCGGCATCCATATGGAAATAGAAATAGATGTTCCAAATAGCCTCCCCCCCCTTTTAGTTACGGCGATGTTTTAACCCAATCTTCTCTCTTCCGTCCATCCACGGCCGAAGACATTCAGGAATATCAACTGTCATCTCAGCCTCGTCCCATCCGTTCTCTAGCAGCGCAGCTAGCACGCGGGGAACAGCAAGCGCAGTGCCGTTGACGGTCCAAGGATATGTCAGTTTGCCACCAGCACCTGCCGTGCCGCGTAGTCGCGTAGCCAATCGACGGGCTTGGTAATCGGTGCAAATGCTAGCACTTGTGACCTCGCCCCAGCCATCACGGTCCGGGCCGCGGCGGCTCGGGAAGAAAGCTTCGATATCGCACTTACGGGTGGCAGATGCGCCGAGGTCGGTTGATGGCATTTCAAGCACACGACACGATAAGCCTAGCCCCTGAAGGATCTCAGTTTGTAGGTCAAGCATCTCGTCGAACACCTCAGCAGTGGCATCTGCATCGGGAGATGTCCACGCGAACATCTCCACCTTTGTGAACTCGTGCACACGGTACAGGCCCTTAGTATCGACGCCGCGGGCACCCGCCTCTGCGCGGTAGCATCGCGACACACCGATATATTTTATAGGCAGGTCAGTTTCTTCTAAGAGTGTGTCGGCTTTCATGCCGGCGAGTGGGATCTCGGCGGTCCCTGCGAGACAGAGTTCAGGTTTTCCGCGTTGGGCATCGGCGGCGGATTGGGCTAAGGTATAAACTTGCTGCTCGCCATTCTGGTCGCGCGGCTGGAAACCACAGGCTGCAGCGATGTGGCTGTATACTATGCTTGGCGGGGCGACCTGGCGCCAGCCAGAGCCTTGCTTCGTCACGACAGCAAGCGCGTAGCTGATAAGTGCCTGTTCTAACTGAGCGCCTTCATCTATTAAGTAGTACCATCCCCAACCAGACGTCGTTGCGGCGGCTGTAAAATCAAGTAGACCTAATTCGGACCCGATGTGCACATGGGATCGCCATACACGATCCGACGAGGAAAGTGCTGGCTCCGGCTGCTCATTAATGTAGCTAAGAACGAGGGGCTCGTCTCCGCGGGGCGTTTCCGGGCTAGTTAAGTTAGGAATAGCAAGCGCGAGCTCTGTCATTTGCGCCTCGAGACGGGCTTCATCTTCTTCAATAGAAGATAGCTTATCCTTAATAGTTCGGGCCTCTTCGATGAGCTCTTCTTTTGACAAGATTTTAACGTCTTCTCCTGTAGTAGTAGCAGTCGAATTTGCTTCTCCTGATCCGGACTCAGTCTCATCGTCCTCATGCTGTATAGTAGCAGGATTTGCGATTAGTCGACGCAAGGCATTGCCCCTTTCGCGCATGCTACGGCTATCCCTCTGCCGAGTTTGCCATTGCGCAAATAGATCAATGATGCGAGAGGGATATGCGCTTTGGGTTTTATAATTTCTTTCAAGACATGTCTGTTCGTACAGGGCCGCGTTCTGCCGGATATGTTTGATATCGATGTTAGCCTTAGGGGCCGTTGGAGGTCGTGACAAGATGGGTATGTCGTCAGAACCAGTATTTATACTAGCAGGGTTGGTGCTAGATTTACATGTAAATGTAGAACTAGAGAACAGACGTGCCGTCGCAAAACCTCGAAGGAGGCGCTGTCTTCTCTGGGTTCCAACTAGCCGGCATTGAAGGCATATAAAAGGTATTCTCGGTGCCTTAATCATGGCTACGAAGATGTACAACAATTACTTTCTCGCATTGAGAAATATTCTCTTTATGAAAATTAAATGTTGAAGTGGGAAAGTTGAAATGTCGTTCGATTCGCGAATCTTTTTTTGGAGTAGCTTTAGCTCCCCGCATTTTGCAGTTGCAGTTGTAGTTGCAGTTGCAGGGGTAGCTCCTGCTCTCCACATCCTTTACTCCGTTTTGCCATCGTGATATCCACGGATAAGGTATATTAGTACTTAGGTACTTGGACATGTATAAGTCAATATATAGGTACATAGGTACATATACCTATAAATCTCCCTACATGGAAATATAATTCTACTAAAACTTAGGAACAAACCCCAGTTAAGCTCCAGTATAGTTATTGATAATCTTCATCAGAGTTTCATGGTTAAACTTGTTAAACTTGGTTTAAATAGCTCCCCATATTCCCAGAGTCCAACCGCCGGTAGCCTGTGAGGCTTGGCCTCTAACCAATCCCCCAGCTCCCATGCTCTGCCTCTGTTGCGCCTTAACATCTACTTCGTTAGGTCGACATGCACCATTAACACCTTGTTGAAGCCAATATTCGCGCTCGACTGTGGCCAAAGCCGGCACCTTGAGCTGAGCTGCTAAGCTTGCTCCGCACCAAGCACCTAGGGAGTCTATTACCCGAAGCGTGCCTTGTACAGCCGGCTTATAGTTTCTCTCCTTTTTTATAGCATCCTCTACATGATCGATATCAGGGGGTGCATATGCTGGATTAATAGGTCGTGTTGTCTCTGCTTCTTCTGTACCACTACCACTTTCGGTTAGAACTACCGTGGGAGTAGGACCTTCACCAGATTGTCGACTACTGCTCCGACGTAGATTTGGGTTTGCTTTATATTGGTCATATGCCTTTCCTCTAACCGGATCCCACCCTCTCTCCTTGGCCAAGAGCGATACCTCGTCAAAAATGCGTCCCTTAAGTCCGATAATGTTGGAACAGCCACCCGTGAATATAATGCGCGCCATGCACACTGCACGGACATCCAATGGCAGCTGCAATAGAGCCCGGTAAGCTAATAGAGCCACGGGAAGCTCATGGTCATCAAAGCAAGAAGTTGAAAGGTTAGGTTCGAAAAAGACTGTCTCGCAAGGTTCGGCTAGCTCCGCAAACGGAATTTCCACCGTCTTTGGAGGCTTACAAGAGTTGAGTTCCACTGCGACAGGCACGCGGTCGTCTGCTGGCGCTACTGTTTCGGACTCGTCCTGCTCGTGAAGGGTTGGGAGACCCTCGGTGGTATCCTGTGATAACTGATTTACGGCCCTTTTACACCATAGCATGCGGGTTGCGAATTCCTCGCATTCCTCGAAGCTTACAACGTTGTCCTCCAATTTATACTCTGTACGCTCGGCGCGCGCAGTGGCTGGTCGTCCTTGAATAATATTGGTTAGAAACTGGTACGTTTCCTCCACCAAGAGCTTGCCGGCTCTGATAGTCCTCCAAGTATACACCTCTCTAAACTCGTAAACAGAAGTGACAGTCGTCTCATGCCAGCCAAGGTTGATGACCAGAGCTGATCTAGTACCTGCTGCCATGGCGGACATGACAGGCGACGAAAGAAGGGATATGGATGGGATCTGGAAGCGAGTAAAGATGGTATCGAAAACTGAAGATATTAATGGTATGGGCAGCGTGGGTGGTAAAACAAGACTTATTCTCCTTGGGCGGGAATCAATAAGTAGAAATCTACAAAGAATACATGTTAACTGAAGCCAGCCAGATGGGAGCATTGAGGGGAATTAATAACCTACTTGGTGAAAGCCTCCCTAAGCTCACGTTCGAGCTTATCCCCGACAAGACCCAGATCTTTCCCTCTTAAATCCAACTGCCATAACTCGTAATCTGATCCCCAAGGCTTTCCGGCAGCCCTATGACGCCAGTCGTCATGATAACCAGCTTCCCAAGCCCTAAAGTCTCCGGCACGCCTCTGCTGCTCTGGGCCAAACGACGCAATCTTCTTGGGGGCGGCATCACCCCCAAAGCCAATACGTAATTTTCGTGATCCCAACTCAACAACTAAAACTTCATCGTCGGCGCGCAAGGTAGAGGGGGACCCGAAGGCGGAGGGAACAACGGAAGCTCGTGGAGGGGTATGAGGCGTAGCTGGAAGTGCCTGAGTTGATGTGCGGTCGCCGGCACGTATGCTGGACACAGCCCGGTGAGGGAGACTGTGACCTGCGCTCGACGACATTTCCCTGAACGTATGTTTACTCTCTATACATTTTGAGAATTGGAACTGGCGGCGTGGGTTTATATTTGTGCATTAATGTTGTTTCGTTGAAGTCTTGACAAGTTTAAATGTTGTGGGAGATGCTGCTTCAATGACTTATTCTTAGGTACCTAGGTACCTAACCTACATAGGTCAACTTTATCGAAATAATGGAAATAATCACTAAACTAATATGCATATGTACATCGTACTATTCATATATGTAAAGGTAGAGCTAGCTAAAAGTCCATGCGTCTAGCTCCAATTTTAAATATGTAGCGTACGAAGTACATATAAATATCCTTGCATGTGCATCGTTGCCAGTGGATACCAACAGCATCAAAGTCAATATTTAAGTTTACGGTAGGAGGTATTTCGGTATCGTATTACATCACCCATCACCCATCACCAATCAATCAAACCGCCAAATTGATTCCACTTTTACGCAGGCTGCATTCTTTCCATTTATTAATCAAATTAATCAAATTTCCCCTTAACGGTAGAAACTTGCAATTCATGGCTTGATAGCTCAAGATATCGATTCAAACGGTAGGATTTCGCCATGGGGATTAAAGGGTTAGTATACTTAAAATATTGTGAATATTATTCACGAGCACGAGCTTGAGTATGAGCATTACACTAATAACGAAATAAAATAGCATATACAAGGAAATTGGCACCGGCAAGCGAATATCCCTTACAAAGCTTGCTGTCGAGAAACTTGAAGAGACCGGTCGCCCTTTGCGTATAGCTATAGATATCGCTATATGGCAATTCCAAGTCCAGGCAGGTCGAGGTATGTCTATTCTCTACTGACTACCTGTGAATATATATTCTGACGGTATTCAGGCGGTTCTAACCCAGCTGTTCGAACGCTATTCTATCGGCTGCTTCGTTTGCTTGGCTTATCTATACAACCCATCTTTGTTTTCGATGGCCCTAGAAAACCCGTATTCAAGCGAAACAAGCGCTCCGGTCGAGGTGATGGCGTTGCCACAGCTATGGCTAAGAGAATGATCAGATTATTCGGGTTTCAGGTCCACGATGCTCCTGGAGAAGCAGAAGCCGAGTGTGCACTATTACAGCAAACTGGCATCGTCGATGCTGTACTCAGCGAGGATGTTGACACCATTATGTTCGGCTGCACACGGACACTAAGGAATTGGTCGTCTGAAGGTACAAAAGGAAGCAAAACGCCTACTCACGTCTCTATATACGACACCCAAGGATTGTTAGAAAGCGGCGCAGGCCTGGATCGGGAAGGGATGGTCCTGGTTGCACTCATGAGCGGCGGTGACTACCTCCCGGAAGGAATTCCCGGCGCCGGTGTCAAAGTGGCTTGCGAAGCCGCCCGAGCGGGATTCGGTAAAGCTTTGTGCAGACTGAAAAAGTCAGATACGTCTGAAATATCTAGCTGGAAAGAGTGGCTGGCCTACGAGTTACGGCACAACGAGAGCGGATTTTTTAAGACGAGACACAAAGCTTTATCCATACCGGAGGATTTTCCAAATATCGACGTTCTCAGATACTATACTCACCCTGTAGTATCCCCTGCTTCGACTCTCGAAAGATTAAAGCAACAACAATGGGATCAACCGGTTGACGTCCAAGGGCTACGAGAGTTTGTCAGAGAAACCTTTGATTGGAATTATCGCATAGGGGCTATCAAGTTTATAAGGGTTCTAGCACCGTGCTTGTTGGTACGAAAGCTGATAACACGGAGCGTTGGTGGTGATCGTGAGTCCGATTCCACCGAAGTTCTAGAGAAACAGGAGTCGGAACTAGTAAGGTCAATTACAAGTAGACGTACTCATTTCAGTACGGATTCAACGCCAGAATTACGTATATCTTTCGTGCCAACAAAAATAGTCGGTTATGATTTCCAAGAAGAACCGGATGAAGTCATCGACTATGGACGAGATGGTCTAGCCCTCAATAGTGATGAGGAATTCGAACCTACAGCCGAAGATGAGGGAGTCGAAGCGGTCGGGAAGACCAGTAAGAAGCCATTTAATCCGGTCGAGCCCGACCTATTCTGGTTACCAGAAACCATAGCAAAACTTGGAATACCTATTACAGTTGAGGACTGGGAAGAAGCGCAACGTGCCAAGCTAGCACCTCGCCAGAAGGCCAAGGCCCCAAAGCAAAAGAGTAAACCCATATGTACCACTTCTAGGGCATTAGACAAGTTCGTCAAGGTTACCAAGAATATCCCACGAAATATAGAAGCTAGTAAAAATAGTACGCCAGTATCTTCTACAACTTCTCGGATTAGCAGTCCACTTGGTATCCCCAGTATACCTTCGCAAATATCACCTCCCTTTATTCCAACCAGTCAGACATCTCAAAAAACACGTCCCGCAAGATCTAGTAAGCAGACTAAATCTAAGTCCACGGCCAGGAATGCATCCCCAACATCAAGACCGGATGCGAGTGCCAATCCCTGGACGATTTCGAGTTCACACGCCAATGCCAGGGCTCCTAAGGCCAAGTCTACGAAAGCTTCCGAGACCATTATTATATCATCTAGTCCCCCTACGTCGCCCGGCCCAATCCATCATTCTATAACACAGGGTTTGGATAATAGCACTACTGAAAATATTTCTTCAATGTCTCTTTCTTCAACTTCAAGTTTGTGCCCTCGAAAGCGGTGTTTTATCACGCCAACTAAGACGGACCAGAGAAGCGACGGGGCGTCCAACAGTCATCTTGCAGTAGGAAGTGCCCTAAGTCCATCACCGAAATCAAGTCAAAAGATACCCCATCGCAAGCTAGCAAGGACGGAATCACTACCTGTGGCACAAAGCCCACTCACAGAAAATAAGAACGGGACACGTATGTTCGCGCGAGCACGTACTGTAATAGTCGAAGCACTGCCGCTCCCAGACTCAGAAGGCGAGGAGGACGAGTTCGATCTTCCTCCACTAAGTACCGTCATTAACAAACTCCCCCTTGGGAACAAATCATCTACAGGGCCTGACAGACCAGAAAAACAAGTAGTTCGAGTCCCGGAGTCGAAAGAGACAAAACAGCAGCTGGGCAAAGATAAGAAGAAACAGACAACTCTAAACACCTTCAACACAACCAAAAGGATGACCAAAGTCTATGCACCCCGCAAGAGCGAACCCGGATTCTTCAGAGAAGTCGAGGTCGCAGCCGACGAGGCCGATGACTGGCTCTCGAAAGTTGAGGGCAGCGATGCTGTACGGGGTAGCACCGGTCGGGGAGCAACAGCAGCAGCATGGAGACGTAGTGATATCTCGTGCATCGACCTGACGGGTGAAGATTGATTCCTATCTTACACACTTAACTTAGAGGAGTATCGTAGATTTACTTGTCGAGGAAGAAGTGAAATCGCATTTTAGGCTACAAGGAGCGGTTGGTCTCGGTGGAGTTTGCATAGCAGGCGCGTTTGCATTACATTGCATTGAATAGAACACAAGATAGAATGTAGATGATGATATGATGCGTCACTTTCTCCAAGATGAATAGATCAAGATCAAGTTTTATACAGTATACCTTTCATCCACTTCTCTTCTTCTATTCTTATCGTAAGCTATGGTGGTCTCGAAATATAGTATCTAATGCCCCCTAACTTTAGATTTGTAGTGGCATTCACAATAATAACCTATTTACGGCGACTAATAGTCTTCCTACCTCCCATAGCCAGTTATCCACGTGTATGATAAAGATCACTTCTCAAACCCCGCTATAGTGAACGTATCTACGAGGAACTGGCAACGACAATGCTCGTCTCTCGTCTCCGTCAGCGGCACCACCTTCTTCCGAGTCGGATCCCCCAGCTCCTCCTTAACGCCCATAAACCATTGACCGAAGTAAGTCCACTCGAGGTTAGGAAATGCGGCGGCCCAGGCCTCGGTCAGCGTAAGCATCCGATTGCGATGAAGGACCTCCCACAACAAAACCCCCCTCTCGGGACTTTTTCTATTCCAGAGACGGGTCAGATCCCCCGGGGTTTCGTCAAGATCGGGTCTAGCCAACATGTCGGACATTTCGTCATCCGTAAACGACTGGGTGCCATAAAATCTATCGGAATTTTCGGAAGAGGAGAGAATTTCCCAGGGGTATGTATCATGCTGGAGAGCAAGCCCCTTTAACTTCTTCAGCTTGAAGAAGACATCGCGTAACTGGTCGTGATCAACCAGCCAACGACAATACACTCCGCTTTTGGTTCCCACACCAAGGCTTAGCTCTTCAAGAGACGCGAGACACGCAATAGCTGTTAGTGAGGCCACTGGTATGGAAACGGTATGATAATCCGGTCCACCCCATGTCAAGGAGAGAGTCCTAAGGTGCTCAAATCTTCCAGTAGAGAACAGCGGGATGACACACGCGTCAAGGTGCGCCGTTGAGTCATGCGCATGCGCATCTTCTGATACATATAGCTTCTTTACCGTTTCGTGCCTTGCAATAAAACCCGCGATGAATTCTGCATATTCCTTGAACTCGGGGAGAGGCTGGATGACCAACGTCTCGAGATGCGAGAAAGTACCGCAATTGGCGAGAATATCGCGAAGCTCGAAATCAGGCTTTAAGTGTATCGAGAGGTGCCTAAGAGGAGCGTTGAATAACGATGGAAGTATAGAACGAGGAGGCCCCAAGTCACCAATCCTTAGAAAAAGGAGATGAGGAAACGATATGGGCTTGTCGCTAGAGCGTTGCGGGATAAGCTTTTCGTTGATAGATTTATGTGTCAGAATCCAGGTTAGGGATTCAAGAGTAGGTGCACACGATCGAAGGAGTAAATCGAAGAATTGAGCCGGCGCAAGCTCAAAGTATGTCTCCTCTTGTGATGGTTCTCGTGGCAAAAGCTCTAAATACAGAGAGACGACAAGGGAGCGTAATGGCCAAATAGACGGTATAGGAGGGTTTTCTAAAAATTTAACGATGGTTTGCCTCTCGATGGGTAGTCGTCTGAGCCATAGATGACGGGCCGGTGATTCCATTATGTATTTGAAAAAAGAAACTTCCATAGGATATGTATCATACCAAACAATAACCTCAAGGTTAGGCAGAGCAGAGCAGATAACTCTTTGAACATCGGCACGTGTCGACTTGTATTGTTGGTGAGCTTGCTCTTCACGTTGTGCCGAGGTTTCCGCCATGAGCCACATTACAAAGTCTGGGTATGAGACCGTTGTGATCCTTCGTACGCAAGCCCCGATGGTTAGGCATTGTTTACTATTATCCCTTCTAGATATACGTTCTTGTTCAAGCTTCGATAGTAACTGCTGCCCTCGGGTGTTGGCGTACTTGAAATTGATCTCGGCAAACTGGCTCGAACGAGCCAACTGTCTGCAGTCGCTATTGACTTGAGCTAAAGAGGCTAGAGTTGACTTGTCGCCAGTTAATAGATTGACTATATCAGTTAAGATATCGGATGGTAATTGAAGTAGTCTGCTTCGAGATACTAACGGTTGGCCTTCCATGACACGATCTAACCTTAGAGCTCGTGCCATAGTTTTCTCATGGCCGTAACAACCTATTTTAGGGTAGACCTCTGTAACTAAACTAGATTTCATCGTCAACTTGGGTAATGATGGTATAGTAGATGATCCCAGATGTTTTATAAATCAAATAAAGTAAACGACAAAATCTAAACAGCTTACTTATACCTAAGGCACCAAACTGTTGGGTACCTCAATTATAATGCACATGTACTGTATAAATAGGTACCCAACCCATATACACACAATTTAGGTAAGCCGGAATCCATCCAGATCCAGGAGATGAATTCTGTGACTGGAAATGATCGTCATCATTATACTGTAGTATTTCTTAATTTATTTCATATTCCACGTGGGAAGGTATATAGGTAGATAATGTAGATAAACAAGTAAATAGATATAGGTATCGGTGGGTATCCTGCAGTGAATTTCCATAATAAAAAGACTCGACCATATATGACCCCAAGTACAAACAATGCAACCCTGAGAAACTTGGGCCAGCCCTTAGGTATTAGCAATGTGTTAGGATAATTGAAGACGCCATGTACGTCCGCTAAAACCAACCTGCATCCTTATAGAATAAATCGTGGTGTAGGTTCCGCTTAACTACAAATCCTTCATTCTAGCTCGAACGGGGTGGCTGGTTGTTTTTTTTATCTCATTTCGGCTTGCTTCGTTTCGTCTCTGCTTGCGTTGCTTCGTATTATTCATTTCATTATGTTTCTCTTCCCCTCTCGTGATGTATATGTGTACCTTGGCATGCCGGGTCCGGGTTATTTCAGTCCTCAACAGCCCACGGTAGATCTCTCTCCATCACCCGTACGCACGTTAGATAACTCGTCATGCTACTCGTGGCTATGGGTACGTTAGAGCTACCACTGACGCCAGCACTGCTTGGTGTAACAGCACCTCGTTCTAGCTCTAGCTCCAACCCGCTACCCATGAGTGGGCGTACGATCTCACGGGCGGCGCTCTTAAGTTCGTCAATACGCTTCTCGAACCGCCGGAGGTTGTCACGTGAGTACAACTCGGGCGTTAATTTAAGAAAGCGTTTGCACTCGTCATGGCCTAGATAGCTGGCACCCGCCATAGAGCCTAGAGTACGATAAGTACGGCCTAAACTTGCGAGATTCGGCGCCATCGGTGCCGAAGCAATCACGGCTGTGGCGCGGGACGACGGCCCTCCATCACGGGAAGAATGTCCTCGAGTACTTGGAGGAGCCAGCGGAGCCGGTGACGTGTTATCCGCGAGCCACTGACGAAAGAAAGACACAGCAAGCCAGTCGAGATACGATGTGCCAGGCGTGATGCGCTCGCCACGCGAATTGGTAAGATTGAGGCGAAAGAGGCGACCCTCAATCCTCGATACTGTCTCTTCCAACTCGTCAACTTTGTCTTCGATAATATCGAGAACAATATCCGGGAATGACTGCCTAATACTTCGTTCCCCAGCTGGCCATTGTCCGACAACATGTATCAAGGCTTCTTGGAAGATAACCTTACTTCGGCTCAAATACCCCAGGCGTAAATAGCTAACAGGATACTTGGCGATCTGTTTCCATAGCCTACTTTGAAATTGTAATAAGTGATGATCAACTCGTGGTCCTACAACAGCTAACGCATCATACTGATCCGCCAAGGTAAGAAGCGATTTACACTGTACATATGCGTCGGCAATATTTATGCCGTCTAGTAGCGGGGGATAGTTATAGAAAATGCGAAAGAGATTATCGTAATCTCGAAGTAGGTCGGCGTCGGCCTGCGAGAGAGGCGCATCCTGGTCTACCTTTGTTGGTACTAGGGATAGGTTTGCAACCGAACGAAAGAAGGAATTCGTGGAATGTGTGTGCGAATGGCTCACTTTGCGCGTGGTGGGAGTATTCGAGGTTGCGCCACCGCCTCCAAAAAGGGAGCTTGACTGTGCGGAACCGGTAGTATTAAGGGTATTAGCCTCCTTTTGCACCAACATCGGTATATCATCCCCATCACTCCCGGGGTCCAATTCATATCGCCATCGTTTTCGTGGCATAGGCGAATTTACACGTGATCGCGCGGCCTCGTTTCCACTACTGCTGGCGCTATCTTCCCCAATCCTCGTGAGCTCTCTTGATGAAGTGTCTGCCGGCGGTATGAAACTTGCTTTAGACCATTCCTGACTCGTGCTCGCTTCGAAGAATCCTGAACATCTTGTTAAGGTATGTTTGTGTAGGAGATACCTGTTCTCCTTCCCGCCGGCTTTTATAAGGATCTCGACATCGCCCGAATGACTAAACACAGGGAATTCGTTTTGTGGGATATAGGAGGTCCCGCCCGTGTGCGAGCGGTTATACCGCTTACTCCGAGAAGACACATGGGGGCGGGAGGCGGTACGTGCCGAGACAACGGAAGAGGGGCCGCGGAGGGTGAGAGGCTCGGATTGTGAGATCATGAAGACTGAAGACTGTACAGTTTAGGAACGGAGGTAGCGGGGATCTCGAATCGGTGGCCTCTTCAGACTTGAGGATTTGGGGCCACTCTCCTGCCCAGCTACAGGTGGGAATAGACTCGAATGCGAGTCCTGTTCCCGTAGTTTGATTGGTAGCTGAATAGGTAGCTTAATAGATCCGCAGTACTCAGGATTAGATGGGAAAGGCGTAGTCGCTGTAACTTATTAAGATAGGTCGTCGAACGTTAGAGGCCAGCTATTTCCAATTGGTGTAGAAAAAAAAAATCAAATAAAAACCAAAGGCCTCCTCCCTTGTAGCTCAATCAGATATCGAAAGCGAGAGTAGTAAATTGTTGCTGCGAATTGTCCACAGCTTGAGGGAGCTGGATGGGGTAGAAAGCACGGGACAGCATGTGCGGGTCCACTATCCAAGGAACATCACGAGCAGCAGATTGCCAAGTTCAGGTTGATGATTGACTGATGATTGTTGATTGATAGGTGGTATGTAAAAGGGCCCTGTGCGGCTGTGCAAGGATGCGCAAAGTAGGTACCTAACGTGGTGCTTCTCACGATTTTGCCACAGCGGTCTGAAGAATAAATAGGTAATAGGCAGTAGGTAATAAATAGGCGGCCTCTATCAACGGACCATGAGCGAAAGGTTTCTAGAAAAATAAGAAGAAATTTGATCGAGGTCGCGTCGCAAGGTTGATATACTTAGATGAATTCGATCATATGCATATAATCTTGTTCATACGTTGTCGCGCTTCCTTCTGCCGTGTCCTTGTTTATTGTATCACCCTGTCGAGGTTTGCTTTGCACGACACGGGCATGAAATTCCATTGCTTCGATACCAATGCGTGAGCCCAGAATGTAGTTTAAATCGGGAGTTAGATGCACCGCTCTTGGTTACCATCTGCCCTGATGGGTGAAGAATGGAACCCGGATGCAGCCATCAGTGGCCTATCGATAGGAGATTTAGTTAGCTTTGACCATTTAGAGCCAGTCGTTTGTTGGTCACCTCGACGACCTCGAAACCATGGCATCTTAATTCCTTGAAAGCGGAGGGGGGAGCTGGTCAGCCTGTCAGCCTAAGCTTGCTTGGATGAAATACGCCTTGCCAGATTTAGTAAGTTGGATAAAAACATATTGCATCCATGAATATGTACATTTCACTACCTGAATGAAATAGTTCGAGGTTATTGTCTTTTTCGACCTGATTATTGTGTTAATTGTAAAAGGAAAAAAGAAGAGGAAAAGGATAATTAGGGTTTGAGCAAAAGAGATGATACTTTTGGAAATTGAGAAGTTGAAGCAGTTCCTTCCACTGCTTTACATAGGTAGGCAGGTACGTCACATACAGCCTTATATACATAGGTACATACCTTTATCAGCATGTATGCAAAAATAGAGTAATCACAATAGGTACCTGGGTACATAAGGTACCTCCTATTCACCCTGCCATCTTACGCAAACGCTAATCGGAATCATTATGGATTCAATTGATTACGCCATATTGATAGCCCTTAAGTTAATATTTTAGGTAGTTACTAGCCGCATATCCCCTTGGCTGGCATAAGACAGCAACTCCATAATTTTCAGTATCAATACATACGGATTGGCTAGAAAAGAAAGAAACGCTCGTGCGGTACTGAATCGACCAATAATATTTGTAGGTTGCGGTTTTAGAGACTAATCATAAGGCCTTTTCCTATTATGTTAATGAATGACGTTAAGCCTTATGTACTAATACTGAAAGTTATGGAGTTGCTGTCTTATGCCAGCCAAGGGGATACAGAGATATTTGCTTATGGCCGATGACGGACCAAGTCTTCGCTGAAAACTTTTCGATCTGCATAATCCAATACGAAACGCATTAATGTTATATTGAATATTGAATATTGAGTATTGAGCATTGAGCTAAAGGTTGTAAACTCAACACATGAGAAATAAATGCTCAGACTCAAACTTAGATTATCGTCATTTATTCTCAGCAACTAATAATACTCTACTCTGTATAGCATAACTATATACTCTACATAATTCATAAGTCTATCCAAGTCACAAGTCTGCTATGGTATTGGCTTGAATCCTAGAGACTCTACCCGCAAATGTAACCCTATTATTGCCCAATTATCCCTTCCGCGATTTGTTCAGGCAGCATTTCAAAGGACATACACTGGTATAAGAACTACAACGACCCATATCAAGAGCTATCACAAGGACATGGTTTTCTTTTAAAGTAACCGAGTCATGAAGAAATCTATTGTACAAATTATGCATACAGGAGCTTGTTAGATGAATACTCTACGCCTCATCAATTTTTGGTCCAAATCTCAGTTGGCTCGAATTCGTATAGGGGAAGCCGTTAAACCCGTTAATAGAAATGTTAATTCGAACGCACCCAGTCCATACCTGTCAATTCCAAGTTACCTCTCGCCAAGCTACGCCGGCATTGTCCTATACAACAAAGCAATCAGTGACCTTCTCCTTTCAGCAGTTTAGCTCATGTCCATTTCAACATCAGCAGGGGCTATAGCGACTTGTGGGAATGTCGCAATCTCGACTGGTTTAGGTGATTCTGTAGCAACCATGGCCTCAGGTCCTTCGAAAGTTGGCGGCGACGTCTTTAGATTGACGAATGCTTGGTTTAAGTTTTTGCTGACGAGCTGACCCTGTCGCAGAGTTTCGGAGAATAGGAAGAAACCTTCCGCTGCCTCGACCAAATATGATTGAAGCCCTTTGCTTTCTAGCTGAATTTGGACGTTCGTGACGGGGAAATGATTTTCGATATATTTCGCCCACCCGCGAGCGGCAGCTTGAATGTGCTCACTCCCGCTAAGACGACTCCACCCAATCCCGAGATGGAGTGTAAAATTGTCGATGATAGGCTGACTGCTAGTATCGGCTGATAGACTAGGTGTGGTTGTAGCAGCATCAATGTCGCGAACTGGGCTGGAACGACTAATCTGCGGCTCACTGCCAGGAATCGCGATGGCGTTCATGTCTAAACGTTGCGATTTGCTGCTTCTTAGAGATGGCCGTGTCTGTTGGTTGAGGGCACGAGCTTCTTCGTTCTTACGGATGTTATCCGTATTCACTTTTTCTTCGACCCAGGTACCAGATTGATTACCCGCTTCAGCCACGTACGACAAAGGTGACTTAATGAGCGTCATACCTTCGCCGTATATCCAGCCATCCTCTGGCTCTTTGACGGGCTCGATGGTCTCAAGCTTAGCCTCTTCAACATCGAGATTGACGCCAGCCTCGTCTCTGGATCGCTTACGACCTGCTGTTGAAGGAGCTGCGATTGAAGGCTGGGCCCAAGGTGAAGAAGCAGCGAATGCCTTAGCCCGGCTGAAAGGAGAGGTGTGATGCGAGAAGGAAGACATGCCGAACGCGCCTTGATGAGCAGCACTTGGTGACATAGTAAGAACTGGCGAGGAAGTACGTCCGAAAGAAGCCATTTTGGACTCTGTTAGCACTAGATGTTAGGTGAGATACGCAAAAGAAACAGGTTAGATTTTCGATATTTCAGCTTGATAGTTTAAATCTGATCGTGTCGCGTGTCGGAAGGAAGCGCGAGCTTATTTGCAAAGAACCGGGGCGGTTATATCGAGGGAAAAAATGGGGGCTCTGAGATGATATACGACTCGATAATACGTGGTCTGATAATTATTGACGGCCTAGAGGGATCGGTATGCAGGTGGCCGTCGGCACGGTGAAGGTGGAAGGCTAAGAGAAAGTAGGCAAATGGGTGAAAGTATCTCGATGTATGAGGGTATGCTACGAGATGAGAAGCTTTATGAGGATGTCTATGAGGTATGTAATATAGTAGTGATAGTGAGAGGTGTTAGAGATGAGGATGATATGTAGAAGACAAGGACAAGAAAGATGGATGAGGATGGCTGGGTGGTGGAAGATTCTTGTAAGAAATAAGGAAGAGAGAGAAAAGAAACCTTGGGTACATGTAGGGATGGAAGTTAAGTTGTATGTAGTAATAGTAGCAGCTTGCCAGCTTGCATGCGCATGCGCATGGGATGAGATGGGGGAAAGACAAGGTAACAAGGATTGCTTGTGTTATTAACTTAGTGCACAGTGACCGGAAAGTTAAGACGGAAATCGGTTACACGGTACTGTGCATACATACATGTAGGTATGTAATAGAGGTAGCAGAGGCAGGTAGAGTAGGGTAGGGTAGGTAGCGTAGCAATGTAGGCAGGTAGGCAGGTGGACGAGGAAACGGAAAAGAGAAGAAAGTATGTAAGGCTCCATTAACAGAACCTCTAGTACATATGAGGGTGTGGCAGCGGAAGTGTAAGAAAGAAGGTACAGAAACAGAAGAAGGGCAAAACGGCACAGATTGAATCATCCTATTGGTTATCAAAAAGAAAAGTACCTATAGCAAGAAAAGACGCTGCATGGATACATCCATAGATAAAGTGTGGATCCAGATTAGTGAGGTGCAGCAACGGCTGCAGGTCAGTTGCTTAGGGTGCTTAGGGTGTACGTCAATTTTTAAAAGGGTGCTCAGACCACTGGTGATGTCGAGAAGGATCGGACTGTCGGGGATGCAAGAACAATTCGGTAAGGCAATGGCTAGGGGTCTTCTAAAAGAGCTTATCTTGTTTATGATTGGTTAAAGGTTGCTACGGTTTGATGCTGGTACCAAGCCTTAGCTTCTTGGCATCTGGGGCCGAAAAGTTCCCACAGCAACCTAATTTTTATTGGTTTAAAACAATTCTCCATCAGCCCCCATTCAAGTCTCGGTTAAGGGACAGAATTCTCCCACCGGTTATGTCCGTAGACCCCACATAAAACAATCATGTTGATCGCGATTTGCTACATAACATATCGTTGAATGCCAAGCCCGCGATGCCTTGCTAAGTGATGTCGTACGTTAGGTAACAAGAGTCTAGGAAAAACTAATTAGCCGACACTAATCCCCATAGGTCTCCATTAAGAGATAAAAAGATCCATCTCTACTATGTACATTAGGTATGTAAAAGGATGGGGAGGGGAAAAGAAAAAGGAATCGACTGGGGATGCAGGTCTACATACCGTTCATTTGTTTCTCCTCTTCTTTGCAGATTTAGAAAACATCATTGACGATATCATCTATTCATATCCGGTTCCCTCCCCCAACTATTTAGGCTCTCATCTCAACTGTTTGCGTCATCCCTTTGTTGCATCTAGGTATGCATTAGGAGGTACTCATCCTATACCTCTTATTAGACATTTTTGGAACATGAGAGAGAATAGGGCCGGTAATAAGATGAATGCATTATTCTGCAATGACTCTACAGGACATCGTCTAAATATACGACAAAACAAATCTCTAGCCGCCCTCATGCATCACCTTCATAGAAATTGAAGCAGGTTTGATAATGAGGATGATGAGGTTGATGATATGCTACCTGACCATCTCGCCGAGTGTAGTAAAGCTTTGTTGACTGAGAATGCTCGCGAGTCCTTGACCCTTTAGGACGTATGATCTTCATCTAAAAAATACCCGTTTGTTCTTCTTATCAATCTTATTCACCCTCTACTGGGCTTTCTTCCTGGAATATCGATGCCTCATAGAACAGAGTTGAGTCTTCGGTATTCTCTCGGCCGCTATAAAGACCTCGGAATCCGGGTGTCTCTAGACTGGATGGGCTACTGGTGGTATCCCCCATTCCCCTCATGGTGTTGGACCTGTATACCGATCGAGAGGCCACCCGTAGAACAGGCGCAGTGTATGCTCCGTGGAGACGACTTTGGTGGCGTGTTTCTGGGAGATTGAGTGGTGTCTGCGGTTGCGACGATGCTGGAAGAGAGTCGTTGTAAATTATAAACCCAAGTTCCGCCCCGCTTATTGGTTCTAGCTCATCCCTCCGCCCCGGAGAACCAGACTCGGAGCTACTAATGTACGGCGATGGCGATGGCGATGGCGATGGCGACGGGGAACCGCGGCCTAGAGAACGGACGATAGACTCTCCGAATCTAACCGCTGAACTAACAAGTCGTCTCCTACCTCTAAGGGACTAAGATGGTAGTATTAGTCAGTGCCTTTACGACCACGTATTTTACTTACCAGAGAACCCGACCGAACGTCAGTATGTACCATCCGAAGAGACGATCGTCTAGGAGGCGTTTCTGGTGGTTCTTGGCTGAAGCTGTCGCGGCGAGGCTTTACCTGCATGCTGCTAGAGTTCTATCGGCCGAGACCAGTTAGCTCTGCTAATGTCTTCGAACAATAGAAAGGCTCACCGAGGGTAGTGATTGAGCGTCTGATACAGATCGTTTTTCTTTCGAGAATGGCGGAGGCAGCGTCGTTGGCAAGTTTCCCCAGCCCATAGGGTGCGACAAGTTTGAGGAGCTTGGGATACCACTTTGCGAGTAAGATGGTATACCCTGAGAGCTGCTTTCAACGGAGTCATCACCGGGCTTTGGTGGCCGGGGCGGACATTCTAGAAGTTTAGGGCCTTCTTTAACGCTTGTGGTAGATGACCTTTTGGAGATAAGTTCCGAGGTTGGTTGGTTTAAAACGTTATATTCCGTCTCGCTGCTCCCAGCTACAGGAATGGGTTTCTTGGTACGTATAGGTAATTTACCTAGAGTATCTTCTTTAGCAAGATACTTCTTAAATCGAAGGTGACGTTCAAACTCTTTAACCTCTGCTATGGTTAAGGAGAGAGTGGTTGGTGGTAGGCGTAACATATTGTCAGAGGATCATCATCTTTACCAACCGGAGAATAGCTGAGATATTGCCAAGTTGCGTGCGAGAATAGATTGGAACAAGTTTTGCCTTGGTAGAATTACTATAATTTTTAAAGTTGTTATAGCTGATGTTCGAGACAAGAAGCTACGAGTTAAGCATCTAATATTACCTATCATTATACACGCGCTTTACATATATGTTGATAAATGGTCTTTCATTAACTAGATATGCTAGGGAAACAACTTAATGTATAACTAACTATCGCATTTATATGTTGTAGGTATAACTAGTAGCTCGTCGATTGTAAATAGTTATAGACATTCATATGAGTTAAATCAAAACATCCGAGAGCAATCAGTTAGGTATACCAATTATCTTATAAGACGTATAACTATAGTAACTACATGCTAAGAAGAAAAAATATGGTTAATAATCAATCTTTATAGCTATAAGGACTAGGGATTTTCTATCTCACCTAACCTCAGCCTTAATAATCGTTCACTTTAATACTGCAGCATTAATCAAATAAAAATAGAAGCTGTTAGATTGCGTAGGCTTTGCGGACACGAAGGCGTATAAAATGTTAAGTACAACCAATCGTATGTATTAAATGAAGGTTAGTACATGTACTTAATGTTTGGGTTTATTCGTACATGTCAGGTAATAGTTTAAATTAATGGGTGAATGCACATGTGTGTTGATTGAATGTTTGATTTCCGATTTAAGGTACACGTATATTACTAGCATAAAATACATAACAAAGTTACTTGAAAACCTGCTAATGAGGGTACCTAAGGTATCTAGGTAAGTTGCACCTTGTCTGTATGCTGTACGTTGTACCTCTAATGAAGATTACGAAGTGCCGCTAATGACATCGCCCAAAGGAAAGGTCCAATCCGCTATTAGTAGACACTAACGGTTCCCACAACTTCCCCCCCTCAGCATACGTGTAATATGTACTTGGTAATGTAGCAAGATACCTTAGTCAGTAGAGTTCCACCATATACAGTATGGACCTAAACAGGTAGCAGGTACGTACGATACCTATCATGTGGTACATAGGTACGAATTCGTATGTACAAATCCGTATGTACAAGCGGCAAGTCCTTACCTGACCTTGGACTTTTAGACCTTGGACCTCCAGTTTGTTGCTCAACCTGCCACTTTTTTTTATGAAATTAGTATCGACCAATCTGCCAATCTATCCGAACTACTTGACTACCTGCGTACCATCTGCGCGTTAGTATGCTCATAGACCATTCTTGTTTGGGCCCTTGTCCATGTTGTCCATGCATGGTAACAATTGGATTGAGATTTGAATGTTCTGGTCGTGTTCTGCCCACGCTGATACGTTAATACGTTATTACTCTACTACCTCTCTATTACTCTACTACGGCTACATTGCCGCGTTGAAAATTACACGCGGAACAGTAGAACGTACGTGCAGTAACAGGTAATACATACCTACTAATTACACACACCTATCCTTAGGTACCCTACCCTACTTATCGTATTCTACCTATCCTATCCTATCCTATCCTATCCCATCCTTTTTCACCTCTATTTCCCTCTTTAACCCCTTACCCTTACCGACTGGGTATTTTCCGTCCCGACTTGACATGACCTAATATTTTCGCCTTTAGAGGTGAGGCCGAGTCTCCTAAAGAACGCCGCATTCGAGGTAGCACATCTGCCACTGCCTGCGGTCGGGTTTTATTAGAGGCTCGAGCAGGTGTTGCTAAATCTGAACTTCGCTTCCTTAGTGGTCAGTAGAACGAATTCCTAAGGAGAGAACAACTCTACACCCTAGGGACCACCGATGGTCTCATCTGTCGACGTTCTATCGATACGGACCGACAGATTATTCGCCTGCCGTTCTACTTTGATATCTGTCGTTTGATTATCTACCTAAAAATCAACCAGGCTCGCCCCTGACAGCCTATCATTGACATTTAGCTAATTTCTCCATTGTCATTACGGATTGCGGCAACAATGAATAACGATCTTAGCCTCTCGAGGGCTCTGGGTGGCCTACGCATTGCAAACCCAGACGATTCCACACCGGGCCCATCTCAAGAAGCCGACGAAGACGTCAATGTGCCCGTGTCAAACCAAATCACTCCCGATGCTCGCCCCTCCGAGTCCGACTCTTACACGGGACAGAGTAGACCTCAGACGGCAGAGATGTCAACGGCTATCTCCGGTATGATAGTTGATGCTCAGGGCCAAGCATCTGCATATGCACAAAATGGAGCGTCACCATACGCGAACCCCTCTCCTTCCCGGCCTCCATCTGGACTATATAGTACTGCAACAGCAGCGGAACGGGATCAAGCTGCAAACTCTTATCATATCTTGAGAACAGAACCGTCCAGGACGCCTGTGTATTCAAATAAGATTGACTCGAGAACGCCTTCCGAGTATGCGCCAAGTATCCCTTCCCGCGAACCGAGTTACCGGGAACGACCATATAATCAGAACCGCCAGCTCCAAGCTGTATCTGGGGGTGGTCCTTTACCTCCTAGGAGGAGTTCGAAAGGCATGGGTGGTGGCTATGCTTCAATCCCCGGTGTCCCTACTGTTCCCGAACCTCGTGGTCTTGGGTTAGACATGCAGGTGTCCAATAGTAGCGAGGAGTGGAAAGATAGGGGAGCCGCCGTTTCGATACGGAAGGAAGTAGACTCCAACGGAAAAACTATTATGAGGCCAGTTAAGAAGGGCGTGCGAGACTTTGCCTTCGGCCGCGTTTTAGGGGAGGGTTCATATAGCACAGTATATCTCGCTACGGATCGGCAGACTCTTAAAGAGTATGCTATAAAGGTTCTCGAAAAGAAGCACATTATCAAGGAAAGAAAGATAAAATACGTCAACATCGAGAAGGATACCCTCAACCGCCTCACCGAACATCCTGGTATCGTACGACTCTACTACACCTTCCAAGATGAAAATTCCTTGTATTACGTTTTAGATCTCTGCAATGGTGGCGAGCTCTTAGGTGTGTTGAAAAAGACAGGCACATTCGATGTAGATTGTACGAGGTTCTTTGGGGCTCAGATCCTAGATGCTATCGAATATATGCATTCGCGCGGCGTCATCCACAGGGATTTGAAGCCCGAGAATGTTCTCCTCGACGACCAACTACATGTCAAAATCACCGATTTTGGGACAGCTAGGCTATTGAGCGATCCGAGAGCGCCGCAGGCTCCTCCTAGAATCGAAGATATGGGGACCAGCTCTAGGAGTAAAGAGGAGGGCGACGATAACCGTGCAGCATCCTTCGTGGGTACAGCCGAATATGTTAGCCCCGAGCTCCTCACCAACAAAAACGCGTGCAAGGCAAGCGATTTATGGGCGTTTGGTTGCATTATCTATCAATTACTAGCTGGTCGGCCACCTTTCAAAGCTGGGTCAGAGTATTTGACGTTCCAAAAGATCGTTAACCTTGATTATGAATTCCCTGTAGGGTTTCCTCCTGCTGCGAGGGATCTGATTGAACGTTGTCTAGTTCTAGATCCAGCAAGGCGCCTTACGATCGAACACATCAAAAACCATGAATTCTTCGAAGGTCAGCAGTTCGGTAAGGTCTTGTGGAAGACAAAGGCACCGCGACTGCGACCGTACGTTCCGCCATCTCAAGAGCCTAAGATAATCCAACTTAATGGATCGCCCTCTGGCCAGCAGCCTTCATCCCGACCTGCTACGACGGGGAACGGCCTCAACGGCCCTTCTCGTGCGCCAGGGAGGATTATTACTGACATTCCGCCACCATCGCAACTTGATATTGAGTGGTCACCTGTGTTGACGAGGACGAATGAGAGGATTTTGCGACTTGGCGACCTTATGGTCATGTCGTCGCCAATTCCGAACAGTCCACATAACAAAGGCGACGAGGGTCATAGGAAATTCTCTCGATTTTTTGGTGGTAGCACAACGAAGAAGAGGCAACGGCTGGTTATGATCACTTCTAGTGGGAGGATCGTCTTGGCCCCGGCTGGAGGGGAAGAGAAAAAGACGAAATTAGAGATATCGCTTTTGACACCAGACTGTTCGTGGAAGAGCCAGGTGGACGCAAAGGGACAGACCGTGTGGTGTGTTGATTCGGTGAGTTTCCATGTTCCGATTTGTATATGTTTATACTTACAAGTGCTAGGCTGGCATTCACTATACCTTTGAAGATGTCAAGCCACCTTCTTCACTCGAACCGCCTCGTCCCACCGCGGACGATTGGCTTGAGAGTTTACAGCAAGCCAGAGATATTGCGATATCTTCTAACCTTAGCCGTTCATATACTAGCGACAACGCTTTTGGGGAGATGTCATCGTCAATGTCTAGCCCAGCGAGTACTTTCGGACCAGAAGGCTACAACATCAATGATAGGTCTCATCGCAATCACCTGAGCAAAAGCCAGGCAAGCCTGGAGGATACAACGAATGCGAAACGTAATCGATTCAGCAAGCGGCAATCTAAACAGGGATTAGGCTCGGCTTTTTAGCTAGCAATAGCTGTACATTTGTAGCTTGGAAATACTTTTCACGCTTGGCATTCGGGCATTGCGCCAACTCGGCTAACTATCCGTTAGGGCCTACCTAGTTTTCCCTTTCCTGGAGGCATTTCTCTTCTTTCATATGCGGCATGTTCTAGCGAGGCGTAGGCTTTGGTAGCTTTTGGTGATATTTAAAGGGGTGCACATCATGACACAATACATGCATTCTGGGAGTTTCCCTATCACCGGCCCGTGCCTCTTGTTGAGGTATGCGCTCGGTATCTCATTTTAGATGGATTAGAAGGATTACATTACGCATGACCATACCTCACATTCCCTAATATAATATTCCAACATAAAATTCCTTTCGGGGCCCTAGATTAGGGAGGGGGAGAAAAAAGCCAAAGAATGTCGAGCCCGGGGTTGCTGTTTGGTTGTTAAGGGCGGGGAAGAGTGCTCGCATAGCCGTGTCGAGGGTCTGGAACTGGAAAGGGTAGATATCTGAGAAATAGGGGTCTGCAATGAACCCAATGCTTCAGGAGTCTAAAAGGACGTAACTGAATCAATGGAACTGGCAAAAGCAAGTTAGACATTCCCCGGCGTGATTAATTAGTTGATTATATTGCATAGGCAGATCTCATAGGTTCGGGTTCCTATCGACGCATATATTATAGGTTGTAGTAGCGAGGTTGAGGTCGTCATGATTTCGTCAGTTGGATTCACAGGAAATAATATTGTGAAAGATACCGGTGGCCCCTTATCATCCTTCAAGGCTCGAGCGAGATACGAAGGTTGCAGAGGTTGCGAAGTAACCCCCTATAGCCAATAGTAATTTAGTTGAGAAGAGGTACTTAATATATAAAGAATTATTAAGAAGATTATCTGGCGTTCTAGTATTTTTATATAACTATCGAGTCGTAAGATAATCGATGCACAGAGTTAATGCACGGACCGTATACATGTACCTAGGTAGTATACCTTTTACATACATACCTTATGTATGTACATATATAGGTAAATCCTAGGTAAGTACGTACCTACCTAAGTACTTTGTACATCATATGTGAAAAGCTACTAGCCACATCAGCCACTCATAGCTCTATCTAAACCGGGTCTTACTCTAAAGCCAAACCATTTTATTTTTATTTTTATTTTTATTTTTTCTCTTTGAACCCGCTGTACATAAGCCAAGGCCTGTTCATACTCCATACTCCATACTTATGTAGGATGTACCTGGTTAACTAAAATAAATTCTCCAATCATTCAAACAAACCGCGACGAGGCGACACGCGCCTTTTCCAACGACTATCCAAATCTCCGACCCAAATAACTCGGGCCATCTCCCCCATACAGCCATACATCCCATACAACCCATAACAACCCATAACAGCCCATACTACCTATTCCCAATCGCGATCGAAACTGGTGTTGCACGCTTAAACGGTGGAGCTACAATACTTTAGTTCCAATCATTCCAAGGAATTAAAATCAAAGTAAAGCAGAATAGAGGCATAATAAGGCCCTTGAATCGGGGCCAAAATAGTCAAGATGCAGACCGGCTACCGCCCTTACCCGCAGCAACAGGTGCCGCCGCAGCAGCAGCAGCAACAACGTACTCCCCATTCGGCCGGACAGCGACGAGGAGGTATTGGTATGTGACTTGATTAACAAAAATATCTACTCTTTTTTTTTTTCTTCTTCTTTTATATATATTCGTTTTATTGTTTCTATGCTCTTTAAATATTTAAATTATTCGCGATTTAATAAAACTATCAGAAAACCAGCAAATCCAACAAAAAAAAACCTCTTCCACCCCTCCCCCCTTCTCCCCCTTCTTCCCCCTTCCCTCCAAAGCATCCACACATTGGATCCACTGACCATTAGTTTGGACTCTTACCACTCCTACCTACATACATACATATGCCAATCCACTACCTATGCATATACATACACGTCGTGTACCTACAGTTCACTACTACTGTTACTTCTCCTTTATTATTGTTGTCTAGCCAAACTTTTCTTAGGTTATACTCTCTTCTCCCCTCCCCCTCCTTTCCTCTTTTTAGAGATTCTAACTAACCCCTCTGTTGTGTCTGTAGGTCCTATGATGTCGTCCGGTCCTCATCATCAGGTTCCCCTGACTCAGGCGCAAATCGCCCAGCAGCAACAGGCCGCCGCCATACAAGTCGAGATGGCTAAGCGGCGCAGCCGCAAGCCAACCGATAAGAACCTTCCTGATAACATTGACGACTGTGCCGTCGGTGATATGGCGGTGAGATATCGAGAGCTTAGGGATTTCGAGAGAAGACTTGATGCAACTATGACGAGAAAACGCCTCGATATTGTCGATTCGGTAAATCGAAGCGTCAAGGTACGTGTGTCACATGTCTCAGCCAACATCAGATCTAATACCGACTAAACATTGCGTAGCGCTGGAAGACGCTTAGGATTTGGATTACCAACACCGCAGAAGATCAAGTCTGGCAAGGGAATGGTCTTGTCGATACGTTTGATTTCAGTTCTAATCTAGAGCCTACTTATCGCATCAAAATTGAAGGACGATTGTTGGATGACGACGATGATCTCGACAAGGATGATGATAGTGAAGATAATACGGGTGAATCCGACGACGCCGACCGCATGGACGAAGACATAAAACCGAAGGCGAAGTCTCCGAAATATAGATTCTCTCATTTCTTCAAGGCCTTGAGCGTAGATTTTCCTAGCAATAGGAAGGGTATCGACCAGGTTGTCGAATGGAAGAAGCCGGAACGTGCTGGTCCTTCGTCGAGTCTTCCCGCTGCTGCCGACTTCGACGAACTAACCTTCAAGCGGAGCGGAGACGAGAATCTTAATATCACGATCAATCTCTATAGACACGAGGAGCCTGAGCGGTACGCGGTTAGCCAGGAGTTAGAAGACATAGTTGACATGTCCGAAGCTACACGACAGGAAATAGTGATGGGGATCTGGGAATACATTAAGTTGATGGGGCTACAAGAGGATGAGGAAAAGCGCAATTTCCGGTGTGATGATTTATTAAGAAAAGTGAGCAATCATTATGTAAAAATTTATTAACATGTCCGGCTAACAAATGACTTCAGGCTTTTAGCATGGAAACGGGGTCGATTCCTAGGCTGCATGAATATATTACACCACATCTAAAACCCCTACCACCGGTCAAGCTTCCCTACACCATCCGACTGGACGAAGAGTTTCACAAAGACCCGCAACCGACCGTCTACGATGTCCGTGTCGCTGTGGATGATCCGTTACGCGAGAAGATGTCTTCGTTCCTTAGCAACGCTGGTTACGCCAATATGCTGAAGGAAGCTGCTTCTCTCGATGACCAACTTGCTATCATAATCCACGCAATTCACGTCTCCAAGGCTAAGCATGCCTTCCTAACGTCTCTTAGCGAGGACCCTGCTATTTTTGTAAGGGACTGGTTGAGTTCACAGAAGCGTGATCTCGATGTAATTATGGGAGAATCGATGAGAGGCACCGGTGAAGATACTACTGGAGACGAGTGGAGAAAGGGAGGCAAGGATAGCATCTGGTCTACCGTCAACGCTCGCGAAAGCGTTACGGTGATGTTGTCCAAGCAGTCTGTCTTACCGCAGCGATAGCCCCCAAGTCAATCTATGAGGCGTTTGGGAATCAAGAGGAAGGAGGGAGGGGGGGGAGGGGAGATGACTACCCGCGTGATAGTCAAGGCAACGGCGTATGGCGTGCTAGTTTATGGCTTAGGATTACAAGCTAGACTCGTAACCTCTTGGTATGTAGGTAGTGGGAGAGTCGTTTGAGGAAAAGAGGTTCTATATCCCTGTATTAGTAGAATGGGTTATCGGTGAGAAACCGTCTTAGGGACTGGGCCTCAAAATCAACATGATCAGGAGACAATCTACGGTCGCTTTGGGGGCTACTACAACCTTTGATTATGGTCTTAGTACAGCAATTTCATAATAAACCGATATAACATCCGTTAATGAGCATTCGACTACATGATACGTTATTGTTTTTATGCAGGACGATAATTAGCCTCGGTTTTTAATATCTTATCCCCGAGGACTTTGGCTTTAAGTCCTGGAGTTTCACCCCTCAGGGCGTCCTTTTATATACATGATATTTCCGAACATTCCACTCTAGTTGAGCTTGCTGCCTATATAAGGTAGGTAGGTACATAGGACACGCCTCTTCTACTATATTCTAACGTTCCTCATTGTTGACAATCTATCTACAATCAAATTGAACTATACGAAATAAGATGTCTGCCATCTTCAAGAAGGCCAACACGGCCGTTATTACGGGCGGAGCGTCGGGAATCGGCCTTGCGCTGGCACAAAAATGTGTCGGCTATGGCATGAGAGTCCTCGTTGCTGACTGGGACTCCGAGACTCTGGGTAAAGCTGGCGAGACGCTCGGGGGCGCTGCGAGTACCATCCGTATGGATGTGAGTAAACTGGAGGACTGGAGTGGGCTTAAGGATAGGGTTACAAAGGAGTTTGGAGGTATGTTATATTTGCTACTAATAATACAACTAGTATATGTTTGGTATAATACTAGAATGATACTAAATGTACCGTACATAGGCCAGATCAACCTCCTAGCACTCAATGCCGGGGTCGGAGGCAAAACAGCCTTTGAGGGCGAGGGAGCGGATCCGGCGGCGTTCCAGAGGATTCTCAATGTCAATTTCTTCGGCGTTGTTAACGGTACCTTGACTCTACTACCGCTTATCAAGGAGAAAGCCACCGCCTCCTCTGACTATAAGGCTGCGATTGTTATCACGGGCTCTAAGCAGGGCATCACAAACCCACCCGGAAACCCGGCGTACAACGCGAGTAAAGCGGCCGTCAAGTCCCTAGCCGAACAACTGAGCTTCGACTTGCGGGCGCAACCTAACATAAGTACGCACCTACTAGTTCCCGGATGGACTTGGACAGCACTAGCAGGCGCGGCGCCCGGGCGAGAGAAGCCGGACGCCCCCTGGACGCCAGCACAGGTGGCGGATTACCTGGAGAAGAGGATGGGAGAGGACAAGTTCTGGATCCTATGTCCGGATAACGATGTTGATGAGGAGACGGACAGGCGGCGGATGTTGTGGACGGCGGATGATGCGGTGAATGGACGGTCGCCGCTGAGCCGTTGGCGAGATGAGTATAAGGATGAGTTTGCTGCGTGGATGGCGAAGAAATGAAGGGCTAGCAAGCAAGTACTAATTTGCTTAAAGGGTTTGGATTACTTATAGGGGTAAGGATCATATACTATGAATGATACTATTTTATTAGAATCCGTAGGTCAGTACAACCCCGTTTTATTAGGAGAGTGACTACCAAAAGGAATTATATCCCTACAGCAAGAGATGCCATATCATCGAACTTCATTATGTGTCAATATTTTAATGTTTTATTGCGATTTGTCCTTGTTTGTACTTTCGTTTGTCTGGACATAACCTAAACGCCTAACTACATGCACGCAATGATTGCCAATGACGGCTGCTTGGTACGTCTACTGTTCAAGCCTGATATCTAAGAGCCCTTTGCTACTAAAGCAAAGAAAGAAAAAATTGAACCGTGGTTGAAGCTATTTATGGATATATGCAACACCTGGGTCTGGACCGGACCCCACCCCGATTCCGTCAGTAGTACCCCTAAACCGCCAACTGGCGGGTCGGGGGAACGGGGTTCGGGGGCATATTCCTAATCTGCTTGATGAGGAACTCGCGCTCGTCGATGAACTGTTCGTCGTCGGTACGGTCCTCGAGGAAGTGGGAGAGGAAGTTGAGGAGCTTCTCGCGGTTCATAAGTAGGATCTTTTGCACGGCGATGGACTTGTGGGGGTTGGCCACGAAGACCTTGAAGACGTGGAAGCCCTCGTACTGCACCATCTTGCGGTCGCTGCGTAGCAGGTTCATGCAAATCTTGAGGTGCTCCCCGCGGTCGACGTACGCGGTCATGACGTTGTAGTTGGACCGGTCGAGTAATATCTCACCGAGCAACTTGATCGACTGCCGTTTTGTCACGTAGCTGTTCGACTGTACAAGTATGTTATTGTACTTGTCGAAGAAGAGCTCAAAGTTTATCGAGAGGTACCGCGGCACAAGCTCTTTATGTTTCGTTAGAAGTTCCTAGAATGGCGCCTGTTAGACAAGGTCTTATATATAGTCTCGCATTTCGATATTATAATTGGACATACTCTGAATGTTGTGAAGGCGTCAGCAGCAACCTCAAATGAGCTTTTATCGATCCAATCGAAGAATCGCCAAAAGACTCCGTTGCCGCTCTGTGGTCGTTCCCTATCAATTGCCGTCACACCCTTCAAACTAGAACCGGGCTCTTCCCCATCGTCGTATAATATAATGGCAGCGGCTGCTTCATTTTTAAGAACCTCACGAAGTACAGTACCCGCGGGCGTTGCGCTCTCCTTGTGGTCGTAACCTCGACACAGCTCTAATAAGATTTGAGGTTTATTATTCACTACGTAACTCAATGCGACTGGATCTGTCTTTGGCGACGCTGTGGGGGGTCGGAACCGAAAGACGTATGAGAATATAACTTGGGTATCTTTCCGAGACTCGAAGGGGAGGCGGTGTAGGGTTTGAGCTAACAGAAGGAGAAGGTCCTCTTCTATCAGACCTGTAACCAGCTGGTATACTTGCTCTGGGGTACTATCTATGTCTGTGATCGAATATGTTAGTATTGTATGATAGGTCATGGTTTTGCGCGAGGGGTGAGGAGGCAAATACCTGGTGTTCCTTGGAGTATGAGCTTCATCTGACTGAGCACCTTGGCAAGCTCTTCGGCCTATAATAGGATAGCTAGTTAGCATATTGTATAATTGGTATGGTATTAGGATTGGGAAGCTGGGCTTATGTACTTTGCCAGGGGCGTCGAGTTTGAGAACATGGTCTCTTGCTTGCTTGGGAAGATCCAGTGCGTTAGTCCTGGTTCTGCCCCTCGAAAATAAGAACGACATGGTTGTGATAATTAGAATTCGAATTTAAATTTGAATTCGAATTCGGTAAGGTAGTTTTATAAATTCCTGGATCGTAGGTTTATTATAGATGTTGGATGTTGTCTGCTGTGTGGCATGAATCGTAGAGTAGACCTTAATAGGAGACGGGGCGGTTTTAGGTCTAGGTATTTTACTCAACCAAGATCGTCATTATACTCGTTCAGGCTAATTGATTCGAAGATGCCCGACGTCGTTATCCCAAAACTTGGTCTACCTTGGTGGTGAGGCCCGAATGGTGCCATGTGCCATTTGCTGCTTGCTGCTTGCTGGTAATTGTTTATCGTAAAATCCGGGGATCGGAATGTTTATTTACGGGGCGGATAACCTCAGCTGAGGCCCTAGGCTAGCGTCACTTATGGATACCTACATCCTATGCTTATGTACCTCGGTGTGGGTATCTTATCTTTAGTAATCGAATAACCCTTGGTTATACGGATCCGTAGATAATAGATAAATAATTTAATTATTGATACTTTCATATTTTAGATTTTAGATGGAGGGGCTTTGAAGAGCGATGTACGTCATTAACGTTAGGACCTATGTACATATCTTCCGTCACTTCTTCGTCTCTCTACCTTAGGAATCTAATGTATTAATTGATAAATACAATCCGAAAACCTCGATATTATTGCAATCATCACCTAACCTGTTTTGATGCTTTCTATCTTCCCTATGAGTTCCCATGATTTTGAGAAAGATGTAAGATGGATCATATTACTTACCAAGACACAATCTTTTAACTTAAGAAACTCATTGATGCATTTATCTTTGTGGATTGCGTTATAATCTCCCACGATACATTTTCCATAAACTGTTGCCTATAAACCGCCGTTAGCTTTAATATTCTATAATATAGGATGTATATTGATTTATTAAAAGTATATATATGTATTACCTCGGTAGAGCATCGTGAAACCGCAGTAGCGAATTTCTGAATTGGTCGTTGACGTGCTGGCATTTTCTCTAAAACACGCTGGTAACAATTGAAGCCGGAGTCTTTACAGGTTTAACCGTTTTGGCCAAGTTCTCGCTGTCAAATACTTGTAGTCGTCTTGTAAAGTTATTTCTACGCCAATATTAGAATATTCCCGAAATGTATTCATATGTCATATGCAATAAAAAGATATAATAACCGTTTGGTGTATGCCGCAGAAGGGCGTCAAAAAAGGTGGCGCACCCACTACCAACGCATACGAAAGTATTATATTTCAAAAAAGTTATTCTATACCCAAACCTACCTTTAAAAATAAAATAAAATTATTATAATAAAATTGAGCTATTAAATTATAATCGGATGATTTTTTACTATTTATATTACCTTAAGTTGGTACGTAATTATAAGTTATATTATTATTATAAAAGTATTAAATATTAATATAAAACCACTTCTATTTAAGGGCTTATTTCCCAATCTTAGACTAAATGAAAAATATAGTAAAATAGGCCATTATCAAGGCTATCGAATAGTATATTTTATAATTAATCTAGTCTTAAATTGGTTGAATTATAGCTGTTGGAAGTTAGAGTGTTTTTGGTGTATTTTGGTAGGAAGCGCCACCTTTTTTGACGCCTTTCTGTGCCGTTACATAACTGGAGCCCCACTCATGCAGTTTCCCAGTTTCTCAGGTGGGGGTTGGGTCCGAATATTTCGATAACGCGACGCGATGAACTTCACTTCTATCTTTCAATCAATCAATCAATCAAATCAGTTATCGCAAACAATTCCAAGTTGCCTATACCTACTGCAATCTCACTTTTCTTTGCTAAATTATCATATTTCCTTATCAATTGTCTCCTTTTTTTAGTCATGCTCCTTATTTGCAAACTTACCTGCGATTAGCCTTTGCATCGATCTTATTTCTCGAAATAATTCAAAGAATTAAGCTCAAGTAAGACGATGCTCGGACTTACGAATATCGTGACTCTGTCGCTGCTCTATCATGGCTCTCTCACATAGTCGCCAGTCTTCGACCTCTTCCGATATTTCTGATGAATTTTCCGCCCCGGAGTCTATCCTTGAATCCATCCCCGAGTCCACATCTCACCGCTCCATGGCTCCGCCTCCCATATCTTCTCCTCAAGTCCTAGCTATGGAACGCGATAGGTATTCTGATGAAGGTAGGGTTTTCATTTCTTAGCTACACAGTTCCTTAATTTGCTAAAACACACCTTTTATAGATATAGGTATTCTATACGAAATTGTGCTCAAGGCTGAAGAGATCTTATCCGAGCTCACGCCTTCGTCTCGTCTACCAACTCATGCCCTGTTTAAAGCTTATGATGAGATTCTTCCAAGGCATAATCTCGACCCGGACGAAGACCAGCTTATCAGCAAGCTTGTGTTCCGGGTTGGAGGTGTTAAAAAGGCCATTTCGCTTAAGGAGAAGTTCAAGGTAGTCATGTCGCAGATGGAAATTACTGTTCAAATGGATGGTTCTTCGGCGTATGAAAGCGATGCTGGTGAGGTTTATATTGATCCTGCCTCCTCTGACAAGTCCCTCGGTTTGATCAATGGTGATCATGTAGGCGATGATTATATTATCCTAGAGGACGACAATGATCGACGTTTACATAACGCAAACAACCAGGCTGACTTGTCTGTGATTGAACAACACCTCGAAAATAGTGCAATCGCTTTTCGTAAGAAACACCAGAATAAATTCTCTGCTACGAGCGCTCTTCGGCAATGGCAGAAAAAGTCAGCATTCATTGCCAACATTTGCCATCAGTTCGATGCTGCTCGGCAGGCCGACTTAGAAGAGGATGTTGGGACGAAGTTCGAAATTTGGAGAACTATCGCTTCTGAAGTGGACAACGTACCGCCCCAATATCTGCCCCCTAATGTATATTCAAAGCGGATCGAGGGGATCGCTGTTCGAGCCCGTGACATCCATGTTACTAGAACTACACTGAGATGTTGGCGGCAAAGTGCGAAAGAGGAAGGCAGCAGGGTCCGGAAGATCGAGGAGTCATCAGACCCTTTGGAGCGTGTAGCGGCAAAGGCGCATAAATATATGATGCTATCCCGCGCCTTCGCAAATTGGTCCAATCGGTGGGAGGAAGAATCTGAGAAGGCACAGATGGCTGCTAAGGTCTATGAAATGAGCTTGAAATCTAAAGCATTTGGTCTGCGCCAGCGTCTAGGCGACAATATTCACGAAAACGGTTCTCATGATCCTCACTTCGATACTTCTCCCTCTGCTGACCCTGGCAGTTCCGAAAGCGCGCCTGAAATTCCTCTGGTTAGTGATAATGTCGGATTTAATATCGCTGTCGAGCCTTCTGGTTCATCAAGTACTGCAGTCGGAACCCATGAGAAGGAATCTCCTGAGGCTCCTACAAGAAATGCATCTTCCAAAAACGATCAAGTCGATACAATGGATGAAATGGACGAAGTCACACTACTTGCGCGAAGGCATATTCTCCGCATGCGCTACTATGATGCCTGGGAGAAATACACAGCGGAAAATTTACAGAGAGCCAGAAAATTCCGCGCAGAACAGCAAGATGGCCACATAGCCCATGCGATTCCTATATGGCGTTCCCAAGCTAAAAAGGCTTCCCTGGAGCAGGAAACGATGCAATATAATGCGAAAAGATCCAGCTACTATAACAAGACTGTAAAAGCTCTCGACACATGGAGGCAACAGAGCCAAGGAAAAATGCATGGGCACGACGAGATACTTGAGGACTATGCCACACGTGCCAACTTCTACTATAAAACTACCAGGATACTACCCACCTGGCAGAATGCAGCTGAGCAAGCTATCGAACAGCAAGGAGTTCTCGAGCTTTATGCAAATAGAGCTGAATATTATTATAAGGCTACAAATTCGCTTCCCCTTTGGAGAACACAGACACAGCATATTGATCACGAGGGGAAAAAATTAGCGACCTATGCTCGGCGAGCCGATTACTATTATAAATCTCGAGGTGCTTTGTTGGCATGGCATGATATTTCCAAACAAAGGCGCAAACGGAGGTTAAAAGAGGCGCACTTGGAAACCCGTCGTATTGTGAAGAAAGGCATGGGAGGACGGTGTATTGCACAATGGCGTGAAAAGCTCCAGCCGAGCTTCGAGCGGCTTGAGGTGATGGATTTACTCCTAGAAGATGTCACCACGGACCAAGAATCGAAACAACTTATGGAAGCACTCGGAACGTGGCGCGAGAAGGCACAACAGAGGGAGGAAATGGGGTTAATAAGCGATGCAATGGTCGAGGGGAAATTTTTAGAGCAGTGGAGGGATCAATCAGTATATCATCAAGAGCTTGAAGTTGAAGCTAAGGAACATTGGAAAGAGAAGACGATGTCTCGTACGCTGAAAAATTGGAACCTTAGTTCCCTCCAAGTTCAGAATCGACCACTCATAGTGGCAAACGCGCTAGAAAAGAAGGACAGGAGACTGGTGCGAAATGGGTTTGAGAACTGGTACAGCCGAACAGCAGACAAGCTTGTTCCTATCGAGCTCGAGGATGGAAGCTATAAGAGTGTGGAACAAGTGGTAGAAGATGCTCAACATCAAGCCTCACTAAACCACGCGCGGGGTTTGTTGGATAACTGGAAAGCCGCCGCGAAGGGTAAGAATGATAATATCCAGCAAGAGACATACACTCCCACCCCGGGAAGACCGCGTCTCTTCCTAGGAGGCCTGAGTCTGCGAGAGACGACAACACCATTAGCACCCGTACCGAGTCGGAATTGGCGAGCTAGCGAAACGGCAGTGAGGGGGTCGGCAATCGCAGGTAGAGCCAGTCGTTCCGGTCGTGCCGCGAGGAATCTTAGGGTTTCATGGGCGCAATGATAGGGTTGGTCTGGTTGATAATATCATCGACGCTATGGGTATGGGTTTTTCTTGTTTGAAAGTATAATGGAATCTTACATGGAATAGGCGCAAATGGCATTTTTACATAGTGATACCCCTGAATCTGCTGGTTCGAAAGATTCAAAGATAGTTATAATAGAATATACAGACTTTTGAGCTGTGTGATTATATTGGTGTTACATAGGTACCTACACAACTATCTTTATTTATTTTATTTTATTTATTAGGTATGATTTAATTCTATCAATGAAAGGTCAATATTTCTCTGTAAAATAGTATATATTCGGAAAATGTATGCCAATAGAGTGAGAAGATGATGTACTACATAGTTATGGATTGCTGCATTCATTTTTTTAGATTGATCTTTCCCAGGTATGCAATATTGATGCTAATTATATTCATTAAAGTACCTTAGACAGGGATTCGCGGCCCGTCCCACGTCATACTGCAGCCGCAAACTGACGCGAATTACCATTTTCCATTGCAGCGACGACATCTGACAACAGGAGAGCACCTGACGTTTTTCCATAACCCCCGTTAAAGCTGTTAAAGCTGCATCAAGCTCAAAATATATGCGCATATCTTAAACTATCACTTACATCAATCCCTGCTAAATAAAAACGATGATCTATTCGTAGATCTACCTTTCACTTAAATCATTATTCCACCCGGCGCTTCACGATTCACGACTCTAAAATCTTTAGACATGTCCATATCGAGCTATTTGTGACGATAGTATGAAGGCAGTCCTTCCAGGTCAGCCTGAAGCTAGTCTTCAAGCTGTGTCGACAGGCTATTGGGATAATAAGCGCGTCATCGTTTATATTACCGGCAATGCCCTCGCAATTCTATCAGATCCCGAAACTATCATCCAGACCATATATGATAATGATGAGCGGAAATTGGATGCTGTATCCTTTGATGAATGCTCTGGAAAGATAGCTGCGTGCACGGATGCGACCGTAAGGATATATCGGCCTTTGAGCCATGGTGATGATGGTGGTTCGCCCAAGGTTATTTTCCCCTTGTTTTGTCAAAATAGCTATCGTGTAAAGTTGACTGATTGTATATAGTGGGCTTTACAAACGTCTTTTGAAGTCGATGGAGGCCCAACGCCCATAGCTCTTTCTTGGGGAAGCGCCGAGGAGCTTCTCGTTGCGCGATCATCTTTATGGCTCTACGATACGACGTCGACACCACCCTCTTGCCATTGGCAACAGGAACTAGCCAGCCCTGCCAAAGCAGCGAATCTATCTTACGACTCGTCTTATATCGCATCTATAGGATATCATGACCGCCTTGTAAAAGTGTGGCGGCGGCTGAACTTCAGTTCGGAAGAAATACAATTTGATTTTGGTTATCTTTCGCACCCCCGAGCCGTAACCAGTATACAATGGCGCAAACCGTTTCACGTCGATCAGACGATCGAGAATGTACTATACACATTTTGTGCCGATAATGTTATGCGCGCGTGGACGGGTGCAGATAGCTCTAGTCGCCAGTCGCTACTACATCACTGGGGGAAATTGGATCTAGCGGCAGCAGTACGGGATGAGCGCGAGACAGGTAAACAAATTCCAGTATGGGCCTTCATCTTAAGCCAGCGAGATCTCGCCAACGCTACAGAAAGAGCCGTCCAAGAGAGAGGGGATGGCCAAGAGAAGGAAGATGTCGCTCTTCAATACTTGCTCTCCATTGCCAATAGGGATACGGAAATTTGCGTCGTTTTCGATGGACGCGGAAGCATGTCCTCCTGGGCCTTAGAGAGTGTAAGTAACAAACTCAAGGGTACTAGTAACGTGGATAATGTCGCCTATGTCAAATCGAAAGACTTTGATTTCTTGGGCTCGTCCACGAAGGAATACCACGTCGAGATTCTCAGCTACTGTAACAAAAACTCAGGAAACCTACACATTCTATTTCATCACTTTGATGGAAGGATCGAAGTGTTCGAGAGCAGCATTGCTGATTTTCTGGACCCGACTTCCAAGGTTAAAACCCGACTAACCCCTCGTGCAACTTGGTCTGGACATTCTGCTTCGGTCAAGAAGATTGTACGAAATTTTAGTGGTCGTGCGATCGTATCAAGGACAGAGCAGGGCGAAAGTATTGTCTGGCGACACACTCCTGGTCCACTGCGAACAAAGCTATTACGACATAATGTCATCCCTGAGAAGCGACATATACATCGAATATGTTTAATTAGAGGAGGTCGTTTTGTCGTATTCCTGCACCATGAGAATATTTCTGTCTGGGATTGCACTTCATCAACGCATACGCTGCTTGCCGATCTCAAATATTACGTCCGTGGCAAGCCACTTTGTATCATCGTGCTTCCCCGTGAGCGGGTAGATGACGATTCGGTTGCACATATCGCAACAGTTACCTCGGAGCAAGAAGGCGTAGTTTGGGAGCTCAATCTGCCTATGGAAAAGAGTAGTTCTACCAAAACACACATTAATGACCACAAAAAGGGCCTTCGAGAGTTCTGTACATTCAAATTAGATGACGCTGGTGACCTGGCCTATGTCTTGCCGGTTGATCCCGCTGGTATTTCACATGCTATATCTGGTTTCTTAGATGTTTTTGCCCGGGATGTTGCTGTGTCGTACACTCACGGCGGCCGCGTTGAATTTTGGACTGCCAGAGTTTCCCAGGAACGAGGTCAAGTTGAATGGCTTTCGACATCGTCAATGGAGACTGGTATCCCAGAACCCGCATTGGTCAGTGGCAGCACGATGAAAAAAGCTGCTCTCGTGAATGCACAACGCTCAGAACTGACTATTTGGGATATTCGAGGGGCCCGGTTAGAATATAAGGAAGATTTTGAGAATCATAACCCAGTGCAAGATCTTGACTGGACGTCTACACCGGATTCGCAGTCAATTCTAGCCGTTGGCTTCCCATATCGCATCATCCTCATCTCACAGATGCGCTTCGACTATTTAAACAAAGGCCCTGCTTGGGCGCCGATCCGCGAGATTAATATCCGGGATTTCACACCTCACCCCATCGGGGACTCAACTTGGCTCAGCGATGGCAATTTAGTTATTGGTGCTGGTAACCAACTATTTTCGTATGATAGGACCTTTGAGATAACTGACCGATTGATCTCGAGCGCACGCGTACCTTACCGTAAACATGGGACTAGAGATCTGTTTAACATTATTCAAAGATTAAATGGGCCATTGCCAGTCTTCCACCCTCAATTTCTTAGCCAGTGTATACTCGCAGGGAAACATGGTGTGGTTCGGCGCGTGCTTCTGGCTTTAAACCACACGCTGAAGTATCATGTAGAGGGCGAGTCGATCGACGATTATCTAGGTCTGGATCCAGCGGATTTCTACCTACGTAAAGTAAGTAAGACGAATTTCACTTAAGCGTTAATTTGCTAAGCTTTTAGGGGTCAATGTCTATTGGCAGTAACGGCTCGTCCTATCTCATGTCCCAGATGTCATTCGATGACACTGATGAAGTATTCACGGAAGACATCGCCTCAGCTGTCTGCGAGAAGCTGCAACAAGTTACTATACCACAACTTTCTGGCCATGAGCAGATCCAATTGGTCGATATCGTTGAATGTGTTGGAGTTGTAGAAAAGCAGCGTCGCTCGATGGACGAGAATGGTGCTAGGTTCATGTTATTCTTCCGACAGCACGCGTTAAGAAAGGGCAGAACCAACGAAATTCACATGTCGTGGAGGGAAATCAACTGGGCTTATCATTCTACTAGTCAGGATATTCTGACGGATTTCGTGTCCCGTCAGTATCACGGCACTATGTTGTGGGAGAATGCTAGAGAAAGCGGCATGTTTATGTGGCTTACAGATGAGGCCGCCGTGGTAAGCTTGATCACTCAGGGTGTTGTTAATTTTTCATCTGATCTAATCAAATATGCAGAAAGCACAATTCGAAATTGTGGCTCGTAACGAGTACACGAAAAGCGAGATGAAGAATCCTGTCGATTGCAGTCTCTTTTATCTCGCCTTGAAGAAGAAAACTGTTCTTCAAGGTCTTTGGCGTATGGCGACTTGGAATCGCGAACAAGGAGCAACGCAACGGCTCTTGGCGAATAACTTCGAGGACCCAAAGTGGAAGACGACGGCTTTGAAGAATGCATACGCTCTCCTGAGTAAGCGTCGTTTTGGTAAATACCCCTATGCCATTCATGAAGCACGCAAGTACTAACATGAGATGCAGAATACGCGGCTGCCTTCTTCCTCCTCGCAGGCCATTTACAAGATGCGGTAAATGTTTGCATTAATCAAATCAAAGATATCCAACTCGCCATCGCTATTGCGAGGGTATATGAAGGCGATAATGGGCCCGTATTAAGGAAGCTACTAGAGAACGAGGTCCTGGCCCTTGCGGCTCAAGAAGGTAATCGCTGGCTAGCCTCATGGGCTTTCTGGATGTTAAAGCGGAGAGACATGGCAGTTCGTGCTCTCATTGTGAGTTGGTATCAAAGTTTATTTTACGATATAAAAAGCTAACCCCTTGAAGACGCCTGTCTACACACTATTAGAAACACCAGTCTCATCAGATAACTTGAAGGCGAAACTCTTCCTTACAGATGACCCAGCCCTTGTTGTATTATACTCTCAACTTCGACAGAAGACGTTGCAAACACTCCGCGGGGCATCTAAGGTAATGCCAAGGACAGAGTGGGAGTTTGTCTTGCACAATGCCAGACTCTACGACCGCATGGGCTGTGACCTCCTCGGCCTAGACCTAGGTAAATCGCGAAACTTTAATTTTACCCCCTTATTTAGCATTGACGGTCTCGCTAACTGCTATATAGTTCGCAACTGGGAATTTCTCCGGCATACTACACCGACGGCTCCAGATCTTGGCGGCGAGATCGATCCTAGGAAACTCTTACAACGCCGTAGCTCGTTAGTTGTCCAGGACATGCCTATGTCGCACGTAGCCCCGACCGATATGAAAACCGGAGGCCATGGCGTCAAGCCACCGCCCAGCGTCTTCGAGGAGCCTGATGCGAATTCGCTGCTGGATAGTTTTGGGTTCTGATGGACTCTCAGGAGGCTAGTTTGCGTGGAAAATCGGGAAATGCTGTTGTTCTAGTAGACGTATTACATTAGCTCTTGCGAGCTTGGATTTTTTCGTGTTTATAACAATTAAGCGAGTAAGACGTTAGTAGGGCGAAGCAGCGGGCGTTTTAAAAGTAAAAGTGTATATAATATGGATTAAATCCTCATAGCGGTATTCTTTCTAGGGCTTTGTACGTAGACGAGTTCTCGGGAGTCGATAAAAGGTTGGTAGGAAAGGAGTGTACCTGAAGGTGATGCCGATAGGAGTCAAAGAGGTTAGTTCAAAGCGAAGTCTGTATCATAATATGCTGCTTTATTTAGTGTTAATTAGCAGCCAAAACGTCAATATTGTTTATTAGTTGATATCCGTTGGAGTCTGGGACTAGTTCAAGATGTCTAATTCCGGTACCTAACACATAACTTGCATTTCGTCAAGTTTCTGGAACTAATCGTAGACCTAGTCTAGACATTTACGGAGGCTCGTAAAGCAAACATCCATCTATCTCACTTCTGTTGCACCTTCAGCCAGCATCATAACCGAGGAAAATTGACAGTACCTAAGTGGATTTAATCCGAGTGGCAAAAAGGGCATAGCAGCCGTACACCGTCGTAGATATCCTTTATTACGCAGGGCTTCGTTCTAGTCTCTACACCGCCTGTGAGTCTTCTGAGGCTTCCGCGATGAGAAGCCGAGGCATCATAGGGATGGATATGTTGGTCCCGCCGTCCCATCTTCGTTACGAGGAAAAGGGGTATCATGAGGTGGGCCTGGAAGGTATAGCAACTTCGTTGTTCCGCAAGGAACCATGAAGCTTAACCATGGAAACCCATGGATTTATGTATATATGCCGAAATTACTCTTTGTTCTAAGCTAGATGTCTTATCTAGAATCCTAATAGATTTAAGGCTCGGAAAACATTTACATCTCAACCTAGTGTTGCTTACCATAGGTACCTGATTACAATATAAGTATAGACTTGGCCAAATGAATATATGTATGTGAATATACTCAGTAGCATATAAGTGTATGAGAGTAGTATTATAGTTATTAGGCAATCAAAAGTTCTATGTAGCTTCAAATATTGCAAATAGCGGTTCATCGCCGAGTACCTAACCCAGTAAATTTATCCCTACCACCTAATATTCCGAGCGCACCTTAAGGCAGACATGGAGGTAACCTTGTCATTCTGATATCTACCGATATCATCATAGTGGGAGGCCTTAGACAAGTCGAAGCCTATTCCATTGTATGTTGAGCACCTGGTTTGGAAGCGATATGGAGAAATCTCGCCACGGTACCGAATATCGCCACGGCATAGCCACGCCGGCGAACCATAGACAGGTTCGCATTGGGGAGTATATTACTTCTAATGCATAGTGGCTTTATGCGTTATATTTCTGCTCGACGATGACACGGCTACCATATTTACTAATGATCAATGTCTAATATACTCTTCAATAAGCCACCGTAGTATGTAAGGCCTAACTATAGTATATCCAATATCTTCTGCTGTTAACCTGCAACAATAAAACCTGCATGTATAGAGTAGCTTAGACAATAAAACACAATTTCATGTATATTACAGTATCTTTGGATCTGTTGAGCAATAAGGCAGAAAATAATGGTGGAGTCCTTGGCTACACTGCGGGTTGCGGCCGGAGGCCCGGATTTCGCTCGAACAGTATACACCATGTAACGGCGACCCGAAGATGCTAAGCAGCCGAGCTCAGGTCTACGGATCTTGGCTAGTTACTCGGTAAAATAAGTAAGCTTTTCACATGCCGGGAATGGAGGCTTGTCCTGAGGTCAATTTCCAGGTTGCTTGCTGCGGACGGGTCTTACGTAGTCTCATCGAAGCGAGTTCTTATAAGAAGGGTCGTCCATGTAGAATATTCCGAGATAATTTCTTCATCCCTCATCATAGTCGTGTAGGATAATAAGATAATCTTTTTTACCTTAAAAATTCCTAAACTACCTGTTTGGTTCACAGATTCTTCGCGATACCTGAGTCAAAATGCGATACGAATTACTTCTTTCTTCCCTTCTAGGGCTCAACGGGGTCTTAGCGGCTGACAAGGTCCCCGTTGGTATGGAAGACGCCTTGACAACAGCAAATATGCCTGCCGAGTTCCTCGAGGATGTGTATTTCGTCAACCATGTTCCCCTAATGGCTTTGCAAGCCGACCCGCGTATCTCTTACGCTCTATACATCCCTAAAGACCATTATAACCCGGATCCGAGCAAAAGTGCTACTCCCAAGAAACTCCCCTTGCTTGTTTACGTCCACGGGACCGGTCGGAACACAGTTGCTATCTACGACGAGCTTGTACCATTTGCCGATTCGACTCCCTGTGCCATCCTTTCTCCTCTGTTCCCCGCCGGCATGGACGGCCCTAACGATCTCGATTCGTATAAGGAGCTTAAATCGGATACGCTCCGTTCGGACCAAGCTCTATTACAGGTTCTTGATCAAGTCGCCTACCGCTGGCCTGGCCTCGAGATGGAGAAGGTGTTTATGATGGCATTCTCTGGTGGTGGCCAATTTGCTCACCGCTTCATGTATCTTTACCCGGAAAAGCTCGCCGCAATCAGCATTGGTGCCCCCGGACGTCCTACATTCATCGACGACACCCAAAACTGGCCCGTTGGAACCAAGGACGTGAAGACCGTATTCGACAGGACTATCCAACCGGACGTCATCGGAAAGCTCCCTATTCAGCTTGTCGTTGGCGGTAACGACACCGTGATCCACGGAGACGAGGCTTTCTGGGAGTGGAAGAAGGAGACTCTCGGTAGCGGAGGACTTCCTCCTATGAACAAGACCCGTCTTGAATCGATCAAGGAACTCCGCGCGTCTTGGGAGGAGTTGGGTATTGAGACTCAGTTCGATGTTGTCGATGGTGTGGCCCACGATGAGAAGGGTGTCCGATCGGCTGTCTTAGGATTCCTCGGTCCCCAGCTCAAGAAAAGTGCTTAGAATGTTGCGGAACGACTAATGATAACTAAGCTGAGTTATTCTAACAGCATAAGGAGGATATGAGGGGGGGGGGGGGGGGGGGGGGGGGGGGTTAAGAGGATACGAGGAGGAAATAGAGAATATAGACTTGATAAAAGGGGCGGTTACAGTGAAATATTCGCTGGAGCCACGGTTCTAAATCAATTACATAGCCTAGCTCCAAGCACTCGTAGCGTTGGATGTTCGTCCTATACATAGAGTTCATGGCTTTTATTTTTAATAAATTACGAGATGTACCTTTCTAATTTATTGATGGTTCCATTGTTGGTTGCGTTTAAGATATGATATAATAATTTAATTAGAGTAAGAACTAACTTTAGAATAAAACTAAGTAAACCTCAAGTTGTAAATCATATTTAAAGGATAGAATCGGATATATTACCTAGGTATGTATTATTGTTTATATGAACATCGAGGTCGTCAGTAGAAGTTAGAATAGGGGGAAAATCATTACTTCGATAAGACTCGACCGTGGACGGGGAAAAGAACTGCATATGAGAAGTAAAAGTGATTTGATTGTCTAACGTAGGTACCTAAGGTAGTTACTTAACGCTAGGATGTCTCCTAAGACTATATCTAACAATAACTCCTCGACAACTTATCTCAACAATAAGGTACGTACTAGAATAATCATCTGAGTATGGGATTCGTTTCCCTTCGTGCTATGGTGTATGATATAGATAAGGCGAAAAGTCTTTCGTGACTGGGTACATTTATACAAGCGACCTTAGTTACCCAAGGCTGCACACGTACTAAGTGATGCAGACATTATTGACCGGCGTCCTCCAGGAAAACTTAACCTATCGGGTAGTTTCTACTACGCTACTTGCCTATCTATAACCCCAAGTTTCTTTTTTAACTTCGTGAACATTCCTTATTTATCGAGGTTCTTACGAAGATGCTTTTTCATTTCAACTAGGGATTGGTTGAGAGACTTTCGATCGTCACTCGTGTTTCAATGTAGTAAAATACTGTTAGGCAACTAGTCTAAGTAGATCACATATCATAGCGGATCTATCTAACGTGACACGAAAAAAAGAGCAGTGAATAAACGGCGTAGAAGTGTAATCATTTTTCAAGGAATGGGTTAAGCTTATGATGATTTATTAAAGACCCAAGAATTTAAATTCAAGCCATTCGTCTTCGATATATGCCTATGTGCTCTCCTTAGTATGGTGTACGAGTGAATACGAGGTCGTAAGAGAGTTTAGAAACTCCGTGATTATACCTTATTATCTATGAGATGATTTTAAGTGCATACTCAATCATGGCTGCCTAATATCAACGACATCGGTGCCATCAAAACTACATTCACATGTGTCGTCGTAGGTATTGATTGCGTGGCCGTCGACGAAAAAAGGCTAGTCCGAGTCGTGCCCAGGAACCCGCCGAAGCGGCCGAAACATCCGCTAAACGGCGGCGGTAAAACCAAGCCCCTGAAACAGGTACCGGCGCGGCTACGCTCCGGACCGGGTAATAACTTAAAAGTTAATTTGGACTACGGTGATACGGCCGTTAAACCCATTTCATCGGATCCGAAGATTTATATATGGCAATAATATTATTAGTTCTGTTCGTATTGTAGGAAGGGCCGATGAGATACAGCTACCTCTTCGATAGGAGTTAACGGAATGTTTGACGAGGAGATTGGTCAAGTTAAACTTGTTACTGTGCATAGATAGTTTGCGGCGGGCTTATGGGGATGATGATAGAGCCCCTTAACTAAGGAATTGGTTGAGAAGGGGTAATGGATATCTTATGGAAGAGTAAAGATATATAGATGGTATTTTCCAGTGTTCTTACCATGAAAATCTGACCTCTATCGACTAGATAGTCAACCCATACCAAGTTATTCTTGTCTTATTATCTTGTCCTACAGATAAACATGTCTTTCAAAACCTGCCTCCTGTCTTTTCTGCTCGTTTCAGTCCGGGCTCGAGACATCCCTATTAATATAATGAGCTTCTATCACTCGGTAGTGGCACAGGGGTCATGCAGGGAGCCGCTGCAGTGGGGCTTTTATGATATGGCACACAGTGATGACAATAGTAAGTAGGGTCACCAAAGTATCCGAAAAGTCTACTTACTTAGATCCTTTATCTAGGCTTTGCCTATTGTGGTGATCATTTAACCGATTACGGCATCATCTATCTGCAGGGTAGAAACGGAAAGCTAGTAAACATGGACATCGACTGCGATGGACTTATTGACAAAAATGACGACGGACGTTGTGATAATGCTCATTCGAATCAGAGTATGACTGCTATGAAGCAATACGTTTCAGCTTACAGCAATGGCGTCCCAGATCTCAACCCGTTTGTTCACGTATGTATGCTCGAGTTCCATCTCCCCCCCTCCCCCTTTTTTTTCTTTGGGCTGTCTTAGGTCTTGGGCATCCGGGACCCCGGACCAGGAAAACCCTATATTTTTCTTTGGGGCATTTATGATAGCCCCAAGTCTCACGTCTGAGCAAGTAATTTCTGACTTTCGTGGTTGTAGGATTATGTAGTGTTCGGCAACACCGGTGATACGCCTGGCTGGGTAACGTTCGACCCTCGAGTCTACGGCATGGAACCCCTGAGTGTGATGGCCATCGTGTGTAACAATAAGTTGGTATGTATATTCAGTTACCCGAGTAAGCCTATGTGTGTTCTTAAAGTTGACCGAGTAATAGATTTACGGTATATGGGGAGACACGAACGGTGATGATGGTGTGAACCCCAGGGTTGGGGAAGCTTCCATCTCAGTTGCCACTCTCTGCTTTGGGCACGATTTAGATGGTGCGGTAGGCTTTGATGAAGAGCAAATACTGTACATCGGGTTTACTGGCGCTGAAGCGGTCCCGGGTACAGATGCGAACTGGAGAGCAGCTGATGAGAAAGAGTTTCAATCGAGTATTGCGAAACTTGGTGATAGGCTCATTCAGCGGATCGGTTCGTATTGGTAACCCGTGGAACTTTAAACGCCTTGAAGATCTAAGCCATGACGATAGTTAAAGGAACCGGCACATAGATCTTCAATCTGAAATAAGGGGTTCACATTACGATAGACTACCTAGTAATCTAACCATTCTAAGATGATTGAGTATTAGATTTATTCATGATAATTATATCTTCAGCGTGAGATTAGCGTGAGAAGGGCGAAGCGACGCTTAGATATAGCCCGATCATAGACTCTGGATCCCGGCAAGGGAGAATAACGCCATACAGCAACTCATGGCGATCCCCCAGACTATCGTCCTGAAGGGAGTGATCCTTCGGTTTTCTTGGCCCCAAATGTAAATCCACGTGTAGATCACGCGAGCCGTCAAATAACCCAAGGTTAGATTATTTAGTGTTCCTACAGGGAGGCCTGCGGCATTGCCGGCTGTCACGGCCGCGGTGTAAACGCCGAGATTTTCAAAGGCATTAGCCACTGCTGATTCGGCGCGTTGTAGCCGGCCCCTTAACTAAATAATTGGTTAGCGACGCTGTAGTTGGTATATTTAATAACTCCCACGACTTACTTTCTTATCAAGTTCGGCAGTATCAAGCTTGGACGTGAATGTACGTGGATTGTTAGGGTCGAAGAACTTCTTACCCGGTCCCGTGAGACCTGAGTACACTCGCGGCAGTAGGGCCTAGAATATAATATGCAATTAGGACCAGCGAGGTAATAGCACGTAAGACCTCGAGAACACCCTTACCAGAATGACCGCCGCCGGGATCTGCTTAAAGTGTTAGCTCGAATATCTCAAATACGTGGGGTTTAGAGCGTGGAAACAACCTACAGTAAAGTAAGAGATATTCTTTTCGAGGCCGAGATATGAAGACATTGTTAGGTTAGTTGCTTTTCAAAATATTTATTCCAAGATCAATAGGTATAGATTTCTTTATGGTTGGTTTTATACTTTTTATATTACCGAGGGATTCGACATCATCAATGCGATCTCATAGTCTCATTAGAAGTTAAAAATGGTATATTTTAGTGGAGCTTAAGAGGTAGGGATACGTAAATAGGGATATTAATCACTTAACCCGACTAGGGGGATCTTTTGTCGTGTTTAAGGTAGTTGGCTAATAAAGTAGTAGCCGGATTAGCCCGTACTCCACCTCGTCGAGATGATTCGAGTTATGACAAGGCTTATTTGCTAGTTCAAACCAGATTAAAGTATAGATTTAACTAGGTTAGGTACTTAGTTAAAAGTCAAGATTCCTGCGGGATCTAGTTATAATGACTTACTAATCTGAATTGACCACGATACCCCTGAAATTAAGTAGTCGGCTTTACTTTGAGCTGAAAATTATTAATATCACATATTAATATTCTACTATCAAAACTAGAAGGTTGATCCGCTTAGCCGCTCTAGCTTATAAACCCGCTTGGTTTCTTATACTATGTATGCATCCTTAACCCGGTTCATGGAGCAGTGATTACATGAGACGGGCGGTTTACACCCAATAGGCCAATGGGAAAGATAACAATCTCACAAGGTGAAAAGCGATATGTCGACTGCATATATCTTGCGAACCGCATTGCATCTGATCTACCAAGCAGTCGTCAGCACGCACGCTATATATGGTTAGCTTATAGTAATATGATCTAGGTATACGCACACGCATGCAGTAGACAGCAAAAGCCATCTGTGATCAGTCAAGTCCCGTTACTCGAAATCAATTCATTCTGGGTATCACAAGCTATCATTTTCTATCCCTATTTAGTATTAAAGAATTAAACCGTTATTCGCTGCGAAGCATCCAGCGCCTAGCACACGAAAGACGAGGACCTTAAGATATAGGCTGCTAAGAAGACATCTTATACCAAGTCATTAGGGCCTCCCCAATCTCCCCATAGATCATTCAAATCGGAACCGAGCATTTCGAAATTGAAATCGGGATTTGGAATAGGAACCGTGTTAGAATCCGAAGTTGATGGAAGTAACCACGGCATTGATAGTGGTAAGCCATCCCGCTGTTGATATGATGTGGTCGCCATCTGAATAGTAGGCGTTGTATCCATGGGGAACGGTGTGATTGACTGAAGTATTTGTTAGTCGTTACGCCAAGAAGAAGGGCTTAGCACGTACCTTTGCTCGGTCAATTGGGTCTTGACCTGTCTGCGAGGAAGTCGGAAGAGGTTGTGGTGGCTGTGGTGGTGGTTGGGAGGAATAGGGCGGGATTTGGAACGCGAGCAGCTTATAATGTAGACTGATAAATCGTTCTGCCGCAGAAGCCTTAGCTGCCTCCGACGTCTTAATGCCCATGTGCGTCTCTAAAAGGCCGTAAGCCGCGCACATTGATGAGTACCCCCACGGATCGTTATTGCCACATCTCAGCACGCGGTCTTCTTTCATACTAATGCACCTCTCAATAAGCCGAAGAGTCTCTTGTGAGTTATACATGATTAGGCTAGACGAATCTATCGGCATGTTATTAGTACTGCTGTATAAAATAAATAAATAAACCAAGAAGAACGTTGTATACCTTTTGGTTGATGTAATGTTACGTTGCAGAGGTTGATGACCGAATTCATTGTGTCCTCACGGAGGAAATAAAGAGTCCGAATTCCTTTTTGGTATAGCCGATCATGCATTATAACGATGTCTCGAGCCGCGGTATAATAAATGAGCTCCGCGACCTGGTACTTTGAGTTGAATTTCCTAAGCTTTAGGTATGGTTGGTGAAGCGGAATAAGATATTGCCTTAGTTGGAGATGTAGTAACGTATGTGCTAAGATTGGCTTTTGCGAGTGCTCCGGGTCTTTTCCGTTGTCCAAATCCCATGATGGTAATCGGTCGAGCTCGTGAGTGATCATATCACTATATTGAAGAACCTGTTCCCATTCAAGTTCTGCCGGTGGTCCGGTCAATATCTTGTTCAGTTCCGTCCGAAGGGCGAGACTCTGGCGACTTAAATGTAGATACGACGTATATGTATAATCGTGAGATGGGCGTGAAATAGGCAGTTCCGAGGAGTTTTCGTTAAAGCTGTCGTCATCTATATTTTTAGGCGGGTCGGAGTCATTCTGTACTGTACTTAATAGCGTCGGAAGACCTTGGTCAAATGATGACTGGACGTCAAACTCGACCATAGTAGCCCATATTCTTCGTCGCATCTCTGCAATATATGGGGATACTTTTCCTGACACACGATCAGGATCCTGATGAAGTCCTACCATGAGACTATCGCGGATCATCGTACCAGATGTGGTCCAAAACCGCTTCTTCTTGATGAGATTCACTCGCTTAGCGAGATAAAGAAGGCAGGCAATCTGATAATGAACGAGTTTGCGGTGTTTCTGACTTTGCCTCGAGTACCACTCGTCACATGCCTTGATCCATTTCTCGGCCATCTGAATCGAGCTAGATTTAATACCTACAAATTTGTTGGATGCTTGCATGTCCAAGCAGCATGATACGGAAATCATGGATAACAGGAGAGCGGTAAATGAGGCGCTGTTTGTCTTGGATGGGTCCCAGAATGTTTCATACTCGGCTTTGAAGGTTGGTACGTGAACGACGCGATGAATTTGCTCGAACTGATCTAGATATACGGCGACAAGGGAATCTGTTTCTTCTTTGGAAGGGAGAAGTGATTCTAGACCAACGTCAGACTCGGTAAATTTCTTCTCACGGTCCTGCTTTCGTTTTCTGCGATCCTTCTTTTGAATATTGAGAGGTTTGAGCCACTCTTCGGCCGTCTCTCTCATGAAATGAAATATACCGGTAAGTTCCTGGAGGGACGACCATGCATTGTGTGGGCCAAAGTACTTAGTCTTAAAGTCATGCCCTCGTAAGTTTGCGTATTCACACACCTCGGTATTTTGCGGGGTGTACGTGGAATTTGAAGGTACGGATTGACAATCTTTGGCAGAATCCTTTAAGGTCGATGGTGAGGCCACCATAGTGCTACCATCAACTGATGATTGCTTTGATAGAGCACTTCTCAGTTGGGCAACTTCGAGTTCAAGTCGCCGAATCCTGTCATGATCACGGACAGCATCTCTGAGAACAGACGGCTCAACCTCGCGACGGGCTGACGGAGGATTCACCGAGTGACGACGGGTGTCGGAACTAAATGACCCGGGAAGAGCAGAAGGAGTGAAGGAAGGTTTCTCTCCTGCAGGGGCCGGTATTGTACCGGGTCTCGACTCATATGTACACCTCTCGGGTGTCCCGGACTTGATACAACGATCACAAGGTAACTCCCTAGAGCATGAAAGCTTTCGACGGCGGCACTCTAAACATGAAAGCCTCACTCTTTGGCGCTTCCTTGAAGGACCTTGTTGATGATCCTCTTGATCTTGATCTTGATCTTGGTCATGATCATCATCCTCGGATGGCTGAGGCGCGTTACTGGCTTGAACATCAGCCATTGTCCTGAAAGTGAATTCACGGTAATCAGGTATGGTGCGAAATTTGACTAGGCGGCCGCCCGTCAAGTCGAATCTGCTAGACTGATAAGATGGATTGAGAATAGATTGAATTTCCTTTTTGTTACATATACTTAGACATTGGGGAAGACGATGAATCACAAACGCCTGTAGACTGGAAATAGCTCGGACTTCCGAGACCCGACTCGGTTATCGGATTTAAGTGGCTTAGGTCTAGATTAGTCAGATTAGTCAGATTATCTAGATTAGTCAGGTGACTTGAGAAAAAACATTAATGGCCTTATAATGTGCGGGGTAAAGTTTAGGTTCAAAGGTACATTAACATTGGATGGTTACGTAATGTAAGAGGTCATTGAACAGGTATTATATAATCGGCTTTTCGTTTTATATAAAAAGTAAATATTTATTTATGTTTATTTAAAATGGATATAATAATATATAACGTAAACGATAATGATTTAACGAATTTTAATTTACTTTAATTAATTATTAAAATAAAAGTTGATCGTCGAAAAAAAGATTTACCTTTTATACTGTACCGCCGGTACCCGTACAGTCGACCTTGTCCACTTACAACTTTAGATCGAGATTTGCGACGAGACTGTAACGAAATAACGAAACAAAGACTCGTATGCTTGCTGTAGCTACATATACTTCTTGATAGTAACTTCTCCTAGTCGTTTAAGGTGTAATACTGTATACGGTATCTGACTTACCGAATCATGGCGACGTAAGTCCGGTTTGTTGAGTTGACTAATCTCTATTGTTCTCTTTCGTTGACTGGCTGATAATAAACTGTCGTACGCCAATCAACCCATTCTTCGAGATCTTGGCCAACCGTTGATCGACGATGGTGATTTTACTTTGTGTTCCCCCCCCTCTTCATAGTCCGGAAGGCGTCAAAATAACTGGCGCACCTCTACTATACTAGTAGATGTCCTACCTTTTTTGATGTCTTTCTGTATCTGTATGGAAGCCCTGATTGGCGTTTAATGTAGGCCTATGCAAATTTATGCACGTCGTTTCGGGAATGGAGTATGCGGGCTGCTCATTACTATAATGTGAGAGACGTGACGGTCCCTGCGCCTTTACACGTGGGGCTGCCCACTGTCATTTTTGAGGTCTTACCTCGGAGCAGCAAAATACATGTTACCCTCCTAGCTGCGGGCAGTCTAGGCCTCGTTCTTCGAAACAAACTTGAGAATCCCACGGGAAAAGAAAAGATGGAAGATGGAAGATGGAAGATAAAGAATCCCAAGACGCGAATAGCGAACATTAGTTGGTAATCCTCCCAGCGCTGAGAAGCTGGTGGACGTCTGGAGAGATGAGAACCCTTTCGTAAAGGCTGATTCCTATTCTCAGGGTATAGATCTGCTCAACGCATCATGGAAAATCTATCTAGCAATTTAGGTACTAGAGTTGAGAAGGAACAAATTAAAAACAAAACAGAATTTGACAGTTGTCCGAGAATTGTTTGCCTAGTTGCATCGTGTAACGGTGTATCGCACACAGAAGATACATAGAAGCATGACTGTGGTCTGCGGTGACCGCCGAACGTGGGTGGCAAGTTTTCCCCTTTAATGGAAGCATGGAAGCGTGGAAGCATACAGGCGGCGGCTCAAATAGCGGGGGCGAACAGCGATCACTCCTAGGCGGAATATTATCGTCATGATTGGCCCAAGCATACCGCATCGGTCACTACTCCGAACCCTAGTAAGGGTACGCAGGGTACCTATGTAATAAAGGGTACAGAGGGTGGCGCGACATGGCCGAGTGTGACCTGCTGTAGCGAGCGTTATTGGCTACTGATTATTCGTAGAATAACCCCCCCCCTTTAGATCGAGCTCTTATGATTCAGTATTGATGGAATTGACAGAATTGACAGAATTGACAAAAAGTCCATCTTTAAAATCTGCAAATTAATCCCTTAACTCTAAGCTCCATAGAGCGTTAGGGATATCGTGGCAATATGACGTTAGGATTGTCTTGTTCCATGGCCGTTTGCATGTTGTGTTCCCACCAATGAATAAATTTGTTCAGCGTACGATCCGAATTTTCATCTGCCATGCTGAAAATTCCTATAGGCCATCTAGACCGAATTTCAAGGGTCATGTAATTTGGCCGACCATCGCCTTCTTCGATTTCGGTAATGTCCCTGAACAGCTGAGCATCATCAACATTTAATGACTGCCTGAACAGGCGGAAGACTACTTCCGCCACGTAGTAGTTTTGCCCCTGCTCCCATAATCCTTTGGCGCAGAGTAGAAGCGTTGACCGTATGGCCTCGTGGGCCGCAGAACCCTTCTCAACCAATGAGGCATCTTTCAGAGTGCCGAATCCTAGCAGAGCTAGTAATTGGACGAGCGTGGTATCAAGAGACTCGAATCCGTGTCGCAAATAGTAGGCCCGCAAAAGTGTCTCGAAGCAAGCTTTTGAGTGCTTGACAATGATACCGGGATTCACTTCGGCATGTATATAGCCCATCTGCATGAACGGTTCGAAGAGACTGATGAGGAGCACATGGTAATGCATACTAAAAGTTATCAGTAACGCTATTACGCCTAGAGAGACCGTTGCAACCAATAGACGACCTTACTGTATCTTTAGGTGTGATGGTATAACAGCATCTTGTGCTTGGAGCGGTTTTGGTAGATTTTCATACCAAGTCGAGAGTCTTGCCCTAAACTCTATAGCAGCATTAAGAGACATTCGGTTGAAATTCCTCAGATGGCTAAACGACAGTGCCGTAATCTCATTCATAATGACGCGGAACTCTGAGATTGCCCTAAACACTAAGCCGTTGAATATAGGTATCGGTTCACGGCTGAGGGGATATTTAACCCATATTTCTCCGTAATATGCCGAGGTATCATCGATATCGGGGAGTGGACGATTCGGCGGATCTTTAATCAGTGGAGGTTGGAACGTGTGGAATGTCGCGAGTCTATGGTAAGTTTCAATATAAGTAACATTATCTAGGTCTACGTACAGGGTGAGTGAGGGTAAGTGACCTACGCTTGCCAATTAAACAAACACCACGCTGTTGTTCCTGCGGCGACCTGCCATTCCTTACTTTCATCCGGACCAGGGGAGAAAAGAGAGAGATCTCGAGCAATTTCGATGGATTTATATGTATAGACCCAGCTTATTTCGTCAATACCATTGAGATTGCACGTCAGGTTGATAATGACTGCCGCTTGAGCGGTGGTAATCGTGGGTTGGGCCTGTTCGAGTTCGAAGAGCCTACGAGCTTCGGCAAGAAATCGATAACCTAGGTTATCAGGAATCCAATATTCGGCCCTATTCTTCATCCGACTATAGCCATGCTTCACGATGTTAGTATAAGCAGTCTAAAGCGATGTTGGGATAGAGGCTATCTTTACCCATGCAGCACCGAGAACAGCATTCACCAGCAGGCGAGAACAAAATCGCTTGTTACCAACGAACATATCATCAAGAAACGAATCTTTATGGAAACAAGGATGGAAAGGATATATAAAAACGAAATATATCTGTAAAAGCATGCGTAGCATCGGGTTATCAAAGGAAACCGTTGTCCAGCTTGACACGTTCATAGACGATATTCGAGGATCAACGAGTTCGACGGTATGATACGGCACAAGATACATCTTCTGAGACTCTTCCGCAACATCTCTTAGTGTTTCCATGTATGTTTGTGTTTGATACGACTGTGTGCCCGTCTTCTCATATACGGTCGACTGGAGATATGGATTGTGCCATTGATTTAGGAAAGGGGGCATCTCCCGGAGGTACGGAAATTCGTATCGGAATCGGAACTCAGGTTTGAGCGAAAGTTGAAGCAGCAAATCACCGTCTTGAACGGCCTTGACGATGGTTTGCGCATCTTCGCCCATACGCAGTCGTTGTAAGACTTGGACAGTTTCTTCGTCAGGTCGAGATCGCATGATCCCAAAGAGATCCTCGTATGCTTGGCATTTAATCTCGAGGTCGGTCAACTTGCGTTTCTGCGCTCTTAAGTGTGTTTCTGTTGGGAGTGTCGTGTATTCGCAGGGTGTTTGTCGTTCAACGCAGACAGAACATCGCGGTCGTTCTGCAGTGCACTACGGTTTCAGTCAGCTTCGAAAACAGGTATGTTGATGGAGCTAGGAATATACTCTACCTTGCTCTTCCTTTTTCGACAGGCCTCACAAGCCGCTGGAGCGGCTACTCGTTTTACACGATGTTGGGTTTGCGATAAAACGTCGGCGCGAGGAGGGTTGGGTGAGTTGGGCAAGAGTGGCCGTAGAGGATGCGACATACAGAATACGCGCAATCCGAGACACTATTGTTGACTAGTAAGAGGTATTATTGTTGAAATTATAAATGTATTGGGGGGTTATTGTGTATATCAAATCTCGAGAACAAATTGCTGGACCCTATACACGCTCTTGATAGCAAAATGCTTTTGTTCTTTGTATTTGACATCTACTTGAATATATTATTCGACTGTGCTAGAACCGGGTACATCTAACAGCCAGGGGGCGAGATCTGTGAGCCTAGGTGGTCGTGGGTGGTCCAAATGTGGCGTTTGCATTCAAACAGAGAGAATGCAACCGGGACAGGCAGTATTTAGGCCCACATGATATCCTGTTTCTTTAGCAATATTTGGTAGCGGAAATGGAAGATACGTCGTTGATGATTATGTTTTTAAAGCTTCGTTAAAACTGTACACAAAAACTCATCTAAGCAGACTAGGATGGCTTAAGGAGTGATCCACAGGGTAAGCGGTTCCTACGCCTTGAATATTCAGCAGGGAGTTTTGGTCCCGAAGTAGCCTACCTAAATAGCTACTATAAGACATAAACGCCCTACTGATAAAATAAGGGGATTTAATACTGTAGATACGGAAATTTACCTAAGCTATCTATTGGGTTTCCTGGTTTCCTTTAATAGGCGTGGTTGTGAATGTTGTACATATATCGGAGATCCATTATATCATATCGTACTTGAAAAATGCCCCTTATATGGATAGCATAATGACCCAACTAGGGTGCTCCTACGACCCTAGGGGATTACCAAGAAGTAGTGCCTTAATTATTAACGAAAACTTCTTAACGGAATTAATTTCTAGCCCTCTACCATTATAATGTGACCACTACAAAGATTCGCGTAGATACCTATCCTCTAAACACCGTGTCAGAAGAGCAAGTCCTAAGCAAAATTAGGGGGCAATTAATGCAAAATTTCCATTTGAGTAAGCTGAAAAAATAATCATTCTGACGTACGCCGGAGAAAATGCTGGTTTACTGTGTCCATAGATAGGTACCTACCTATTATTGGGCTATAATATATAATACGATAGCAATGAGTTGAATAGACTCACTGGGGTATATATTGTATAAGTAATAGTATAATGCTTTTCTAGATTATAAGTGAAAACGTATGCTAAGTGGAACTAAAAAAGAAGATACTCCCCTGCCTATGTTGCTCTATTGCCCCAAGCGATGTTCTCCGGTATCACAATTCCCGTATGGACCAGCCGCTCAACAGGAGCAAGCGCCGGAAGCATACAAGCGACAGTGCCACAAGACCGAATACGGCTCCACCTAATTTCCAGTAGGGTTATTATGGTAGTGTGTTTTTCGCCTTTCGCGGCTGCATTTACGCGGATGAGCGAATACTATGTGTGTAAAACGCTGTAACATTATTTGGCCACTTCCATCCTGGCTTACTCCGGTAATCTATCGAGTATCAAAGCGAGTACCGCCTCGAAATCCTTCCCGTACCTAGAACCCTCACTACTTATAAAACGCCGCCCCAACGCTGTTCCAATGCCCGAACCGAACTATCAATCTTAGATCCTTGAGGTCAAGAAAGCAGAGAGAAATCCTCAACATCCCAAACTCCGTCCACCCTTGAAACAACTTGCTTATCGCTCTCTTCGGTCATGTATTTCCGTATAACCACATAATCGTACATTCCGTGTCTCAACACTTATTATTAGGTGGACTAAAAAGCATGGAAACAACTTCATTGTTCCGTGGGGAACCCCAAGCTAACCACGGGGGCCTATGGCTATACATACTAAAAGCATCCTCTGTTTTAGATGTCTCATTTAGAACCCCAACAACACCTAGTTCTTAAACTCGATAACTTCCTCTCGCCACGCATCTTCCATGGAATTCAACGCGTTTCTCTCCGTCGCAAGCTCCCTTTCGCTTTCCTGAAGACCCGCTGTATGCCTCCTCTTCTCACGGCCTTTGGTAGCCTTCACGCGGTTTTTTCTCAAGCCTTGCCACCTTTTGAGTGCCTCTGGCTCTGAAGTTATCATCATCGAAAGATGATGATGACGAGAATGGGTTGGATTGCCTGCGTTTGCCCTGCCGTATAAAGTTAACGTCTGTGCTACTTTTTACGTCCTCAATGTTACGTACTCTTTGCTTAGTTGGAAGTTGTGACAGCTGAGTGATTTGTTGCCTTCTTGGTGACCCAGTTGTCAAGCTATTTTTCAAAGGGGTAAGGCAGGGACCTTAAATAGACGGAGTCGGAAGTCACAGAACGTAACAATATTGCGGAAGGAAATATGTCCATTTGCAAGATGGCCACCAATACCTCTAGATTTCGCCGGAGCATCGGTAGCAGGATCGAACTGGTTGGAACCACTGTTTGTTCCGATGAATCCTGATATAGAGGTTCCCCATCCCAAGACATGGAAGTTATCGAGGAAGTCAAATTCCCGAGGGTCAAATCCCATATCTAGTCCCTAGGTAGCGGGGCCGTTGGTACTACTATGGGGATTGTACAGGTCCAATGGGTCAATATTGCATTCCATTAGACATGTTATAATGCCTATAGGTTGATGCCAGGTAAACAAAATGCTCTTCCACAGGCTGGTATAGATGATCACCTAATCAGACGAGGTGTGGGTCGTAACGGCTAAAGGAACGGCAGACACTTTTGGGGCTTGTGGATTGATAAATATATGGATGGCTTCAGTCAGGCCTATCTGGCGAGGTTAGTTCATCGGATAAAAAAAGAGAATACGGAGAGTTCGGTGGCAAATAATGATACACCACTTAAGGTAGGGGATTATTCTTACCTGTTATTATCAATTTGCGAGTACGGACGTGTTTCTATCTCCTTGTTCCTTTTCGAAACTAGGGACAGCCCAACCATGTCACGATTTGGCTGAAAGTCATCACGATTCGGATATCTAGCAAGCCTGGGGCTAAGTAGTAACCGGTAAAATTAGCTATATTCGTCAACAGCAGCATGGTTATACCAAAGGTTTATGCCGTCCGTGATTTACTAGGACCGCCGAAGAGTGACGCAAACGTAACGACAGTTATTTACAAATATTTGAAGTAGCCATGTACGTTACAATAAAGTCATGCCTCAAGTGACTAGCTATGTCTCCACATTCGGAGGGCATTCCATCACGATATATTGGTTAAGAATATTGGAGCAATTGGCTATGAACGGACTATCCATGTATATTTTATTTTCGTACCACACTTAACACAGAATCTATAACCGGTAGTTCTAACGAAAATAGAATACTCGAAAATAGAATACTGTTGATTGATTAGACCCAAACTCTTGGGGTATGTGAGGTGGTGGGGTCTTCTTATAAGGATAAATGTAAACGAAAGTTAGAATACATTAAAACAAATCACATGTGTCGCAGGTCAATACTTTTATTTCTTATGCTATCTATCACTTACGAAGTCTACTTCATTAAAGTTCAAACTGATAGATATTGTTTATGAAATAGTTAGATTGCCATTCAGTCCATCTACTATGGATATTACTATATCAAGATTGAAAAAGCCATTTTAAAATAAAGAAATAATTTACCCGTTTAAACAACTTCTTCTTTTCATCTTTTATGCTTAGTTCCAACTTTGAGTTATTGGGTAGATAATGGCCTTACACGTAACAAATGTTGTAAATTGAAAACGCACCACTAGCATTATTGGCACCAGAACAGCTTAATCATTTCATAGTAAATATAACAAAATTAATCTAACTGCCAGCTTTATTGTTGCTTAGTTTCTTTGCTAGTTAAATCACATGCTTACCTAAGCTACCTTACCTTTGGACTGTTGTGCTATTTATATGTAAAAATAAATATGAATAAATATAGATAGCCAACTAACTAATACTAAGCTAGGCTTAAGATATTGCATCTTTATATATGTATATAAACGTTTATGTTATAAGTTTATTTCTTTACTTTGATCTATTTATCTTAAGTACTCAGGTAAATTGGTAAGTTTTTAAACCTAATGGCATATGTTTCTTGTTAGTTGTGTACCTTGTTGCGACCGTCCTCTTCCTACGGCATGAGAGCATAATAAGTTCATGGTATTATAGTGGCATCGACTCCTATGTCCGGTTAGGCTAGATCTCTAGGTATTCTTATGTTAAAGAAAGATGTTAAATCACGTAAACGATTCTAGGCTCTATCAACATCGTATTTATATAAGTAGTCATCGTCAATTTGTAACACCATGTACAATATGACCGAATCTACGGGTCTTTAGTAGTTTGTCAACTGAAGATTTTGGGCTCTCTTTATTGGCTATTCGGAGCCGGCTCCGAAAGATTTTGCAATCTTCCTTGTTAAGCTCCACGTTTCTATCTATCTCCTTGTAAATGATCGAGTCACCTAAAATTCATGAAACCGACGATTGATGACAACCTTCGCGTCTGATTGGTTCTGCTCTTTTTTAGCTGATCTCCGATTATTTTTACCCTTTCGATTAACTAAGCACCTGTGTATCGGGCAGCAAAACCGCATATGCCGTGTTCTAGATATCAGCGAAGTCGTGTCTTATGGAGCCGAGGAACTTGAAGAAGCTCGCGCCAGCACCGGCCTCACCTGGCAGTGGTGAAACACCCAGCCAGACATCTATATCTATACCAGGTCCCCGAAGAAACCTAACAAGGAATGTAAGTGAGGTTCCCACACGCCAACTAGGAGGATGTCTTCCACCCATAACACCCTCCATCATAGGCATGCTCTCCATGTAAACTCAAGAAGGCAAAGGTAAGAACACCAATATGATAAACATGTGCACATGACGCCCCCTAGCAGCTCGAAGCTGAAGGTTTCGCAGTGTGATGGAAACCGACCCACGTGTGGGAGATGCCAGAAAGCCGGCGATACCTGCCTATACGAAGCGAATAAAAGGGACATCGGAAGATTACAGCTACTAAGCGAGTACGACGCAGCTAGATTACAGAATTTTGAAATGGTGTTTGGGGTATTGCAAAATGGGACCGACTATGAAGCTACCGAACTATTTTCTCAAATAAGAGTCGGGGAATCCATCGAAACACTTGTGCCTGCATTTAGTTCTTCTCTTCCCCAATATTCGGCGTTAGAATCGTCTAAGCAAACAGCGCTCGTGTCAGGTTCGGCAACTGCACATGATGGGTCCGAAGACCCTTCTTCAACAGGAGGGTCGCAAAGTTTTATGGACCTCCTATTCGACCAAGATGACTGGGCCCAGCCTGCTGATGGTATTAACGACTATGATTCCCAAATGGTCCAGGGAGAATCACACGACCATGCCCCCGATACCATTCAGAGTGATGGCCAACAGTTTCATTCACTCTAATCGACTACCTCATACGACTTTCCGATACCTCTCGATCCGATCTCAACTTCGAGAAGTTAGTCCGAGAATCGTTAGCAATTTTCTATTCTCGACTAACATGAAATAGAGCGACGGCTTATAATGCTATCGATGCGTCTTCTATGAGGAATATATGGGGAATAACTTGAACTTAGTTAAAACCATCTCGAATAGATTGGAATAAGTTTGAGCGTTAGCTGCCGCCGTAACTCGAGCAAGTTAGATGGTACGGCTTCGTGCTAAAATAGGATCTTATACTTCACAGTAAGTCTTTTTTTTGGGGTTGAAAGAGTACTTATCATTTGGCAAGTGGACGAATTTACTTTAGATGATAATTGCTGACTTTTGAAGTCCACCTAGTTGCCAGTATTCGCAGACCTAGTCTTGCTCGTTTACATCGGTAGCTGACGCGAGGATCTCGTCTTTTATTACTACCTTATATAGATATCTAAGAATAATGGAGATGATACAATATGCCTAGCCGGGGATTAAATATAGAAAACGAGGTGATAATAATCTGTATACATATCGGGGCTGGGTTGAAGATGGGCTGATGGTCGCGCAAACATACCGCATTGCCACCCCGTGTAGGGATATTGGATGACCAACCCGAACCTCGAGATCCACCCAGGCTAGTATGGTGTATCTTTTTTTTTTTTTTTTTTGACGCTATTCTGCCTGGCAAGATGACTGCATTTATGCGCATACGCTATACACTTATCAGGCGGCACTTGAGCCGACCGGATCGGCTAGCAAGGAAGATCATCGGATTCACCAGGTTAGACTACAAAAATAGTTAGAACATTGAAGCAGCTCGAGAGCAAAAAGAAACGCTATATTGACTTTGTTGCCTTGCAATCATTTTTTAATAGTCATCCCGGACATCAAGTCTACTTTATCAATATGTAGCACCTTTCCGTCGCTAAGAATACATAGCTCGTTTTACTACATGCTTACGTCCGGATTCATATAATTCGCCTAATAGAAGTGGAACATATCGACGAATACTAGATAAGCGCTTAACGCGCTAACTGATGAGAACTAGGTAGAGTTTCGAGAAGTTGATCCTGGTTGAGAAAAATCGTAAGCGAAGCGAATTCGCGTAGTTCTTGGCTGTGACCACTTATTTACGTAGGTACCTAGGAAGTACTATGCTACTACTATGTATGCTGTCCAAAAATAATTTCCAATGAGGGACATCGTAGGACGCCAACAAGCTGCGTCCCCGCGCCCCGTATTTGAACGCGCATACCAAACATTACCTGGAAACTCCTGAAGACAAAGTACAATGGCTGTACAACTACAACGATTTATCGCAATTCTTCCGTTATATAATACATAAATCATAGAATTCTGAGGACATGACAACTTGGATCCCTCGTACTATAATCCGAATAATCACAATCCTCGAAGCTGAAGCCGGAATTAGGACGACTGTATTAGGACCCACGACAGTAAAAAAAGAAAAGAAAAAAGGAAAAAAAAAGGGAGTCGACTACCTAACATATGTTAGCACGGTATATCTGTCAAAAAGATATAACCGCCATAACTTAGTAGAAGAATATACACTCCGGGTACGCTACGAATAACTCACTAGAAACAACCAGAATTTTGCGGCTCAGTTTGGCGTTGTGGCCTCCTCGGTAAAGCAGGGGGAAGCATGTAGGATAGATAGCAAGACAGTGCTATGTACTTAAGGCATGAGCCCGTCAGTCCTGGACAACTTCGCGCCACGCACGTGACACCCATTAGACTCCTCATAACCGGACCGTCTCCGGGGCTCCTAATTGGTCGGAGACTACAATTGGAGCTAACTATGTATTATGTACCTATCAAAGGAATAAGTACGAAATACATGAAAGGAAAATTATGTGGAATACCTAGCCACATCAGCCACAGTTGGAATAGTACCCTAGAGTAAACCCCTTTTTTTTTGTCTGGAAGCTTACCAAACTGCCAAAATACATAAGGTACTTATACCTACCTGGGTAGGTATTTTTCGTAGGTGGGTGGTCTATGAAATAAAATATAGGTAACTACCTGGTAAAATATCAACTTGCTATTTGCTTTCATTTGAACTTCCAGGACGGTATAACTACATATATATACCTACAGTACCAAAGTCCTCAACCCAACCCCGCGTATTACATAGGTATGGCTAAGTAGGTACTTAAGGTGGCTAAAGTATTCTTATCAATCTACGATAAGTACATACATAGGTTAGGTACCTAACGTACGCGACTCAATTTTCTGCTCGTCATCTACATTATCGACGGTATATAATCATCACACGATAGCATCAATAGCGATGAGCCACGGCACTAATATTTTCGCGGCATTAATTCGGACTCATCACATAACTAGTCGCAAGAAACTTGCGCGTGTGAAAAAAGCCGCCCTCCTTCATAACTTGCATGTGCTTATCCGAAGTGGCGGATCACCCGGTATTATGTACGCCGAAGGACCTGATGAAGCCTCCGTCAGTAGCTGGGTCAATATGGTCCAGGCTCTGCGATATAAAGACTTCCAATGCGCACGAAAACCGGCTGCCCATCAGATCCGGAGTGCTGTCGGCCGGCCAAAAGACGGAGGGTTTGAAGAAGTTGCCTCCGTAACCGAATTCGGTGAGAGAATGGAGCAACGGGGTTTAGGAACCTGGTGGAGAATCGGGAGTAAGTGTACTCTGGAATTAGTTTTTTCTCATTTTGACCTCACTTCGACTTCAGACATATAATTAGGTACCCTGTGCACCTAGATTACGATATTCGATGAGTTTATGATTTGCAGTTAGTCTAAGAAAATTTAATGATATGTATTGCTAACTTTCAATCTCGTAGTGGGCTATGAAGCATCTCATTAGCGATAACTTCGCGACTTCACGAACGTTGCACGCAAACCGTCCATGGTAAGAATCGAGGAATTGGACTCTACAGATTGGCAATGGGAAGGGACGCTATTTGGGATTGCCCTTGGAAGGCTATTCGATATTGAAAAGCCGACAGACTCCGAAAGGTCTATTATGAGGTACAGATTATTGCAGCTTGTGATTTAGGTATGTCGGCCAAGTTTTCCAGTTGAAAGATCCGTATCTTACCTTATCTAGCCTCCTGGAATCAACAAGGTAAAGACAAAAATAGAATGGGGACAGGCAGTTACTCATCTTTCCAATACGTTTACAGGTCATCACATTGCCGATAGACTTGTCCAGATGTGATGAGCGCATTGAGATTGTGGGGAACCCTAGGGGAATTTATCCGCAACCTGAGATGTTCAACCGGTCCAATGACATCTACTGCATTTATTGAGGTTTAGCTTTTTCAAATGAAGAATCTGGCCGAATACAAATAGACGGAATGTACTTGTCCTTATATTAACAATCGTGGTGTGTTAGTTTCTACGATGGTAGCCTTTACGAAGGGGCGGCCTGGAAACATAAAACCCCCGGTAACTCTCATCTCGGATCGTCAATCAAATTGCCTTTACGAACTAAAACTACGAGGTTAACCTAAAACCGTATCATTTTGGGAGGTTGTTTTACCAGCTTAAAAAGAAAAATGAGGTCTTCTCTTTACGCAGCGCTTACTGCGGTGGCCGCCACTAAGGTGGCTGCGCACTCTCTGTTTCAGGCTCTCTGGGTTGACGGAGTCGATATGATAAGTCTTGAGCTCTTCTTGTCGGCTGGCTTTAAACTAACTTAGTTAGCACGGCGCCCAATGTGTTCGCATGCCTGGGTCTAACAGTCCTGTCACCAACGTCAACAGCAACGATATTCGATGTAATGTGGGTGGCACCAGAGGTGTCTCAGGCAAGTGTGCTGTAAAAGCTGGTTCCATTGTAACAGTTGAGATGCACGCGGTATGATATGCTATACTATATTAGAACACTTTAAGATGGAGTTGTTGACCATAATATAGCAACCCGGTGACCGAAAGTGTGGCAGCGAGGCGATTGGAGGGGCCCATTATGGCCCAGTGAACGTGTATCTCAGCCAGGTTTCCGACGCCTCATCAGCCGACGGATCTACCCCGTGGTACAAGATCTTCGCAGACTCATGGTCAGCCAAGGGCTCAGTCGGAGATGCTGATAACTGGGGCACAAATGATCTCAACTCCTGTTGTGGAAAGATGGACGTCCCGATCCCAGCTGATACCCCTGATGGTGATTATTTACTTCGTGCCGAAGTCATAGCTCTACACACGGCATCGTCAGCAGGCGGTGCACAGTTTTACGGTATAAAATTAATTTGAACCCCCCTTTAGAATGTATGCAATCGCTAACGTTCAGTAGTAAGTCATGATGATCTTATCATTTCGACTCCCTCGAAAAGAAAACGGTAAAGATTCTGGAATTACAAGAATGTAAAGCTGACAAAAGATATATTCGTATATATAGATGTCGTGCTACCAACTCAGCGTCACTGGTGGCTCGGCCAAGGCTGCTGCCCTACCGGCCGGCGTCAAGCTTCCCGGCGCCTTCAAGAGCAGCGATCCTGGTATCCAAATCAACATCCATAGTAAGGTAAGCAACTACGTGAATCCAGGTCCAGCCGTCATCGCTAGCGGTACCACGAAGCAGGCCGGCTCAGGCTGTTCGGCTGGTTGTGCGAAGACTTGTGCTGTTGGCTCGGGACCTGTCGGGACCGCTATCGGATCTGCCCCTAAGCCTACTTCTGGCGCTGGTGGGGGTCAATCTGGATGTGCGCAGGCCATGTACCAACAGTGTGGTGGTCAAGGGTATACGGGATGCACGGCATGTGCTGAAGGCCTTACTTGCAAAGAGGTCTCCGCGCCGTATTACTCCCAGTGTGCTTAAATGCGGATGGATTTGTATCATCTATCATCTTGAGTTGAGTCTTGTATTTAGCTTCACTCGTTAATTAATACAAGGATGCTTCATAAAAGCTACCTTTTAGCTATAAGAATTAGTTATACATATAAACAGTACATAGGGGCTATTTATAGTTTAAGGTCCCGTTTAGCTTCGTCCCTCTCCCTCGGGTGTTATATAGGTCCGTACATAAGGTATTAAGGCTAGTCCCTGTCACCTGCAGCTACCCGTTCTAGTACATATGTACATGCAAGGGCTAGAGAATCCCCACAAACACCACCGACAAACACCACCGAATGCTCCGACTTATCGTTCTTATCAACTTAATTCAATCCTCCCTCTTCCACCTCATCCCCCCCCCCCATTCCTCCCCCTTATTCATCAGGCATCTCCTATGTAATTTTACGAAAAAAAAGAAAAGAAAAAAGCAGTGGAAAAGTAAAAGTCCAACAGCAATCATGGCTCCTCTTAACGAAGCCCACAAAACCCGCATCATCTCCCACATGAACGAAGACCACTACCGGGAGTTGGAGCACTACCTACGCGCCTTCAACGGATTATCCGCTTCCGCTTCTCGTGGGGCTCAACTAACGGACATGACAACGGACGTCATGACCATCCGTACCGCATCCGGCATCACCCACTCCGTCGCCATCAAACCGCCTCTAACCTCTGCCGCCGACGCGCGCGTGCGTCTTGTCGACATGGCCATGGAAGCGTTGCAGAAGCTCGGCCTCAGCGATATCCGGATCACCAGCATTACGCGGCCGCAGGGTATCGGCGCCGCGACATTCTTAGCTGTCGCTCTGTACATAGTATGCGTAGCCACGTTACCTCTAGTACAGCCAGGTACTACAGCCTGGACGCTTCTGGACGCGTACTTTCCTTTCGGGGGCGTAGCACGATACATCTGGGTAGTGCGCGCCATCCTCGCCCCGACCGTAGTACTGCACTTGTTCGAAGCCTGGTGGATGACGCGGTCGCGGCTATACAAGCATGGCGTTGAGACATTTAGTACGCTGTGGCTCTTGTGGATTGGGGATGTCCTGATGGAGGGGTATCCGGCCATGGTTCGTTTTGACGGGCTGGTGGAGGCGGAGCAGAAGAAGAAGGAAAGCGGGAAGCATTAAGGGTTGTTAGGAGTACTTCATCACGGATGCGATAGCTATATAGAGGAAGGGACAGAATCTTCTGCGGTACGTTGTAGAGAATCGGAGAGATTGATATTGTTATACAAGGTACTAATTAACACCAGCTAAGTGGGTGGCAACTTACCTAACTTATGATAGTCCTAACTAATAAAATCAACTTCATGAAAGTGATACCGAGTTGGGTTGTTAGTGTTGGCCTTAAACCCCTACTACGACAATATTAAATAATATGTATAGTAGGGGGATTAGGTGCTCACGATGTCGAGGTCCGCCCTCATATAGGGGTTACAACAGACTCTAGATTTTATCATAACTAGATGATAACTTATCAAAGTGGGAGGACACTCCTGTTATATTCAACGTCTACTTGCTGAAAACGTGGTCCAATACCCCCACCCCTTCGTAGGGTGGTACATGTAAGGCGGAATGGACGAAATACCTTGCCGCTACCCCCAATATCCCTAACCCGACATGTCCCAACTCCCCCCCTTATTCTAATTCGACCTAAACAAATCTAAGCTAACGATGGAGGGCCTAGAGGTAGTTAATATCGGCGAGGTAAACTGAGGTATCCCAGATCGTAGACTTTACTTACATCTTCGTAAGTGTGCGACCATCGGATGTATCATGTTAGAATTCTAGATGAGACATCTAGAACAAAGTTGTTTCCTTGTTTCTTGCTCCCCCTCGTAGCATATCGCGAATTTAGCCCCAGAATCAGCCACCATCCTCAAGAACTTACGTGGAGAGAAATAGTAAGTTCCACGTTGCCCTCGTTACTGAACTTCCTGCTTGTTTCTCACTAATAGACGAGCAATTTTAGGAATGCTGTGTTGCGCCCCTTGCTAGATAGTTATGTCTTATGGATAGCATTGTAGAAGGTCAGTTATCGAAAGAGTTGGAGAGTTGCCGGGGCAGGCCTGAATCCATCTTTATACAAGCCCTTCAGAAATTCCTCCTTGAGCGTATGGCGACCCTGGAGGTGGAACGTCCCTGACCGGGCTTCCTCTAAGGCTAACTTGATGCCGAGCCTGTCCATAGCTCTGCAGTAAGCCTCGTTGCAGGCGTTATGGAGAAAGCAGAGGACTCTCGACCCAGACTCCTTCATCTTGGTGATAGCAACCCTTATATCCTCTAGCTTTTCGTACCCCAGGTCGTATTGCCTGAGTTCCTTCACTTCCAGAATCAGGCTCCGTTTAGGAGTTCTTCGTAGATGGCTGAGGATTTCGGTGGTACTAAGCCTCCTTTCGTAAAGTTCACGTGCCTCCTTACCTTCAGGTTCTTCAGTCTTATCGGAACTTAGTAGGCACAAGAGCTCGGCGAACTTGAGTATGAGGCCATGCTATGACGAAATCCATCAGTAACCCCTTCTAGAACAGGCTAAAGGAGTTGATTAGGATCCTTTTTATATATTTTTTTCTGCTCACATATATCTCAATAACCCGGAGGAGTTCCTTGTGTTTAAACCCATTAGTCCGGTTGTCGACGCCGGTAATGACGCAGTCTGTGCCTCTCAATCCGCATCGCTTACATTTTGGAGAGCCCTCTTGTAATTCGCACTTGGCTTTTGACTTTCTATAAGCACTACACGAGTTATTTCGGATGGTACGCTGCTTCTTTTGGCGTGGCCCGAGTCCGCCGTCGACCGGGCCCAAGTTTAATTCCGGGACCACGCTGGGCTTGCGCTTTAGCCCTGGTCTGGCCAATCCCCCCGACGATTGCCTATGTATCGACCGGACTTCATTGTGCAGCTGATCCCCTTCTGACTCAGCCGGTATGCGTGGAGCTGGTACAACTAGAGTAGCCTGGACTGCATATTGTTCTATCCTCGGCTTAGGTTCTATGGTAAGCTAGCTTGGTTCGTCAACCTAGTTGGAACTCATGTATAAGAAGGGATCATTGAGAAATACGTGCCCAGCTCCCAATCGCATGCCCGGCACCAGAGGCTGGGTATCATCTAAGCTTTCTTGAGGAGACCAGTCATCAGCAGGTGCGCCGGAATAGATGCTATTGTTAGCATTATCATCATCCGACCCTGAAAGTCCAGGGAAATAGGATATGGGATCTTGTCGCCATGGAGATGGGCCCTGGATGAGCGGCTAATCAACGGCTCCATGTCTCCTGGGGTTTAGTCCCTGTTGTTGAGCTGGCATTAGAGGTGGCTAACTCAGGCCTGGCAATTGTCCCGGCGCAAAGTTCATGGGTGAGACTCAAGAATTGTTAGTCCTCTAAACGTGACGATTGCGTAAATAATCATGGTACTTACCAACCATGATCTCTATTTGTGAGAGTGTCAGGATCGAATGTTCTCGTAGCGGAGCTAGACGTCCAATCCAATATTGATTCCTGTTCTCAGTAACTGTAGGAGATAAAGGGAGTTTGTTGGTGATTTCAGAGTAGGCCGACTTGTTACAAGTAAGTAGTCCTTTTCTCGTTGAACTACATTTTGGGTTTGTGCTCTTAGACGGGCAGTGTTTTGCCTTTAGGACTTCAATGATGGTTTGAATAGTTTCATAGCTTTAGGGGGTATATACGTTCCAGTGTAGGTGAACTTAAGTAAGTATGTTAGGAAAGATGGTAGCGCCCCTTGACTCGTTTGATACTAATAGGGTTAATTCTTGTTGGGCAGTTAAAGAATAGGATCAGGTAGCAGGTAGGATAATTGTCTAGCGTCGACTTTTACGGGCGCCGGTAGCATGTTGACCTGGAAACAGAATGTGTTATGTTGGTAAGTAAATGCAATTTCTTAGAGTTGATTTTGTGTAGGAATAAGTTTACGTTTGTTTGATTAGTTACCTAAGGTATTTCACTGAGTATCTATGTACCTAAGGTGCATTGATGTACATAACTCCCAACGTAACTTCCAACATAACTTCTAACCGTTAGCGCCAGGAACGAAACGTACATATACCATTCCCTCCTGCAGTACCTTCCTTCACTATCTGAGTATCATGTCTATGTACTAACTCTTTTAAATCAGGTAGCCTTAGGTACATTGGTAGGTACATGTAGGTAGGTAGCTTTCATGTATTCTTCGAGTTGCTCTTCCCCTAAGTCAAGCATTCTCACTAATACAAATGCAAGTACGAAGCCGTAATAAAATAAAACAAACATCGTATATGTATTTGATTACACAGGTACTTACCTGAATACAGACAGAAGTTCAGGCCCGTCATCCACCCAGCGATCAAGTAGGTGCGATGATTAAATATTAATTTATTAGGAATCTTCTATGAGAGGATGGAACCGTCGATTCCGTAAGGGGTTATGGGACTGGTTAATAGAACACAAGTAGTTAAGTCTTTAGGTTAGGATAGACAACCTTAAGATAGTAGTAATATACACATAGTTACATATATCTCCAGCTTCCCGTAAAAGGGGTAAAGTTGAAGATTACTCCTCACGGTAGGTAGCTTAGTATGTTAATTGATAGTATAGATAAAACACGTTCTATTGCATCGTATAACAGAGATTAAAACTGGCCTTATAGCGCTACTCAATAGCTTCATGATTCCCCCTAACCACATTATGGAGATTCCTCCATTTGCCGCTCTAGGAACGAACTATGTAAATATCTTGACTGTAATCTTTCTACTACCTCATTGCTTAGAGAGAAATTCCTCATGTGGGTTGACAAATACAGCCGCCGGATGAGGTAGAAGCACATTGGGTTCCCGGTTCACAGATGGAGGAGAGGACCCAATATGAGTTAATGCAGGCCAGAACTTGGGAAGAGCCGTTTACTGGGCTATGTACAATGACCAAGTTAGCATATATTTTTCTTGGGCTATGACAGAGCGGTGACCTGGTTTTCTTGGTAGGTATAAGCGTACTTGAAGCATTTAAAACTTCCCGAAACACAGGAAGACCCTTGTCTTCTATGAGTAATGGCGACGGATAATGGTAAGGCTGACAGAGAAGTCGCTACAATTAAAGATAAAAGTTTCATCGTAACGAATACTCTATGACCTTCGTACTTAATCTGAGGGGGACAGTAAATATTGATTATTTGGCATTGGGTTGCCTGAGGAACATTAATGCGAATGAAAGGTTTTATATGTCATGATACTAATCCGTGCATATAAGTGATTTATATTTCTATATATACCTTAGGTTCCTAGGTAGGTACCTATGCTATGACTGTCCTGTGATATCATCAAATTATGCACGTCCCTAAAAAGACCACTCATGTACATTAGGTACATACACCAGCTTCAGCCCAGACTCAACCTGCCCATTTTTACCAGGTGATCGAAGTATTAAGCAGGTGTCACATAGATTCAAGCTGTAAAGTTTACCTAGGTAAGTAGTTAGAAAGTAAAGTTCATCTATAAAGGGGGCTAAACTTTGCCTAGGATGATGCTAGACATGCCACAATTCCACTAAACCGTATATGCTGTCTACGTCAGCATTTCTTTTGAATTCCTCTCCTGTACTGAGCTTTAGGCTACATCTTATTCTAGACTATCAGAGACATACCTATACCTAAGTGACTATCTCTTAGAATGGGGCCTGTTCTAGTCAACGTCATGGACCCCAACTGATGTTGAACTCTACCATGGTTATCCCACTACATACATATGTTTTGCCACATTGTGTTATTAGTAGTCCGCCCCTGGGGCCACCCGCCACGATGTCTTCTGATATGCATCTATCAAGAATTGTAGTTTTGCCTATCGAATCCGCGTAGTAAAGAAATCATCCGTGATAAACGTACAAGAAGGTTATAGGGAATGCGGTGATTATATCTAGGAGGTAGTTAACGAGATATGGGTAAGAGGATTCAGATGTACTAATTACCCATCACCTAGGTATTCATCCTGAAAGATACGAAGATACAAAGATACGACCCAGGACGAAACTCATGCTATGTAAAATCGAATCAGTCCTGACGAATCAGAAGATAACGGACATCCTAATCTGGTATGTGTTTCTATGGGCGCCGCCGTACCCGGGACGGGGCCGCATTGTCACTGGAGGGTTGAACACCTGACGTCCTACCTATGACCGTACCGGACATATGCCCGCCTCCGCTGTTCAAATCGCTGCTGGAGTGTGTAATCATCGCCTCAGAGGGTTCTGAATACGTCATAGAGAGGTAGCCATTGATAAAAATTAAGTCTCTCGTAATTGCATCAATCTATTATATCATAATCTACTGCTCTCTCTCAGCGGTATAGAGATATAGTACTATCAGTACTAGCCCTTATAAGCATTACAACCTTAAATATCAGTTGCTCCCCTATTTCGTAAACTTGTTCAGTTGACATTAGTGTTCATAGTCTTCCGACTAGGTCTACACTAGAACTAATCATCCTCTGACTAAGATGGTCAACAAGGACAATCATCTCCAGTTATTTCCTTCTTCGCCAAGGCCAGATGGCTCGAGCCTATGGTTCGCCCCATCTCCAGTAGTGCCATAGTTAGAACGGTTGCTACCATTCTCGCCGTTACCCTCAACCTGGCCTCCGTCGTCTTCATCTGTCGTTCCGTTCTCCAACAAGCTTTCGCGAGTATCAGGGCCAACAAAGCGTCTGTAACCAGCTCTGCTGTTACTTCCTGAATTACGTAGTCCAAAGAGGATGAGATGGATTAACTACACCCAGAATTAGTAAATGGGGGGAGAATAATAGTTAATAGTAATTACCTGGACAATGCCGACAGCTACCGCCACGCCGAACTCGAATCCGGAAGTGCGCTCCACTGCAACGCAGGTTAGTAATTATAAACAATTCTCTAATTACATATACGTAGCAATTAGCTTAATGGATTATCGACATTACTTACTTGTAGCGCGCCAGGGGACGAGACAGGAGCTACCTCTATCACGGTGTAGCTCTTGACACATGCCGCGGGGTGCATTACGATCTGGCAGAGAGCGAAGACCACAGCAATTAAAAGTATCCTGTATGCGTTCAATAGCCCTGTAGTCATGTGCACTCCATAGACGTTGCCAGCTCCTCTCTAGACTACATTCGATGCCCTGGCCCGACGAGAAACCCTCGGCTGTGAGGGTGGCCAGAACTACTGTCAGTATAGCCTGCAAAACCGGAGACGCTACAGGCAAGAACTGTAACAGCGTGGACGATGATGTAACTCTCTGCTGAAACAGTCGGCGAAGTTGCGGCGTATATAAAATGTTTGCGAATGCTATGAAGGGTAAAATTATTGTGAGGGCGGTCGTGCCTGTTGATATAGGGAAAGACAGGTTACTCGAAGTGACTTGTACATAGCTACGATGTGTTAGTCGTAACAACGGAGTGAATGAATAAATTAGAAATAAGGGAGAATAATTTACATTGCAACCGCCGCCAATGCGAGGAGCACCTGTTTTAAATATAAGTTAGATCAAAATTGATATAGTAGGGGAGGGTGAAGCTGCTAACAAAGGGGAAAGCAATTGCTAAGTTGACCATGGTGGAGTTGAATAGCTGTAGCTGTAGTTGTAGCTGTAGCTCTAGTTGTCGGTCTTGGCGTAGATGATGGAGTTAATTAGAGTTATTTAATTGTAGTTGATTGACTTTAGCTTTGTATGAGAAGGAAACCGAAGAAGTACCTAAGGTACATAACCCTATTATTTAAATTTAAAGTGGAAGAAGAATGAAGAATGCACTTGCATTGAGGCCCAACCTTGCTATTTTCTCTTTCCTCCGGAAGTGACATTTGTACGACATAGAAGTAGCAGCCCCTCACGCAGCCTGGCAGCCTGCTTCTTTCCTTTGTCCGAGTCCGCGGTTGACATATCTGATTTCTGATGTATCACAATCTTAGTTCTATGTAATAGAGGGGCGACCTCGGTAAGTGGTATGCATCTATTAATGCAATAATGAGAGTCAACATATGATCAAAAAGGTATTATTACTAAGTGACAATTATTACATAAATAAACTCTACTTGTTTCTATTAAACAGACTTATAAGTCCTTGTCTTGTCAGTGACTACTAACCTCATCGAAGACGAATGAATTCAATCGGGTTTACTCAATTAACTATTCATCTTTAACTTATATGGAGAATGTAATGGTAACTTGACAACAAGAGGGAATCCCATCAGATAAAGGCTGTGTAAACATACTCTACGAGTATCGGATGTTGACTGTGAGACTTCAATGTGGAATAAGTTTAATATATGGGCTCGTATAAGCTGAAGTAATAATACTTTATCTAACCTAGGTAGTTAGTTCAAATTGTTTAGTTGATGATTTTCCTAGGATCTTGCAGCGCCAAGCCTGTACCCCTAAAGCGCATCACCGGATTTCTAGAAATAGCCGTCGATCTTAACTCCCGAGATCCGGTACAAGTTAATCAATCTTGTCATTCTCGTCTTGGTAATGTCTTGACCTTCCTATATAGGGGCCGTTGCCGGTAATTCGCGATACGACTCCGGGGTGTGATGATCCGCCCGTAGCGGATCACTGAGTACGCATACCGTGATATAATAGAGCACCGGTATCCGTCATAATGTCGACCCTTATTTTCTAATCTGCTACCCAGTCTGCCTAGTCTGCCCAGTCTGAAGGTGCTTCCTAGGAAAGTATAAATTATCGTACCACTAATTGGAATTTGGAAGGTATAAGGAACTTATGAGCTTCTAACATATATTAGCACATATATTAGCTACAAACTTCGTATTCGCCGTCATCATATAAGAAAGCTTGAGTTAGCCGTCGGATTTTTGACAGCAAGGTCACTTCTCTAGTCAGATATTCGCAGTCTACGAGATTAATCTGGATTGTTCGAGTACTTCATCTTTTCGCTGCGTACCAATATTAGTTTGAACAAACAGTCGATTCAAACATGGTCCGTTCTATATTCGTTGCGGCTTTAGCAGCCACATCAGCTGCTATTACCGCCAGCCAGGAAACCAACAACCAGCCGCTGTTCACGATCGAGTTGGGACCTGGTGTGACGCAGCAGGTAACTGAAGCTGAGAAGTTGGCCCTCAAGTTTGTGAGTAATACTTACATCGACCGGAATTTAGATTTGGATTACTGATCGTTCCTCAAAAGGAAGGGAAGACGTTTATCGATATCACCAACCGAAAGAACTTTGTACAATCTGTGTCAACAGCAAACACTGCTCAAACCGCAGCAGTAATATACCCCAACTTACTAAACCAGACAGACACTGTTCACGGTCTTATTTCCAAGCTTAGCAAGGATAATATGCAAGACAAGCTGACGACTCTCTCCGAGTTCCACTCCCGATTCTACAATACCACTTGGGCTAAGGATGCTTCCGACTGGTTTCTTTCCGAGGTTCAGGGGATCATTACCGGGAGCGAAGCTAAAGACGCGACAGTAAAGCCATTCGAGCATAAATGGGCACAGAACAGTATCATAGCTACGATTCCCGGCAGGTCCACCGACAAGATCGTAGTTGGTGCCCATATAGATTCCGTTAACCAAGAGGGTTGGGATGCTCGATCACCTGGTGCTGGTAAGTAATTCTTCATTACAATTAGTGGACCTGCCGGAATTGACAAGACGTGAACTAGATGACGACGGATCAGGATGCGTGACAATCCTGGAAGCTATGAAAGCTCTTTTAAGCGATCCCCTAATTGCAGCAGGGGAGGCGGACAACACGATCGAATTCCACTGGTACTCGGGTGAGGAGCTTGGCCTGCTTGGTAGCGGTGAAATATTCGACTCGTACGCTGCCGATGGAGTTGTTGTCAAGGCGATGCTCCAGCAGGATATGACGGGATGGGGAGACAATCCTAGTCAGTACCTATCTACTATTCTAGAATCATTCCACAACCCTCTTCTCTCGATATAAAAGTCGAACAAATACTACAAATTTGCTCAGGGGTAACTTAGGGAGTGGATAGAATAGATGAGCTTTACTACCAAAAGTCGTCTACATACTAACCTATGATTCTACAGTGGGTGTTATAACCGATTATGTCGACCAGGACCTTACGGCTTTCATCCGCCTAGTCAGCGAGGTAAGTCTGCCCATCCTATCATAACTAGCCCGTAACTAAACAGTAGTCAATAGTATACTGATATCGGCTACGTCGACACACAATGTGGCTACGCCTGCTCGGACCACGGATCCGCTACTGCTGCCGGTTACCCAGCTGCTTTTGTCATCGAATCCGACAGGCGGATTTCTAACGATAACATCCACAGTGCGAAGGATGCACTCGACACCATCAACTACGACCACATGCTTGAGCACGCCAAACTTGTCCTTGGTTACGCGTATGAGCTCGCTTTCGCTCCTCTATGATTCGAACTCTTAGGTTATCGACTATTATGTGGATGATTTGCATTTGTTATCTGACTTACGATGTATACATATATATAATTAATAGATGCCTTTGCTGTTGATAGCGAGCATGTGTTGATTGTAGAACTCTGACTTGCCGACTGTATTTAGTATCACTCATACTGGAGGATACCTTGAAGACCTTAACGCTTTATGAATCGTTCACATAGGTTAAGTAATTAAAAGGACCTGTGATCTGAATGCTACGAAACTTATCATAAAAAACTATGCTATTCAGTACAGTAGGCGTAAAGCCATCCACCGGATGGGTATCATTCCGCATGAAAAGACCGAAAACCTGTCGTAACGATCATCCATTGACCGTGGTGATATTTGCGAGTGAGAGCTATGTGCAATGAGAACTAGAAGCCATAGCTGCAACATTATGTGTTATATGTCTGACTAGTTGATGTCGTTCATCAATCATAATACTCAAGTGAAGCATCTTTCGTACGAAGGGCTCTCTCCTCCAAGACTCGGAACGCCTAATGATCCGCACTTGAGAAAGAAAAAAAAAACCTTAAGTGGTGACCCGACAATAGCTCGACGACGAGAACACACTTGAATTACCATAGTGACGAGAATAGAAACTGCCGAATTACCTAGAATTAATTAGCAATAAGCCCATAATCCTCGTACAAACGGTATAGACGGACCAGCTCCAAGTTAATTAAGGCATTTACCATCCCTGATAAATATGCAATCCCCGCGGGATTGTAACAGAAGATTTGGCTTCTCTGGTCTAATAACCCAGGCGATGAAGGGCGATAGCGTCTCTGACTTGTCTTGCCATAGTGGTCATCGTAGAGAGTCGCCCTAGAATGGGATCTGATGGAGATCGGCTGCTGATCTGAATGTATAGCTTGTCGAATCGGTCGAGATAAGAGCGCATGAGGTTCGGGACCACATCGCGAACCTGAGGGTCCTGTATGGAATTCTGTTTAGAGTTGTTATGTTTGGAATGAGGTTGGTCACTAACTATGTGTGGGAGTGATGAATGTAGTATACGAATGACTGCTTCTACCCAGTTGATTTTCTCACGGAGGAGGGGGCCGTCGAGTTGTTCGGCAATGACGGATGCCACGGAGAGTGAAACTAGAGCTGGTAACTCTCGGAGAAATTGAGGATCCAGTTTGACAAGGTATTCATTGAAGACTTCTGGATGGCGGCCTTGTTGAATCCATCGGACTAATCCAGTCTCATATTCACCTCTTTCCATTAGGGCTGCGACGTTGGCAATCATGTGTTGAAGCTCGGGGTCCCTAGCATTCGACGGTTCTCTAACGCTGGAGTTGCTCGATGCGAATGGGACCATCGGAAGAGAAGTGTTCGCCGTCGGGCTTCCATGCAAAAATGACTGCGACTGTAGAGGCTGGGCATAGTGAGTCTGGGGTGGCTGATGCTGTGTGTTAGAACCATGCTCACGGGGACTCTGCTGCTGCATTTTTAGAAGGCTATCTTGAAACTGCGCCTGTGTAGCGGCCATAGCGGTGACCGTGTCGGAAAGGCCAGTTACTAGTGCTGTAAGCTGGTCAATCTTATTGCTGTCGGCAATGTGTCGCCGTTCGAGCTCTGCGATCTGCTCGGCAGTTCGATCTTGTACTTCTTGCACGATTGAACGAGAAGCTGTGACTGCTGTATCGTTGATGAGAGGAGTGAGAGTAGCCACGAATGACTGACGGAAGTTCTCTAAATCAAGCGCTACACTGCTGGCGACCTTGTCGGAAATAGACTTGGATAACTCGGGCTTTTGGAGGGACTGATTAACAGCATTCGGGAGAAGCTTTTGCATCTGGTTTTGAATCGAATGCGAAACGCGACCGATCATCTTACCATCAATCTGTTCCGAAATTGTCTTCGTGATCAGAGCGCTTAGAACGGGCACCACATCACTCTCAAACTGATCACTGATGGTTTTAGTAAGCACCGCCTGAACATTTGCGTTCAGCACATTAGACACTTTCTCAAGTAAGAGGTGTTGGTTCTTCGTAAACTTGTCGTCGCGGGCACGGAATTCGTTGTCAACATTTTCCCGATGGTCTTTGAACTCGCTATTGATAACTCCAGTCAGCTTGTCGCCAAGGCCAGATACTATCTGTTTGACAGTTGACTGAATAGCTTCTTGCGATATGAGAGGTTGAGGTGAAGACATAGTGGATTTCTCTGAGTGCTTTGAGGGAGTCGAGTCGGTCCGTGACTGCGAGCTGCCGTTTGATTGTGCATTCTCTGTAGCCAGCTTTTCGGCAACAGCGGCAGCTTTGTCTCGCTTCTTCCGAGCCTTCTTCTCTGTCTTTTCTAGTTGGCCAGCAGGCGTGACTGGAGCCACGCTCTCTTTCTGCTCGGATTGTCTAGTGAAGGACTGGTTATCGCCACTCTTTTGAGATAAATCTTGCGCAGAAGAAACTGTTGAATATTGTGGTGGGGGTGTCTCTTTTATAGGCCGAATTCGAAGAGGGATACCGTGCTCTTCTGTTGGCTGAGGTTCAGAGACCAAAGCGCTGGGCAACTCTTTCAGCTTCGTAATCTTGACCAGGCCGGCTTCGGCAGCATCGAGACCGTCAATAACTTTATTATCCTTAGACCATCCGAGCTCACTCTGCTTTACAACAATTCCAGTGACACCCTTCGAATGCATCGCATATAGCTCAAAGAGACTTTGCTCATCGTTATCGGGTGACGTGGCAGGGTTAGTTAATATGTCGAGGCTGCGAAGCACACCTTTGTTGGCAAATGAATACTCGCGTATACCACTGATAACAGCGGTCGAGTCGGGTTCTGGGATCGACGGATCTTTTGCTACCAACTTCTGAATGTAGTCAACTTGAGACAGACCCTTAATCGTGTATTTTGGTGCCGACAGGTGAAGGAAATAGATCGAGTTACGCGTCGGATGGCCGACTACGATCATGCCTGAGGGAGGGTGATACATAACGCTACATACTGGATCCGATTCTTTGGCATGAGGCAGATTGAATTCCTGCACGGGTTTGCCTAGGGCGAGATCCCAAAGTTGAAGCGTGTGATTCTGCTTCATGCCTACGATCATGTAGCGCAGTGCCCATCCCTTCTGGTAAGGCCGTTGCTTATCCAGCAGTAACACAGAAGTTGGCCATGCCTTCTCGCCTTCAGGGGTGGTATTCAGGGTCATGAGTGGCTCCTTGACCTCGAGGGAAATGTGGGCAGGCATGGGAGACCAAGGGTCAGAATTCTCGTCGGCTGTTGTTAAATCCCGCACGTCCCAGAACTTGACGCGGCCGGACTTGTCAAGGGATACAATAGTAGTATCGTCTTGACTAAAGGTGAAGTCTTTGCCCGCCTTGCCTGTGCTGATTCTAAGGGAGCACTCTCTATAGAGCTTCTCGGTATCAACAACGCGATCATGGCCAGACTTAAAAATACCGTTTGCCATAATATACGACGGCCAGATGACGTTGATCGTCTTTCCACGGCCGACAGCGAAGAATTCTGGGTGAGTAGACGAGGTCCTTGCCCTAGTCTTCAAAACACCCCCATTGTCACCGCCTCCCTCTTGAGATATGACAAGCGGGGGGAGGATAAATCCGTACTGTTCCGGATGAGCATCCTCTAAATGGTCCTTTTCGCCGTTCTTGATTTGAATGTAATATACGGTTCCACTAATGCCAGTGCCAATAATAGACTCCTTTGGCGTGGAGTGGAGATCGGATGGAGTAGACGACATAGCTACATTGAAGATCCGGTCTTTCGTGTCAGTGAACAGTTTAGCGTCCTTACCGTCATCCTGTCTTATTACACGAAGCCCGCCAGCCTTAGACATGCCGTAAACCATGTACGATTCCGTAGCGGTGACAAGGTTTCGATCGATTTGGTCAAATTCCTTCTTTAGACGTGCGATATCAAGAATGACCTCGTCGCGGAATTGGGGACGAGACTCCTCGGTCTCTTGCATCGTGATTGAAATCCATGGCTTCATGGGGAAGTTGTAGACCTTGACAGGATTCGGAGTCTCTTCAATCACGACAATCTCGTCAGCTTCGGCACTTTCCCAGCTGTCCGCAACAGGGCCGTGAGCAGCATCCTCGACAATATCACGAATCGCTTGTGCAACTCCTGGCGAGTATGCATCCTCAAGCACGTGGGAATTCTCTTCCTTGTCAAGTTCTCTCTGGATATCCTTTGCTGCTGCCTCGGCCAGATCCTGAAATTCAGCATCAGTTTTTGCCCTCATCATGTGTTGAAGTTCGGCGGCAATCTTAGCTTGTACCTCTTCGGTTTCAGCCCTCTCTATTGCTTCTTGAGCTTCCTTGTCCACTTGTTCAGCAAGGCCAGTGATTGCCTCTGACACAGTCTCTGTACCTTTCTCTCCAGTAGGTGAGAAGTTAGAATAGATAGCTTCCCGTTCAGTGATAGAATGAGGAGAAGTATCAAGCTTTCGCCTGATACGTTCCGGGCTCGTAATTGGGCTTCGCTGACTGCCAAGTCGTTTATGGTCCTGAACAGCTCCAGAGGAAGAAGCGACACTGGGGGTCTTCTTAGCGGCCTTGAAAGCGGTCGGCGCGGGAAGCTCGGTTGGCATCTGACCGGCGTGAATCGGCGCATTAGGCGTTGAGGACTTAGATGCGGTGTTCTGGTGAGAAAGGGCACCGACACCCTCAAACGAATTATAATCAAATCTGGAAGACTTGCGACTACCCTCGTGTTGAGATAGCTGAGAGAACTGGGATGCCGGGGAATGGTATTCAAATTTAGTTGTAGGGGACTCAGCGTGCTCCTTTGATCCGAATCTAAAGGGCATTGGCGTCGTGTCATGGGAGCCAACATCAGAATGCCCCTGCTTGATGGGTGTATATTCCTTAAGGTGGTCGACAGAAGAGCCATTAGCTGATTGGGGGGTCAGGGTCGGAGGTTGGGATGATTCGTTTACAGATGGCGGTTGGTCATTCTGCGCAGGCTTCGGTCGATGTAATAAGTTGAGGAGGTATGCTTGAGTATCCATCGAAGGTGGACCTGCGTTCCAAGTTGGCTGGGAGGGAGCCTGAGGAGCCTGGGGTTCTGCTCGCGAAGACTCATTCTGCATGTTTCCCTTCATAAGAGTAGCCAGAAGACCCTGGGGATCAGCAGGCATCGGCACCGGGGCGTGAATAGGTGGTGGGTTGTTCGACTGAGTTATACTTGACGACATGTCGAACGAGGGCGCTTGCGCTTGCGCTTGTGTATGACCAGGCGGCGAGGTTTGCGATACCGATTGAGCGTTCTGTCCGCTGAACTTGAGGAGGTTCAAGAGATGTGAACTCTGGTCAGCTTTACTAGAAGCATTTGAAGGCATAGTGCCAATTGGACCTAGACCCATTGGCCCAGTAGGATGGTGCGAATGTCCAAAGTTGCTCGAATTACTGGGGGGCGTCGGAGCAGGCGGAGGAAATTCGTCTAGACCTATCAGAGGAGATTCTGTAGCAGAATGGCTATGACTGTAATAATCCTGAGAGTCTATGCCTTGATTGTATGAGGAAAATCGTGAAAGAAGCTCGTTAGCGGTATTGGAAGAATCATCACTTTTCTGCGCATTGCGTTGAGCTTGCAAACGAAGAAGCATTGCGTGCAAGCCGTTTGCATCGCTGCCACCCGGCGGGTTATAACCCGCCATGATGCGCGAGGGGTGTGAAGGTGTGGAGCTTGTCTTGGTATTGATGAGGTTATGTTTGTATTGTTAACTAAGATCTGTCTTCCGATGAAAGGCAATTCCTAAAACGCGGGCGAATTATTAAAATCGTCGCTAATGATAAGCGTAAGAGATTGTAAACGAAGAAAATAGTAATAGCGTTCGTTAGGTAGTGCTTTCAACGTTGAAAGGATGAAGAAGAAAAAAAGTTTAGAGATCTTCCAGTCCCATACGTATCAAGCTCTTACCAGCCTCGCCAAAAAAAAAAAAAAAATAATAAAAAAAAATAAAAAAAAAATAAGAAAATTGGTAAACTACCAAGCACAAAGCTACTATCGGTAATCCGGAGATAGGTGCGATAAGATGGTAGAAACCAAAGACAAATTATTGGATGAAAGAACTGACCCAGCTACCGTAAAAACAGAAAAATCAGTTCGACAATGTACGTCGAGAGACGAGAGACGAGAACCAGGAATTTTTTTGTGGGTGAGAAGAGGAGATTGACTTAAAAATCTCGTTCAACTTGGAAGGAATGAACGTTGAACGATATGTGACGGGTTGAATTGAGTTGGGCGGCGATGCAGCTGTGCGCTAAACTGGGAGAACGCACCTCCAATAATTGAATAGGAAGTACATAGGTACATGCACAACGTGGACCAAGGGTTTTACCTACAGGTACCTATAGATGTATAGTGTTATGTAATCTTAGCATTCAATGTCAGCATTTTAGCATTTCAAGCCTTCAGTCTCAAAACTGTACCTACTTTTGGAACCATTGGGCGCATCGCGACAATTACACTATTTTGCGAAAACGCAATAGGTTACCTACCTCGATGATAATTTTTACTCTCCACTCTCGTTACCTAGGTAATTATAAATATATTATCTGGTCGAACTGTTTGTTGTAAGATTATCTACCTAAATTATTCACGACGGCCTTAATTATTTATCAGCGTCAACCCGCCAACCCGCCAACCCGCCAACCCGTCAAACAAACGACCAAACGACCAAATCATCAAACGACATCTCAGTCAAACGTCTCACTCAGTAGCTCTCCCACTAGCAAACGCTTCCCGATACAGCGCAATGTTCTGTCTCCGAAGGTATTAAGTCTTATAACTGAGGTCCCTTACAATCATTTAGTATATCCCTTTACTAACATTTATTCTCATTATAGTTGGCTCCCTCTCCTCTTCATTCCAACAAATGCCTCTCCTGCCTTCATCTTCCTTTTTTTCGTCTGTACATACTTCCTAAACCGACCCTGCGTTTACTGTTCCGTCCTCCTCCTTATACTCTTCGTCACCTCGTGCTATTGGTCAGATCGGTGTTTCTTCGATTTCAGCAGCAATTGGTTCGCCCCGCGACTCTCAACTTCATCATGTCCGGTCAACGGAACCACGATATCCGAACCTATGGTTGACAGTTTCAACGCTACCGCTGTTGAAATGCTAAATACTACAGCCAGTGCACTTGCAAGTGCTGCAGCCGACGGGTTAGCCAAGAAGAAAGAAGAATGGACAGGACTCGGCATAGAATGGCTTCGAAGCCTTCTAGGACGCCGGGAATGGAGGATCGAATGCATGGACCTATACATTCGGCTATAATCACATATTATACGTCAAGTATGATATGGTATACCTATGATACCAGCTATGGCCTTAAACATCCCAAGTCCCAGGGTTGTACAAACACAATAAGTATAGATATGAATGTATAAATGCATGGCATTGGCGTTAGTTGGACTGCGGATAAGGCCTTGTTTCTTGAACACTCATCTCATAATAATCGTATGGTCACATCACATCAGCATCTAGATGAGGGCAATACGCATTTCGAAGAGCCGAAGGGATACCATAAATGTAGGCATAGAATAATAGGCATTGAGCCAAGCGAGAATCCATGACAGAAGTATAGGTACGCAAGTATTAATATAAAGAAAACATTCTCAAAATAAGGTATATATTTATTTACTTGTATCGACTACCAGATTATATACCCATCTTAACTTGAGTGTTCTCAGATAGTCCAATAAATCAAATACGTGTCGATAGGATGGTTCAATAATTTATACTACTGGGTACCCAGATCTACTCATTGATTTGAGTTGTCCGCTTTGGAAGTTGAGAAATGGTGACTTATTAACATCGTATTTCATACGATACACCTTGCCTAGATACCTTATAGAGTGTCTAGTTTCCATATTATTTAGCTCTCGTCAGATTCATATCCCTAACCCATGGCTTCCAGTAATTCTCGATCGTATCCGGGTCCTTCCAGGCAGACCATTCTGCATTAGTCAAGCCCCAGGTATCAACGAAGTTCTGAACACCAGATCGGACGCGATAGCTGCCTGCCAAACTCCACATCATCCAGCCGATGCTATGTTTCTTGGTAAAGTCGCGGATACAGTTCTGTACCGTGCTGTTGTATAGCGTGGCGTCCTGGGCGTTGCCGAACTCGGAGAATATGACGGGCGTAAGTCGCTGCGTTGACTGACAGTCTCCAGTAATGTTGCATCCGGATGGTTTATCGATACCTAGGGCATTAAAGCCGTTGCGGTACAGGCCTGCTTCTATCACCTCACAGGTTCCCGTGTCTACGTCCTCGCTCATCGGATATAAGTGTAGCTCCCACACGATCTTGTCTGCCCACGGGTAGCTATCAAGGTCAAAGTAGACAGGGTCGCGGCGGTATGCGTCGCGAATCGCCGTACACTTATAACAGGGAGCCGTAAGAATGTTCTTCTTAGTCGTCAAGGCCGATAGGTCCTCATCGTACTGCATACCCGACCAGGTGATGAGCAGGTCTGAGTTGGCCTCGTGAATTGCGTCGGCTCCCATGCTCATGTTACCCACGAGTGTCTCCCAGTTGTAATACAAGTCAGTGTGGTTCCAGGATTCGCGCAGCTCATTTCGTAGTGACATAGAGACAACGTTAGGATGGTCCTTAGCCCAGGTTGCCACATATGAGAGTCCCCTCCGCCAGTTGGAAGCGTTAAAGTTCACGTCGTCAAACCAGGCGTTTCCGTCGGTATGGCTGCAACACCACTGCGCTTTGCCAACGTGAACATCGGGATGGATATATACGCCTTTGGATGCGGCGATGCTGGCGATATCAGACCAGATCTCAAAACGAGTTGTCTCACGGGTCCAAGTAGGATTCTTGGAAATAATGCCGTTGGTGACTTTTGTACCGTTCTCATAACCTAGAGCCATGATCATGGCAACCTCTAGGGGCACGTCCTCGCCTCCTCGATCATATATTTCGTCGACCATTTGGATCGCATATCCCCTTATATAGAGTTAGTAGTGAACCGTTTTAGCTATCCTATTTTTCAAATCACTTACATACGGAGGAAATTGAAGCCAACGCTAACAACGTCATCCAGGATTGCCTCGGCAGATTTCCATTCTAATCCTTCTGGTATCATCGTCTCACCTACAGTAGTACTCTAGTGTTAGTCCACCATGTTTATATAGTAAGGTTCTTATCCCTAGACTCGACATAACATACCACTCATTGGCCAATTAACACCGGCCCAAGTGATCACCTCGTCTCGGCTGTTGACGACGTCTCTGCCTTTTGTCCTAAAGGGACCGTGGGGCCATTCTGTAGAGGAGTTTCCTTGACGACGACTTATACGTTTCTGCCAATGTGGCTCATGGTCTCGAGGTAACTCTGATAATGTGGGAACCCATGAGGAATAGGCTAGGGTCGCGCAGAGTGACCATAGGGTTATTGGAAGCTTCATCTTGACGCGCAAGCTTTGTTCACGACAGGCGTAATCATAGACTTCTAGAATCGAAGCAAGAGAAGGGGACTAAGTACTATTTAGAGGTAATACAAGCTCCCTTTATAATTCAGCAAGCGTATCCATGTCTTCATAAAAAGCAAGCACCTATTGGTGCATCAACTTTAGGTCAGGCCAAGGAAACCCTATGTTCTTTGTGATCTCGGAACTAGTTATAATATATGTATTTGACTATCTTTGACGGAAGTTATACCTTATTAGGCAATCAGATCTCTCCTATTGCAGGATAACTGTTAGGACATACTAATATGTATATATCCCGACATGATGCTGAAATAGTACCTTGCAGGTGACGGTAGTGATGAGGAGATACGAGGGCCTCTGGGGTATATCTCCATGACTATGGGGAGATACTCCACCAACTCGGTGGGGAGCACTAACCCCAACCTCTTTGTGGATAACCCACAGACTGCGAGGGTCGCTTTCTATTAGTCCGAAATTCCCATGGCACGGGCTAGGGCCGGAAATTTTAGATAGCAACGAGTCATATGGAGCCACAAAGTGAGGTCTTAGAGTTGCTTTTAATGTATTCCGTAGGTTTGGATAGGGATATAGCAATTAGGTTAACAGCTGAGTTAGTAAAAAAAGACCCTTCAAGGAGACGAAAGACCTTAGAAGTGTTTTATATGCGATGAAAATTGTGTAATATTGAATGCAATTGACCCAAAGGTAACCTATATCGATGCAATACCTAATAAGAACCTTATGACATACCACTTCTCATAATCCTTGGACCACTACATAGATATGGACACGGTAATGCTCAAGATCCATTAAACGCCGTACCACAGAAAGAACATATCTTGCAGCTCCCACGCTTGTGAAGCCGACATTATACTTGTACCAGGAATATTTAACTTCGCTAAAAGTGGTGTACATGATGAAGCTACATCTCAACAGATTTATAGCCTCGCCTTAATCGCTGATTGAGGAACGCTTGATGCCTCCTCGTTAACGAGCACCGCACCAGTTTTCGGGCCATCGCCGAAGAAGACAACCTGCACTGTTAGGTCATCCCTATAGACTGTTAGCTTTCGTATAGACATTTTAATTTCAAGATTTTAAATTTCTCTGTGACTGACCTATATCTTCTGGAAAACGGCGAGACTAACGTAAGTAACGCGCATACCTGCTCCTCGTTTCTGCCGCCGAGAGCATTGCGGATTAAATGCGTAGCGACATTCTTGTCTTTTACGACGAACCGCTCTTTCTCGTCGGGAGAGATGCCCCATTGTCGTAATCGAATCGGGGTCTTTTGGCCATCAGGTCCTGCCTCCTTTCCGGCTTCTACGGGAAGATCTCGACCGGGGCCGAAAAGTTTAGTCCACACAGAGCCCAGCTGAGATTTCGAGGACTGCTCTGTCGCTTGCGTCTCGATCCACTTACCGACGAGTCCGACCACCTCGTCGTTAGTAAGCATTTCCCAAAGCCCGTCCGTCGCCATAACTAAGAAATCCCCCTTTTCAGGTTGGATTTTGGTCGTACTGACAACAGGCTCGGCTGTCACGTAAGGAGGGGTCTTGAGATGAGGTGAGGAGCTGCGGCCAAAGAATGACGCTCGGAGGCGCTCAGAAACTTCCTTACTCCACTTATAGCTGGCATCGCCAAAAGCTCGAGTTGGCTCAAGGCCGCCAAGGACACGACCGTTGTGAATAACACGATCTTCCCCCGGATGAGCCTTTCGCATCCGCGCCACCTCATTAGGATTGCTTCCTGTCTGGTCTTCGGATAGAGCCGTTGCCGTCCACTTTCCAGAGGAACTACGACGGCCTAAAACAGCCCGCGAATCACCCGTACAGGCAACTCGTAGAGTCTTAGTGCTACTATCATAAAATGATAAGAGAGCGCAAGATCCGGACAAAGCAGGACCAAGTAGTTCGGCAGCAACTCGCTTCGAGTTAGACTTCAACACCTTCTCTACGCTCTCATGTACAATTTCATGATCCAAACGCGTAAATCCAAGCTTAATGGCGGTGTCAATAGCCTCTGGCGACGGTACTGCTCCAAGAGTTCTGGCAGCCTTGTATGTAGTATTCAGCTCTCGTGCGACAAAACTGATTAAAGTTTGTCGTAGCTTTGCTGAAGTTGTCCAACCACTACTGAAAGTCAGTATTCTATATATTGTTACGAGGTTCCCAAAGTCGGTAGCACATACGCATGGCCATCAAAAACACCCCAAAACATCCAGTCATCAATAGGTTTATTATCAGTGTTCTCGCCTTGCCGTGAAGCTACTTCCACGATTTTCTCAGCATGATCATCCTCGATCGGGTTATTGCTCGCAACCTGTACGACGTCATATCGTAATACACCTTGTCCGCGGTTGACTAGAAACGAGGCCTCGTTCTGGCGTAATTTCTCGGTGGCTTGGTCCGGAGTAAGCATCTCTAACACGTTTCTTCCACTACCATCAACGTTTTTCGCTATCGGACCTTCGCCGACGAAAGTACCGGTGTGTAATTCATCGGCACCAACTACAAGGACATTCCGCGTTGTGGCAGCGCTATTCGTTAACTGCGTTGGTGCCGTCGCGTATGATTTAGCTCCAACCTGCTCTAGGGTATTTCCTCCCTTATATGTATACCAGGCGCCGTAGCCAACTAGGCTAGAGACAATGGCGAAGGAGAATCGGCGGATATACATGGAAGATCGTAAGGGCTCGCTTACCGCATAGTTGGGGCGTGTATAGGAAGAAGAAGTAGATGCAGCTGACGTTGCAGCTGAGGACGAAGCAGCGGATCGAACACCAAGACTAGCATTAAAATGGCTTGAATGGTGGGGAAATACGGTACGCCGCAGGCGACTAGTACGAGCAAGGCCCCGGACGGTGCATTGAAATGTCGTCCGAAGGGCTCTGACAGGTACGCGACGCATTTGGGGAGAGGATTTACCGTCGACGTAAAATTGAATCAAGGAGGAAGTTTAGTTGTCGCTAAGTCGCAAAGTCGCAAAGTCGCTAAATCGCTAAGTCGCTAAACGAGCCACAGAATATCGGAATATGGCTGGCCTCTAGAGCCGAGAATAGACCTAATGGATAAATGAATTATTAGGTAAGCTTTTACAAGGATAGATAATGGAGAAGGAGGAGGAGGGGAAGGAGTGGGGATCCATCGTGACCCATTTCTGTTTTCGGCGAAATGCGGGAAGTTCGTTTAGGTACATATAGGTACATGGTAATGCAGGGAGAGGTTGTGGGGCCGCAGTTAGTCAGTCCCGCCACATGCACATGCACTGTACCTAATGCATTCAATTGAAAGTGATTCCCTCTTAAATTTGTTATCGATAAACGCAAAGCGCAACCTCGGCATCTAACTACAACCATTAAACATTTACTCTTACTACCTACTTCTTACGTCCTACATAGATAAATACCTACAACAGTGTGTATTATCTATTATCTAAAAACAGTTACCAACTAGGTACTAAATAATATCAAAATCTAGTTCGCTCTGAATATTAAGAAAATGGCCACGTCGGAAGCAAGTATAGCTGGTGTTCAACGTCGTGCCGCTGAAAATCCCGATGCTCTATACCAAGCCTTTGATTCTTATCCATGGATTAAAGATCGGGTATTCACTGTGAGTCTCTTATATATCACCTGTATGTAATATCAAAATAACTAAACGTTGAGAAATAAGGAGCAACTATCAAATGCTTTAACTAACTCTCAACCTGGAGATCTCAGTCTTTCCGAGATTGCTCTCAAGACTCGAGTCCAAAGGTTTGATCAACAAACGAAGATTAAAGTTGACGGAGCTGCATATAACCAATGGCTTGCCCAAAGCAGTCGCCAGCCTCCAAGTTTCGTATCTGAGCAGGCAGTTGCAGTAGAAGCAATGACTATAGTACGTCTTAGTCCCGTCCTCGTATATACCTTAAGATAATGCAATGATAGGCTACTGACCAATCAATAGTCAAATCCTGCGGACAGAAAACTAGCACATCTTTTGGTTGAACTAGGTAATCCATTAGGCCAACTCGCTCTTCAACAAATCACTCCCGATTCAACCAATGTTGAAGTACCTAGTTGGCAAAGCGCCGCACCGACTGCAGAACTCTTCGTTGAGAAGGATACCTCCTTAGCAGATCCCGATAAGGAGCCATATCCTAAGAAATTTGAGGAAATAGTGGCATTCTTACAGACGGGGCAGCCTATACCTGGAATAAGACAGATCCCCGATACGGTTATCGAGGACCCGTCATTTACAACTCGTGGCCGCCTTGCAGCACCACCAAAGCCTTGGGAAACTGGACGAGCCTCTTCTACTGACGATGTAGGGATATCGACTACAGAAGGCGGAATATGAAGTTGAGCGGTATTTATTCTCCGCCCGGAGCGTTAGTACTCCGAGATAAGGGCAGCTTTTGTATATACATGTTGCCTGTCAGCGTTAATTCGTATCCATAATATCCGCAGGCGCAATTTCCGTAGAACTTCGACTCTCCGAGACTAACTCATTCTCGAGTTCCTTGATCTTTGCTTCTTTTACATTCTTGACGTGTTGAGCGAACCCCTCCAGGTTTTGAGCGCCATGCTTTACTAAGTTCATCAACATCTTCTCAGCTGACTTGCGTGGCGGTTCTCCAAGTCTTGCGGCTTCATGCAAGCATTGAGCGTGCGTAAAATCAAGAGGTACCTCGTAATTGCCTCGACTCAGCTCGGAGGTGGATGATCTAATATGTAAGATCTCGTCCATCTCTATCCCGCTCGAAGGAAGCCAGCGCTCCTGGCCTTCGGTTAAACCTGGTACTGCTCTAAGGTATGAAGGAAATTTCTCTTCTCTCCATTTACACTCTTGACGGATTCTCGTCTTTTCGCGGTTAAGCATGTAGTATATGTTGTCCTGTACGGTGTCTGCATGTTCATCGATCTGAGCGAGTATCTCGTTACGTCGCTTGCTTGGCTCTGATGGCAATTCCGGTGGTGGTTTTGTGAAATCAGTGTTCGCAGGCACGAAGATGCTTGGTGCACTATTTTGATAAGGAGGAATGTCCTCTTGCAATTGTTTCTCTGGTACTCTTTCTGCGCCGTCGTGGATTGCCATCCTCAATGTTTCTGTTTATAAGATGCAGTATATCTGCGACCATGTATCTGATGATCTAATAGGCAATAGGTAAATAATAGTTGGAATGATGTTTAAGTTAGATAGGTACAAGTATAAATTACTTATTAACGGCAAGTAATTTATACTTGTACCTAAGGTTAGGTAGGTAGGGATACGTACCTAACGAAGTATGTACGGAGTATGTGCGGATTAGTAATTAATCACTTCACCCCCTGAATATGTATTTAACCATCATACGATTAATTATATGGATGGCGCTCCTCATTAAAGAAGTTAGGCACATATATAAGATACCTGATTATCTATTATCTACTTCGTAATTGAGGTTTCCATAAAGAATCTAACTAAATAACAAGAAATAAAATAGATAGTTTCCTATTGATGTAATATCTATCATCCTAACTAAGAGGTACCTAGGTAATCTCGACGGTTTAAGTGGTTTATTCACTTAAGCGTTGTTCGTGTTTTTCAATACGGCTATGTATGTATTAAAGCCACCTATACCTTCTAAACATCTCTCTGTATAGTTAACTGAATTTCAGAACATAATTAACTATTCTATCCTACTCTACGCCTATGAAACCCCGCAGAGATAGTATTCAAGTGCCCGGAGAGCATTTATAGCGTGCCTAAGTTGTGGATATTGAGACGTCGTGTATGTTTTCGGATTGACTAACCTCGGCCTACTGAGTATAGATGATACGGTGGACGACTGGAAGGCTTGAAGTTCATGTGAGAAATATCTTAACATGGAATCATAAAAATATTCGGTATCCCTATGTGAAGTTATTTCGAAAAGATCGGCTATAATGATGGCTGCTACGGCTATTACAGCGTCCGTTTGACTATCGCCAGGTCTTCTAAAGAGAAGTGCAACTTCTCTGACCTTAATCATAAGTCTTGACATGTCGTTCTCAGAAAGGGTTGATAAAGGAGTGAATACTTTTGGGCTACTTTTTAAGTATGTTCCCATAGATATGGTATGTAAATCTATGCGTGTGATATCTAGATACTTAACGCAATGGTATGCAGGACCAGTAATCGGACCGTACACCAGATATTCGTAGTCAAAAGACGCAGAAGCCAAGCCAGCGTCATAAAGAACCGCGACGTGATATATCTTCACATAATCTTCAAGAATATTGGTATCAATAATCGCTATATGTCCCGACGGGTTTGTTAAAAATTGAATGGCGATGTGGAGATCTGCTGCCCACGAACTAAAGGCGGATGTGCCACGATATCCAAATATATGGTTATCTACCATCTGTTTTAGATTATAGATATCATATATCGTTGTTGGTACCTCGCCATTAAGAAAACCATGTGGGATGATGCCTGTAGTAGTATTAAGACGAGAATACCCACCTCCAGAACTGGAGGAAAAGGCCCGGAATAGAAATCGTGGAACCCTTTCCCAAGATTCTATTTCCTAGTTAACCTTGATGCTATGGTTTCTCAGAATGTTGATTTCCCGAATTGACTTACCTTCTAGTATTTGGCGTTGTCTCTTGGTTACAGACATATTACCTATAATTTCGTGACCTTTGTTACTATCTTAGACACTAAAGGCTCCTTCAACCAGGAGATCAATGGGTTAATCCACCTTCTAGTCTTGTATCTTTTATCTCGCGTTTGAAGCTTTCGACTCTTATAAGCTTACGTCTTTCGTATCGACTCTATTGTTTTCTAACTCCAACTGTACGTTAATTATTATCTCATCGTAAAAGTTGCAGTATTCAGGGGGGCTTGAGTCAAGAGCCCTCAACAGCTGTAATGATTACTTACTCAAGATATTGGTATGGATATGATATCAAATAAATATAGTTATGATGCTTGAAATATTGATGCATCATTAGCTTATTACCATCCTTTATATATAATTTGTAGACCATCTACTTGCTCAATTATTGCAGATTCAAGATTAGTAGCAGCAACTAGAATAATACCATTGTGTGATTCTAGAACAAAATTCTGCCTTGGGCTAAGGCTAGTTGTTCGAGATAGACAAGTAATAAGACATGTCTAGAAATCAATGGCTCCTAAAGAATGTCCTAGACGAAACTACGTGTAGAAATAGACCATGAAAAATATCCGCAAGGGAACTGATTTTTAAGTCAAAACCGAGGAAAATACAAGAACTATACAGGGATATAGGATAAGTGAGATTCTGATAAGCTTTTAATAAAAAATTACTCATCTTGCCAAAGATCAAGACTCTTTACCTACCTCTCTTATGATAGATAATAGAAAATATGAGCTCTAATGCTATGAGATATGTTACTAAGAATGCTAGAAAATTTAGGTATCTAGCCTAGTCTAGCATACTCTGGATTTTTAGCACACGTATGATCTTGCTATCCGTTGCGATATGTAGCTCTATCAAATACCAGGTACACCGCCACGATCAGCCTAACGAAAGCTGGGATCTTCTTCAAAAACATGCGGTCTTGAAGTGGTTCCTACATAGCATACCCACACTCGATCACTACAAATGTGGAAAATTCATAGCCGACCTGATATGTAATATACGCCGCAAGGAGTGAGAGTTTCATACACTTTTTGATTCATCAACCACAAGGCTGAGTGAGTAGATGAAATCCTCCTGAGGGTAGTCCTTTAGCTTCTAATATAATTATAATATAAGCGTGGCATTTAGCAGCGGATCCGTGTTATAATCTGCGGTTAGTAGACGTCTAAGTGATATACCTCAATACAAAGCCGACTTACTCAGACTTGCAGTGTATTGTTGCTTTGTCGGTGGCCGGTAATGGTGGCGGAGTCGCGATTCTTTAATGTAAGGGCTCGCACTTGGACAATGCCCACAATGAAAAAAAAAAGGTCCCATGAAGGTATCTATACTACAAAGTATAAGATACAAAGTATAAGATCGAGCTTGACGTCATGCCCAAACAGGTAGAGTTCTAGAAATGTTCGGTACATAGCCTCAACGGGGTTCTGGGGGTGGGGAGGGGGGTTTGCTTGGTCACTTGACGATATTCGTGCATCCTGAATTTTAGAAGGTCAATCGATTTGATGGTAGTTGGAGTATACCTATGTTCAAAATGCCTCCTACGTAAAAGGGACCTGGAAACATATTACCGGATAGAGAAACCCTTTCGTCTTTTGATCTATCTAGTGTGTACTTGGTATTTGTTCATATGTAATAACTATATACCTAGTAGGCGCCACGGATGACAAGATTGAATTGGATTGAGGCAGTGCTGGGTCACGCTCACTAACATGCATTCCCCAGACGTGTACCTGATATACATACACACAATACATACAGGTATGTTAGGTGGATAATACTACGCTAGGCGGACAGGCGGACTGGGCGTTTGCGATACGTTTCTCGTTTCTCGTTTCTCGTGGGACGAGTGTTGAAATAGGTTAAGGAATTAGAATTTTGAAATGTATTGATGCTTTAGGTAGTTAAAGTAGGAGGTATTTAATTAAGTGGTTAGATACATACTTTTGAATTTACCATGAAAACGAAATATCACGGACAGTTATGCTAAAAGTTAACAAATTCCAAATCTTGTCTTAAGTATCTTGACACTAATCCAAATTAGGTACTTATACGGAATACGGAATACGGAACACGGAACACGGCAGGCTCATTGATTGCTGTACTATGTACCTAATGTACCTGATGTAGGATCAGCTCGCCAAGAAACTACCTAACATAGCTTCGCCTCAGAGTCGATCTTACGATATTAGGTTGATGGTTTCAATAAACATAGTTTCGATTTGACCTTAGCAGAGACATTTCCTCAACTTTGACAGTTTGATTTTGGCTTTGTTGAATATATATAAGTTGGAGGTGTTTGCACATTTAAGGACACACTTAAGGACTTAAAGGATCAAAACCCACCTTATCTACTTTCATCTACTTTCATCTACTTTCCCCAGCTTTCCCGCACGGACAAAACCTACCATTTAAACTCTACGGATTACCATCACAAACAACCCGGGACGCAGCTTCATCAGCTCTCAGATAAAAAAGAAATGTACGTCGCACATAGCATTTCCCAAGGTGACATCATGCCTCTCTTCCTCTTCTCCCTTCTCCCTTCCACCATCAACCTTCCATCATCCCCCATCCCCCATCCCCAACATATGATTAAATGAATGGGACGACTACTTAGGTATATGTAACATTTAAAGAAAGAGGTAACTACATCTTAAAACCACATCTGACATTTCATTTCACACCACCTGATCTCTTCTCCAAGTCTTCCAACTTTTTCACTTTTTCACTTTTTCATCAAAAACACACGACCCTTTTTACCTAAACATTTCACGGTTTAACTGGATCTAATCTCTTCAATAGACAAGTTGAAGCACGAAAGAACTACAACTACAACATGGCCGACTCTAGGAATAAGGGTGTCGAGCGGACCAATGGATCTAGCTCAAGCCAAGCTGGCTTCCAACCACAGGTCAACATGACAGTCGAGCGCCCCAGACAGGAGGACCTACAACAGAGTTATGCATCCATCGTCGGTACTGATGCTAACCCTAAGGGCTGGTATGGATCGATGAGTATGATTTCACCTTAGCTTAAATGATATCGGCCCTGACTTTTCTTCTAGTTAATGCTATCGGCTCTTGCGTGGGTTCTCTCGGGGCTATTCCTTGCATCATTTGCTGCCCTAATCCCTATAAGCAAGTCAGTCAAGGCAACGTGGGACTTGTCACCAAGTTCGGGAAATTCTATAAAGCTGTCGATCCTGGTCTTGTAAAGATCAATCCTCTCAGCGAGAAACTGATCCAGGTTGATGTCAAGATCCAAATCGTTGGTAGGTCAAGCTTCCTCCCTTTTCTTCCCCCTTTCTCCCCCCTTGGCTATTTCTAATTATGATTACGAAAAATATAGAGGTACCCAAGCAAGTTTGCATGACCAAAGACAACGTCAATGTCGAATTGACATCGGTCATCTACTACCACGTCACTTCGCCGCACAAGGCTGCATTCGGAATCACCAACCTACGACAGGCCCTTGTCGAGCGGACACAGACAACCCTGCGACACGTCGTCGGTGCACGCGTCCTACAAGATATTATCGAGCGCCGCGAGGAGATCGCGACGAGCATCAGCGAAATAGTTGAGGACCTGGCAAGAAGCTGGGGATGTGAAATTTCCGCCATCCTCATTAAAGATATTTACTTTTCTACTGATCTTCAGAATGTAAGTGTAAAATCATTGATAATATTTTCCATTACCATTTCCTGATATAGACTTGGACGAAATCCCACCAAGGGATATTGCTAATATGATATCAGTCCTTATCTATGGCAGCGCAGAGCAAGCGTATTGGAGAGAGCAAGATTATAGCGGCGAAAGCTGAGGTAGAATCGGCCCGGCTTATGCGTCAAGCAGCAGATATCTTGTCGTCCGCGCCGGCGATGCAAATCAGATACCTAGAGGCAATGCAGGCTATGGCAAAAACAGCGAACTCAAAGGTCATTTTCCTCCCGGCCGCGAACCAGACAATGCCAAATATCAACAATGCCATGGCTCAGGCAGCCAAACAATATGAAATCGGCGAGTCGAGTGGCACTCAGGATGACGACGGTTTCTCGCAGGCGGTCAACGCTCACATCATTGAGAATATCTAATCAAGATTTTTTTCCCCTCCCGATTTCGAGTTTATGTCGAAATGTTGTATTCTGTATTTTAACTTCCTAGTTTTACGATCGACAATGACGCTTTAATGATGGGGATTGCTTGTTATTGGTTGGACATACCCCACGAAAGAGCCTTGCTGGTTGCAGACCAGGCGAAGGACATATATACCCTAAAATGATATACCATGTGAGAAGATGGTTGATGTGGCTGAATGGAACTGGTTGGGCTTATGAAAGGCGGTTACCGAGACCCATTATGGATACTCATCGTTCGCTTGAGATATCCGGTTATTATTGCACTTCTATTTATGTAGTTTTTCTTCCGTGCAGAAGGTTGTGTTCCTTGGACTTTATAAGAATCAATATTAGTTTGTATCGATTCCCTTTCTTGCCTGTACCTGGTGTAGTCTATAGTGGTTATTTATACATATGTACTAGATACTTCATTTGCGATTTACAGGTAACTATCGTGTAATCATACTTCGACTTTGATAATCAATCCATTTTATATTTCAGGGGGGTATCTACGTCTACTTTCATATTTAGTCAAAGCCCTCAAATTCATCATTATCACCATTCCCAGTACCAACGGCGCCTCCTTGTGCCGTAGTACCACCACTCTCAGCAGCCAACTTCTCCTTATTCCGTCTCCGCACCTCCTTAAGCAAACGCTCGAGATCCATCTCCTTTGTTTTTTCCTCCTCGGTAAGCGTCTGTCGCCGCTCCGCCTCGCGTTTGCGTCTTTTCTTATCGCGACGCTCAACCCGTTCATCTTCCTTCTCGTGTTTTCCGCTCCAGGCCTCGGTATTGCGCTTGCGCCGCTCTTTCTGCCCCTCAGCCGACTTCTTTAAGTTACCTTCGGCCGCTTCCTCAGCCATCTTTTGTAATATCTCTAGGCGCTGCTTCTCGCGATCCTTTTTAGCATATGCATAGGCGTTCCAGTCCATTTTTACCCCCAGAAATTTGTCTCCTTCGAATTTCCGTAGTTCTGGCATTTTTGGCAGTCGCAACAGCCCCCATGCGTGTCCTAGGTCTGTCCAGTCCAGGTCTGCGATGCGGAAGATAGAACTTGCAGTATGTTTGCTGTAACTACGAAGCCAGCTAACAAATGCCTTCTGCGCCTTATCATGCAGTGCGCGATCGCGTTTTACTGTTTCGCGAATCCGTGAGGTAGTCGTGTCGACATCAGCATCGTGTACTGAGATTAATGGATAGGCAAGTGGCATAATAGGCGTCTTCCGCACTTCCAAGAATGGTACGTAGTCCAACTCTGCCGGCTGTAGGAGGATGACACTGAGACCTCGGCGCCCCGCACGGCCAGCACGACCGCACCGATGTAGAAATGATTTCGGGTCCGAGGGCGGGTCGATCTGTACGACGAGGTCGACCTGCGGGAAGTCGAGGCCTCGAGCAGCTACATCAGTGGTGAGGAGGACCGAAGGCTGTGCGGCATTGAGAAACTTGGCGAAATTCTTCTCGCGCACCTTAGCTTCATATTTTCCGTGAAGAGAAACCAAATCGAAGCCGTCGGGAAGTAGAGTAGGGAGAAGGTGCGTAAAGTAATCGACGGCAGCGCATGTAGAAAGAAATACTATACTTTTCTGTGGTCGGGGGTCTAGTTTCTCTAGGAGCTGGACGAGACTTGGTAATTTATGGCTGGCGGGTGTAGTTAGGTAGCTCATCTGAAGACTCGCAGGTGTTCGTCGTTCTTCAATAATTCCACCCGTTTTTAAACTCTTCACTTTAACTGCAACCTTGACAGGATTTCGTAGACCAACTCTGATTATTTCACCTACAGCCTCACTAACACTAGCGCTGAAGAGACCTGTCCTCCTTTGTTTCGGTAGTCGCGAGAGGATCTTCTGTAAATCTGCCTTAAACCCCAGATCAAGAAGTCTGTCCGCCTCGTCTAGGATTAGAAGTTCGAAGGATGACTGCGGGCAGTGCACGTGAGGGGAAGAGAGAAGTTCTACTAGTCGACCGGGAGTTGATATTATGACGTTTGGTGACGCGCGAAGGAAAAAGCTAAGATCTTGAGCGGGAGTCGTAGTGCTGCCGCCGGAGAGGAGTTGAGGGATGATAACAGGCGAACTTGTATCTAAACGCTTTTCCTCGCCAGTGAGATGAGGTAGGAGTTCGGAAGATTGAGGATGGAAGGCGACGAGCGATGTTAGAGTACCATGAATCTGACCTGCAAGCTCTTTGGTGGGTGCAACAATAATAGCTGCTACATGATGTCGTTTCGTAGGTTCGTCCTGTCGCAAGATCCTATGAACAAGAGGGAGGAGGAATGAAAGAGTTTTTCCGCTACCGGTAACTGCCTATTAATTATAAGTAAACCTATATTGCTAGTAGTAGTAGTAGTAGTAGAAGAAGAAGAAGAAGTCTTTTATATTTACCTCTACAACTACATCTTTATTTCCTCCTCCAAAAAGAGGCCATACACTGGCCTGAACGGGAGTTGCCCGGGCAAAGCCCATGCTTGAAACGGCATCCAGTATCCATTCCGCCAAGGGAGGTGTCAAGGCATCCCAGGCTCGGGGGTCCTTTTTCGTCGTCTTTACTTCAAGCGCCATCATTCAATGGGTGAATGTGGGCACATGTAGTATATTTTTGACGAGAACTTTATTGATGTTAATTAAGAAATTTTTGAAGTTGAATTGAGAATTATATTATCTTATCCAAGATCTTAGTCTTATCTTATCTAGGTACCTAAGCACCAAACCCACCTATCAATCATTTACAATGTCTTATCGCTTAGATCGGACCGTTATATGCAAATGTTAGATATGACGTCGCGTTAGAAACAAAAATTGGATAAGAGCCGTCATTAATCGGCATATTGCTCGTTTCTTCCATTTCAATTTCCAATACTCCATTCTTCCTCTGATCTGTGTTTTCTCTTGCACCATATACATCGCGGACATCCACCGCTTAGATATGCCGCAATCACACAGCTCCTTGAGGTACGTAGATATTGTAGGATGATAGTTTATTTATTCAATCTAGTTATGAGCCAAACCTGTTGATCAAATGATGAGTTTATATTCTAAGCGGCAATTGGATGGTTAACTTAGTTTAGGTAGATAACTAACAGAACAACATATCAGGAGCTAAATCTCTGCTGCAGTACCTTGATTTAGTTGTAATTGACCATTAATACTTAACACTAATAGTAATGATGCCCTCAAGAAACGACATATGATCTCCCAGAAGCGTACGCAGCACTTTACGCCCTCGTTAATCATAACGTCGGTATCCTCGCCTCTATGCACGTATGGCTATTTTCTAATGTTAACGGGCCTTATATACACCTGCTAATATGAATGATATTGAGATAGCTGTGGGGGCATAATTGCCTACATATTATACAAGTAGTAAATATAATTACATCACTACCATCTGTGCAAAATAGGATATTAAGAAGTTCAAGTACGTATCCAGATAGGATCAGGGCCTGTTATTATTTTCAAGCTTTTCTTGGGTGACTAAGATGATTTTCCGTACTTTCCGTCTAGGGACCGGACTAAAGCGACGGAAGACGTCGGGTACGGAGCCGTACTTGCTTATAAATACCTGTTATATACCCCGTTATACTTCCCATAGTAGCTGCTGACCTAAGAGCCGCTTCAATAGATAGAAGTTATGATGGGGAAAGTGGTGGGACTTCTAAAGGAACAGAAACACATTTCTAGAATGCTTCATATGCCATAGATATATTATAAGCTACAGAATGGTTTTTAGGATATCTTTTAATGTAATGTAGTGTACCTGTATTATAGATACCCTTATCAAAACTTGGAAATTCTACCTGGTAGGCTATCAGGACGTACAGTGTTCTGGCCAACTTTCGACTGTACGTTCGGTCCTTTGACTGCTCTGTTTATGTTGATTTTAAGCATTTGTAAGCAGCACCCCAAGCATCAAACCATATGGCCGGCCAAAATACCAGAAAAGGCTTAGGGATTAGAAACAGGCCAGCTTGGAAATCGATGTAGAGGACAAGAACTTCATGGCATGTGGGATGGTAAAGTACCAGAAGTGTCGTAAATATACAAGAGCGTACGCCGTACATACTGTACCTAACAATACGCAGACTCTCTATCGACCGTCGAGCAGTCTTCACAATAACACAACCATCTATTCACTTACATGGGAGGTGAGTCAAGATATTATAGCTATTTCCGCATAATTACCATATGATGATACCACCGAATCTCCTGAGGCAGCTAAGTGACATTCAGGTAGTGATAATACAGCACCTATTATATGATGGTCCAGCAACGAGTTTAAACTCAGGGCTCAGGGGCGTAACGAAACAGGTGATATATCTTGCGACGGAAGAAAATTCACATCGAATACTTGAGACAATGTTATAATTCAGCTTGCCCCCAGTTTCTTTAGTAGACTCCGTTATGTATGCGTACGAGCTATTCATATTTTCTCGTGGAATGTAAGGAAGAGACCGGAAGTTCGACGATTTATATTAAGTCATGTCCGTATTTTCTACGGATATGTTTTCTCTAGGTGCCGGTTTAGGGTTCCCGATCAGCTTCGTCCTGCAAGTAATCGTTAAATGATTGCGTGCGAACGTTAAATATTCTAACGAAATCGTGGTTTGATTAGAAGTACGTTGTTTCAAAGTGCTGCAAACGTAGAGCGGGAAAAGTATTCAAATTCAAATAGGATGAATGCCTGATGATTTTCTCATTTCCCCGATCGCATGATCAAAGCGATGAATAATAGCTAGACTGACTACCACAGAGATAGAGCTTCGTTAATCATATGTTTATCGCACGCAAAGAGTATCCTCTATTATTTAGTATTGCAAATAGATATACGATCAAAAATAATCGAAATCAAGAAGATAGAAATTAGCCAGCAATTATATGTGCGAATGGATAGGGTATGTCGTCAGGCCCTTCTCTGATCCAGTACCCAGATTCGACTTCCTCTTTGTTTTCGGACTCTCGCAAAGGTGCGAGTGGCCGCCAGACACGATCAGACATATGCCCAGGCCCAGATACAAACTTATATCCTTGCCTAATACCGTACTCTCTCTGAGGCCAGAATATGCTAGCGGGTACCGCAATGCTGCATTCCTGCAACTGCGGACCAAGATTCCTTACCATTTCATCCATAACTTCTAGAACACTGGTCTCCAACTCCCCTATACAATTATCAGGACTAATTGCTGGTAGCTTCCAAGAACCACCGAGACAAATATAGAGCTTTTTCAACCCAGAAAAAGAATTTGGAACCGCACGTACTAAAGCGGTAAAATGATCCCAACCCGACGCCTTGTCTGTGTGTAAGTTGAGTTGCCACATCATCTCTACTGAATCAATCATGGCCCGGTGTTCAGCTCTAATTAAACCAGGGAAGGCATGAATCATATTGCCATTAGAGATATGAAAATTGTTGGTAGAGTAGAGGATTTCAATACCCTCTGTATATCTAAACCCGAAAGAAAATGTAAGCTACCTTGCTAGGTTTGATACAAAATCTGATTATGAGTGCTGAATAGCGTGCGAAGAGGAAAGACTTACGCCTGCCTACAAGTCAGAAGCCATCCCATAACGCCTATAAAGCATTTATACGGGGATTCTCCGCGCCATCCACGACAGGATGCGGCGGTACCGCCAAGGCAGATATCAGTATGTGGCTCTGAGCTACTGCCCATCCCACGTACGCGAAATTCAGTATCGCGGTGGCATACGCAGCTGAACCACCTCCAGGCCTTAGGACGTGTGGTATCTCGCTTAGGGCGGCGGGCCTGTCCGGGATCGATACCACAGTGATTACGTTGCCTTTGCGCTTCCTCGTCGGATAAATATATCATAGGATGGTCGAAACAAAGATCCAGATGCACAGTACGATTCCCAAAAGCCTCGATGAGAATCATCCGGCGCACCTCAGCTGGTATGCGCTGAAAAAAAGAGCTGATAGCTGTAGATGCCATGATACATTCGTAAGAAGGAGACGGCGTCAGCATAAAGGCCCGCTTGCTTGGGAGAACTGGTATTATAGTCGGGTCTTCTAATGGATTTTGCTTTTTCCTGTAATGTGGAGTTCCTTTACTCCGTCGGAACCACCCATTTGGTTTGTTGACCACCATTATTGTTCTTTATGCAAGTCGCTTTGTGTTACCTTGAGAATCAAAATCCGAAAAAACTTGAAATGGCGCGACAATATGTCATTTTCCTTTTATTGCATAGCAACGTTAAACTAACCCCATTGCTTTATATTAATATATACCGTAGTAGCGTTAAGATATTAGTTATAGGTTGTTGTTATGTCAATCGGAATCTCCCCTTAAATCATTGCCGCTTACAAAATAATACGTAGATAAGGTACGACTGTGGCACGTAATTTGAAGGATTAAGTATTACATATCACTTAAGGTCTTCGAACATCAATGTACCTATTATATAATCCAAGTTAAATGGACGAATCTTTTCTCATTACACAGGTCATCACATAACACCTAGTTAAAGGTTGGCAAGTATAAGTATGAAGCACTTACTAATGAGTTAAATGTTCATTTCATATATAATTTAAAATCCCTAAAGCAGTTACGCAAATTAGCATTTCAACTTTTATGACCAGTCTTTAAAACTAAGCTCGTAGAGAATAATATAATCCTATAAATACTTACGTTACACAAAGAAGCGAGTATAGAGTTGAATAGAAAAAAAAGAATAACCTTAGCAAATATTTACGTTTATTTTTCATCCACACCACTTTCAAGAAGGTTCAGTGCTGGTATTGCAAGATTTTCACGAGTATTACAACCGGAGCTTCTCCCATTATTAGCACCAAAGCTTTAGAAAGGTCTATAACAAACAGCAGTCCCAGCTACTTGAAAGAATTTTCTGTTCGATATTTACCTCAACTGAATAATGTTACATGAAATCTCAAAAGCTTTGGCCAATTAAAGTCAATTATCCTCAATTTTGGATGGATACAAACTACTATGAAGCTATTATACCCTTGCAAAACCCCTTTTTAATGAAATTCCTAGCGTTAAGTCCTTAAATATCAGCTTAACGCTTTAATGATTTACCAAGGCTACCAAGCCGCACTGATGGATCCGGTAACCCGAAACCCCTATTGAGAGCTTCTTGAGTCCTCATCAACGCTTATTGTCACATGTTGATCACACAGGAGCGATTCAGGGGTTCGAGAGGCTTCAGGGGCGCTGACAGTCAATCTAGACCTTGTGTTGGTGGGCGACCAATTCAAGCAACCTATAAAGTCACCAGTAGTAACATCGGTCCAGTTCTTGACTTTATCTGGATTAATGCAACCTTTTTTTTTTTCTTTTTTCCCCTTGCTCTTCTTGGTAGTAACGCTGATGACAGATAGAAGTCGTGTCTGAGGATTATTGTTTACCCGAAAAAATTGTTGAAGCTTTCATTTAGAATTATGGGGTAGTGAATGTTCCAATCATCTCTATAGATATTATTATAACCATTGAATACTTGTTGGGGATTGCGTACTCAGAATTGTTTGAGCTCCAAGTCCAGTTTGAACAACTTTTTGGCATTTCCAAATGCAAACATATCCAATTCCTCCTTCGAGAGCGAACTCTCTTCTGCCAGCTTCTGAAGATACTTCCACCCTTCAATACTCTTGCTGAATGGTGTGTCGATACTATATAAGATTCGGTCTTTCTTTGTTATCTTCAGGACCATTTCAAGAGTTCTGACGCTGAATATACCACTCGAAGTCACCCATATATTCCTGTCCCAGACGTCACGGAATGGTTCCAACCCACTCTTTTCGTAGAACCGAATCGAATCCACCCTGTCGATCATTATGGGGAGTAACTCGCCCATATGCCCGATGATAATCTTCAACCGGGGGAAGCGGGCGAATAGACCCGCAGAGTAGAGTTTGAGAACGTGGATCCCGACGTCTTGGTGCCAACCCCATCCGCCCGTTGCCAATCCTTGTGCAATAACAGGGGAGTAGTTGCCGTTATACAGCCCTTTCTGCACAAATTCTGGGGGTATTGCTGGGTGAATATAGATGGGCACATTGAGCCGTTCAGCTGTCTCAAAAACAGGCCAGAATCTCTCGTGGTCATAGTGAGTCATGTCCCCTAGGTGGCTATCAATCATAGCACCGAAAAATCCTAACTCATTCACTGTTCGTTCCAGCTCTGCAGCTGCAGCTCGAGGGTGCGCCATAGGAAGGGCAGCGAAGCCACCCAAGCGACTGGGGTTCTTCTTGATAGCCTCGGCCATCTCGTCATTTGCCTTCCGAGTGCCCTCTGGGTTGTAGTTGCTCAAACCGGTAACGTGAGAAAGTATTTGGTATGATATATGGCCCTCGTCCATATCTGCTAAGCGACCAGTAGAATGGTCTTCAAGGGCCTCTTTTGTCTGTGGGAATACCTTCCATATGTCGTCATAGAATACACTTTCAGTTCCAAGAGATGGAAAAGCAGTGTGCTCTTCGAGCGTGATTGCGAACGACGGAGAAGACATTATCTGAGTTTTGCGACTACTCTAGGGAAGACCTGGAAAGTTGTAGTTGTGATAATAATAGATAGATGTGAGGAGCTACGAACCTATATACTCACACCTTCATGTCACGCGCAGTATTTATAACCTTCCAAGGTAGGACTCGCGTTTTTAGTCGTCATTTCATATCCACGTTTAGGTAAACCTGTCTATTTGGAGATTATGCAATGACGGGACGGAGATATGACAAGGTCGGAAACACGAGGGGCCGACTTACCCAGTTTGCGCTTCCTTTTTCCACATGATCATCACGGTTTGTATGCCCATTAACGAACACACCACACCTGAGACCAGCCGATTCCCTCCCCTATTGGCGAGATACAGTCTGGGTCCAACATCGTTGTAACTTGAAGCTGTGGAAATCCTTATCCCCGAATCCCTTACCCTTACCCCAAACCCGATCCAACATACTTATATCAAGGTAAAGCGACCATGATTCCTAATCACGGACGGAAATCCGTGTTTCAAATACCGCTAATTATAAGCTAAATACCGAGACGGTGGGTTTATTCAACCGAGATTTCTAATATAATATCCAAACTCTAAGCAGTTATGATTGGCCTATAACTGTGTTGAAGTATATACCTCTATTAGTTGGGTAGAATAGAAGACCCCTAATAAACTGAGTTTGACTATGTAAATAGTGTTAGGATCCTAGATAATACATCTATAATAAATGATACTTTCGGTATGTACAAGCGTAGGGTTCTATAGCTAGCTTAGAGTTCCTCCCGGAATGAAGTTGTTTCCATACTTCTTAGTCCACCTAGTGACACATTCTCAATAATATCACTTGGTCAAGCTAAAAATACAGTTAAATGCAAGATCCTAACATGATATTAGCATGGTCGAGGCCTCATTACGAGTGCTAGAGTTTCAGTCCAGATGATAATTGCTAAATCTTCAGACTAGAATATCCGAGATATGGAGCCTAAAGCAGTATCAGTTAGGGAGTTGGGTATCAAATAGGATGATGATTTTCGTCTGATAATTGACTTACCTTTCTACAATGTCACTCAAACGGCGCAGATGTATCAGTAAGGTTATGAAGAAATTAGCACCTTTGATTTATAGACGGAGAATATGGTGGGTACCTCCTTAACTGAAATCAAAATTTGCCCCTTTTCTAAATTCTTCTTGTTTAAAAGGTTCTCACTTTAACTTGAATTGTCAAAATAATATTGGTTGATAGTAACCACTTCGCCTATAAATATCAATATATATCTACCTACCTATAATTAAAGGATTTAAAAACATGGAACTAGAGTTGGAAAACGAAGTTGAGTTGGGAAGAAATTCAATACGTTCGGTGGCCTGCATGACTTTCGTACTCTTACAGCACTGATGATGTATGCAAATGTCGGCAGCCTTGTATACAGTTAGACTAGCAATGCAAAGTGGTAACACTTGACGCGCGTATCGACCTAGACAGTTTGATCTAGCATAAGACATTTCTCCAGATTATCTTAGGAGATCTTAAATCTACGGGTATGTGAAGTAATTGGTTAGCTAGAGTTTAACCCAAGGCCTTGGTACTTGCTTGTAGATACCGATGAGGCTGAGACGAGTGTGAGAGTTATGACAGAACTGATATCTCCCATCATACTAATTATATTTATAGATTTTTTGAGGTATGAACTTATTTGTGTATCTATATCGGCAAGAGATGCATGATTAGAGAAAATGACATTATTAATAAAAATGATAATAAGGGCTTGGTTTGCAAATTAATACTTAAAATTATAGAGGCTATATACCTCATAAGTCTGGAGAGTCGAAGAGTTGGAAAAGGAGACTAGATGTACCTAAGTACTTCCTAACCTAACATTGAAGCTAGGTATCGGCCGAGAAAGTACCTAAACCATGTGAGATAAAGGAAAGGAAAGCACGAGCCACGTGGGGGTTTTTAAAAGACAACTGAGGGACAAAACGCCAAGATTTTTTGTATGACGGCTTTTCGTTTTCTTCGGCCGTGAAAAATTGAAACCCGGTCAATTTTTAAAATACATCACGCGAGCCTATCATTTATACCTGCATTTCTAACTTGGGTACTTATATTCATACATTTGTACATTCAAACATCTAACTATCAGTTTTAAACTGTTACGGTCATCGGTCATCGGTCATCGATCATCGGTCATCGTTGTTCCATGTGTGCGACGTCTACCCAAGTTCGGTTTACAAGGCTAGAGCCACTACTCGAATCGAAGCAACGAGAAAATTCACAATGCGGCGGAGCACAGCTCTGTTGCATCAAGACATTTCAATCTGGATTCGGTAGCCCTTCTTACTTCCTTTATCACCACCACCCCATATTCTATTACCCGTGAATCTAGAAGGGATAAACAACTACATTCCTTCTTTTGGCCTTTACGATTCTACGACTTGCGACAGATATTTACTGGTGTCATCTCCTCCCCACCTCTTCCTAATTTTCCATATAATATGTCTTTTCGCGGTAAACCTATCATCCCTGCAACACCTCGTGTTATATCACCAAGTCCTACACCATCCGAAATTCAAGATACTTCTCAAGATTCCTACCTCGGTCCAGTTACGCGCTCGGCTGCTAGGCGCCGACAGGCAGGTAGTGCTGCGCTACAACAGCAACCCCTCCACGAAGATGTCGACGAAGATTCAGATCCGGAGCTCCGGAGGGCCCGGACAAGATCTCGAAGCCCCATAAAATCTCGCAAAGTGGGTAGTCTCACATCTACGAAGACTCCTCGCGCTACCAGGTCGAAACAGAAACAGAAACAGAAGGAAGAAGATGATAAAAAAGAGGTAGAGGTAGAGGTAGACGTACAGGTAGAGGACGTCAAATTTAAACAAGAGCTTAAGAGAGAAGTCAAGGAGGAAACTTCTAATGGTCACCTAGCACTACCAACACCCACCATATCCGGATGGGATTGGCGAGACTTTAGTCGAAGTCCAAGTCCTCTAGGCCTTATTCCGATACATCGGCAGTTCAAGATATTTATTCATAAGCATGAGGTACCAAGAAAGGCGTTGCACGTATCTATCGGGTTTCTCGTCTACTGGCTCTACGTCAGTGGCACGCAGACCTCAGCAGTCACACCCTTCTTGATGGGAGCTCTGGTCCCTATTGCGGCTACGGATTATCTACGTCATAAAAATGCTTCTTTGAACCGTTTCTACGTTAGGTGCCTTGGCGCCTTGATGCGCGAAACTGAATATTCTGGCTGGAACGGCGTCGTCTTTTATTTGCTCGGTGCATGGACTGTTCTTCACTTCTTTCCTAAAGATGTCGCCGTGGTAGCTGTTATGCTCTTAAGTTGGTGCGATGCTGCTGCCAGTACTTTTGGCCGGCTTTACGGAAGATACACCCCGAGAATCCGACGTGGCAAGTCCTTGGCCGGGTCTTCAGCTGCATTCTTGGTTGGAGTGGCTACGGCTGGCTGGTTCTGGGGTTGGCTTGCGCCGAGAACAGGCCCCTTTCCCGGCGACGAACATAATCCTTTTATGTTCAAGGGCATATTACAACTCCCTACATTTATCTCGAACGCGCTCAGTCTTCCCAACTCCCAGAGCGTTGTTGGTGGTCCAGTTGCTGTTGTGTTGTTGAGCTTGTGGTCGGGTCTGACTGCAGCAGGTAGTGAAGTGGTAGACCTTTTTGGTTTGGACGATAATCTTACAATTCCCGTGCTCAGCGGCATCGGGATCTGGGGTTTCCTCAAGGTTTTTGGGTAAACGAAAAGTCGATAAGACAGTGAAGCTCTTTCACAAGACCTAGGGCGCGTAATGGATTCGGCGTTAGAGAAAGGGGAGGGAAATCGGCGGTTACAGGTTTGTGGTTAGCTTGGGTAGATGATTTACGACTAGATATTACGGGGAGTAGGTATGGGAAGACTTACTCACTTCTTCACTTCACATTGCTTTAACACTTCTCTGACTCGCCTATATAATATTTTCGTACGGGAACACTGAAACCTGGAAAAACGCACGATGCCTGATATATATAGTTGTAAAGTTTTCCAGATGCGAGTTTCCAATTATAACAAAACAAGGACAAGAGAGTTTAACATCGGCGCAAGTGGTAGCTATTACGGCTGAAGGCACAAACGTATCCTGCAAGTTTGCCGCGGGCGTTGGCTAGATCTGTAGTGGCCGGGTTACGGGATGTTGTGCATGTCTTGGGTTTGGTATAAAAAATGACAATGGAGAAGAGTGACGCAGGCTCTATTTACCTCCGACTTACACCGCATGAACCTCCGACGAACTGATGCTCAAGGTGTCAAAAGGTTATGATTAATTTTCATGGTCTTAATAATCTATCATATATGAGATACATGGATTAGGGCTCTTTGTATTGTATGAGTTTGACTGGCTCATTTCAACAAAAGGGGGGGGCATCAAGTACGAATGAAACTCATAGTAATGAATCCGCCACTTTAAGACGCAATCGTCCTCCAAAGTTACCGTCAAGGCATACTCGGTTCTATATTTTACCCTATGAGAGGATGCCCCATCATCATTGGCGTGCAAGTCTTGCTTGACTGAATGCTAGTCTAGTTAGGGTACATTCGCGGGTCAAACAATCAATAGTTATATCCACACAATCTGTGCCGCCCCTCCACATGTGTCTTCCTTCTGTCTTGTTCCACAAACATCACTGCTCATGGATTTCGATGATACCTTCTCATATGTACTCCGATCGGTCCGTTGGTAACTCGGATTCATGTAGGCCTTGGGTCCGCGATGAGTTGTCTCATGGGTGAGGTAGTATCTTATCCCCGACCCTGCATCTTTAGAACTTGTGATACGCCATTGCGCCTCACATCTCGTGCAACCAGTTACTTTTCATTCTATGATCATTATGCTGAAGAGAATGGCATCATTTCTTCAAATAGCTAGTCCTACTTCGAATATGTAGAAGCTAACAAAATTCAACTAAAAGTCATTTTCACCGTTCAACTAGGACCTATCTACCGGACTCAACGGAGCTATAAGATAGCTAACTAGTGGAACTAGTTTAATATTGGATGGACCCAACGTCTTGGGATGCTCCCTGCAACTAGTCTGATGTTGATAATCCCGAAGGCATTCGCATGCCGTGAAAGTCACGCCTCCCCACACCCTCCCAAGTCGGTACTCCTGTCATGCATGGGTTATAGACTAGATTGTCTAGATTTCAACCTATTATATGATTAGCCTCTTCGCCAAAGACGCTCTATCATGAATCTAGAAAGATTGGCCCTTGTCTCGTCCTGTTTTTCTTGTTATTATAATCGAGGCCGATTATCGTCTTATAAGGTAGCCTATGCCTGAGAGACCTATGAGCGCTAAAACGCACGTGTAATACACGTCGTGTATTGATATCTAGGTATGTATAGGTAATTGTATTGGATCCGACTTGTGATCTTAAACGTGTATTTATGCTTTCTTCGAATTCATCTTGCTGGTAAAAGTACCTAACCTTCCCAGTCACTATATTAGGTATGTATGTAGCATACAGCTTGTTAACGCCGATTTTGTATAAATCCTCCCTTCCTTGCTGCGTACACCTTTGACGCTTACTCGTTTCAAAAAAACCCGACGAAGAATTAAACCTTTAGATAACTCCAATTTGTTTCGTAAGACAATATCGATCAACGGAATCTAACCCGAAGAGGCGAATTGCTGTTTTCTTTTGCATCAGGATACCAGTGCCAACGCATCATGCCTCATTGTGCATGTATGTACACTCCGCCCCAGATCCTAAGCTACAACCAACCACTTACACCGAAGCAGGTACCTTATACTTTCCGCCGTACTATATATGTACCTAATGTAGGTATGTTCTAGAAGAAGAAAAAACCTGGGGCAAGATGAGAATAAGTGATAGTTATCCTGTATGCGTTTATATTTAATCAGCTATTGTCTCAATTCAAACATCCGACTTCCGAGACCACGAGTTTCTTTAACACACCATCTATGAATAAATACATGATGTTGCGGACACGTTATGTACGCCAAGACTTCTTCCTCAAAGCCAAGGGTGGTGGGGCAGAACGTTTTTCTTTATTTTCTTCTCACCCCAATGGCTTATAATGGCTGTAATGGAGGGGCAAGTCCAGGGCCAGCGCAGGGCCAGCGGAGTCTTCCCCCTTTCACTACCAAGGAAAACGTAATTCCTATCCATGGACCCGTTACTATTCCCCTTACCCTTCTAGGTCTTCTAGGTCTTTCCCATTACAGAATATATCCTGAATTTCCAACCAATGAGAAAATTCAAATTTGCATTTTTCATAGATTCTTTTCTCAAAAAGATGAACGAGCCATACAAAACCACGCAGAACGTTCCCAATACAAAATGACAGGGTTGCTTCAGAACGTATTTCTTGCATGCTCGCCCCTGGTTCTGGGGAACAGGTATATACCTATAAAGACAAGCGTGTCCATATTATGAATGTATAAACGAATCAGTAAAAAAAGGAGCGAAGGGGGCTAGAAAGTATAAATAAATAAAATAAATAAAATAGAAAATAAAAAATAAATAGATAAGTTTCCCCAAAATGACGCTCTCAATTCATTCGGCTGGCTCCAGGCTTGACAACACATCATCACACAAAATGCCCGATCTTGCTGCACTTCTGCCTGACTGACCAGTAGCGAGCAACGTTGACATTATTCCAACGTCTGCTTTTCTTACGGTACCACTTCTTCCCTCCTTTACTATGTTCTTGTCCTGATACTTAAGTTTTTTTTTTTTTTTTTTCCTTTCCTTAATTCCCACCCCAGGTTAAAAAAAATAGTAATACACTTTGACCAACGACCCGTCAGCCTAAAGCTGCAACATCTCCCAAAGTGCAGATGCAATCCGCTTCCTACTACAACCACCCCTTCTTAGGTAGATACCTAACCTAACCAGTCTCTTCCCAGCCAGTCTACTTTACCCCTTCGAACCACTGATGGACTCGTTAATAAAATCCGTCGCTGCTTTTGTGGACAAGTACTACGTGTTGGCGTTAGCGCGCTTGTTCGCGAGGGCCGTCCGTCTCTCCTAATAGAGCTTAGGGAGGACAGGGCACCACCCGGCTGGGCGGTCTGCGTATCTACATCTAACTATATAGACCAAGAGCATCGTCAGGAAAAAAAAAAATTTATTCCATTGCTCTAACGGCTACCCGTCTATCTATAATGCTACTACTTAAAGGATATGACGGCAGACACTTTAGCTTGTATGTGCTACGTCTAATCTTGAAGGGTAACGTATACGTTTGCCCCCCCCTCTGAGGTCTCTAAGCCTTGGTATATAGAGTCCTTATATCCCGATTCTCTTCTATACCGCGCATTCAATAGTCTATATCCCGGAAGGATCGTTTTCGTTATACTTACTAGTCCGTTAGCTTGCTTGAGGCAAAAAAAAAAGAAAACACTACTTCGATGACTACATACACATAGTACATAAGCATGTTACTTACATGTAGGTATGTAGAGAGACCATCTTCGGGACCGGGTCCCTTGTCGTTCCCGTTAGACCAAGAAGTTGCCTTGCCAGATATATCTCGTTTTCTTATGTCTGTCTACCATGATGATACCCTTATTCATCCTTTCGTCTTCCGTCTCCATCCTGTCTCCCATCCGTAGGAAGCCGGTTGGTCCCGCTTGTCATTCTGCAACCGCTTCCCCGATCTTCCCCCTTCCTGTCTGCCTCCACATTGCTGTACCCACGCCTGCATACGTACGTTTTTCTCAGCTTACATATATTGGACGACGACTATCATACATATCATACATATCAGACATAGGCGCCGAAGCTCTGTACTTCCCGAGCTACTAGCTAGTCAGCCTACCTCCCCCCCCTGCCTGCAGCAAGTGGCGTGTCTTCCAGATACTCCTGCATCTAATATCTCCACTCCCCTCCAGCAAGCTACCTGTTCAAGCTTTGCTGTCCCATCCGAGGAAGACCTTCCCTGTCGTATTCTGTGCCCCCACAGCATCTCGTTCCTGACTGGAAGTGATAATCGCCCCTTCTCGGCACATGCCAGAAGGGAAATAGTGAAAGCTCTAAATATCATTCCTTTTCGAACGAGTTTTATACTATAAGCGGTGACCGAGAGCATAGTTGTGCCGAATTGATATCAAATTCCTATGTACCTAAGTTATATATTATTGCCCCCGTCTAAGCTATTTGAAATATGCACACACCCCGTGGATACCTACCCACATACAACATGAACATGGCCAGATTACCTATCTCGTCATGCATGTTTACCCTTTTTTGTATCTTCTTACTATTTTATCGTCTTACCTATCTCACCTAGTTAGTTCCCTATAAGCCTTCTTCAACCCATCCTCCCTGAGTGGCCTACTCACCTAGGATGGTGTTAAGGTAATCCGCCACGTCGGTAAGCGAAGGCATATAGACAAGCCGAGGAAAGTATATACGTATATATCTCATTACCGGTAAGGACCAGGGCTCGGCGGAAGGGGGGTACGAATACTAGACTCCAATATTATAGTTCGTTTATTCCAATGGCTCGTAGTACCTTACGTACACTATTAGTCTTGTGTGTACTTGTCTGATCTCTCTATCCGTCTACCGTTTGGGGAGCTAAAGCCCTTGCCTCCCCGTTCCTTGTCCTCCCTTGGTCCAACGATATATCCTATATTGAGCGGGGTCACGGAGAACTATTCTCGATCGACGAATAGAGTCATCATGACTTATCCCCTAAAGACGGGATTAGAAATGGCCCGTTCTCGTTATGCCATCGAGATAGGTAAGTCCTTCGAAAGGTGAGAAGAAAAAAAGTATAAAAGGGGGTGTTGTTGACGGGTTGAGCTTGTCTTCTTCTTCTTCCTTCTTCCTTTCTTTCAAACCACTTCAAACTCCAAAGTTCTATCTATCTTGATTGCCTGCCTATTCAGAAGCTTCCTTCTGACATTGTCCTTGTTTGTCAAGACCTTACTTTGTTCTTGACTCACCACATACACACACATACACACACACACACACACCTCATACAAACAAAGGACTCCCAGGAGTCTCGCACAGAGTCACATACTCACACCCTGTCTTGCAAATACATTGCAATCAATTCGTCCCCGTATTTCTTCTAAGTGGTTTCATTGCTATAAACAATTGGCACTTAGCTACCATGGCATCCTACAGCACACAATACTACACTGCCGCGGCAGTACCCATTCCCAGCAAAGCGGATCAGTACCAACAGTACTACCAGAGCGGTGGCAGCAACTACTCTGTGTCTCCGTCTGAAGATGACCAGCGCGAGCGTGACGCCTCCGTCACCTCTGGTGTACCTTCTTACGGAAACAGCAGCAACGCCGCGAGTTATGCTACTAGCTACACTAGTGGCGACTATGGCGATGGAACACAGAGCGGTGGCTCTGTTAACGGCGTTGATTTCAACGAGTACATGCAAAATCGCTTCGACGAGTCCTTCGATCCCATCCCGCTAGATCGCAGCTTAGCTCGCCAGGCCCAGACGTAAGTTCTAGGTTCTAACTTATTCTGCTATTTGGATTTCTGTAGCTTCGTTTTAGAGCACAGAACGCGCAAGAGAAAAAAAAAAGCACGCAGAGGAAAATTAGCTAACGGTGACACACCAACATAGTTCCGGTCAACTCAATAACAAGCACCGCGAACTTTTAGAAATGCAAGCAAAAGCGCAAGCTCGTCTAGCTAGGTCGCGCGCTCGCTTCCAGCAAGGTCTAAATGACGCGCGAGAAGTCCATGCTGATCTAGAATGGACATCTAAGAAAGTATCGTGAGTAGAAATATATTGAATCCGCCACTTTCTAGAATCGAGACGAGAATATTCTGGCTAACAAAACGGTGCTACGCAGGTCGTTAAAAAAGAAGGCAGAGAAGCACCATCCCAAGGAATACCAGAAGGCGCTCGAAATATATCCCTCGCCCAACTAGATATTAAAAAGCGGTCTTTTTTTCTTTTGGTATTCCTACGTAATCCGCATAGGGAGGTGTTTTTATACCTATCCCATAGTTTTCTGAACATGTCGTTTATTTTAGCTTTTTAGCGGCTGATTTATGAAATGGGGGTGGGCGGGCTGCTGCTACCACGCGAGATCTGGAGGTTGGGAATGCAAGATCTATCGGGACCGATCCTATCTGCGGTCTTCTTATGCACACTCCCCCCCTAAAAAGATGGCGGAGACGGAAGCTGGTTTGACGCTTGGGCGAGTAGGGCGACAAAAATAGACGCCTGTCCATCTCTGCTCCTCATGCTCCGCACGCGCTGACGCACAGCGAGCGGGCCGGCCGGCTTTAGCTGGGCAGGGCTGTTTCACCAGGTTATGAGTTATGATTGGACAACACCGGACGATCTTAGGGGCGTTATGGGCTAAAAAGTACATCAACTTTGTCTCTAGCAAGGGTATGGGCTCGTGTGAGCTACGGGATGGTGCGCATCTAACCGGCCAAGTAGCGCCCGAGGTTCGCACAGCTGTAAACTAAGTTTATCTCGAGCTAGGGGTTTAGGGCGAGTGGGTGACGGTACATCGAATTTCCTAGAGACACACTCGGGGGCGTAGGAAAAGAATGTATTCCTAGATAGATCACATAGTCTCCCCAACCCCTAGCATAGGGACGACACTTGTCCGCTTCGGGACATGGATATTGCCCTTTTTGTAATAAGTCGGTAAGGTCACGGGGGGTGACTGACCTATTTCGGCCAGGGGTTTCCTTAAGGCGTCGTATTGGGTTGGTATCGTACTTCTCTTAGACATAGTAATACAGCAATCCACCGTTCGGTGACCTAACTCAGTGCCGTGTATGTACGTCTTAGACACAGTGAGCCTTATATCACCCGTCCCCTCTTAAGCTAACGAAGGCTGAGGGGCCACGGTAGTTCTTCGACCTGTCGTGTAAGATGCCGGGCTGAATCCACCACGAAGAATAACTTGTCGGATGTCGATTACTGTCACGTGATATGGTGACGCCGAAGGGTAGCGATATGTTCATAACGTATTCCACCTGTCGGACATTAATATTTTCTAGAGTAGAGGTTATGACTATTTCCTCCTAACTTGCCTTCAGTTTAAATAAACGTGGCTACTTGGTCGAATTGCTTAGACCGGAGCTCGACGAAGTTTTCACTTTACCAATGGTGACGATGCCAACTCATCGTTTAGCTGCCTCCCAGGACATCCAACTTCCCCTCGGTCCCATGCCCTTGGTATACTCCAGCCGTTCCCAAGGATTGGTGTTCGAACTCGGATCATAGTAATCATCCCACCATTTCTTCCCTAGCTCGTGCCCCCGACTCTGCTTGGCTTGATAACTGCCACGACCATCACTATCTCGACTGGTAAAATCTCCGCTGGTACTCGCTGTTAATGACTCGGCCCCTACAATATATCCCGGATACCCCTCGATTGTAGCGTCAATTTTGGTGTTAGACATAGCATCACCGGTTGGATCAACCACGGCTATATCAGGCGGGCGTGAAGTGTCCAAATACTGAGGCCCCGGCTCATCATCACCCTGGTCATTAAGAGGGGAATATATTTTGCCGTCCGTAATGTTGACCCCTTCGTCATCTTCAAGCGTGATTTGGTTTTCATTCTTCGATCTAACTCCTAAGGGGATCGCATTGGAACCCGACTTCGCTTCACTGATGTGAAGAGGCATAGAAGTAGACGTCGACGCAACCACAGCGTCTGCACGAGGATTGAACTTGCGTCGCTTGTTCGAGTTTGGTTGAGCCCCGAAGCTTGAAAAGCCCATGGCCTGTGCCATAGCTGCGGTAGTGTCCTCGGTTTCTTCCATGATAGACTAACTAATGAATCACGCTTATTGTACGGAGGCTTGGCACGGCTTAGATGCGGCTAGAATGAGGATGACAGAAGTGATGTAATTGGTGAAATTTATCAAATGAGAGAAACAAACGGTATGATTGACAAAATTATATGAGTCCAGTAATTCTAGGATTTTCTCTCATAAAACCTGTAGATAGAATAGGCTACCTAAGGTAGATTAGATGATGTGAAGTTGTGAATTGAAGCTGGTAAATTTAGTTCGGAGACAAAATGGATAATAAACCGAGCCTTGGCAGCCACTTACTTGTCCAGCCTTACTATGTATGTATTTAAGCCGGAAGGACCATTATGAATGTGACGTTGGACATTGCTGACTTAGCATGACAGCATTTTTATCGACAACACTTATGGACAACATTTATCAATTGCATTTGTTACGGTGGACTATTAGTCCAATTGTGCCAAAATCGAAAAGTCAGTCGCATTATATCAAATAAAGTAATAGTAATATTAAGATTACAATATAAATTTAGTTATTTTTACTATATATATAATTTATAAAGTAATGTATATTTTTTATATAAAAATGATTTTATTAATATACGTTTAAATTATTTAAAATTAATATTAATATTTTTATTAAAAAAAATAAAAATTTTAATAAAAGTTTTATATAATTTAATTTTAAATTTGTAAAAATATTAAAAAATATAAACATTATAAAATATATTATAATAAATTAAAAATAATAATTAATTAAATTAAACTTTTATTTTAACTTTAAATATATATAAATATATAAATATATAAAATATAACTTATATATTATAATAATTTTATAAATATAACGTTTTAAATATTATAATTAATATTATTTTATAATTTTAATTAATGTAAAAATAATGGTTTAAATTACATTTTTATATATTTTTTTATTAAAATATTATATAAAAAAATTAACACGTAATACTTTTTAAAACCACCATTTTAAAAATGTTATAAATAAATATTTTAATAACAAATAAATTATTTAATATATATTATATAAATATATAACTTAAATTATTATTTTTACATTAATTAAAATTATAAAATAATATTAATTATAATATTTAAAATATTATATTTATAAAATTATTTAAATATATATTATATTATATATATATATAATAAAAATAATAATAAATAATATAAAAAGTCTTATATTTCAAGTATTTCGGGATATTATGCACTTAACATTGCTTATTAAATTACCTTTTTTAAACTTATTTTAATGTGTTAAAATTAAAGATTTAAAAAGCGACGGTTTCGCCCGCTTTTGCCTTTTACTATAAAACCCATAATCCGTATGTTTATATTTATAAGTCGTAGGAAAAACGTTCCTTAAATTTTAATTTTAACTAATTTTATACAATATAAAACAAACCGGCATTTATATAAACTTTTAATAAAACAATAACATAATAAATAACAATAACGTTTAAAATACCTTTTATTTTAATTATTTAAAACTAATCCTTTACTTTTACTACTTTCTTATTTTTTTTATATACTTATACGATATTACGTTAAAATATTATAAGTTTTAACGTTTAAATAACTTTAAAACGTTATATTTACGCGCTTATATTTACCACTACCATTTATAACCACCCATAACTACTTACAACTATTTATAACCATATTTAAAATATTTTTTATTTTAATTATTTAAAGCTAGTTTTTTGTTTTTGCTATTTTTTCGTTTTTTTTATATGTTTATATAACATTACGTTATAATGTTATAAACTTTAACGTTTATTGTAATGTTTGTTGCGGCTATTACGTATAACCGGTGTTATAGTTAATTTTAACCCGAAACGCGTACGTTTTATATATAATAACCTATTTAAATGATCGAATTAATATTTATTTTTTATATAAAAACTTTACTTAATTATTTAAAATTAATATTTTTAATTAATTTAATTATTATGTAGCTATTTAATTGAAAAATGTTTAAAATTACCTTAGATTAGAGATTGGAAAATGTTTTAGGGGGGTGTGCCGGGGTGTGATTGGTTGGGGAGGGGTGTGGCTGGGGGAGGTACTTCCCCCCGAACCATTTCCAATTTCTAGTCTGAGCTTGCTGAGATAATTTTGGACAGCTCCCACCCATTTTCTTGATTTTGGCACAGTTGGACTAATAGTCCACCGTATTTGTAGGAGTTTTATGTATTAAACTGTACCTAACCTATTATATTATCCATACGTCATCGGTCCAAACCTACGTGCTTTTACTGCTTTCATTGCTTTAATAATATGACCTTATACAATACACCACACCTAAATCACAGTGCGATGGTAGTCGAATATACTGTAACACTATACGTCTTCAAGTGGCTACTCTAACATAATAATAAGCATTCCTTTTTATTTTTTTAGGTCATCTTTACCCAGCAGTCTTAGTTCTATAGGTATAAATATCGCCTATTTTTGATCCGGTATGCCTCTGTAAGTATCTCCCTTACAGCCGATATTAAACTAATTAAATTCGGATTACCTTATTAACAGATGGCCTCACAGACATCTTCTAGGCAAGAAATCGTGGAATGTCTACAACCCTAAGAATATTGAGCGCGTGAGGCGCGACGAAGCAGCTGCTAAAGCCCGCGACGAGGCTGAAGAGCAACGCCAACAAGAAGTCGATGCCGAACGTCGTCTAGCCATCCTACGAGGCGAGACCCTCCCACCTATACCCCCTCCCCCTCAACCGAGCGTTGAAGATGAGTCTCATAGCCAGAAACGAAGTCGCAATGAGGATCCGGGAGCACCAGGCTGGGGTAGGGAACGTAGGAAGCGAAAGCGCGTAGGTGAAGATGATACAGATTTTGAGTTGCGACTTGCGCGCGAGCAGGCGAGTGCGACAAAGATGACAAGCGATGCGCTTGTAAATAGCACCAGCAATGCCCCAATCGTGGATCACACCGGTCATATAGACTTGTTCCCTGAAGAGCGATCGCGTGTGCCTATACAGAAAAACGAAGAGGCCGAACGGGAAGCGGCCAAGAAGAAGCGAGAATATGAAGACCAGTACACCATGCGCTTCTCTAACGCCGCTGGTAAAGAGGGATTGGTTGGCCCTTGGTATGCAAAAGGTGGCGATATCAAGGACGTCGTAGATGGTAACCTGGATGCGCCGAGCAAAGACGTATGGGGTAATGAGGACCCGCGGCGGAAAGGGCGGGAGGCTGCACGCGTTGTAGCAAATGATCCTCTTGCAATGATGAAGAGAGGTGCCGCAAAGATTAGGGAGGTTGAGAAAGAAAGACAAAAGCTAAACGAGGAGAGAGAGCGAGAGCTAAAGCAGCTTCGAAAAGAAGAAAAGAGACGAGAGAGGAGGAGGCGGCGAGAAGGGAGAAAGGATTATGATGACCTGGAGGGTTTCACTCTAGATGGTACAGCTTCCAGCAAACCTCCGGCCCGCTCTAAAGATGACGACGATCATTATCAACATCGACGATATCGTCACTCCCGGGAGGAGAGCGGTCGATCTCGGCGCCACTCCGAACATAGAGAACACAAAGAGCACGAATATGATCATCAGAAACAAAGTTCCCGATTAAACCACCAGGAGCAAGATCAGGGATTATCAAAACATGATAGACGGCGAGAAGGGAGGGCAGACAACTACTAGCATTACATCGGTGTACAGGTCCAGCGTTATTTTTTTTTTTTTTTTTCAAGTATTAGATACCCCTCCTACCTCGTATAGGCACCAATATCATTTTCGTTTTCATGATTAGACGGATATCATACTGCTACTCGTCCTAACACGTCCTACTCTATGGGTATCATGAATAATATACAGCCAACAAACCACCATCTAAACTCCCAACCTTAATACTTAGGTGGCTATTTCTTTCCTTCTTTCCACGGTAAGCTAATTTCAACCTCTTGCATGTGCTTCTCGACCAGCTCGATAACCTTTGGCGCATCGTTAAGTTCCTTCAACGCCTTGATGATCTCTTCCACCGTCTCCTTGCTTAGACCCTCCTTGCGATCACTGTAAATATCTACGCCCTCCTGCGTGAATAAAGTAGGCGCAAACCAGGTCACAGCCCAGCGCTCGATATCTTCTCCCGTCTCATCTGCACCACTGGCCAATGGGCGCTCGCCCCAGCCCAATATCTCCCAATGGCTGCTAGCTATAACGAGCAAGCCCTTTCCCCGCCAGGTCCAGGCTCCGGGAATAGTAGAGTCAGGCTTCTCAATGCCTTCGACACGCTTCACACCTCCCTTGCCATTGCTCTTCTCATATTCGACTAGGTTGTCGTTTGCAACAGGTTTAGACTCGGGCTTATACGGCTTGTAGGTTATGCGCACGTTACGGGCTGAGCGCCACATCGACAATGTCGAGTGGGTGACGGCCCAGGTGCGCCAGAGCCATTCGAGCGGCGGAGAAACGAATGAGTCGCCAGTGGTAGTTGATGGATTGGAAGGGTCTGCAAGGTACTTAGACGGGGCGCGGAGGCTAATATTGCTTGATGGATTTGTGGTATTTGATGTAGATTCTGCCATTATGAGTATACGTAAGCTCTGTGTGAGTTTCTTTTTAATTAAAATATCTGATTTAAAGAAAGAGAGCAAGAGTTGAGTTTTTAAGAAGTTACATAAACGCGGATCACTAAAGCTTCTAGGTCGGTGCACAATGTTATCATATCCATGTTATCATATCCATTAGGTACGCCCAAGCTCGGGAAGTCCTTATCCGGAATTCATTGTAAGTTTTCAGGGGTAAGAGAGCACTGCAATTGAGTGAGCATCACTGGCACTACCTATCGGACTTGTTATATTTAGGTAATTCATAATCTAGAGCTAAATTCAATAATTTAATTTAAGTTGAACATATAATTCTTAAAACGTCATTTTGCCACGTGACGTTAAAATAATTACCCAAAGGTCGTACTTACAAATCGTCATTAATAGATTTCAACATTTTTACTCTTGTACAATTTATAAGGTATGATAGCATTTAACTAACTAAAAATTTAATTATATGAAATAAATAAATATATTCGGTTTATATCCAACGATTAAATAACACTCCGGGTATCCGAATCACAGCTAAATAACTCTTCATGGCCGTTTGTCAGCCATAGTCGTGCCTTATTCTCAACCCATCGTCAACATTACCTTCCTCTTGTTCAACAGAATCTGCTCTTGGACTAGTCGCGGTCGTTGAACCCCTCTGTCTCGTTCTATCTATAACGCGAATCTGCGTTGCCCTAAATAATCGCGAAATATTCTTTCTCATACCTAATATCTGGCCATCTCCCGGGTTTTGAGCGATGTCTAGCAATGGTCTGTTTGCTAGCTTGAGCTTTTGCCTAAATGTATCGTTCTCTATGTCGAGTCCATCATCAGAGGCATTGTCGTCACGTTCTGGTTTACTATCATACCCTCGAGGATATTGAACTTCGGGGATCCAAACCCACGTAACAAAAGCGCCCAGGAGCATTGCGGGACAGAATCCTAGTAACATTGCTGCAAACTTATGGTTATATAACTCACCACCATAGACGGCAAGGTTAGTAATCAGGAGGATTGTTATTGCACCAAGTTTCCCCGAAGCTGCTGCAAGACCGTAGAATGTGCCCCTGTACTTTGTTGCAAAGAGCTCCGCCGGTAGCATGAACGTAATAGTATTCGGCCCAAGGTTGAAGATAACCTGTGCAAGTACGTATAATATCACCGTGAGCGCATGTTTATCCGACTCGAAAGTGACGAAGAACGTTCCACCATTGATGGCAAAAAGTACGGCGAGTGCGACAAACATCCAGCCCATCCATGTAGTCCTAGGGATGTAGTCGATAGCAAGTAAAATGATAATACTTCCGGGTAGTGCTCCGCTTGAGATGGTTACAATATCTCGTATGCTGTCTTGTCGAAGCATTTCATATATCGTGATATTTGGTTGGGATGGGTCTGCTCGCCATGCCGCATTGTTGCATTCAAGTTCCACCGGTGATGTAGAAACGTTCGACCGTACCGGCGGCGTCGAAAGCCAGATCGTAGAAATCATTTTAGGGTTATCAAGGCCAAGCCCATCTATATCAATAAATATCAGTATGTAATCGCTTCTGTAAGGAATGCTAATGGTATCGGGCGTTCCAATTAGACGTTCTAAATCCTGAATAAGTTATAAAGGGGGTATAAAGAAGCCTAAAAAGCACATACAATACGCCAAGTCCAAAAGATACCAAGTTATCATGACTCCTAGAAGCGCACGCCAGCGCCTCTTCTCAGCAAGGTGCTCTTTGACTTCGTACATATATTTTGCTACTGATGTCCACCAACTAGTCCGTCGGTTTCCAAAATCTGGTAGAGGGGTGTCTATCGAGCGTCGAGGAGCCGGAAGCCCGGTTTGGTCCATGGGCTGAAGAGTCGGGTTTACTGGAATAACATGGCGAACAGCTTTGACGGCTCCTACAAGCTCTCCTTTGGCCACTAGATATTGGGGCGTTTCAGGAATTATTCGTCTTAATATGAGAGAGACAAGAGCTGGGAATGCCCCAATCCCAATTGTCGTTCTCCATACGATGTCTATGATAGGCGATGCGACCTCGTAGTTAGTTTCATTTGGGGACAAACCGTGATAGTCACTAAGCCCCTTAAGGATAGCTAAGCCAAAGGCGTAAGCAGCCAGTTGTCCCAGAGACTGCATCAGGAATACCGCCGCTATCATTTTGCCTCGAGACCTAGTAGAGGACCACTCCGACGCAATTATAGCTGAGAGCGGGTACTATGCATTGTTAGCAATGATATATAAAAAGAAATCCAGACTTGGTGGTTGTTTCTGACCTCTGCGCCGAGCCCTATACCTAACATAGTACGCCAGAAACCAATCCAACCATAGACATTCATCGAGTTTCTATGGCCTGAAGATGCTGTTGTCATCCCCACTGTAGCAACTACCACGATACTTAACTCTAAGCCATAGACAGCCTTCCGGCCATATCTATCAGCTAAGTATCCGAATAGAAGCATGCCGACCATCGTCCCAGTTAATGTAGTCAGGTTGATGACTAGTGAGTTGCTTGACACGCCGGGTTTACAGTATACATAACTTAAGGATGGACTGATGACGTTTACAGCAAAGAGGCTGTAAGATGCCGTGAAAAAGCCCGACGCAGCAACCCACCAAACTTTCCACTGAAACCTATCCAGGCCTGGGTAGTCAATCACGGATTGCACCGTTCTCTCGGGATCGTCAAGATCCTGTATCGCCGCAATGAGTTAAAATAACGCCTGGGTTATGGCTTGGGGGTTCGATTACATACGCAATCTATCTCGTGGGCAATCTGGCGCGTGCCAGCTTTAAGACTAGAGAAATAACCGCCCATTGTATATGATTTAGAGGCCGCTCTGATAATTTAGAAAAGACAATGATCCATCTAGGAAAGTTATGGGCTGCATCTTGTCAGTTATATAAGTGTCAAGCTATGGGGATTCATGCTTTGGAGTATGCCTAGTTGATAATGGGCGTGCCACAGCATGATGCCGCCGTCATTGATAAGAATACCCGATTAGAAGGAAAATACTGCCTTATGGCCCCCAAGAAATCCTTTGCGACTTTGCAGAAGAGGTGAAAGTAGGTTCTAGAGCGTCCCAGCCGCGTCGTCTATTTATTTGGAAGTGATTTCGGTGACGCTTTAAGTCGCCGACTGTCTATTAGCAGCTAGCAGTGCCACTCTTGGGACTTAACAATATCCGTATTTCTTATTTGTGAATGGAAATCTATCAGCCAATGGCAAGTTATGATGTAGGCCACGAAAGACGCCTCGATCATGCAAACGGCCGCCAATGTACTCTACCTACTTTTCGGGTCCGTAGACGGTTACAACTTGATATCTAAAAGCCCTGCTAAGCTAATGGAAAACGCGCGGCGCAACATAAACGGCACGGGATCTAAGACATGCTGGCTACCTCTAGATACTGCAGAAAAATGAATTACTCGACGAGTTAAGCTGATCCAGGGGTAACACGGTTATCTCGATATAAATACCTACAATAGTTTCGTCAGGAACGTGGCCTAGATAAGACCTCTTATTGGGCGTTCTTAACACATCCCTGTCTGATCTCCAATTCACTAAATTGTAACTATATTCGCATCCAATCCTTATTGGAAACATGATCTAGCGAGGACCCTCTATATTTGAACCGAAATGTGATATTATATACTAAGGATAGCTTTGAGCCGCCCCCCCACAGTTCCCTTATGTGAGACCGAGCTCTAGTCTAGGAAGGGCTCGCGTGGCAGTTCCCTTCTCCTGGGTCTACGATGGAGCCCGGAACGATTTTATCGATCGTTCAACTTTCATTTTCTGTCTTCGAACTTGGCTCCAAGATCTCCCGTGAATTATTTGGAAAGAATGATCGAGTTCCGGATAGACTCAGACGCCTTAATGACCGACTTAAGGAATTTCACTCCATTGTTGATGGAATTATAGATGGTGCCCATGGACATACCGCATCGTCAGGCCTTATCTACCCCGGAGCTGACGCTATTGTTGAGACCCTGACTGAGTGCAACGATTTCCTCCGACAATATGAGTCAGCGTTATTAGCAGATCGAACTTTCAGTAGAACTAGTCAACGACTCGCCCTCGTTGTTGGTCCAGATAATTCTAAGATCCGGGATCTTGACAGAAGGATATTGGATCACTACCCAGCACTTCAACTATGGAAAACGACTGGCCTGGAAAGGGCGGTTATGCAGCTTGGAGAATCGTAAGTTCTCTCTACTGGATTATCCCGGGGCCCTGCTAAACAAATGTTTAAATAGAATGATCGCGAAGCACCAAAGCAGTAGCCAGTTAAACCGAGCGCCTAATACGATAGGTGAATCATCGCTACAGCCCGAATCATCCGGGAGATCCGCTGAAGAAGCGTCCAGCAGCTTTTCTACTACCCAAGTAGCAACCCCTACGCTCAGAGCAGTTTCTCGGAATCCCTCTCTCCCTTCGATAAACGAGCTTCCATCACCGCAAGTAGGAGAATACTCATTCTCTAGCGTCGGCTCAAATAGACAGCGTCCATCAGGATCAGAGGTCGGTCCTGTTTTGGCGCATCTTAGAGGCTATGGTCGCGATAATGTAACAAATCCATCAACCCGTGCCGGGCCTACGAACAATACAGGATCCTTATCTCCGGTATTACTGTCAACTTCACCAACGTCGCAATTCCGTCGCCCAGGACATTCAGCATTATTGTTTGTAGTCCCATATCCATCGTTTTTCGATTCGCTAACATTATAATATTAGACGAATAGGCTCCCAGCCATACCAACTGAGTACTAGCGACTGTAGAGTCCTTGACATTGGTGAAAATAGAGTGATAGAATGGACCAATACTAGCTCCCGACTTATAATTCAGCATTTCGGTTAGACGATGAAATTGTAAATATCTTAGAAGCCATAATACTAACTTAGCCTAGTTCCTGATACACGTGCTATCCCATACACGATACCTGGGGACTCAGGCCCCTACAAAGTGAGATTTCTCCCAATAAATGCCAAGCACCAGTTCAAAATCGTTACGATAGATAATGGAACCGAGTGTCTCCAAGAGACACTAGAGTACCGATTTCACCGTAAGGCTGACAGGGAGAATTTCCAACAAGCTGTCCGAGGTTGCGACCGCTTAGAGATAATAAGGGCCCTAAAGGTACATAGTGCTAAAGGAAAGGATATTGCCATGAAATTCCATTTGAAAGTTTGGCGGCATAGCCCCCAAGATGACAGACCAACTTTTTCCTTCGCGGCAAATGAGATTGCTCACATGGAGTTCCATATTCGATGGTTTAAAAGGAACCCGGAACTAAGAGGAGATACCAAGCTGGTACTAAGGTTATACTCGAAAGGCGATGACTTGATGGATGAGCCCGAAGTCGTCGAGCCGCGAAGGCTATCTTTCACGTTTGGAATGAAAAGATTATCTGGGAGTTCGACGCAGACGAATATTTCAGATTCACATTCGACTTCAAGGTCACGGTCCTCTTCAGCTAAACTCCCGCCTCTTATGCTATATGAAGGACAAGGAATAGAGCCGCCGGATGATGTTCGAAATCTAGAATATCTGGAAATAGAATTTTTGAACTCAGAGGGTAAGTTTTTCTTAGTTTCTCTTTCCCTTACCTCTTTCTTTAGATCCTCTACCCTGACAAGCTTACTGCTAGTTCGGAAATCCTTCGTACAGGCCTGTCTTGAGGCGCATCGCCCAGCATTGGAAGCTTCGAGGAGAAACAGTACGCCGAGTCCCTCTTCGCAGCAATCGTACTCGAGACCTTCTAGTTGGACTTTGGGACCGAACCAGGGTCCGCACGAACTAGAAGACTCGGGTAAATACGAACTACCAGTGGACTCTGGAGTCTACGAGATGATGGGAGACTCGGAATTTCAGATGCCTCCTCCAAGCTTGACAACGCCATATTCTCCCGGGGAGGTTCGATTCAATACCCGTTCCCTGTTCGCACCATCACAAGCAACAGATTACGAGAAAATTCAAGAAGCGGATGAATATTACGGATAAGGAGGACGATGCTCATGAACGAGGATAAAAATTGGGTATATAATTTTGGCTAGGAGAAATACCATATTCCGTATGTTAGATAGGGTTCCTTAGACATGGGTGGTATTGGTAATGGAGGTAATGTATGTGGTATCTGGGTATAGAGTATTGGGAACCTTTGTGATTTAAGAAATATTGATATTGATATGCCGTTGTAAACGAAGCATATAATGGTTAGGTGTTTGGAGGGTTGGGGCTGATTTTTGAGGGAGAGATAAAATGTAAATCATGCATAGCGTAAGGATGAATTATACTGATTTTATTGATTTAAAATTTGAGATAAGTAATATATTAGGTAGTTTTATTCTTTATAAAAATGTCAACTACTTCTACCTCGTGATAATAGTAAATTGATGTATTGTAGAGATTTTATCGCCATGTAACGGTCACGGGTTATTTCTAAACACTGAAAGGTTCTTCCTGTAGCCAATCAATAGATAAAACCTTACCCCGCTAGTACCTAAGCCACATCAAGGCTAGTGCGTCATTGTTAGTTTCAAAGCATCATTAGTTAAAGCTGCGACGTAACCGACGTCAGCTCACATTTCATAGGTTAGGTAGGTACCTCCTAACTAAGCCTCATCTCTAACAAACCGCAACCTGGCTTTTTAATTTTTTAGTTTACAAGGTTGAGTTTGCATCTTATGATTTCATAAAAAAAGAAGAAGATGCCAATAGGGTCTGGAATCCTTATAAATCAACAACTACATCTTCAAGATTTGTCCGCGGATATTTCTCCCCACCTCATCCCCAGTTATAGGTGTGCTCCTATGCTAATATAATGCAATTTAGCATTGGTTTTTTAATACTAACTGACACGTATCTATCCAGTAACAGTGTATAACCAACCTCCAACAACCTCGTTCTCCTAATCACGATACCGTAATCATGGATATGCGAAACAACCTCTTTGGTAGAGGGCCTCGTGGTGGCGGTGGAGGTCTACCTGGACGACCGGGTCCTGAACAAGGCAGTTATAGTCAAGTTCCCCAGAGCCGACCGCCGAGAGATTATAATGGCCCTCCCGAATATGATCCAAGAGGTGCTTACGGTGCCCCGTCGCCGGGCTACGGTGGAAACAATATGGCGCCCCAACAAAGGAATACACGGCCCAACCCTCCTCAAGGTCGTCCCGTTCAGCTTAGATTGGCAAAATTAGATAAGGGCGATCTATCTCAGCAATACATATTTGGCAATCTCGTTGCCGTCTCGCCTCAGGATTTCCCTCCCGACCAATACGGGAAAGACCTGCATATCTTACTGAACGGAAACTTCGTCGTGGCTGCTCGTCCGACCGAATATATCCCACCAGGATGCATAAGCTTGTCCGACCCTCAACGAACGTGGTGCGGCATTAGTATGACCGACACAATTATTGCTGAAAGATATGATCATAAGGTTCCTCTGTCGGCTATGGACGTCGAGGTTGGATTTGCGTCTCAGAGGAAGATAACAGATGTCCCATATGACCAGGATGAGCTTGCAGACTATTTCGTCAAGATGTTTCAAGGCCAAATCTTTGCCCCTGGCCAACGATTATTAATGGACTACAAGGGAATACCGTTGATGTTCGTGGTTAAAACGGTTCAGCTTCTCGACCTACTTGGAAACGAGAAGGGTCAGGCTTCAGATTCGTCTTCGAGGCCCGATACCAGGGGTTTACTGGTGGCGGGCCAGGGTCAAACTGAGATCAATTTTTTCAAAGATGCTAAAAATCCCATCAAGCTCAAAGGCTCGTCAAGACGGCCTGCCACAAATGCTATCCTAAGGCCGGATTTCAAGTTTGCCGATATGGGTATTGGAGGTCTGGACGAAGAATTCAGTACGATTTTTAGACGTGCTTTTGCTTCTCGAGTTTTCCCTCCAGGTTTAGTCGAGCAGATGGGCATCTCTCACGTAAAGGGTGTTCTACTCTATGGCCCGCCGGGAACGGGTAAAACGTTGATCGCAAGACAGATCGGCAAGATGCTGAATGCCCGCGAACCTAAAATCATCAACGGTCCGGAAATCCTTAATAAATACGTGGGCCAATCCGAGGAAAACGTGCGAAAGATGTTCGCGGATGCAGAGAAGGAATACAAGGAGAAAGGTGAAGAGAGTGGTTTACATATCATTATCTTCGACGAACTTGACGCTGTTTGTAAGCAGAGAGGTAGCGGGTCCGGAGGGACTGGTGTTGGTGACAGCGTAGTTAATCAGCTTCTTTCTAAGCTTGATGGTGTTGATCAACTCAATAACATTTTGCTTATTGGCATGACTAATCGGAAGGATATGATCGATGATGCGCTATTGCGACCAGGACGTCTTGAGGTGCACGTGGAGATTTCATTACCTGACGAACATGGCCGGATACAAATCCTTAACGTAAGTCACATCTGAAAATGATCTCTCAATTTATCTTGGAGGAAGTGGCCCCAGCCAGCTCTCTGAGGACTGGCCCTTTTGAGACACCTCTAAGACATTACATCTTGAGAGGATAGTCACTAACTCGCTATAGATTCATACTGCCAAGATAAGGGCTATCAACAAGCTGGGCGATGATGTTAGCTTAGAGGAGCTTGCTCACATCACCAAGAATTATTCGGGTGCAGAAATTTCCGGTCTAGTAAAAGCTGCTTTATCCTACGCCTTTACTAGGCATACGAAACTCGGGGACGTCACTGGTGTCCAGGGTAATCCCCAGGATGTGATGTTGACACGGGCCGATTTCATGAGAGCATTGGAAGATGTCAAGCCAGCCTTTGGAGTTTCCGAGGAAGAACTCAGTGGTGCTGCCCCGTACGGAGTCATTGATTATAGTCCGCACATCCAATCAATACTCTCCACAGGCCTCAGCTTTGTCCAAGCAGTTCGGACTTCCGAGAAGTCTCCTCTGTTCTCTGTCTTGGTCCACGGTCCTCATGGTGCCGGAAAGACGGCCTTGGCCGCAGAGATTGGATTGAAGTCCGAATTCCCATTCGTCAAGCTCATCAAACCGATTGATGTTGGGACAAACGAAGGAGCCAAACTCGAATATCTGCGTCGTGCCTTTTCAGATGCTTATAAATCAGCTCTTTCTATCGTCATTCTAGACAGCGTCGAGAAAATCATCGACTGGAACCCCATCGGACCGAGATTCTCCAATGCCGTTGTGCAGTATCTAGGTGCAGTACTGGAAACTCGACCGCCTAAGGTATGTCGTTTATAAATTCGTTTCTAAATGTGATCGATTTTCTAGTATACTTACAGCTCGCGCAGAATCGTAGACTCCTCATCATAGCCACGACGAGCCAGCGATCCATGTTAGATCAACATGGGGTATTCGCGTGGGACAGAGAGATTGCCGTACCGGCTGTCAAGGACCATCGTGAGCTTCAGGCTCTCTTAGCCGCCTCGGGTAAATTTGATGGGCCGGCCGACATCAACGAGGCTCTCAACGAGCTACAAACTCTGACAGGGAGCCAAGATGTTGGCATAGGTGTCAAGGCAGTATTTTCGGCGTTAGAGACGGCCGCGGTAAGGGACCCACTGCCTACGAGCCTAGCGGAGGACATCAGCGCTATTATGGCAGCGAGGAATCCGCAAGGATATTAATGGCAGTGTTTGTAACGGGATAGTAGGTTCAATGAGTTGCTATGTCACGCTAGAATACCTATAGAGGACCTAGAATAGAGACGATCGACAATGATATTGATGTAGCAATGCTTAAAAGGGGGTGTTGACCCTTGAGAAGTTAAAAATTGGTACATACCAGTACAAGACTCGTGTTAGTCTTGCCACAGCATACAATGTACCTAACGGATCTACCCGCGGTCCGAGCTAATACCTCATGTTACACACCCAGAGTAGGACATGCGGTTCTTGTAAAATGCACATTATCTAGTATACGCACCGCGAATTTCTATGTAAATTACCTAGGTAGTGAAACACCAAACAAAGTACTCGAAAGATGAGCAATATAATAAATCTACCCGTTAATCATAAAATAATCCAACATAATAACCCTCCTAAAATTCGGACAATCATGGCATCTTTGTCAGAATCACCTCTTCGTGCGTATACTTCACCGCGCCATCGTCTTCATTCCCGGACGCGCCGAATCTCTCCTTTAAACCTTCTACCGCTTTCTCGCCCAGTGCCTTCATGCTCCCCGCTCCGAGCATCTCCAAAACGCTAATATCGAAGCCGAAAGTCGATTTCCACCAGCTCCTCATCTCCACTGCTACGAGGCTGTCAAATTCCATTTCCTGCAGAGTCCTGTTGATATCAATCTCGGTATCACTTTCTACGGGCTTCATAAGTAAACTAAGTAGCTGCTTCGAAATTTGAATCGCGACGAAGATAACCGCATCTGGAGTGGAAAGAACTGCTGGGTTACCGATGGCTGATGATACGAATGATAATAGCTCGCTTGATGTTACGGCAGAGCTTGACGACAAAGAACCGGAACTGCTGTTTAGATATACACCCACGCGGCGGTCGCCTTTCCAAGGCACACGGTTGGATACATCAGTGAGAGATGTAGTGCTACGCATACCTATGAGCAGTTCACTGCGGCTGACAAACGGCTTAGAGCGTCCACTTTTAGCATCCTGGATGGCTGGGCGTGGAGCTACGATAACAGCGGTAATAGCGTCAAGCATTTCGGCGATGCGAATGCCGAATATACCTTGCGATAGGAGGCGCTCACGAACCACAGGGTTATCGGCGACATAGCCATGGTCAAGCATAACACCAATATCGACTGCAGATGCATTGAGACCGAGGCTATGACGGTACTGCACAAAGCTATCGAGGAACGTATTGGCGCCAGAATAATTGGCTTGACCTCTCTGGCCTACGATCCCTGAAATGGAACCGAAGAGGACAAACAAGTCAAGATTAAGGCCGCGCCCGACGGTTGCATTATGTAGGTTCCACGTCCCCAGTACTTTAGGGTCCGCGCATTGTGTCCAGTCTTCGTACGTCATATTAATGAAGCTCTGGTCCCGTAAGACCATGGAGACGTTCAATATTCCCTTGAGAGTGATGCCACCAACTGTCACAGCCCGCTCTACATCGGAAAGTGAAGCGACACTGCCCTTCACGGCAGTGGCCTTACACCCCTGGCTTTTCAGTTCCTTGAAGAAGGCCTGATCCTCAGCAGTCTCGCCAGCGCGACGTGAGAGGAATATAAGATGGCGAGCGCCGTGTTCAACCATCCAATTAGATACGGCACGACCAAGACCACCTAAGCCACCGACAAGCAGGTAAGAGGCGTCGTTTTGGAATTCGATATTCCGGGTCGGCTGCCGTTTAGTCAAAGCTTTAGCTTCCGGACAGTCCAGCGTGATTGTGATCTTTCCGATATGCTGGCCCTTTTGCATGTAACGGAAGCAATCTCCGATGGCGTCGGCCGTGAAGATCTTAACGGGTCTAATAGGTTGAATATGACCTTGCTCATAATATTTGGCGATTGTTTTGAGTAGGCTGGTATATCATTAGTATCCTAGCTTGGTAATATTTTAATACGGTTAGGTGAGTTACCTGTTACCAAGATCTCCTCTCACATCCATGATATGACCCAAGTCTATGCCGTGATAGCTCCTATTTAGCTCGAAAATGTTTAAGGCCAGTTTCCCGTTGCCGATAAGATCGCGTTTCCCTATTTCTATCATCTTTCCAAATTCCGCCACGCATTCCCAGGATGTGTGAAGAAGTTCTCCCGATAATGAATTAAGAACCACGTCTACTCCGCGGCCGTTTGTTGCTGCCATGATATCCCCTAAGAACGACTTATCGCGAGAGTTGAATATGCGGCTTCTTGGAATCATGAATGTGGACATCAAATACTGGACTTTCTCTTCGTTGCCCACGGTACAGTAAATATCTGCACCGATCATCTTGGCTACTTGGATGGCTGCGAGCCCGACACCACCACAAGCCGAGTGGATCAGCAGCGTCTGCTTCTCTTGTAGCTGGCCGACGTCGAGAAGCCCGTATATGACGGTGGCAAAGACGCAGGGCATGGTTGCAGCATCGTCGAAGCTGAGGGAATCGGGAATCTTGGCACATACCTTCTGCGGTAGGACCAGTTGGGTTGAGAAGCAACCTTCGCCAAATAAGAACACTCTGTCGCCTGGACGAAGATCTTTTACGTCTGGTCCAACTTTGCTGATAACACCGCATGCTTCAATGCCGAGCGTTGTCATGAGTCTATTCTCTACGATGCCCATGGCGACTAGGACATCCTGCGTACGTTAGTATCCTTTTTTTTCTTCTCTTCTTATATGCTAGCAGTGTACATACCTTGAAGTTCATCCCGAAGGCTTTTGTCTCAACTAGAATTTCGTCCCCAACTAATGGTTTCACTGGGATCGCTGTCCATGCCAATGTATTAAGCCGCCCGTACTTTCCGATTCTAAGGTCATATCCTACGTCAGACGCCTCATCTAGCTGTGGTTCGCGCAGCTCATCGTTAACTGTGATAGGATATATCCTGGGTATATGTACAACCCCGTCCACAATGGCATATTCATACTCGGGATGTAAATTTTCGTCCTGTTTTCGATTATGGAATTTCTGGAATATTTTCAACGCCGCGGATAAATTTGCGGTATTGACCTGATCCATCTCGCATGTGGCGAGGTCAGCACTTAGCTCACCACGAATCGTCCTCATAGCGCCGATGATTTGTGCCCAACGAGGGTCCTGAGCCCTGACCTGAGAGGCTCGGGTAAGCCAGAGGAGGCCAGCACCGGACTCTGATACCTCGGACACGAACTTGCGGAAGGCGGCGAAACCATCCCGACCAATATCTTCAAATACAGGCTTATTAAGATCGACTACTGCAACCATGTCCTTATCTGTGGGAAGACCTGGCTCAGCCCAATGGTGCAATCCAACCGTATAACTCTCCGATTCTAGCTTTTCCTTAAGTTGTATTGCGATACTTAAAGTATCGTCACCGTAAATGACAGTCGTGGTACGGAGCCGTTGAATCTCAACTGCTGGCTTAGCTGTCATGATAGCATCGAATTGTGTGGGTCGAGGACAATCGAGAGCTACATGTTCTAAGCCAGCGAAACCAGCCTGTCGTAAGTACTCGTCCCACCTCTCAGGAGGAACATAAGGTTCGTCCACTCGGTTATCGTCTGCACCTAGCCACCATCCTGGGAAGATGCCCATGATAAAGTTAATAGCTTTACTATCGGAGCACAATTCTTCCATATATAAACGACCCTCAGTATGGAGAAGTTTGCGTACGTTGCTAAGTGATTCTTGAAGACTAGGGGTGGCGTGCAAAATATTTGCGGCAACGATGAGGTCGTATGAACCTCCTTCAAACCCCTGAGCGAGTGGGTCCTTGGTGATATCCAGCGCCTGGAAGCTCATGTTGGGGTATTCTTCGAAACGCGTTTTAGCGGCGCTAAAGAATGCGGGTGATATATCGGTGTAGGTATATTCGGAATACATAAGAGAGCCGTTCTCTGAGTTTACGAGGTTCTTGAGGATAGTGTTCGTAAGACCACCTGTACCGGCTCCAACCTCGAGAATACGAAGGTTTGGTTTCGCGTGGCCTAGGGTCTGGAACAATTCTTTACGATTGCAGAGGTCGAGATAAGTGTAAATATTCGTCAGGGCATTGTCCTCCATTAGAACCGCGACCGGATCGACTTCACCCTTAAACATGGGGACTATGCTATCCAGAATCTTGGTAAATGCAACTACTAGGGGGTTCATCGTGGTCGGAGATAGGATGTTGGCGAGGACTTCAAATGAACTCTCAGACTTCGGCTTGGGTTGCTTCTCTAACCATGATTTGAACTTATGGAGATGGGGGATATCTGTTCGAAGGCCTCGAAGACGAAGAAGAGCCTCGCGAACACAGACCCGATGCAATTCTTCGCATATAGACATATACCGCTCCTGTTCTTTGTGCGGGATGATCAATGATGTAGCATCGACAAAGTCGATATCCGGTCGCCAGAACACCCTGGCACCAGCATGAGGATCAGGATTCTCGGTCGCGGCATCGCCTTCAATAGGACTTAGTTTCACACCTTTCATCTTGAGCGCCATTTTCCCCTCGACGTCGAATCCCTCGCCCCCGCCGCACAAGATACCGCGCCGAGTCTGAATTGCTCTTATGGCAATATCGATTTCCGAATCGCATTTGTAGGTCTCCATATACTCTATAAATGTTGGAACGTTCATCTTATCCAGCTTGTGTGTTAGGCCGTTGGTTGCAGCAACACTGAATAGTTGGAGGAAGAAGTCAACCTTGGTAGGGTGTACGCAATAGATGTTATCATCCGCATCTACCGTGTGTATCGCCCTCCCCTTAGAGAGGTGTTGCGTTGTTGAGCACGATAAATCAGACAAGCCTTGGAAATCCTTCCCGTAATTCGCCCCGACATTTCTAAGAGCTTGATACCACTTCGCGGGCTCGACCAGACGAGGAAGTTTAGATGCGTCTTCTGCTCTATCGTTTAATGGTGGGTTGGCTAGGGCAGAAAATTGGCCAGAGCAATGCTTCGTCCATGATGTCCCATTGTACGATCTAACGATAAAATCCCACCATGCGCTGTCCAGAGTATCTGTAAGCGGTGCTCGACGTACACTGGTAATGATCTCGGTTGATTTGGACTCCGTCAGGACCATGGCAGCATCAATGACGACTTGGCGTAAAGCAAAGCCTGTATACAGACCCTCGCATAATTGACGAGCCGCTTCACCTACCATACCTACGTATCCTGCGCATGGAAAGATTACATCCCCTTTGATATTGTGGTCCTGTATCCACGGAATATGAGCAAGCGACAGGACGTTCCGGAAGACAGGTTCACCATCTGTGCTTTCTGTAACGCGAATACCTAACAGCTCATGTTTGGGGAACTTGCGGAATCGCCATTCTTTAGCGATACGGTTCTCCAACATGAAAGAGTCGCTGTGTTGCCAAGGGTAGGTGGGTAAATCCGGGACAACGCGAGCGGTGCCGTCCGGATTGGTCAGGCGGTTCAGATTGATATGTAGATTTTGAATCCAAAGCTGGCCGACAGCCGAAAGGAACGTCTCGCTTCCATTTTTACCACGGACGAGACATGATACGTATGGGTAGCTGGCGGACGACTTTGCAAGAATTTGACGGAGTGGTCCACCCAATGCTGAATGAGGCCCGATTTCTAAAAACACGAGGCTCGCCTTACTATTAGCATTATGGTAACTGACTAAATTGGAAACTCCTGTGTTGAAAAGTACAGGAGACTCGAGATTCAATTGCCAATATCTGGAATTTGTGACATCGGTATCGAGGAGTCTCTTTCCTGTTACGGTAGAGAAAAAGATAGGTTTATACGCGATATTCTTAGAAACTGCATGTTTCGATTTACTTCCAACATGGTGAGAGACGAGGCTATTGTACGTCTCACCAACCTCCCTCATATGATGGGAGTGGTACGCCTTTTCAACCTTTAGAGCACGAGCGAAGGTCTCAGGCTTCTCTGAATGTATCGCCTCCAAAACGTCATTTACTGATTCTTTATCGCCAGATATGGTAACGCTTGAAGGCGAGTTCTCACAAGCGATAATGACGCCTGGCACTAGGAACTGTGTCGTTTCTTCCCGACCTAGGCCAATGGCGGCCATGGCCCCTGGCCTTTTCACCTTGTCGGATACGACACCACGATCGTACGCGGCAATGATAGCTTCTTCAGCAGTAATTTTCTTAGCAGCATACGCAGCTGCTATCTCGCCGGACGAGTGGCCAACCACTCCAAACGGTTTGATATCAAACTCAGACAATGCGTCGACTAGGGCAATCTGCACCGCAGTACATAGAGGCTGAGAAAGATATGCTTTATCCAGCTTACTTGTCTCGGCCGGCTTAGTCAATTCATCAACTAGAGACCAAGTAGGAGGGTCAGGAAGGTTTTTAAGGATATTCTCCATGTAGTAAACCGACTTCTTGAAAGTGAGGTTTGATTGGAGAAGCTCGAGACCCATCTGAGGCCACTGTGCGCTCTGGCCGGTAAAGACCATAATGAGATCAGGAGGTGATTGAGGTGCCTTGCTAAGAGGCGCCGTACTGGTTATGGTACCTTTGTCTACAATCGAAAATGCTCGGTGCGGTAAGTGTGTACGCCTTACACCAAGAGTATAAGCCATATCATTTGCCGCCTCGGGGAACTCTTCGATATATTTCTGATTCTGGACCACCTGCCGTCTTAACGAGTCTGAAGTGTTGGCTGAAAATAACAGCAATTGACTCTTTATAGGTGACAATCTCTGGTTCAACGTTTGAGTATTCCCGAAGTACATTCTTGCCGATTCGATGACAACGTGAGCGTTGGCGCCACCTATGCCAAAAGAATTGACCGAAGCACGTTCGTATCTATCTTCTGGCCAGGGGGTAGGTTCTACAGGTACTCTAAGCTTCTTTTCCTCAAATGGAATCTTAGGGTTAGGCTTGCTGAATTTGATATTGGGAGGGATGGTCTGATTCTCTAGTGCTAGAATTGCCTTGATAAGCGACGTAATTCCAGATGCTCCTTCTGAATGACCGACGTTTGGCTTTACGGAACCAATGTATACCCCGGTATCACCGAAAACATTAGCCACAGCGGCGACTTCGATTGGGTCGCCCGCTGCGGTTCCGGTACCATGGCACTCAACGTAAGGGGTTTTTGCGATATCTGAAATCCCGGCTACATGGTATGCTCTGCGAATCATCGCCTCGTGGCATTGGGAACTTGGAACGCTGAGACCGAGTGTCTTACCATCAGCGTTATTAGATGTACCTCTAATCACAGCACGGATAGGGTTGCCGTCACGGATTGCATGGTCAAGCCTCTTGATGTAGACCATGTTGATAGCTTCTCCACGTGCATATCCATCAGCATCGGCATCAAATGTTCTGCTTGAGCCATTCGGAGATAATACTCCTTGCTCGAACATACAGACAGTGAGTCCCGGAGCCATAATTAGATTGGTACCAGCTACAATGGCGGAGTTGCATTCGCCATACCGAATCGACATACACGCTTCGTGAAGGCCGATCATAGCTGAAGAGCAACCAGTGCGGATGACCATACTGGGTCCTTTGAAATCATATTCGTAGGAGATTCTGTTGGAGAGCACAAAGTCTCCATAGCCGGTAATCTTATAGGTACCATATAGCTGGGGATCTTTGACAAATAATTCTAGCCAGTCCTCACCGAACGATCCAACGAAGGTCCCAACAGTCTTGCCGCGGTAGTCGACTTCTCCAGCGCTTTCGAGGCATTCCCTAGTAAGCTCTAACAAAAGTCGTTGCTGCGGATCTGCTCGTTCTACCTCGATCTTGGGCATGCTGAAAAAGCTCGTATCAAGGGCACCGATATCCACAGATTCATCAAGGAAGTATCCATATTGAGTATTAATATGACCAGGCTTGCGAGACTTGGAGTAAAAGCTAGAAGAATTGTATCTCGACTCAGGGATAAGACCCCGTGCATCCTGTTTCTTAACTAGGAAGTCCCAGAACTCATTCGGCGTGGAGATACCTCCTGGAAGGCGAAGAGCCATGCCACATATCGCAATTGGTACTCCATTTTCGGTTGGGCCATGATAGCTGGCGTGGGATGAGTCTGATTCCTTTTAACTACAGTCAGTTTGGAACTTAATGGTTACTTAAACATCGTATCATCTTACTGGGGAAGTAGACCCAGACGGGTTCAGATATGGAGCCATAGTCCGATGTTGAATGTATTGGCCTGAATAAAAATTACGTTGAAGAAATTATATACCCTTGGTCGATATCGGTATGATGTCTAAGTCCTAGAGAGCAGTCTTTTAAAGTGCCGGCTTCCTTTGACGACTCTCTGTATTATATCTTCTCGATTTCTGAGCGGGGTTTCAATACTGAACTACCTGTACACTCGACTATACCTCTTATCTATATATATAATATATAGCTACTATGGGTAACCTAACCCGAGTAACACACGGTTTGATGCGTTAAACTAGAGCCAAGTCCCGTTGTTGTAGTATCCCAATTGACTATCCTACTAACAAATCTAAACTGAGCTGCAACCGTAGGTTCCAGCGGATGATACAGCAGGCTACACAATGAGCTCAGCCCGAGGTCGCATCAGTTGAGTCTACCATTGGTGTCTGAAGAATCTATTCGATGAGATGGCTTGAAAATGTCTGCTTCATATCAGTAGGACTTACACGGAAACGGCTGCAGCACAAAGATTAGCCAACGAGTAATCGATTACAACCATAAGGTAGAATGAAGAAGCATATCGCGATCTATCACGTCTTCTGTTATCTATCATTTACACAAAGCTACGTATTCGCGTGGTTATGTATAGATAATGTTTTTGACTACCCAACTCCTTGCCTAATAAACTAAATTAGATTATCTCTCAATATACCGATATATACACTAAACACGGGTTGCAGGTAGTAAGTCACCATAGTTTTGATCCCGCATATATAGTTCCGGAACCGGAACTATTCCGTGATATAACTCCTGCGGCAATAGATTAGGGTGTACTCGGGTAATGGTGGTATCAACGTTGATGTCATCGCCGATGTCATCCATAACGAAGCTTCGGCTCCGCGATTAAAGGTTCACATACGATGTCGGTCGTAATTCCGTGTCCGGACGAGATAATGAATATATAGTATGTTGATACTCAAATGTTGAGTAACTATTCTACCCGTGGACGTCTCGCTTTGTAGCGCCCCGCATACCTATCAACCTGTATAACCTACATGCAGATATGTAATCGTCATAAGCTGTTCTTATCAGAAACAAGGGTAGTACGATCCATAGACGAGAAAATATATTTGGGACTTCCCTTATTGGATCAAAGGGAAACCAATAGGTCGTTATGGTGATATTCACTCTGGGAATGATTCATATCAAGAGGGAACACCCGGTGCTTACATGTACAGCATAGTACATGTCATCCAGGTAACAAGATTTTCGTGCTCTGGTCACACGTTGAACATTTCAACGGTGGTTCCATCATATTGCATTATATTTAACCGAAGTCTTTTTCAGTACTTGTGACACCAACAGGTCTTTGTCAGTATTGAATATGACATCATTGCTTACGAGTTGGTGATCTCTCCTCTTTGGACAGTGTCTTTTTGATCCTTTTTACCAGTATATCAGCTACTATGACTTAACCACATTTAATTAAGCTCAATATATACACTACATGCAGGGCTCATAGGTTACGTGTTACCTAACAGTGAGACAATATCTAGCTTACGGAGTTAGTCCCATATAAACCCATGATGCCTCTTGATTTGAATGGAAGTTGGATGAATTTTGTAAGGTAACAATAAACAATTATACCGTTGTATAATTATGAATATGAAAATTTTTTATCATATCGTCTATTCAAGTTAATAAATGTATTTTTAAAAACGTCTTTGACGCGTAGTTATTGATTTTATTCTTGTAAGTTATATATACGGCATTGTGTGCTGGTTGCTTTTTCACATTCTCAAATTAAGCCTTAGTAAATGGAAATTCCCGTACTCATCAAAATCTATATTTTTAATTAACACTGCAAGGAAATCTGTATTTGGGGACATTGGGGGTGTATTTGATTTAATGTTCGGAATGGGCTTTCTCAATGGTGCGAGTAGAGTATGAGATACATTTCAAAATTTACCTCCTCAGTGCTAGTGCTAATAACTTGCGGATACGGTTCTGCGGGAACATCCGGTAAACGTTTTATAAAAATTTCACTGCAATTTATTCATTCGACTAATTGCGACTATTATGCCAACTGAGAAGTATATCACATGTGTGAATGTATTCAAAGACCTAGCCAAAAATACCAAGAAGATGACATGCCTAATGTAGCTCTTTTGATATAACTAGGTAGTTAACTAATTCTATATCTGCTAGTTTTGGTGTAGGTTTCATTTTTTTTTTTTTTTGACAAGTCAGAGCTTTTAAACTGTAAACTACTAGGGTAGAATTAAATTTACACTCGGAAGTATCTATCTAATGACCTTATGCGAGAAGTGGACGTATGACGGTTTGCATTAGAGTCAATAGAATAATAATATAAGCATAACTAGAGGAAGATAGTACCTAGCTGATGTTAGATATCTCAGGGGACAATAGGAGTGCACAGAACTGATGATATGGTATTCCTAAAAGGTTCTTTAAGCTTTCACTAGTTAAGTAATACCCGGAAAGGATGAGGTCGGTCCTGAAGTAAGTGGGGGTTGTATATGTGGGTAGAAACTTCCAATGTTGTGTATCCTCCGACGAAAAGCATGAAGTTGTGTAATACTTATTATACATGTACTACCTCGCCTATTGATGATTCCTAATAAAATCTAGCATGTGATAAGCCTCCGGAAAAAGAAATGTACCCCATAAGTAATGACTATTCTCGTTTACAGGACTTGTTCTTTCAGTAATTTTGCTCACCTTCGCTACCAATACTATTTTAACTACCACGTCTATACTATCTTAACACAACACTGTGTGTAAGGGCTACTAAGCACGGTAACCATAGCTTTACCATGCCTCAAACACAATTCTTCGGGTCTCAGGTCGGAGGAGGGACTGTGATCAACTACAGCTATACTGATATGCCGTGGAAACTGGTGTTTTGGGATTTTTGGTATTTTCTAAAGTACGCCCCATACTTGCCCTGGGTTGTATGGCCTCTCTGGCCTTGTTATGATGGAAGATTTGACGAACTTTCATTCACATTCCCACATATATGGTGTGTTTTTGTGCACATCATCCTTGTTATACTCCAAGTGGCTTTCCTTCTGGCGCTGCCATCGGTGTTCATCCTTCCTGGATGGCTCTTCATATCCGGATTAATTACCTTCTTCGTCGTCAACCAGTTAATATGTCGAACCTTGAATGGATGCACAATACAGTACACATCTGAGCCAAGATACTCACCTAACTGGGAGAAATATGAGCATGAGCAGTGGATTTTCTTAAACGGTATTTCCGTGGGGTATGATGGCTAGCTTTAAGTCATATACAGCTGTTACTAATAAAAGAAAAAGGGAAGCATGGCTCAAGGGTAACCTTAATCGCCTAGCACTTACCTTCGGACGACCTGTTATAGGCATACATAATCGCACAAACGGAGTCATCTTCGATGTACTAGAAGCTATAGTTCAACGCTGCTTCGGATATGCAACCACTGATATTCGTCTAGCTTATAAGATTCTTAAGGGTAAGCTGTATAATCCGCAGTATACAACGGTGGTATTCATTTTACGTAAGTAGAGACTTTGTACTTCTTACTATTCTAAGATCAAAAGAAAGTCTCACACAAGTTCACCTTTTGTTTCTCATTAATAACCGTTTCTTCAATACTATTCAACTATAATTAGGAAACAATTGCTAACACTGGAGGGTCAGACTCACAAGGCGGCATCGAAGGGGGGCTTGTTTTAGACTGGCTTTTACAGGAGGTTCCACAGGATCTTCTCGCCAAGCTTGAAGTTTACACCTTCGGCAATGCGGCAAATCACTTCAACAATCCCCATCGGCATAAGAAAAGCCAGGAAGCACAAGTAAAGAATCCCCGTGTCTTAAACAGGATATTTGAGCAGTTTCCTCATCTCCCAGGAGAGACGGACAAGACAGCGGCCAAAAAGAATTCTGATAATGCACAGCTTCGTACACTAGTTCCCAGCGACCAGGGCTCAGGGGAAACCGAACCTCATGCTGCCGCCTTAGATCGAGCTATCGGACACATAGAGCACTACGCTCACACTACTGATTTCGTTGCTCTTTGGGGTGTTCTGCATTTCATAACCAATACTCCAGCCTCACCGGAGATTCCCCATTTTGTTGGTCGGCTCTTCGCTCACGAATCCCTCGGAGGCCATTTGCTAAATCAGCATTACCTTAACGACATGTTTCCATTGGCTAAGAACTCATCCGGCGAGTTCACGGGTTGTGCAGAAAGCAACGAGTTTATGGATAGCGTCATCAACCCACCCGGGCAGGGAGAAGGCGATAACCTTTTCCAAGCTATCCGCGAAGGCCTCGACCATAGCTTCGCGGCGCTAGACCGTATCGCCCTAGCAGAATCCGATGTTTCCGTGCAAGGGAAATTAGCCGAAGAAGTAAGTGCCTTAGACGGACCGGTACGAGTCAGGGATCTCAGTCGTCTATGGCACTATAGGAATGGTCAAACACCTGGTAGCTTACGAAAAGTCTGAAGGGGTTGGAAAATGGTTTTGGGGGAGCAAGGGAGATAGGGAAGACGTGCTATTGATATTGGTATTGTTTCTCATTTTAACTTGCCCCATTTGATTAACGGGAGGTATGTGCGGACTTGTGTTTTTTTCGACAGAATGACCTCTGTTATTTGATTCTAATATGCCCATCAAAAATTAAATTTTGAATTTTCTTCGAGCGTTGGTACGATTTTCTGGTAGCTTTAACCCATCTTCAACACTGACTAGCGAACTCCATACTTGTTTTATCCAAGAGGAAATCAACCCTTGTACGAAACACTGATCACATTTATTTATATCCGATGTGAAATTCAAGAAAAGTGCCATTAACTAGGTAGGTAGTTATGTAAGATAACCCGTGTAGAACCTTCCACATAGGAGAACACATACTCTGATTAGGTTAGGTACTGAATTATTTATACATTACACAAGTCTTATTTCTCTTCGAGAGAATAAGTTGATAAACGTATTCAAGTCGGCCTGACTAGTATGGTAAGAAGAAACAACACCAACTCTTAGAAATGTATCATTTCTCATATGATGCAATGCCAGCCCAGATACCTGCCATCCCCCTAAGACCACCGGCTGCGCGATGGTCCAGATACACGCGAGCCCATTACGAAAGTCATCTGAAGTATCAAATATGATTATTGGCTGATGCTGCAATCTCTCATTAGCGCCAACTTTGACCGACTGGCCAGTGTCGAATTCTCGAAATGCCTCCACGGTATATTGGTTGTGCAACAAGGCATGAGCGTCAACTAAACAAACCGGCCCATATAACGTTAATATGCCCTCAGCCACTTCTCCGGTGTCATCAACGCCAAGGAGAGTTATATTAACGGACGATAACGAGCTGATCTCGACCACTTCTTCGTGAAATGTATCTGGGATGATAAGATGGCCGTTTAGACTGGCCCAAGACCACGAAGGTGCACGATAACAGACCGCCCGGGACGCCGGGACGCCGACTCTAACATACCAACCTAATGTTTCTATTAAGCGATATTCCCATAAGCCAGCTAGGTACCTATAACTCCCCGGTTTGAGGCGTTGTAATGCTTTTCTGACATCCTTCGCCAACCCGGATACGGCCACGAGCTTGTCTGTCGATACGGTGAGCTTCGTATCTGAATACAAGCTTATAGTAGCACTCCAATCAGTAAGGATGCGTGTTTGTAAGTCTCTTAATATACACGGAGTAGTGGGAATGGCGATGAGCTGCTTCCAGAGTGGAAATACTATATCGACGTGCTTTTCGTGCTTGTCGGCGCCAATGAGGTTGCATGCGGAGCGGGATCCCTCGAAACCTCTCGGATGCGTCTCACACGCATGTGATTCTGCACACTCCCAAAATACCTGTTTACTCCCAAAATATATAGTACGAGGAGCCATAAGTCTTTCTTGTAAAACCCATGCTCGTTGGATAAGAGGTTCATACCGAAATGCCGCATGCCACGCCGTGTCTTCAAGCTCGGCCCTGAACATTTCCCCATTTTTATATATGTCGACGGCCGTAGGGGCAACTAACGACGGATCGCGTGAAAAGAAACAGCCACCTTCGTCATCATCGGCGCCGAGGGCGGATATGCAAAATACCGAATTTCGATAAACGTCTTGCATTGTCCCGGCTTCTCTTCGCCAATCATCGGGCGAGTCTTGATAAATACACAGGCGGTCAATCCACATGTATCGAACCCCTAAGCGATATGCGATATATATTGCATCCCTAATCGTTTTTGGCAAGTGATCAACCGCATTAGATTTCTCTAGCCAAGCATATGTAGACTTCAAGAGTCGAAACGTCTTATGTAACGGTTTGTCGCCCCATCGGTAACTTAAGGTGGCGTATGAAGACACATGAGAATCTTCATCTCCGCGTATTAATTGGAAGGTGATACTATCTTGTGAATATGGATCATGCGAACAACCTATCTTTAATAATCGAGTTGGTTTGTAATTCTCACTTTCTTGTTTAAGATTGCATAAACTGTGATGTTGTAGACAGGTTTCCATCAACTCGGAGATCATAGACCATGTTTGAGGAGAATCTGTTGAATACGGAATATCGTAGTTCAACTTATTATCGAGAGGTTGTAAAGCTGAAAGCTTGCATAAGCTTCATGATAGGTGGACGCAAAAGTCGGCATGGATGACAAAGGAACGTAGCTTACCCTTAACCATAGAAACAGTTTTGACGCCATGGCCCGAGTCTACTGTCATACATGGAATATCATATTCATAAGAAACCCAGAATATGGTAAAGAAGCCATATTCCTTCACTTTATTGACCTGACCCGCACTATCGTAGAAGGGAAAATCACTACACATGACGCACCCTTGCCGAGCGGAACGATTAAAAGAATCCTCGTCGCGATGGTGCCCATGTATATACCAGAAGACAGGAGATGAGTTCCGAGGTACTGTGAAGCTATAAGTTAAATTAAACCATCTATATGTAACAATATCCAGTATTGTACGCACTAAATTCATACTGACTGAGTTGCAACCCCTCTGTGTCTGCAATATGTTTTTCGGCCGAACCTAGCGGAGAGGGCTTGCGTGCATTTTCAAGTCCGTATTTGCAGACCTTGCAGAGCATGATGCCAAAGTTCCCGAAAATAGTGTAGCTCTTTTCAAGGGTATCTGGTGTTTTAGAACAGAAAGACACGATCTTATAAGTGCACTTATAATAGAATAAAGATACAAGTTTAAATAACTAGTTATCAGAGAAAAGAACAAAGTAGAAGAGAAGATAAATTATCATTCGTCCTAAATATTTGAGGAATTAAAAGGGTAGACCGCCCAGCTACTTTGAAACCTATCAAACATACCTATGCAGTCAGCATCTTACCTTCGCTAGAGACATTTCATTATGACTCCAGGCATACTATTATAGTGTTAAACTTGCAAATCTAGTAACGGGGTTTAAAGTAATAACGATTCTTCCTTCGAAGGTTTACCTTCTCTTTCTTAAACATGCATACATTGCATAAATACTTGAATCATATCACAATGAGAGAAGGAGTTAAAGCGTCGGAACATTGATATCATTTCAACTTCTTTATATTTTCCCCTTAACAATATTGCCAATATTCCAGCCTCCAAATTGGTAGACATAGGTAGTCCGTATCAAGAGTCTGTGCAGCAGTACTTCCTATTATCCGTCATAACTTGATGAACCTCCTATTCCCGCTTCGTGACTTCAGTCCCGCCTACGACGACAGCGCGCAATTGGGAGCGGTCCAGAAAGAGCTCCTGATCAGCACCAACCTTTGCTGCCTTCTCAGGCGTGTGCGAAAACGCCATGAAAGTCTGGAAGGCCGCAGCATCCTGAAATGTCAACTCGGCAACAACGTCGTAATCAAAGTCAGCTTGTGACCCGAGAAGTATTTGAGCTGGGGTCGAGGCATTCCTAGTTGTACCCTCCCCCTGGCCTTGAGTGCGTTGGATATAGTGCCGTCTATGCGATAGCGGGAAGTGCGGACCCGCTACCTCTTGTAGTATAGGCATATGAATGTTTTCAAGGTGCTCCTTGAACTCCTCCGGTGAGATGCCGGCTTTGCGTGTGAAGAAGAATAGGATGGAGAATGCCATGATAATGGTGTAGTATCACGTTCTTGTACTGGAATCTAATATGTGATGTTGATAACTTTGGAATTTATTTTGGGAATGTAAAGATGGAAGTCTCTTCAAGTTATATTTGAATGATCCAAGGAGAGTAAGACGTAGCCAAAAGACCAATAGGATATTCTTTTCTATAATTGCTTATTTGACCCGGTAAACTAAGTGACACAACGGACGGTGGGTAATCCTTCTTAGGATACTGACGTATGCCTGGTAGGCTTAGCATTATGTAGAGCCAGGTCTGAAAATATGTATCTTCTCTCATAAACTCGACTATTTAGCACTTCGATGAACTTGTCCTGATAACTAAATGTACAAGAGGAGATTACGAATGTTGCGGCAACTGTAACTGTTTCGGACTTCCCCAGGTCCCTATTTGCAACATATGTCCATTTATAGTTTGTTTTTCTTCAAGGCATTTATTATACATCATGGGGTAAGAGCGGTCGGTAATAACCACTCGTGAAGAGAATAGTTTCCGTACCCAATTTGTTATAATCTGATATCATTTCTAGGAAAGTTATCGTACTATACCAAGTACTTTGTTGAATTGTTCCATTAAATGCAAAATGGTCTTATGATATTAAGCGGTATTAGCGAGCTCGATTACTACATATATCATTAAATAACAATTAAGGAGTGTCCCTAAACCAAGTCGACTAGCCCAGCCCCTATTCTTTTCCAACCTGAATAATTCTTAAAACTAAACGCGCCCGCTTTAATGTAGAAAAACGAAAGAAACCGGGATCATATGGAAAAAAAAAATTCAAATATAAACCCAAACTTCTGAAACGGCCAATCCAATAGTTATCAGTAACTGAAGTATCATCGGACTGGCTTAGAACCAGCCAACGCTCAGGCCGTTAGGCGCGTTAGTACCATCAACCACGAAGTCCTGTTTAATGACATTGATATCGAACTGGCCGACAGCAACCGTCTCCCAGTGGAGGGTCTTGCCAGCGGGGCAGGGGAAACTCTCGACCGCCGGATTAGAAAAGCCGACCTTGTCGAAGTTATAGAAGCCGGTGGCATCATCAAAACGCACGCGCGCTAGCTGGGTGTCACGCAGGTTGCCCGACGGTAGGTTGGCCAGATCCGTAAAAGAGTTGCGGAAGAGGTCAAGAGCCTTCTCGCCAAGCACATTATCGCCGTTGCCGATACGGCCGGCGTGGATGACTAGAGTGCAGGTCTTACCCGCAGCGGACTCCGGGATTGGGATATCATATAGAGTGCTTGTCTCTATGTTACCGTTACGCACTGTGGCAGTTTGAACATCCTGGGTGTTTAGGTTACTGGTGATGTCGTGGTTCTTGATGATGCTAGGTACAGCAAAGCCAGCCCAGGTGTGATCTTCTCGTGCACTGACAGTGTTTATGACGGTTGGGGCGGCGAGAGAGAGGGTAGCTGAAATAAGACAAAGAGCGGCGGTGGTGTATTTCATCTTGAGGGCTTTAGAATAGATTCAGGGTAAACTGTTAGGTTTGCAGAGTTGATATTAAGAATTAAAAAGGTTCTAGTAGATATATATATGCTTGTGCTTGTGATTGATTCTGTGATGTTACTGTTCTTTCTTTTGGAAGACGAGATGCCTTTTTATATAAACACTTTACGAGAATTTCACTCTCAACATCTCGCGATATCTATGACCTAGGACACTATCATGGTGCTCTAGGTTGATTCTATTTTTAATCCAAAGTATGCCTAACTAACCGTGATATTATGAGGAACTTCCAGCTGCTGACGCTAATGGAGTACTATTTTCATCGCCTATTGGAGGTCTAACACCAACAGCTGAATTTAGTCTATAACTATTAGATTTCGTAAAGAACGTCCTGGGGTGCTAAGAAATAGGAAAAGATTAGTGCCGCCTAATATGAACTTGAAGAAAGCCGGATAGCAAAGCATCCGGTACCGGGTGACTGTCAAAGCCTCGTTATTGAAGGATGACATACACCTATCTTGACCAGTAATAGCGAGTTTAGAAGTGGTTGTAATAGCCTACGGCTTAATATATTAGCATTAAGGCTGGAGTTGTTGTCAGCCATGTGTGCTCTCAAGCTTTCTCTCAGCCTCAGCTCCGCTAGTATGGTAAGCCTCCAGGACCATGCTAAGTATGGCTAGCACCCCTCGAAGGATCAAAAGGTCTGTCATATGCTCTGCTGATATTTTTTTGCATAGCCTTTTTATCCGTAATGGCTACTTAAGACTTATGACTGTTAGCAGCGGGGCTGAAAATCCAACTCTCTTTCCATGTAATTAGTTTCGTGTTGGTTATGTTGGAACTGTCAGCTAACATCACGAGGCAGAAGGGTTGTCGAAGAATATACCTTCAAGTTGCTTAGTTCTGTCCAGCTGACACTATCAAGTAAAAAGATTTGGAGTTTTACGTAAACGGTGTGAAGAGTGTGTCGTATTCCAGTATTGACCAATGAAGTCCTGTCTGACATACATCGTAAATTTCACTCTGAGCAGATGGTCGTAAGACTGATGTAAAAGGCTCAATAAGCCTGAATTATCATTCTTCCGGCTGCTTGGCATCTATGTCTAACCGATGAGATTCATTGCATTATTGTTGTTCTTAATTTTATGACACTTAGAAGGCCATAAGTGTTGAAAAAGTCTTATGTAATATTTCGGGTCTTCATGTATCGGGGATAAATATGTGTCTTGTACGTATCGAGGAGCTATTGCATTTATTAATGGTATTTGTATGAGCGTATAGATCAATGCTACTATGACTCGAGAGTATGCCCCTTAGGATGGCGCGGTCGACTCTTCCACCCGCTTGCTTCTTCTCCTAATTTCTTAAGTGCCAAGTCGTAAGCAGCTATCTTTCTTTCGAACGCATCCTCTTTCTCCTCAGTCACCCTGATGCGCTCTACTTTCTTGCTCCTTTGGATAGCGGTCTCACTAGCTACTTCGTTCCAAAACCACCTTGCCTCCGGATTAGTAAATAGTGTCCACGCCTTGCCGGTCTTCCCAGCTCTGGCCGTACGGCCTACGCGATGAATGTATGAAGCTATGCTAGACGGCATATCATAGTTGACAACATGATCCAGAGTAGGAAGATCTATGCCACGAGCAACCAGGTCGGACGCAACGAGAATGCGTAACTTTCCAGATAAAAACGACCGAATAGTGCGTCTCCGAGCTACGTATTGCGTTGTTGAGGTAAGTGTGCCGACAAGAGCGCCCAATTTTGGCGAAAGCAGTGAAAGGAGACGTGAGAGACGTAGAGCTGTTTCGTTTGATTTGGTAAATATTAAGACACTAGGTGTGTTCGTGGTAAGGGGGGTGATATTGGAAGTCTTAAGTGATCTCTCTAGACCTGAATCAGAGCCCGAATCAGAATCAGAGTCCGAGTCGGATCCAGATGAAGAGGTGTCACTATCTGAAGTATCATCTCTCGACCTGTCATAGCTGATCTGACCCAGTATGTAATTGCTCTGAAGTAGATCTAACAGGAAGAGCGGCTTGAGGTTAGGGTCGCTAACTTTGAGTGCAGCTTCTCCGAGCGTTTCGGGAAGCGCAAGGTCAGCTTGACTTATAGTAGCATCTGGCTCTTCAGTATTACCTGAGCCCTCTAGTATGATTAACTTGGGCCAGCGAAGCTTTAGCCCTTCTAGACGATCAAGATCCCTTGTCATCGTAGCGCTGAGAATGACCTTCCGAACACCTGACAGGTTGGATTGCTTGTGGTTTCGGGAGCCATTACTCGACTGCAGTCGCGGAATAACTATATCCAGCCACTGTTGGAAGTTTTGGCCGAGCAGTTTGTCGGCTTCATCAACGACGAGCCAACGGACAAAGTCTAACGAAAAACCAGGTGTGTATTTAATATGTTCAACAAGCCTCCCAGGCGTGCAGATAAGAATATCAACCTTGGATTTGTATGCGATTACGTGGTCCGGTAATGTTTGGATCCTGTCTTCTTTCTTTTGAATCGCTGCTCTCTCTTCATCTTCGGTATTGTAACCCTTGCCGCTCTCATCATCAGAACCATATTCGCTCTCAGCAGCAAGTCTCCTATTCCGTTTAGCGAATGCTTCCGGGTTATATTCCTCTTCCCTTTCGACAAGGGCGGCTTGTTCTTGGTCAACGGACTGGCTACCCATGGAGATTCCAACACGTACTCTCCTCTTAGTACCATTGAGAGCAAATGCGCCTGCGCATTCCTCGCATACTTGTTGAACTTGCTTCACAAGTTCCCGAGTCGGAAGAACAACCACAGCACGGAGCTTTGTCAGATGTCGATTGCCTTGGCTCAAGTCTCGTACTAGGGGTAGGACATATGCTAGAGTCTTTCCAGAACCGGTCGCGGCGGAAACCAAAACATCACCATGCATATTCTTGTCGTGATGAGGAAGAAGCAACGGTATCGCAGCGGTTTGTATAGCAAACGCTTGCTTATATCCATTCGCAGCCAACCTCTCTGATACTTCGGAAGTGATCCCTAGGTCCGGTGAGAGCCCAAACTCTGTAAAGTGTGCCGTAGCCTGCGGAGATACACGAATTGGTTTCGCTAACCAGGACGGTAATGTCTCGTAAGCCGGTTTCGTAGTTTCAGAAACGACCGGCTTGGGCTGAGGTAGCGGTTGAAGACCACGGATTTCGGGTGTATCTACATCCACGTCCATAGAATTATCGGCGGCGGCCTTCGTTTCGTTTCCATCGCTGGCGTCTGGCGCATCTTGCATCAGTGTATCTTCATGCTTGTCTGCTACAGATTGGAGCTCGGGAGCTCGTATTGACTTTGCCGCTCTTTCTAGAACTGCTTTGTGCCGTATTGGGGTTTCATCCTCGGACTCAGCTTGAGCCTCTGAATTTCCCTTCTTTTTCGATTTCTTTTTAATTTTCTTCTCTTTCCGCCCTTGATCAGGAAGTTCGGGAAGCTTCTCTAGAGTTGGTTGCTGAGGTGCTACCGGTTCTAATGCGCCCAGCTCTGGAGCTATCTCAATTTCATCTGGCTTAACTTGAGAGGCCGGCTCTATCACGAGCTCATCATCAGCGGCCTCCTCTAGGTCTTCTGCACTGGTGTGTTGCTCCTTGGATTGTTTTGATTTTCTGTTCTTCTTTTTTGACTCCTTAGTAACATGACTCTCGTCCATCAGCCTAGGTTTCTTATTCGGTGGCTCATTTCCATTGATATCATCTTGAAAGTGAACATGCTGAGAGGGTTGATGATAATCAGATTGATTATTGACGGGTTTTGAAGGTGGAATGTATCTTGCATAAGCTGTCGGCTGCGACTTCACAGAGTTCGATACTGTTTCAATAGTCTGCAATGGCTCCGGGCTCTTCTGAACAGTCCCTTTTGGTGGTGGCACATATCGCGCATACATTTTTGTAAGCCGGCGAAATGACGTTTTTAAATTGTGAGAGAATGAATTTTGAAATAGGTTTCTAAAGTGAGACTCCGTATGATAGAAGCTACAATAATTCTGCCATCGCATAAAAAGTTGGCCGCCTTCCTAATTTAGTTATCTTTGGGCTTTTCAGGTGGTTTTTTTTTATTTTTTAGATAAGACTACTCCGTATCGATAACTGTCTTATATGGGGCTTGTGGATCAATAGTATGCTAAAACGTGCTAAGGCTAGTACTTCAACCCCGGATTTCCAATTAGCCAATCCTAACCATCTCAACATTTCTCGATAGATATATCTAACTAATGACTTGGTTACAAGAGTACGTTAATTCTTACTACTTTCTCGTCGCGGAAGTTCTTGATAATTCCCGAATATGACACGAAATTATTTCCAACGATCCGCTCATCACCCGCCGCGATGCCGCACCGAACGTATAATATCGCCATGGTTAGCGATTTCTTCTTCCCCCAGCCGGGAGGCGTCGAGAGTCACATCTATCAGCTTGCCTCCAAGTTAATCGACCGAGGTCATAAAGTCATCGTGATAACTCATGCTTATGACGATCGGAAAGGAGTTCGCTATCTCACAAACGGCATCAAGGTCTTCCACGTCCCCTTCGCCGTTATTTACCGATCTGCCACCTTTCCTACCGTATTCTCCTTCTTTCCCTTATTTCGGAACATCATCCTTCGCGAAAAGATCCAGATTGTTCACGGTCATGCCAGCTTGAGCACCCTCTGCCAGGAGGCAATGCTACATGCCAGGACCATGGGCCTACGAACCGTCTTTACCGATCATTCGTTGTTTGGCTTCGCTGATGCGGCAAGCATCTTGACTAATAAACTGCTCAAGTTCACACTCAGCGATGTCGACCACGTAATATGCGTCAGTAATACATGGTGCGTTTTCTAACCTTTTCTCAGTCCTTACTTCGATACTTTCGCTCACATCTCTCAAAGCAAGGAAAACACAGTTCTTAGAGCAGCCCTAGATCCTCTCATGGTCTCTGTTATTCCTAATGCTCTCGTCTCCGAAAATTTCAAGCCTCTACCCCGTCCAGACCTAAGTAGCCTACCATTTGTCCAACATCCTTTACCAGCGCACCCTCTCGGACCCAACGACACCCTCACCATCGTTGTTATTAGTCGTCTATTTTACAACAAGGGAACAGATCTCCTCATAGCTGCCATCCCTCGAATTCTAGAGAACCACCCAAATACTCGTTTCATCATCGCCGGCTCGGGGCCAAAGGCTATCGAACTAGAGCAGATGATCGAACAGAACGTGCTACAGGACAAGATCGAGATGCTAGGGCCCGTGCGACACGAAAATGTACGAGACGTGATGGTGAGGGGTCACGTCTACCTACACCCCAGTCTCACAGAAGCCTTTGGGACAGTCATCGTCGAAGCCGCCAGCTGCGGTTTATACGTCGTATGCACAGCCGTCGGAGGTATTCCCGAGGTGCTTCCGTCACATATGACGGTATTCGCGAAGCCCGAGGAGGATGACCTAGTAACCGCAACAGGGAGGGCTATTGCGGCTCTCCGTGCGAATAAAGTCCGCACGGAGAAGTTCCACGACCAGGTCAAGGCCATGTACTCATGGACCAACGTAGCGAAGCGCACCGAACGCGTCTATCAAGGCATATCGGGGGATGTCAGCGAGGCCGAATTTTACGGCTTCGATGTTAATCATGACCCACATTGGCATGCCACACGCGGGCGCAACTTTTCTCTCATTGACCGGCTCAAGCGCTACTATGGTTGCGGTGTCTGGGCTGGCAAGTTGTTCTGCCTGTGCGTCATCATCGACTACCTGATATTTGTATTTTGCGAATGGTTCTGGCCTAGGGACCGGATCGATTTCGCGCGGGATTGGCCGCGAAAGAAATTTGAAGGCGACGACGATGATTAGGCTTCTGACGTGTAAAAGCCGTCTAGAGACGCATACATCTATGTAATCGAATGTAGGGTTAACTACGTAACTATAGGTCAGGCGAATATTTCAGCAGCGAATAGAGATACCCATTGCTTAAATGTTGATCTGGTTTATGCCACCGTTGCGTGTCGACCCTACCTAGGTAGGTACCTCACAATTACGGATAGAGCAATACCATTGAATAACATAAGTCTTCTATACCCAGTTCAGCTATCATTCAACGGCCTAGAGGAATTATTATATAATCTCGTCGTAGGACTGCTGGTACGACGGAGGGATTGTGTAAAGTGTTTTCATTATATCGGTGCCTTCAAATGCAACTCCGCGAAACCCAAGACCAATAATATTTACGTAGAGCCGCCCTTTTGATAAATACGACACATCATTTAATCATTTGGCAAGCGAAACAAGGAAGCGAGTCTCCCCGTGAATTTCATTAATACCCAAGACCAGATCATACCACTTCTGAGCTCCGGGCCATCCCCTATCATCAGCTTTGCTTTACTTATCCCCTTTCTACAACGACCTAGAAGCAACTCGTAGGGGCGAATTTTACATGTCCCTGGTAAGACCTAACATCAGTCGGTGGACGTTAGTGAGCACCTAAACAATACGTCAGGCAACTAAAGACAGATATGAAAGCAATCCTTAATATGTGGATGCCACTGCTGTCCACTAATTCGCTTACTCCTAAATAACGACGTAATCAATGATGTTATTTAGATTCAATACATCCTACAGCCTAGGGTAACACAACTGCTATGTTGTGTTGTGGTAAGAAGCCATTGGTCACGTTGAGCGAAGCATCGAGTCATATAAGCAGACTCCGGCTTCTGTGATTGACTCGACTCAGGGTATCTGTACAGGAAACAATTTCTACCCTACTGCTTCCTACGTTGGGGTAATCGAAGCTACCACGTATGTTCAGAGATTTCGTATGCGTGCCGGATCATGATACGTGGCGGACAGTCTTACTGTTGGGGTGATACACACCTAAATGCCACCTAGCTTAATCGAGGTCTACGACTCAAAATAGCCAACGATGTGTTCTGGGATATGACTAAACAATATAAATGGAAGTATATCGATTTGTAGGAGCTCGGAAATAGGGGGGTTGATTTCCACGGAGTAGGGAGTAATGATACTTTCGAATTCCTAACTTATTCTCTTCTTCTTTTCGAAATTTGTAACCTATTACTTTGTATTTCTTCGGCGACTCATTGTCTCGAAGACATTATTTGTTCACGACAGAGTTTCCCAAGACTCTTCAACTCACAGTGTAAAACAAGCCGAAAATTCCGATCCTAATATAGGTTTTGATAAGACCACCATGGCAGGTAGGTGCCAGAAAGTTCATATCAATAACTCTGTTATTAACACACATACGATAGAAACGATCCCTATGATTGCTTGGTGGTTCCTCGACAAGAAAAAAGCATTCGAAACAGAACAGAAATATAAGGAGACGAATAAGAAAATCACCGAAGTTCTCCTTGCTCAAGAACAGGAACGTTCGGCTCGGCAGGAAGCCGAAAGAAAGGAAGAGCAAGAACGCTTAGCACGAAAAGAAGCAGAGCGCCGCGAAAAACAAGAGCGTATAGCTCGGGAACAAGCCGAGCTTAGAGAAGATCAGGAGCGCTTAGCTCGAGAACATTCAGAACACAGAGAAGCGCAAGAACGTCTGGCCCGAGAGGAGGCAGAGTCCAGGGAAGAACAACAACGCGTAGCTCGGAATGAAGCAGAGGCACGGGAGAGAGAAGAACGTATAGCCCGAGAACAAGCAGAGAAAAGAGAGGGAGAAGAACGCTTAGCTCGACGAGAGGCAGAACAGAGAGAACGGCAAGAACGTTTGGCTAGAGAGCAAGCAGAATACAGAGAAGAACATGAACGTCTAGCTCGGCAAGAAGCTGAGCTTAGAGAGGAACAAGGGCGCTTAGCCCTAGAACGAGCAGAGCTTAACGAACGTTTAGCTCGAGAGGCCGAGAGGAAAGAAAGATATGAGCGTGAACTGCGCGAACTGTAAGACCTTCATATGAATCCTTTCCGGTTCACGAGGTATTTTATCTGCTAACGATAGAAATAATAGTGGTGTTCTACCAGACCGCAAAATCACCGATGCCGATATCAAGTATGCCCGCACCATAGCAGGGTACGAAGATGGATGCATTAATATCGCCTTTATCGGCAACCGAGGGACGGGCAAATCTTCTCTCATCAACTCACTGCGCGGTTTAAGTCACGGCGATCGAGACGCGGCCGAAGTAGGTGATATCGAAACAACATTAAGACGAAAAAAGTATAAAGACAGCAAAAGCATTGTCTGGTATGATATCCCGGGATCCGGAACTCGAAGCGTTTCAGCATGGCAGTATTATTATGACAACGATCTCTATATTTACGATAAGATCGTGCTCGTCCACGGTAAAATTCTGACCGAAGTAAGCTCACAGCGGCCCTTATTAAACCAACCTTACTAACTTGACTATTTAGTCAGACTTCAGAATCCTGAAGCTATGCCAATACAGAAAGCAAGAGTGGGTTTCTGTGCGTTCCAAGGCCGATTTACACATATGGAACTATAAACGACGAAAGGGAATGTGTCCCACGGAGGCTCGTCAGTTTTATATCGACGCTGTTCGGTCAGACACAGCTACGTATAACGCACGAAACGAGAATTCGGTTGAAGATTTAAAGCTGTCTGTGAAAGACTACATAGTATCCGACATGGGTGTCCTCCAGCTCGTCACTAGATCCGAGCCATCCGAAGACCCCATCGAACAAGTAGTCGACGAATCCGCCTTCCTAGAGGAATTGGGATTATCGACTGGACAAATGAAGAGTGAATAGGAGGCACTTGTGTTGTTGGAATTTCCCCTATGTGTTCAACCCCTTTCCTTCTTTTCTTGGGGCTATATTACGGAATTGAGAATGGCGTCATTAATGGGCCAAGTTAATCAAGACTACATAGCGGAGTGCGACTGTAGGTTAAGTATGTGGGAGAATACGAATACGTATTTGGGAGCATGGTTCTAAAATATTTCTGGAAGAGGCTCATGAGTGTACGAGGAGCTTTGATGTAATTAAAGAGGAAGATGTATAGCTTAAAGCTTACGATTAAATATTATTCGTAAATCAGAGGAGGTTTATTGTATAATGATAAGTATAAAATATTTAATTTTTATATAGGAGTAGCATATTAGTTTAGTATCTTGGGTGGGTATCTGCTCATAATTACTGTTGATATCGTCCAACCGACATGTAGTATTAGCTACTCAGATTGCAGAAATGAAAAGTAATATACCCGAGACCGTGGTAAGCCAAGTTGAGATAATATGAGACGAAGCAGCATTAGGAGTCTCCGTGGACCCTCCCACACTCGTTGTCGTAGACCCCGGCGCCGAGCCAGATCCAGTAGTAGTGCTAGGCGCATCAGTCGGGGCTGCCGTCGCACTGGCCGATGTTGAAGTCGAGACATATCCGTCAATCTTTGCACCGTCTTCGTCGACATCACCCCTAAATTCGCCGGTCTCATTGCGCATCTTGAAATCAACATTGGCGCGGGGGAAGTTTAGGTCCACCTTGCTAGTACTGTTAGACCAGACGCGTGCCAGCTGCCAGAATATAGGAAAATCGTCCTCCTCGATGAAGCGAATCAGCTCGGGGTTTTGCTTCCAGACGTGCATAGTTGCGTTCCGCACCTCCGAGCTGGGTGTGTCATCAGGTCGGTATATGCTTCTCGATTCCCGTAGCTCATCACTCAGCGTGCCATTCTCCGTCACTATCAGATTCGTTTTAATCCAGGGGAAGGTGTAAATGGTGTCGTCAATCGTGTCGATCCACGGCACGTATGATACTTCCAAGAAAGCGATATACCGATCATCGCGCCCAGTGGTATCCGGGTCCGCGAGTACAACTGTCGGTCGCTCAAACAAGATTTCCTTTGCGGATAAAACAGTTTTTGGTGGCTCAGACGGGCTTAGTTTAAGCCCAGATTGATAGTCTGCGGTGAAGTCGAAGTCGTGGCCGGTTATGGGTGGCCAAGAGGCGTGTACCTGACTAAAGGCCAAGACCGCTGTTAGAAAGGTTCGAGCCCCGAAGCCATTCATCTCAGGCAACCTATACTACAAACGTAGGCAGGAGTTGATTAATGTGTTTACTATGAGATAATAATCAGCAGCTTGCTAGTCGGGTCTTAAGCGGCGCGGCCCATCTATATATGAATTGAGCGACAATTGAGTCACTACGCCGGGGTTACATTCCGATTTTAGTTGCCATTTTAGTAAATGAGCAACAACAGGTATAATCCATAGCCTTAGAATGTCGTCTGCGGCGCAGCTATAATTACAAGGTATGGGATCGGGCTTTACGATGTATCTGGTAAAGTCTTTGCCAAGAGCTTGAGTCGAGACCTTTTCGGCGCAATACCTCCCAACTGGCTAGCGCAAAATGCGTTTGAGGATTAAGGATTAAATTGGAAAGCATTGTTTAAAGTTATTTCGATATTGACCTAGATTTGTTCCATTGCTATTACTGGTTTATATTTACTGCGTTATAAACAGCTTAAAAACTTATGGCTTATATTTTTTAAATTTTAAAGGAATATAAAATATAATGATATTTATATATATTATTATATATATAGTTAAAGTTTATAAAAATTTAGTATTTATATATGGTTTTATTAATATAATAAAATTTAAACCAAATATTATAATTTTTTTATTATTATATATTTTTATTTATAAAATAAGTATATTTTATACGTTTTTTTAAACACATTATAAAGCTATTTTTTATTTTTTAAACTTAATAATTTTATAAATTTATAATGTTTTTTTTGTTTAAAAATTTGGTAAATTTATTGGTTAAATTTTTTTTTATTAATATATTATATTACGATATAACCAATTTTTACTTTTTATTTTATATAATAATAATCTTTTTATATATATTATTTTTAACAATTTACTATTAATTTTTTCAACCAATTAATTATTATTATATTATTATCCGTTAGAAACATTTTTTACGTTTAAACTTTTAGAAATTATTATGGAAAATTAATAAATAATTAATAAATAATTGATAAATAATTGATAAATAATTAATAAATAATTAATAAATAAATGATAAAAAATTGATAAATTAATAAAGAAAATAATTAATTAAAATTCATTAAAATATTTAATTTAAATATTTTTAACAAATTTTACCATACAAGTTTACAAACATGTAAAAACGCTTGCGTAAGCTTGCAAATACATGCGTTTTCTTAAATTTTATAATAATATAACCGATTTTTTAAATATATATTTTAATTTTTTTAAAAAATTATAAATCCATGTCGTATTAATAATAATGATAATAAATATAATATATTTAAATTTTTTTAAACTTTTAATTATAATTATTTATAATTTAAATAATTATAATATTAATATTTTAATTATAAAAAATGTAAAAACGTTAATCATGTAATTTAAATAAAATAAACCCATTTATTTTATATATATTTTCACATATTTTAATTTACAATTAAAATACATATTAAACATTATTAATAACAATTTTTATTTATTATATATATAATATTTTTTTATATTATATACAATATTTTTATTTATTTAATATTAATTAATAATTAATAATAAATTAATTATAAATTAATTAAATATTTAAAAAAAAGGAAATAACTTACGCGTTAAATTTTAATAAAAAAAAGTAAATAATTTTAAAATTTTATATTTTTATATATAGTTTTAAATTTAAAATTTCATAATTTTATATATAATTTTAAAAAACCTTATATTAATTTAAGATTTTTAAATAAAAAAAATAATTTACGCGTTAAATTTTAAATCTTAAATTTAGATTTATTACGTATAAATAAATAATATTAAAATTTTATTTTATTAAATAAATAGTTTTAAAAAAATTTATATTAATTAATTTACACGTTTATTACGTATTTTTATTTATAATATATAAAATATTAAAAAAAAACAATAATATTATAAATTACGTTATAATTTTATTTTATTAATAAATTTATATTTTATTTAAAAAAATTTTTAACTTCATTTAAAAAGTTTTAACTATTAATATTATTTAAAAACTTAATACTTAAAAAAACAACAACATTTAAAAACCATAAAAATATATAATAACACCGTTTTTTCTTTTAAAAAAAATTCATAAAAATAAAGTTAAATAAATTTTTCTTTTATAATATATATTTTAATAATAATATCTTTTTTATTACTTTTTTTACTTATTTTTATTATTATAATAATTAATATTATTATTAATTTTACTTTACTCATTTTTTTTAAATTAACATACATTTAATATAATTAAATAAACGTAAAACCTTTAATAAAAATATATTAATAATAAAAAATTTAACATTAAACTTACAACTAATAACGTAATAAAAATTTTAATAATTTAAATTAAAATATATATAGTTAAAAATATATAAAGTTATAATAAAAATATAATTAATAAAATTTTATAATATATTTTTAAAATTAATTTTAATAAAATCAAATATTTATTTTGTTTAACTATTAGTTTTTTAGCTTTTTATATAAAAAGCATTTAAATTTGGTAAAAAATTTACCCCGATTTAAAATGGCCAAAAATAAAAAATATTTAAACTTAAATTTAAATATTTTTTATTTAAAACCTATTTAAATCAAATCTTATAAATTTACTAAATAATTACATTAATTTAATAAACTTATTTATTATTTTAAAATCATTTCGTTCTTATTATATTATTATGTATATATAAGTTAAAATAATTTAAAATTAATTTTAATAAAATGGCTAAAATTTATACAAATTGCCATTAATATTTTAAAATAATAGAAAGCTTTTAAATAATATATATTTATTTTTATATCAAAAATAAAAAATATTTAAATAATACATATTTGTTTTTATATAAAAAGTAAAAAATATTTAAATAATATATATTTATTTTTTATATTAAAAATAAAAAATATTTATATAATTTACTAATATATATACAAATTAATATTATTTTATATATAAATAAAAAATAATTTAATATTAATTAAAATATATATAAATTAATTTAATAATAATAAAAAATAAAAAATATTTATTATAAAGTTAAAATATATATAAATTAATATAAAAAAAAGGTTAAAATTTAAAAATATTTTAATAATATAAATTTATTTATTATATTAAAAGTAAAAAATATTTATATAATTTATTAATATATATATAAATTTAATATTATTTTATAAATAAATAAAAAGTAATTTTATAAAAATCGATTAATAATAAATAATAATTAAATAATAATAAAATATATTTAAAACAATATTAAAAAGGTTTTAAATAAAAAATATTTAAATATTAATAAAAAATATTTAAATTGTATATATAAATTAAATTTATAAAAAATAGAAATGTTGCACGAGGTGTTAGGGCATAACTGTAAAGGCGGCGTAGCTGCCACAATAGTTATACGCTTTTAGTTACAACTATTACATAATTTTATAATTATATAAATAACTTACGCGAAACGTAAGATATTATTAAAAAAAATAAATTAATATATAATATAAATTATTATATATTTATATAATACTTATAATTTTAATAGTTATAAATTTGATTTATATTTAAATTTATAATAAAGATATATAATAATAAATATAAATATTTAAATTTTTTTTTTTTTATATAATTACCGTAAAAATTATTATATATTTATAATAATGGATATTTATGGTAAAAATTTTTTTAAAATTATTTTATTAATTTTGACTATTTAATTTAATATTTAATATAATTATTTATATTAAATATTAAGTATAAAATAAAATATTTTATAGTTTAATATTTAAAATTAAATTAATTTTAAAAAGTATAATATAAGCGTATATTTTATAATTAGGATAAAAGTTCCTATATTAAAAAATATAAAATAAAAAGAAATTTTTAAACGTAAAATTAAATTTAAGGTTTATTAAAGATTTAATAAAAATATTAAAGTTATAAATAAATAAATAATTATATTTATAAATAATAAATTTGATAAATTATTTAATAAAGTTTAAAAAAATTATATATTAATTTAATTAAAAAAATTTATTACCGTTTTAACTATAAATTAAATATTTAAATATATTTAAAAAATTATTAAAAATAAAATCTTTTTATTTATTACTTTAAAGTGTATTAGTAATAATTTTATTTCGATAATTAATATTTTATATAAAATTAAATTATATTTTTAACTAATTAATTTATTAATTATTATTAAATTAAAAGAAAATTATTAAAAATATTTATAATAGGTATATATAAATAAAATAAAACCATTAAAATAGTTTTTTAAATGGCAAATATTATATAAAAATGGATATATTTATAAGATTTTTAAAATCAAAAAAAACATAATTACTTTTAATTTTTTAAAAATAATTAAAGTTTATTAAATTATTAATTAGATTATACGTTAAATTAAAGAATTTATAACTATAAAATAAATAGGAAAAATTTTTAAACTGTTAAAAAAAAATTTTTTATAATTTTTAACTGTATTAAAAAATAACTTTTTATTTTAAAGGCCATCTATAAAATTAGGGATATATTTAATTAATATATTAATAAATAATAAAAAAGTTAATCTTTTAATTAATATTAAAAAAAATTATAATTATTTATATTTAAATAATAATATAAATATTTATTTATAATAACTTAATTAATATAAAATTTTTTAATATATTATCATTAATAAATCCAATTATTAAATAAAGTATTTTTTTAATTAAAATTAATATAAAATAATTAAAAAACGTTATTAATTTATTAAATAAAAATTGATTTAAATTATTATTATATTATAAAATTAATAAATTAATTTAAAATTTAAATAAAAATTAAAAGATTATTAATTAAATAAATAAGGTAATTATTTTGGCAATTTTATAATTATAATAATAGTTAATAATATAATTATACAATATTAGTCCATTTATGGGATTTATATAACTATAATACGCCTTAAATATTACCTTTTAATAACTAATATAATTTTAAATATATATAAAGATATTTA